ACGAGTCTACGTTAGACATACTATACATTTGATAATATTGAGTTATTTAACATACCACTTATGTAATATCCGCATGATATCAGAACTTCAAAAAGCCATAAATTCGAAATTAAATCAGTCAGACCTCTTTAAAGTACCGTCTAGACAAAATTTACTTTCAGAAAAGGTTCTACACTTACATATAGAAGTAAGATTTCTGACAAAAGCAACCTTTTGTATAGGTATATACAGGGTTCTATTAAAATTTCCGGAAAAAATTTCCTGATCAAAAATTCAGCCAGATGTGAATGATCTCTGACTTATTTTGGATTGTTATTCGTAGTTAAACCGCAATTGCAGTTCAATATATTTCTTTTCACGCATTGCTAACGAGAAGTATGGTGGTTAATTTGTGCTTAATGATATAAGAATACTCATTCAAACATAATCTTGAATTATTTTCAATAGATTTAATTAATCCATTAGTAGTTATTGCACGATTCAAAAGTTTTAAAACAATAATGACGCAAATTCGTAAAATTGAAAAAAAAACTTTAATATTAAAATTTTAAATTAGTTTTTGCAAAACACAACTATAGACAGCTGATGCGTTACAAATCGACAAAACATATCAACCGACTAGAGAATGATGTCAATGTAAAAGAATAAACCTTATTATTATTATTTTTAAATATTAAGTGCTAATATAGAATCTCAATAGACATTATACAAAATGTGAAAATAAAATTGTACAAATTGTACAACTCTTCAAAATATCGGATCAAATCAAAAGTAAAACCAATAGAAATTATAAGTGTCATTGTAAATATTAAAGTAAAATCCATTGTATCGTCTTGGGTAAGTTCATGTTATCTAGCTATACCTACAGTGTACAAGCCGGACATTTTTTCATCGGGTATTTTTACCAAGAACCAGCATATATATGTAAATCTCTATGTTAACATTTTCTAGACGTGGTAAAATTGAGTATCGAAACGTTTAGATTATTTTTTTTTTTAGTTTTTATAGGCATTTGAATTTTACATGTTCGAAAATTTAACACGAAACTCATTATAATTTATAACTTAAACTTCGGGGTGAAAAAAATGAATTGAACATAACATAGTTTTTATTTACACGTTTTAAGTTCAAATTTTTATGAAAATTGTAAAAAAAATGGCATTTCAAAACGCAATTATCTGAACCTAGATCAGAATCGTATTTTGTTAAAAATGACTCATCGTTGCGTATACATTTATAAATTTAATTACTCTATGTACAATCTACCTTTTCAACGTTTTTTTTTTATTGAAAAATTGCTAATAGAAACTAAAATATTATCCAATTATAAAATATGCAATAATGCGACTGCAATTTAATGTAATTATTATAATAATAAATATATTTTTCCTTTCCGTTTCTCCGCATTTCGATCGATTCGGTAGAAATAAATTATTTTAATCTTCGTCAATTCATAACCGGTCATCGAAGTTTATTTTCTATAATCCGTAATTAATAATATTATCCGGCCCAGTTAAGTGACGTTATGCATCAGACGACACCATTGCAGCGTACACAAAACCGGTCGTGGTTGTACTATAATTTGTGTTTTTTTTTTTTTTTACGTAATCGGTGACGAGTTGAAATGTGAATTATATTCGAAACCTAAAAGTAAGTTAACCTAATCTGACATAATGGTTATTACTAAGCTGGGCTAAGTCCGGGTTGCATAGGCACTTGGCCGTAGGGGCTGGATAGAACTTTTTCATATAATACGGCAAAAAAAATAAATACAGGCAAAAAATATTTGTCGATAAGAAAGACGGTTTTATCGTTTTCAATATGTTTTTAATATTTTTATGCATGCGAGCCAATAATAGAATTTAAAAAGAAACCTGATACTGCTGAAAGATGTTGCCATTATAGTAGATGGGTAGTTGGGATGGTGGTATACATATAACGTTACCAATTTAATTTAACAAAAACCTATTTTGAGCGAAGTTGGTTTATACACGATTTGTGAAACCGTAATATTTAGTTACAAGTTTAGTATACAACAAATTTTAATTTTAATTAAATGCTCACATGAAATACACGTGAAATACTTCCCTATAAACCCGACAGTTTACATCATACCTATGTGTTTTCGTTTACTGGTTTACGGTACAACGTGAAAAATCAGAACGTTTTTACTGATAAGTGAAACTATAATAGCTTCATTCTGAATCTAAAATTGTATTTTTTCTTTTTCTTCTCATTTTTTTTTTTAAATTCGCTCCACAAGGCTAACTGCCAATTTGTTGATCGGGTCCCGTTGGAATATATGTATACATATGGTTTGCAGCAGCTGTACTCTTGTAGACAAGATGCATAAGTTGTTAGAGGAGACCTGTTGATGCAGTAGTTGAATACCACGAGGTCATTTCCACTCGCTTCCATATCTGAGCAAGCATAGACCTTTTTGCGCTTGAAATAGGTAGATGTTATTGAACTCGTTGTTGTGCTCGTAATCATCGCTCACCCGTTTGATTTTTAATTAATTAATTTGCGTTTTTATACCTAGGTCAAAGATTTATTATATACTCGTATAAATACAAGTCGTTACATCATCAGATTTTATTTGTTTGTTTTTTTAAAATTATTTACTTCTAGTAAATGTATGGAATTATACAATTTAAACGACTACACGTTTCACCGATGATTAGGGCAGATATTTATACACCTTTAATCATAATTTCAGATTGAAATATTAAAAAATTACCTTAAAGTAGGCTCTTATAAAATACGATATTTAGCGTGTTTTATACAATTGTATACATATTCGATCGCGTCGATCTTTTATGCCAGTTTTAAGTTTTATCGTTAGTGTCCTAAATACTTCAACCATATTAGGCGCTTTGTATGATTAAACGCTTTTTTGTGCTGCTGGATTGAGTCATTTAAAACGTTTAAGTACACATGCTAAGACATTTCGCGTTTGTCAGTCACTACTTTACGACCGGTCGACTACAAGAGTGTACGCAAATTGTGTCCGGTCGTGTCCTATTTGCCACTGTGACGTTTTGCAATAATTTTTACCTATCGTCCAACAATTCGGTTAACGTGATCCTCGTGGTGACGTGACAATATAATATTATAATATTCAAAGTAAATTTAGGTATATTATCCTAAAAGAGGTATTATATTCGGGTATTGTTCAAAACCGTACACTTATCGTTCATAATCACACATTTTACATTGTTCAATACCGCACACATATTGTCTATTGTTAAAAATGGAAATTTATAAGGTTAATAATTTAAAACCGCACACATTTGATAGGCAGTGTGAAGCATTGTAGGTGAAATTAGAGACCCAATGTGGTCACTCGCTCACTGTGCTCACTTGGACAATTTTAATCGAAAATAACCCTCAATTTATTGGGCAAACCACGTCCGATAGGACACAAAGTAAAATGTGTACAATATTGAACAGTATCATTTTGGGAAAACTATATATAAAAATGTGCGGGTTTTGAACGACGATCTTTTTTGAAAGTGTGCGGTTATGATGACTGCCGATTATATTCATGTACTATAATTACACCAATTGTCCGTGCCCATTCAATCACATATCTAACAGAAAATTCACAACAAAATTATATTAAACATCAATTAATTATTAAATTAAATTTTAATTGAATTTATTAACTTATTGTTTTACTAAGTTATTTGAGTTATTCAAACGAATTTTGTGAAAGTAAATAATAAATGCAATAAATGAATGAAATTTTGAAAAACCGGAAAATGTACGAAATGTATATTATTTTCAAATCGTAAATATTAATGCTTTTCAATACACGTAGAAATGAATCCCACTTGGAATCGTTTTTTTTTTTTAGCAATGTATAATCGTCGCATACAGATTCACATTAAATTTCTCCTCTACATTCCTAACTTTTCTCCTACAAAACAGTGGCTCTACGGGCCACCCATTGTGTGAAGTATATCCGTATCTTTTTTAGCTTGAATTCAATTTAATATACACTAAAAACACTAAAATAGTAGAATTCTTCATTATTTCGTCATACTCGTCATGGATATTTTTAATTTACCCCAATTCCTAAATAATTATTTCAGCTCATTTGGTCCAGAGGGAATCGATAAAAATGTCCAAAAGTCTCGAGAAAAAAATATTATATATTAAGAGGTAACGATTATAAAATTATAATTAGCGTAATTAAATATTATTAACAAATTTTTCAAATTTATAAAAACTGACACTAAAAAAAAAAAAAACTAATTTTTATATTAATAATTAGATTCGATGGTCTGGATGAATATGCGACCAAACCTACCCTAACTTCTATATTATTAACAAAACTCGAGAAATTCCCATCAATAGAGTACATTACGAAAAATCCTATAGCTTATTACGTTTCATGTGATTACGGTATAGAGAATATTTATAAGTTAAGTAATTCTACTTAACTTATAAGTTATAATGATCTAACCTAACTTTATATTAGATTAGGTTAGACGTTACCTAGGTGGTTTAACGTTGTGGGGGTGGAAATATAGACATACCCTAGACATTTTGGGTTATATTATACGCGTTTTTGTTTGGCTAAATCTTGCACGTATTATAGTGAAAATTATTAAAAACAATTTAAAAATATGTAAACCATCGAAACATACTGCATCCCCTTAAAATATATGCAACATACTAATCTAATCGAACTGACCTAACCTAACCGCATAATATATTATGCAACTACGTTTTTTATCGTTTTCTATATTCTATGTAGAATAAACAGACAGAAATTTCCAAATTGTAAATATTATTGGATACCTACGGCCGCAGCAATAATTTATTATTACACGACCATTATTATTTTGCATTACGTATGAAAACCAAAAGGTCATTATGGAAGGGGATAGGAGTAGAATAAGAAACCCAAACTCTCTCCTCTCCCCTTCCTCCAGATAATTGCAGACCCGAGAACGGCGGCCCTCAAGAGTTTATATGTATATAACGCGGCACGTGGCCGCCCGGTCGTCATTGGTTTAGACGGACGCGCGCCGAAAGGATTTAATTATATTATACACAATTGTCACCTGAACAGCAAACTGCGGACAAAACCTACGAGCACACATGACCATCGGGGTTATTGACATTTTTTTGAAACGTTACAGAAACTGTGAGTATAACAATATTACACCGTGTAATGTCTAACGCGTCACATAAATGGATGTAATACCATAGACCAGTGGTTTTCAACATGTGCGTCGCGGCTCCTAGGGACGTCGTGGTTTAGTATCAAGGGAGCCATGTGTATAGTAAATATAGTAGAGTAATACAGTACATTTATTTGTATTAATTTTTACATTATTATTATTATTCGTAAGGAAGCCACTAATTTGGATTTCAAAATCAGAAGAGCCGTGAACCCAAAAAGGTTGAAAACCACTGCCATAAACAATAAAGAAATGGATAGGACACGTTTATATCGATATATGGTCTTATTTTCATGTCAGTCTTTCTGTCTTTTTCTCTTTGGCTGTTGTAATCTTGGAAACATTCAGTAATTAAGACTTATCGAGAAGTTTAAAGATTGGTTGATTTCAACTTTTCTCTCGTTTGAGTAACAATAATCATTTTATTTTTTGGTGTTATTATACACCCATATATCTATGGACACAACATGACAAACGATGTCCTCGGATTATTGACTTGGCAATTTGAGCTGCAATATTAAAACTGACCGTGTGATAAGTTCAATTGTAAGTTCCACTCCAGTCAGATTTCCTTTCAGAAAAAATGCTTTTATTGGCGAAAAATTTCTAGTAGAAGTGATTCACAGATTAAAAAAAAATTATAATAAACATCATTGTAAAATCAATACATTCTCTGATTTGCTCAAAATCTAAAATATATGTATACCATTGTAAAACCAATACATTCCTTGCTTCGCTGAGAATTTAAAATTGTACACCATTACCCGTCAGATCTGGAATATATCTACTACTAGATAATCTACATTGAGTCGTCCATTTCTTTATTATCTATACTTTATATGTGATAGTGTGATATCTACATTTTACGGTCCAACTAACGGATACTATAGCAAAATTACTTGACTTAAATTCGACATTGTGTCGTTTAGGTCGAAATAAGAGTTTAAACACAATAATAATAACAATATTTTATATAGAAAATAATAATTTGTTTTACCCATAAATGCAAACATTTTAATTCTAATTTACGTGATTTTGCTATGCTTAGTTGAGCTGAAACAGTGAAATTCGGGTATTATATCCACTTATATAATATCGGTAATCTGTAATTTTTTTAAGGAACCTCATTTCTAACATTTGTTTTCTTATAAAGCAACAAAGACATTTTCAATTTTTACTGTCAAAGAGAAGTCTATTATAAATTTTGTAAAGAAGAGTATTTACTATGGATCGTATAAATAATTTTTTTTTATCGAGATATGCGTGTAATTAATTTTCTCTTAATCCTTACCAATAATAACTTATTAACAAATGAAAATATTAAAATGGTTATTTGTAGGATCAATAGCCGAATGTCTGTCTATAAAATGACTGTGGATAACTTCTCATTAAACAGATTTTTTTTTTATGATACGCATGTTCAATGTTCATATTCTGTAAACCTTTATGTTTGTATTTCAAAGTACCAAAATTGTAAAAATAACTGAAATGGAGTCAGTATTTATTTTCTTTTTAAAATTTAATATTTTTTTTTTTACATACTGTATAACAAAATGTAAAATAACTTTAATGATAATTTCAGTGAACAATGGCAGGGCAAATGCTTCTGCTCGTAGTCAGCACAACACTAATCCTCGCCCTACAAACTCAATACGCGACGGCAAAAAAACTGCGTAAGTATGGATTAAAAATTTAAACGAATTCCGATTTATTTTATAATAGTTGTATAATAATTGTAATAATTGTAATTATCTAATCACAATCCATTTTTCAGCCAACTTCGTGCACGTGTGTAAAAGAAGCGACCCGCAACTAGAAAAATGTCTGGTCAAGACGATCGAATCCCTTAGACCCGAGCTTCCCATCGGTGAGCCAAAAATCGTTGAAATCATATTTGAGTGCGTTTGTTTTTCGAATTTCAAATAGTACGTTGTTTTTTTTGTTTTGTTTTTTTTCGTCAGGTATACCGAAAATGCAAATTCCCGCCTTGGAACCAATGGTCATCCCCATGCTGGTAGTGAACAGGAACGTAGAAGCTCTTAAAGTCAAAGCGACCATCAAGGATATACGCGCTTGGGGTGGATCTAAATTTGTACTCAGCAATCTCAAGTGAGCAATCTATGATTATCGTATTACCTTGCAATCGTATTATACGTTATGTATTGACTTTTTTTATTTTACATTCTACATAAATCTGAAATCTTCACCGTGTAAGGATGTGTTGATCGTTGTTTTTTTTTAACATCTACGCACATCAGTTGTAGATTTACGGGGGGGAGTGTGGTTCTACGGGGTCAGGAATGTATTAATTTTACTATGATTTATACTCTTATATTCGAAGCGTAACGAGGCATATATTGGTTTTTACTGTCAGTAAAGAACATTTAGAAAAGAAATCTTGCTCGAATGTATAGAGTATAGTATTTTTTCTGAAAATGAATGGACTGTGGAGGTCCTTAATCGAGATAATTTTTTTGATTTTCTCAGGATTTTTCCCAATACATGGGAAAAACCGTGGAAAAAATGGGAAAACTGGGAAGAATTACGGAAAAACAGAAAAATAGGTACAATATTTATTTCATAACAAATGTTATTAGAGAAAATATATCATGTGTATGTAATTATTTTACCATAATATGACATGAATTTTGTTGACAAAGCAACACTATCAATTGAACTCCGCTCTGAATCGTTTTTTCGTTATTAAATAAGTATTAAACTAATTATAACCGTAGCTGCACACGTCCCCATTATCCAGGACAGCTTTTGAACTTTTGACAGATTATATTTACTTTTTCTAAAATGCGAAAAAAACTTTTTTAGCTCCGTGAAAAAAAAAGACATTTTAGGATAATGCGGACTAGTGTAGCCACTGTTATAGATAATTTAATGTATACCTGTTAGCAACGATAAACCATTGCTCACAAAAAACCGAAACTATCAACGTTTCAGTTGATAGTGATGCTTTGTCAACAATATATATGTCATTATGTGTCATTTTAGAGTAAAATAATTAAATAGACTTTATATACTTTCTTTAATAATATTTGTTTCATGTTGTACCGATTTTCCCAATTTTCCTACGTTTTTTCCGGTTTTCCTATGTTTTACCGCGTTTTTCACATTTGCTGGGAGAACTTCTGATAAAATCAAAAAATGACCTCTCTTAAGTATCTCTCTAGTGAAATTTTCTTTTATTTTTGGTTTTGCAAATGTGATGAGAAAACTCTAGGAAAACTCGAAAAATGACTTCCTTAAAATACCTTCTCACACCGATTTTCTTTCAGTAAAGGTGCTACACTTAGAAACCCGAGCAAGTTTTCTGGTAGAAAAGTTGTTAATAGATAAAAGAAAGAAAAAAAAAAGCTGATATTGGGGATGGAAGCAGCCACTGTTGTAGGTGAAAAGTTGAGAAGATAGAATACATAAGGTTATTTCAGTTATATCTGTAAGCAACAATAAACCATTGTTTGACGAAAGACGATTCCGAGCACAATTCGGTAATACATAATTAAGTGCCGTAATTTTTTTAAAGTCGTTCGATGATTTTGGAAATTTTACCACGTCTAAGTAAGTTCAGTATAAATATTATTACCAAGTGTCAAGCCTTTACGTATATTTAAACCGAATTACAGCAAAAAACTTACAAAAATTAAAAGTCTTTAAAAGCTCAAAAGTGACTTAAAAGTTTTGACAATGATGCCGTAAGAAAGTAAATCAAAAAGGCAACAAAAAAGGAACCTTGTGATTTTCGATTAAATCATTTTTTCTGGTTGAAAACGTCGTCCGTGTTTTTATAAAATAATGAAATCGTGAAATTGTACGTTTTCCTACGTTTTTTCCTACTTAAGTGCTTTTGTTTAAAATATGGCGTCAAAGTTCAAAAAATGATCGCTTTGTAGTACAATCTAGACAATTTGAGCTTTCAGAGAAGATGTTACTTATATACTTCGGAATAGGTTTACTAAGAAAAAACGTGTCCACATGCTAGAACAATGAAAAAGAAGAAAAAATAAACAGCATTGTAAAACCATTATCTTCTTCGTTCCACTCAAAATCTAATATGTTTGTGAATTCTAACGGAAAATTACGGACAATTTGGTTTTTGTCATTTAATATTTGTTTTTTGTTGTGACGAATTTTTTTTTTTTTTTCTTGATTATTATGGTCAAATAACGAAACCTTACCGCGGTCGAATTTCATTTAAAATGCCGTTTAAAATACCTCCGGAGATGCGAATATTAATAATATTCATTCGATATTATGTTATGTACCGCGGTGAAAGTGATGTCACAACTGGTGTCACGTGTTATCGCGGCCGTTTTGACCCTGGCGCGCGTTATAAACACAATACTACAATCTATATAATCTATACAATCTATTACTATATGTACAGTGTACGCTAGCACGGAGAACATAGGTAGTTATGGTGTTATCAATTTAAACGCCCGCTTTCGTTAAAAAAAAAACGCGAACGGGTAACGTCTTTTTCCGAGAAAACTAAAAAAATCAAACGCGTTTCCCGTACACGCTTACGGGCAAGCTTACGGACAATACATGTTCGGTACTGCAGTTTGCTTTCTTCGTTGCAAATTGCATAATTCCACGTCGCGCCGACGCGAAAACTGGACCGAAACACACGACACGCGATAATGCACACATCGAGTTACGCAATATTTTATTTAATTACAACACGCACGCGTAGTATTATTTCCAAAGAACCCGACACCGTTGACACAGTTGTAGACTCTTTTGTACTTATAACGCCGCTGTTCGACTTTCGTCCGAGTGAACGCATGACCTACCGTATTTTACAATAGTAATTATTACAATAGTACTGTATTAAATGCACATTATAATACACAACAGCAGGGTCTTCCGAATTTCACGACTTTACGTTACAGTAACATTTTACGCGAAACGTCTATCTCACAAAATTACTCATTGTAAAAACTCTCCGGAATCATGTGTAAATTAATATATATTACGTTGTCCTTATTGTTTTCACCATTATTTTCGGAGGTGAAAGCGGTGATGTATTTAACTTGCACCAAAATTCAAATTGATTATTCTTTCGGTAGCATCTACGATATTAGAGTATAATGTATTGAGATATGAGAAGTTAAAGACATAGAATATTCCGTTTCGACTTTGAGTGATTATTTCACTTACCTATTTACCTGCACCGTTTTACGGTATGTCAGTGTTGACCTAAAACCTACCTTATAACAGAAATATATGACAGATGTATTATATAATATTATAATAATTGTATTATTTTAAGAAAAAATATAATTTAGTAACTTTGTGCTACAAATGAAAAGCCAGAAATTTGGCGGGTAGTCAGGAATTCCGAAAATAAAATGTATATATTTTATTATTTGTGAGAAAATTAAATAATACAAAAATGTATGAAAGTTCGAAAATATCAATCAAATAATGTTGTAAATTATTGTAACAATGTTTTATAAAACAATTATATATTAATAAATTGATTTTTTAGAAACAGAATATTATAAAGATAAACTTATCTTGAAGAGAACAATAATTTTTAGATTTTTAAAAATAGTAGTCAGCTAAAATTGTCTATTATACTACTGTGAGTTAATCGAATATAGGCACTTGACTATCGAATATTCAATAATCGAATGCATAGATACTCATTTTGGTGCAAATTACAAACACTATTTTCAACTACCTACGGTTGTGTAAATTACATACCCTTATTTTGGTGCAAATTACAAACTCCCGAGAGTGGAACCACTGTCCATATTCAAATAGCAACCTATATTAACAATTCCACAAATAGACGGAGTTTTATTTTAAATACATTTTTCAGTGGATAATAGAATGTCAGTTTAATGGAACCAAGAATTCCATTGTTGAGCTCCGAGTGCCGAAACTCTCAGATTTTTATTTTCTTATCTTTATCCGACTTTTCCTAGACCTATTGATTTTCCAACGTTTCTTTTTCTACTTAATTTTTAAGTGTTTCTCACTACACACAGTTTCTGTACGAAAAATTAGCTGATTTCTCTCTCTCTTTCTATTTCACTTGGTCCGTTTTATGTTTTTAAATTAAGTTTTTTACATCTGACATAGAATCACTCGGCTTGAATAAATATAATGTCGTTTACAGGGTAAATTTGGAAAAGCTAAACGGCGAAGCAACGGTCGTACTGCCAAATCTGTTCGTCAATTGCACGTATGACATTGATGGTCGTCTTATGGTCATCCCACTTCAGGGACAGGGCATGTACGTGGGAAACATAAGTAAGTAGCCTATAAATAGTAAATAAGAACTGTGAAGGATGGTGAACTACTGAACTTGTCAAAGAAGTATCTCGATTACAGTGAAAATTCCTACACCAATAATTACAATTAGTTTCTTTCATAAATATGGTGTTGTTTTTGTGGAAATAAGTCGATGAATATATAGGCCAAAGAAAGAGTGGCTAAGTGTTTCAGGGGTATATAATATGTATGCGGACGTGTAAAAGGATAATTAATGGTGATGGACAAAAATATACAGGCGAGAATAAGAATATAATATGTCTTGCGTGGAATAAAGGTAAAAAAGACAATGTGTTTAGAGTTTATATTCCAGCAAGTAAACGTTTATAGAATTTATACAAAATCTATGAATGATTAAATGACCGGATTTCGTTTTTTTATTACATATAATATTGGTGCCTATTTTTTTTTTTCTATTAAGTTACAGACCGTGCAAGTTTCTTTTTATAAAATTATTTACGTGGATTTCGGAATCACGCAACAACTATTACCCGACGGCTCTTACAGCTATTTCTGTACATATTTATAATATAAAATTGTATACGGAAGTATTAATAAAATGTTTATAGGTTACTTTATTATATTATTCAATCATTGATAATTTACTTTTACGCGCGTTACACTTATAGTTATTGTTATTGGTGTAGTCGACATTTGGCAACATAAAGGTACGTTTTCCCTACCGCGATCAAGAACGCGATCGAGGAACTAAGACCGCGGTCGCTGTGTCTTGGTTTATTCTAGACGATTCTACGTTACGATCCAGAGATTTATATAATTTTTATTTCATAATGAAATAAAAATATATTAAAATATAAATAATCTAACAGTCAGTCGTACTCAATACTTCGAAGTGCTAAGTCCAGGAGTCCACGCGTACTGCTCGCTTAAAAAAATGTATTAGTGTGGATGTATTAGATACAGAAATCTTGAAAATTCTTTTACTGGCAGAAGATGATGATGAGGTTTTGCTCTGGTATCTGTCAGAAGAAGAAAAAAAAGAGCACGATCCATTATTTACAAAGAGAAGTACCGAAGGTTGTCATGAAATACTTATCAAAGGCCATCTGAAAAATAATGAAATTGAGTTCATGGAATTGTTTAGAACGAACCGCGATCAGTACCTATCATATGATTACATATTATTTGGCATAACGCGGCTTATGCCGATGCGGACTTCCCACTGCTCAATTATAAAATTATAATTATAGATAGCAAGATTTAAATTTTAAATATCGGTTTATAATTCCATATTATTTATTATTTTCGAAACAACCAGTCGATCGCGGTGCGAACGGGACTGCTCGAGAAGCGGTCAGTGCAGTTCGGGTTACGTCAACCGCGATCGCGCAAGGAAACGTAAGTATATTTAATTGACATTATGTCAGCACTCACGCGATCGCGCAAGGGAAAACGCACCTTTACACGTGTTATAATATACCAGGGGTGGGCAAACCGCGGCTCGTGAGTCGCACGCGGCTCGCGTTACAGACTTTTGCACATCATATCGTAACATTTTTACAAAAAAAATTGTTTAATATGAATTTATGTATTTGAAAAAATATAATATTTTATTAAATTACAGTGTATAGGAAAAATTAGTAAAAATAATGGGGGTACTTGATATAATTTGTCATTATTGATTATTTTCTTATTTGTTGCGTGTTTATTTTGCTTGTAAGTTTTTTAAAATCAGGACTATATGTTGTTAACGCAGTCCTTAATAATTCCATTAAATAATTATCCGTTAATATTGATCGATGTTTAGATTTTCATGGTTGAGTATAAAGACTCGCAAGAATATGTTTTTCCGAAAATCGATATTAACTTTTAAGCGCAAAGAGTAATTTTTGGATATTTAATAACAGTCACATGTTTCCAAAATTCCAACAAAGAATGACAACTGTATTTGAACTGCTTCAGTCCTTCATCTTTCAATAATTCCAAGAGTTCAATTTCTAAAGCTGCTGTATCCATTGAAATCGATTTTAATATTGGACATCCATTTTCAATAACATTAATTACAAAGGGATTTTTTGAAATTCGCAATCGAAGGTTTAAGTAATTTCAAGTCTTTAAATCGATCTTCAAAGTGAGTTGATAAACATTCTAATTTTTTGTATATAATCTTCAAAATATTTTCTGAAGTCAAAATATGTACTCATAAGCAAAAAAATAAATAAAATAGAAAATTTTTTTAATAAATTCTACAGCAGACCCCTGCTGTAGAATTGGGCGGGAACTTTTTCATGTAAATGAGCCATTTTTTATAAACAAAATTACAAAACCATGATTTTCAAAGAGCCACAGGTATGTTATATACCATAAGGTAGTACAAAAATCGACTAATTTATTTTACTAAACAATTTCATTGTGATATTTAGGCATTAAAAACATAATAATACGTTTTAAATTTTAATACATTGTCCAAAGAGCCACGGATTGCATGTAAAGGAGCTGCACGTGGCATCGGAGCCACATGTTCCCGACCCCTGTTCTATAAGTTATGAAATGCAAACGTTTCTTACTCCCTTCTTATGGTTGTTAAAAATATGTTTTTGCATAAAAATATTAACTCTATACATAATTTATATTCTAAAACGCTTGTTTTATGATAACTCATAATTACAAAAGTATCATAAGACATAAATAATAAAATATAATTGGTATTGTAATACCGACTACTGAATTAATATAGTTTTCCTAAATTAAAGTGTAGACAATATTTACTAATGTAGGTATTATAAAATATATGCTCACATATTTATGCATTTTATAATACTTTTGAGTTTTTTTACAGGGGTTTGGACCATTCCCTCTCCCCCGAAATTTGTTCGAGGTTGGAATCGTTGGGTTTTCTTTTCAAAAGTAGATTAATGTGTTTATATTCTAAAGAAATAAATATTATGATTTTCTAACAAAAAATTCGGATCTCCAAATTTTTCCTCAAATATTGCCCTGCTTATAGTTTGGCGGAGTTAATCTGAAATCTAAATGATGAACGTTTAGATGATAATGCAGAATATACAATCAAATTTGAATACTGAATATTAATATAAAATCACGTATTGGTTACAGCTAACACGAAAGCCGACATCAAGGCTAGCGTCGAAGTCATGAAAGACAAGAAGAACCGCGACTATTTCCAAATTAAGGACGTCCGAATCAAGCTCAGGGTTGGGGATGCCGTAGGCAAAATAATCGCCCAAAATAACAACAGAAACAATGACGCTATAAGTATGTGTTTTATTTTCAGTATTGTTTTGTATTATTATACTAAAAAGAGATTAGGTTACAACTTTAATGTTCTATTATTTTTTATGCGTGCAAGTGACTACAGAGGACGCGTGGTTATTTTATGATTTATATAAACGATGACGAGTCTACATAATAAAAAATAATACAAGAATATATTATTTATTATAGGTATATTATTATTTTTTATTAGAAGAACATTGAATGCGTTTTCATGAACCTGATATAATAAAAGAAATTTCTAAGAGAAGGCTAATGTGGACGGGGCCATACATGATGCAAGCATTGATCTCTATAGTTAGACAGGCGATAAACCTTTTAGAGAAACCAAGGTTAAGATGGAAATATTACATAAAAAAGAACAATAAAATGATTTGATTGGAAATCAGTTGGATGGAAGCTACAGAGAATATAAAAATAGATGACAAGCTTTGTATTTAAAGGTGTAGTCTTAATGGCCGGAGTCAAAACAATTAGAAGAACTTATAGGAGAAAACGTGCTAAAATAGTTCCTTATTAGTGTTTGTACCTAAAACCGTAAACGTTTTAAATAAAAATCACAATCTGTTATTATTATTATTATAACTAATAATAGTAATAATTTTGCTACGTCAAAATATGAATAACGAGACTTACGCTCGTCGTTGGCCGGGTTTCGGAAGTATTAATTCGATCGGGTACCGGCGTACAGTGAGGCCAATGTTATCGAAAGCTGGAAAATATCACTTATAAAATTTAATTATCTTATCATATTATATGATATGTAATCACTAAAATAATTCATCCTGTATATGAAACCAGTTTTAAACACTCAATGTGGTATACATTAATTTAGTTATAGCTACAACAGTCGTAACACACGCAACATAAGTCCAAACTATACATATATACCAAGTCATATAACTAACTTTTGAAAGTTTTTTTTATAACTTCACGTGTTAAATGTTTATCGACTTTAAATTATCATTGAATCATTAGCAATAATTCAATAAAATTATGTTAATGTCATTTTTTTTTTCATTTTTTTATATAACCTATTGCTCAACATTTTAAACAACAGTGGTACTAAATTCCATAATTAGAATAATTACAAAATAGTAATAAAAAAGACTGACATACTTCACACATAGGTGCAGCCACTATTATAGATGAAAAGTTGGGAAGGTAGGATACAGAAGGGAATTTAATGTTTATCTGTAAGTAACGATAAATCATTGCTAACGAAAAAACGATTCTGAGCGGAGTTCAGTTGATAATATTACTTTGTTAACAATATAATATATGTCATATTATGAAAAAATAATCATATATGAATTATACATTTTCTTTATTAATATTTGTATAAAATATTGTACTGATTTTTCCGTTTTTCTCATATTTTTCCTGATTTTTCACAATTTCTGGGAAAACTCTTAAGAAAATCGAAAAATGACTTACCTAAAAAACCTCCCCAGTCAGATTTCTTTTTTAAAAAAAAATGCTACACTTAAAAATTGAAGCAAGATTTCTGGTATAAAAGTTGCGCACAGATAAAAACGAAATAAAACCATAAGATTTTTCGTTCTACAAAGAATCTAAAATTAAATTTTTACCTCATGTAGAAAAAAGAAGCATATGTTTTAAAATTCGAACCTTTCTAATTAGATATTGTTTTACGTTATTTTCTAATAATGATGTATAATTCAAGTTCACCTTCACTTCTGGGTCTTTTCTGGTTTCATTTACCTATTGCAAATTATAATAGTTAATGGAGTATTCATCTTAATGATAAAAATAATAATAAATAAAATATAGCAATAAAAAAATATCTCCATATTTGCCTCATTTTGTGTAAATAGCTTCTGAATAAGCACATCATATAACAATTTTATACGAACAGCAACAAAACGTCGAAAATTAGGTACAATATTAAACAAATATTATTAAAGAAAATATATTATGCATATGTAATTATTTAACTATAATAGGACATATATATTGTTGACAAAATAACACTATAAACTGAACTCCGCTCGGAATTGTTTTTTCATTGGTAATGGGTAATCGTCGCTTACAAATATACATTCAACTACCTATAACAGTGGTTGCATCCTTCTCCATTATCCTAAGTCCTAGAACAGACTTTTTTTTATTTTTGAAAAATATTTAACTAAAATAATACAGTCTTTTGTGTTTAGAAGTAGATCTTTAACTAAATCAAAATTAAAAATGATTATTATTTATTTTCGTAATGGGGTGGAGATTGAACCCCGAGCTTTACTTATAAATATGGTATAGGAGGGAAAGGGAAATGAGAATGTCATTTTAGATCATATTTTAATATTTTTTTTAGGGTTTGAAATATTCTCACAATGCTATTGATAGTTATAATAATTGTATTTATATCTATAATAATCTATCATTATAATTATGATCCCTCAAAATAATACTTTTTTAAATTCCTGTATTAGGTATAGTGCGATTATATTGGATATATAGTATTTAGTTGTAGGGTGTGTGGTCACTTTTTTGAAGAAAATTACCTCAATTACTACCATGGAGTATTCTTAAATACGCCATAGTTACCACGTGACAGATATAGGTACTTAAATATTTTATCGGATTCATCAAATCAAATCTCTTCATGCGTTTCTTTTCCTTACAGCTTTACTTTCAAAGCCTATGTAACAACGATATCATTATATATAATTATTACTATTGCTTAGGTCCTATAATACATATAAATATATACGTAGCCGTTATACGTATACGATTTTGTAATAGTTTTACTACGCAATATAAAATAAATTGTATAATAAGCCTAAAAGAAATATCTATAACATGATGTACTAAAACCGATTTCGTATATTTAATGTTTTAGCGGAAACTGCGTCGGTGTTCTACCACCAAAATCGCCGGGCAGTGTTGGATATCGTCACCCCGATCGCCGAAGAGATTGCTCACGAATTTGCTTTACAAATCGGCAATAACATACTGAAAACTATTCTCTATGACGAAATTCTGCCCAAAGAACTACCTTGATAACGCGGTGCTCGTCACCGTTCACCGCACTATCTCCTAGCTATATTTAAATTATACATTTAGGACTAACTTTTTTTTACGGGTTTATATACCCACTCATTTTATCATTTTCATGTTGTAATTTATATTAATGTAAGTATCTAAAATCACGATATTTATGTAATCCGATGTATTATAATCATATATGTCATCCTTAAGTGTACATAATTATACACGCTCACTCACTTATATATACATTGTCAACACACGCATAATCTATTATAATACCTATAATCTATATACTTACCTATTGTACATTATTTCATTTTTACTTTTTAAAGAAAGAACAATTCCAATTTTTTTGTTTGTCAAGTTGTACTGATTCGTAGGTACAGGAGACCGTTTAAAAAAACAAAACAACTACAGCATTTATAGCGCTCAGACTATGTTAATGTTTAAAAATTTAAGAACCACACAAAATATATACTTATACATATTATACAGAACATCATTTTGTATTATATTTACGTGTAGGAAAATTTCGTTTTTGTTTTCATATTTTACGGTTTAACGTTTTCCTGTTCAAAAACATTTCGATTTTTTTTCGTTTAGCATTTTCGTGTTCAAAAATGTTTTCATTTTTTCCGTATAACGTAAATTAGCGTATTAGTACATTATATAAAGCCAATTGATTTGTTTTTTTTTTTATACTGCAATTGATAGACGTTTTGTAAATTATATTATTATTTTAATTTTATTTTGGTTATTTTGTACAAAATATAAAATAAAATGGGACGAACAAAATACTGGTAAATGTTAACTGCGTGAATTTTCCGTGGTTTACACTAATATACTTGTATGGATCGTATTCAAATAATTTTCGCGTGAACTATTGACGCATATCATTATAAACGATGAATTAAAATTAATTAAAAGTTAAATTAAAATCAAGCGATTTTAGATTCTGGGTGGAGCGAAGAAGCTTATGATTTTACGAAGATGTTTATTAGTTTTTTTTTTTTTACCTGTGCGTATCTTTACTACCAGAAGATTTGCTCGGATTTCTACGTGTAGCACTTTTTCTGAAAGGAAAGGGCGTGAAGAGGTACCTTAGGAGGTCATTTTTCAATTTTCTCATCAAATGCGAAAAACCAAAAAAAAAAAAAACGGGAAAATATAAGAAACGTAGATATTAGTTAAAATATATTACAGTTTTCTTTTTTTCTGTGAACAACTTTTTTACCAGCAATTTCGCTCCAATTTTTAAAGATAACAATATTTCTAAAAGAAAATTTCACTAGGGAGGTACTTTAGAGACGTGATTTTCCGATTTACCTCAGAAGTTTTCCCAGCAAATGTGAAAAACGGAATAAAACATGGGGAAACAGGGAAAAACGTAGGGAAATTGGGAAAATCGGTACAACATGAAACAAATATTATTAAAGAAAGTATATAAAGCCTATTTAATTATTTTACTATAAAATGATACATAATAACATATATATTGTTGACAAAGCAATACTATCAACTGAACTCCGCTCAGAATCGTTTTTCGTTAGCAATGATTTACCGTTGCTTACAGATATACATTATTTTCCCGTCTGTATCTTACATTTCCAGCTTCCCATCTACAACAGTGGCTGTAACCACGTGCGAAATATGTCAATCTTTTTTAAAATTTTCAAATGGTTTGTTTTTTTTCTACATACTAATTTAGATAATACAAATCCCCATAATTAGTATAACTACTTTAAGTAGTTATAAAATTAACCATAAGCAAAGTCGGGGGCGCCAAAATCATAAATACGGTCCCGAGCAGCACCAAATAGGTTAATCTAATATTATAAATGTATATTATAGTAATAATTTAATAAGTATCTAATTCTAATAACACAAATATTATCACGCTTTGCTTATATTCTCGTTATTAATCACAAAATAATACATTGTTATTATCAATATAAAAACAATAATTAATAATAATGAATTGGATCATTTTGTTCAAGTCATGGATTCGTAGTAAATTGTTATCATATTAAATTTATTTCAGTCACGAGCTCTCGAATACGATTACCTATAAAATAATATAATGATTAGGTACCTAAAAAAATGTATTAATATTAGGTTATTTTGAAAAAATTCAACCCGCAGCTGCCCACCCTGCTCCCCACGTGGCTGGCTCCAGACACTCGGTTCGGGGGAGGGGGGCTGTCGTAAATTCCGAAAAACTGGAATAAAAACGACGATTCGTCATACAACACGATCCGTCCGTTTTTAGTTTTGGTAAAAATATCGACAATAATTTATTTCATGATTTCATTTTTTTTTAGACCCCCTAGTGCCGCCGGTGTCCGTACGTTATATGGCTTGGGTTAGACTACAATGCGATACATACCAGTCCCAAAACATACACAGTGGCCCCGTGTTTGAGTTAATCAATTTCTTTTAACGCACAGTTTCCCTTGAACGCGTTCTCATTGACGGCCTTGGCGGCTTAGCTGTTATGCGTTCTACACCTACTCAACAACGAGTAATGATATAACCAAAAAAACTAAAGGCGATAGAAAAATCTGGAACGATTCTAGTTTAGCTACCATGTGATTTTTTGGGTTTTTTTTTTCCAAAATATGTGTTTTTGCGTGCACATTAAGAATTTTTTAAAATAAAGTCGAATGAATTTCGTTTGGAGATTTGGGGGAAATCTTCATGCAGTTCGGGTTATCCGTTTCACGTATTTATTTATTATTAGTTATAATTGAACATTTTCAAAATTGTTTTTTTTCCAAAATGTGTAATTTTTAATGATATAATTTAAACGGTATAATCAAAATTTACCTATCATACTTATTACTTTTATAATTTTTGTACATAAATCTTAAAAAATAGCATTTTTCAAATCAATCTGAAATACGGTCAAAAATAGACATTTGTTTTGTTATTTTAATTTTTAGTTATTAATATTTTGATAGCAAAGTTTTTTTTTAATTAAGTCAGAATAAGTCTATTTGGTTTAGTTTTAGAGTTGCAAACGTTCAAACGCACCGTATTCCGCTGCGCTCACTCGGGCAATTTGTATCGAAAATAATCCTAGAGAGTGACCAAATCCTCCTGTAATGCTTTTCGCTTTTCCTCGTTATCTACCCAACGCGATTTTGCGCAGCAAATCGAGGGTTATTTTCGATTGGAATTAAATTGGGCCATTTTTGGTACAATGCGCTGAAAGGGGTTGTGTTATATTATTATACTATAGGAAAATTAAAAAAAATAATAATAAACGTTTTTACTACTATATTATATGTTATGATGATTTGTTTTTAAGGACTTAACGTTTTCGTCACACAAATATGTTTCGGGGGAAGGGTTCTCCGAGTCATAATAAAAATCAAAAGTAAACATTATGAATATGATGCATTGATGCCCGGCCATTTTCCCCGTGAATCGTGAACCGGTGTTCGCGCCATAGAGTAATTAGGTGGGCACTCTATGGTTTGCGCGGCGCACGTACGTTACTTATCACCAGCTGGTCGCCGGATTCTTATCAATGTTCGGCGGTGTGCGCGGCTAGTTTCCCGCGCAATACTTGTTTGCGTACAAAGACGATCATCAACCGTCAGGATACAGTGTTCCACGCCGTCTGTTTGTCTTAGCTGCGGTTGTTCGATTTGTTTCGATATTATTATTATTATTATTACGGTATCTGTTCAGCCCGAATTGTGTCATCGTCGTCCAAGCCAGACGGATAATGGCCAAAACGGGATACAGGGACTACGACGCCGACAAAGGTGAACACTTAAATAATAGCGTCGTATAAACAACATTGCTATGTCGATTTTCATGATAATAATTTGTCGATTCATTTCCAGCAAAACTTACCGATTTCTTGCAAAACTATCAGGCGCTCGATAAAGGCAATCAGAAACATGCCAAATACGCTGTACAATTGGCCAATCTCGCTCATCGCGAACAGGTACATACCCACTGAAAATTGTGATCATCTCCATCTCAATCAACCAAATAATGTTATACACTCCTGTATTTTCTACCTAAATGATCACGTGCATATCATCACTAATAGAGCCCTAAAAGTATTGGGTTTCATTAAACGGAACACCAAGATTTTTAGGTCCATTAACTGTCTCCAATATTTGTACTTTGCCCTTGTTCAACCTATTCTTGAGTTTGGTGTCGTTTGGCATCCTTATCTTGCCCAGAATCAGTGATACCTTGAATGTGTTCACCCTACATTTTTATCTTTCACTGCTTTTTGATTCAAATTGCCTCCTCTCCATTACTTAAATACATATCCCTTCATCGTCCATCCACCGTAATTATATCAACTACAAATTTATTAATTCAATTCTCTAGAATTCTTTATATGCACCTGACCTCTTTTATTTTGTTCAAAATTCAATCTCGCAACGTAAGAAATCATACTCCCTTTTACATTCTCACTCATTCCACTCGTTCAACTGTCACAACTATCCTATATATAGAATTCTTAGGTTGGTCTTGTCTACTTTCACATTATCATTTTTGTTTATTTTAATTTCTAGTGTTATACCTATATAATTTTATTACCATTGTTATCTTAAATAAAATAAAATAAAAATAATAATAATATTTATTATTTGCAGGTATCTTTATATATTGAGCTCGATGATTTGGATCATTTTGATAGCTCATTAGCCGATGCTGTGGCTGCAAACACTCGTAGATACTCTACCATGATAGGCGACATTGTCCAAGAAGTGTTGCCCAACTACAAAGATCACGAAGTAAATAAATCATTTCTAGGTTATTGTACCAATACTTTATTTTATTAAAGTTTATTTAACATTTATTAAAATATTTAATTAATTAATTGGTATCGGCTCATTATTTAAGCCTGAAAACAAAGATGCGCTAGATGTTTACATCGAACACAGGATATTGGCCCAGCAAAGACAAAGAATGAGACAAGCTGATGAAAACACTGCTCCTACTAATAGATATCCACCTGAATTAATGCGTAGATTGTAAGAGTACTTTGATTACTACTTATTGCATATTAAAATTGCCATTATTTTATTTCAGTGAAATATACTTTAAAGATCTAAGCACAAAAAAAGAACTACCCATACGAGATGTTAAAGCTAGTAGCATTGGTAAACTGATTTCTGTACGTGGTATTGTTATGAGAAGTACTGAAGTTAAGCCTATGATAGTAGTGGCTACATACTCATGTGATTTGTGTGGCGGAGAAACATATCAACCAGTCTGTATTTTTCAAATCTATTTTGTCTCAACACATATTTACGAGTATTATCTCTGTTATATTTTTTTTAGGTAAATTCTTTGTCATTCAAACCTTTAGAGTTTTGTCCAAGTTCAGAATGTTCAACAAATAAATCTGGTAGTCGTTTGTACTTGCAAACAAGAGGATCTAAATTTATAAAGTTTCAAGAACTTAAGATTCAAGAATTAGTAAGTTAATTTATAGTTACATTTTATTTTTTGTTTAAGATAAGTTATTTTTTTTTAGAGTGATCAAGTTCCAGTTGGTAACATTCCACGTTCACTAACTGTGTTATGCAGAGGTGAAAATACCCGTCGAGCTGTACCAGGGGATCACATTTCAGTGGCTGGTATATTTTTACCTTTACTTCGTACTGGATTCCGACAAATTCAACAAGGTCTATTATCAGATACTTTTCTTGAGGCTCATGTGAGTAATACATTTTGAATTGTGAAATATCATTATGTTAACAAATAAATAGTTTTTATTATTATTAAAAATGAGTATTTACTATTATGTTATACGCACGTAAAATTTAAAATGGAAACAATCTTTGTTATTAATTCTAGCATATTGAATGTTTAAATAAACTTAACGAAGAAAAACTAGGAGAAGGTGAACTAACTAAAGAAGAAGTGTTGGAATTGGCTGGTGATGATTTTTATACTAAATTAGCTGCAAGTTTAGCACCAGAAATATACGGCCACGAAGATGTTAAAAAAGCCTTACTTTTACTTTTAGTAGGAGGTGTGGACAGAGCTCCTCAAGGAATGAAAATTAGAGGTAGAGTTTAATTTCAATTGTACCTAATATTAAGAAATGTATAAATTGTTACTGATATATTTTTATTTTGTAAATTCTTGGTAGGAAGTATTAATATTTGTTTGATGGGAGATCCTGGTGTAGCAAAATCTCAACTACTTTCTTATATTGAACGTCTGGCTCGTCGGAGTCAATATACCACCGGTCGTGGTTCTTCAGGTGTAGGTCTCACTGCCGCTGTAATGAAAGATCCATTGACCAATGAAATGGTCCTAGAAGGTGGTGCACTAGTTTTGGCTGATCAAGGCGTATGTTGCATAGATGAATTTGATAAAATGGCTGAGTCAGATCGAACAGCCATTCATGAAGTGATGGAACAACAAACAATTTCAATTGCCAAAGTATAATATAGTTAAAATTTATTTTTAAAACAATTAGTGTGTAAAATAAATTGTAATATTCAAAGGCAGGAATAATGACACGTTTAAATGCCCGTGTAAGTATATTGGCTGCGGCTAATCCGGCTTACGGAAGATATGATCCAAAACGTTCAATTGAAGCCAATATTCAACTACCCGCAGCTTTGCTATCTCGTTTCGATTTGCTATGGTTAATCCAAGACAAACCTAATCGCCAAAATGATCTAAAGTAATGTTCTAACCATTATAATAGTTTCTCAACAACTACTATTAAAATTTACTTTTTATAATTAGGCTGGCACACCATATAACATATGTTCATAAGCACAGTCGTCAACCGCCATCTGAAATTCAAGTCTTGGACATGAGCTTGATGCGTCGTTACATAGATTTGTGTAAGAAGAAAACTCCCACTGTTCCCGAGGAACTTACAGAGTTTCTTGTCAACTCATATGTCGAATTGCGTAAAGATTCTCGTACCAACGGTGATACAACATTCACATCAGCCAGGAACCTTTTAGCTATACTAAGGATATCTACAGCTTTGGCTAAGCTGAGATTATCGGATTTAGTAGAACGCGAAGATGTAATAGAAGCTATGAGACTCCTGGAAATGTCGAAAATGTCATTGATGCAAGTTGACGAAAGAACTGGAAAGTAATAGCATGCAGCATCTAATTTTGATCGGCTATTTAATAAAGTATGTTACTAAAAAGTGTTTTGTTTTTTAGACCTCAAACTGTTTTGGATCGTGTATTCAATGTGATCAGAGAACTAGCTGGAGATGATCCAGTTGTTAAAATGTCTGATATTAGAAAATATTGTACAAGCAAAGGATACAATACATCACAAGTTGACGATTGCATTGAAGAATACGAAATGCTTAATGTGTGGCAAGTGAATCAAGCCAAAACTACAATTACTTTTATTTAAGACTTATTTTATTTTTAATTTTACATATTAAGATTTTTTCGAAACAATTTCTACAAAATAATCAATATTAATAATAATAAAATATGTATTAGATGAATAGGAATGCCAAACTTTTTTTTTATAATTCATAAACATTTTCTATGTTCAATATCAAATATAAATTGTTATTTTAATTTAATATTTACCTTGCTTTGATGTATATTTTCTAAACAAAAATAAAAGGAAATACTATACTTTTTAAACTATTTGAAAATACTATTAACTATGTTATGAAGAGCTGTAACTATGAGTAATATCAAAAAATAACCAATCTACTAAATAGAAAACTAGAAGCCAGAAAACTGTTTTTAAATTAATGTTTAGAGCCACAATTTATGGTAGAAAAGCTGATCTTAGACATAAAAAAGAAAAGAAAAGTGCATATCATAATATTAAAATTAAACATAATGATTACAAATTATATAAATTGTTCTTAAATTGATAATTAATTTATATACTTAATTTAATAATACCGTTCATTATATAACATTAAATCAATAATAATATGAATAGTACAATAATCTCACACCTTTATTGTTTGTAATATAAACTATTAATATTCAATAAAAACAATTGAGCAATATTCTAGATGAGTATACCATTATTGTAGATCTGAAGTTGGAAAGGTATGCTGCAATTGTTAAGATTTTCATTGAGGTCTAGTGTATAACACCTAATCTTTTGTGGTAACTGAAATTATACTAAGATTTTTTTTTGCCTAAATGATTTTAAAATTTCATCATATCTAGAAAAGGCTAGAATAACAATTCTAGAGAAATTGTTGGTTTTCCAGTATTTCTTAAATTATCTTTAAAATTATTAACTTCATTGAAAATCAAACTGTAATATCTCCAATAGATACAGAGTTCAAAAAAAAAAAACTTGCCATTTTTTGATTGGAGCAAAATTTTGGGTAGATTAAATGCTCACAGTCACATACACACGCACGGAAAAAAAAGCACATGTCACAGTAAAACCAACATTACATTCACAAACTAAAAATGCATAGATTTTTTATGTTGATGAAAAACAGATATTTGTACGTATTTATTTTACATAATTAATTAATTAAATGTATTTAATCAACGATAATATATGTTTAAAAATTAATTTTGTTATAATTATACCTATGTAAATAAAATGGTTTATTCATTCTTACCAATATATCTAAATATTTATTTCTCATTAAAGTATAATTTAAATGGACATTTATGTGTATTAAAAAAAATATACATGTATACATTAAACTGATAAATGCTTTAATTTTACAATGATTAAGTATACTTATAATTATTAATATATTCTATAATATTGTTGTGTTGCATAATATTTGACAATTTTTATGAATTTGTATTTTATCAAAACTGATTAATAACATTTATAATTTACCACAGAATTCCATGTTATCTATTTAAGTTAGTCATTCCAATACCATTTTAACAATTTTATGATACCTATGATATATTTTAATTTTTAATACGTAATACATTTAATCTACACAAAGGTCCAAGTGAAATAATATTGTAGGTAAGTACCTAGGTATGTTTAAATATTGAGAATATATGTAGTATCTTTCTGTTAAATACCAATAAACCTTATTGATTTAACAATACTTCTAATAATTTATTTTCTTTGTTTGCCTAAAGACAGACAAGGTATATGGTATATATAACATAAATTAATAATTTTGCTTCAAGAAATTCCATTTTTAATTAAATATAATGTTCAATTATTTTAATGTTAGGTTTAAAATATTAATTTCCTATCTTTGCTTCCTCTTTTTGCCTTACCTGTCTTTCTATCATACTCTTCCCTGGTTCCACCAAATCCCCATTTTTCAAAGTACCATTATCTCTTACTCCCGCCTCAGATTTGGGCATAACCATCTCCATGCTCACGCTTGTTACTTATCCCTTAATGAATTTTCTTTTTGTGATTTTCATGACTGTTCTTTTATCTGCAACTCCTCCCATCTCTTCTAAAACTACCCTGCCCTTAATAATATTGGTCTTCAACTTTCCTTTTTATGTACTGCTAATAATATTCCTTTTACTCCCATATTTTTCAATCTTCTAATGTCTCCTTCATCATAATTCATTTTTTCATTTCCAAAGGCTTTCTATTATAATACTTTATTGTTAGTTCTATAATTGGTTTTTTTTTTATGTGTAACCACTAAGGCATATATGCTTAGTAAACCTGTATAAAATAAAAACAAAAAAAAAAAATATATATATATATATATATATATAAATTCATAATTAAAAGCCTTGATGTATCAAACCAGATAACTTTTTGACAGCATAATTTGGAGAAAAAATTATAAAAGTAGATGAATCCGAAAAAATAAGTTTTTTTTATTGCTCCTGAAGTATTTTAAATCTGGTTTTTATCTGCTTGTTGATTCCAAGGCATTAATTGTATAATTATATTTTTATCATAGCCAATATTATATTGTTTTAACAGTTCTTATCCAAAACAAATTCAATTTTTAGATTCTGAGTTTAATAATTATTGCTTGTCTGCAGAAAAAAAGGTTTTATAGGTTGGTATAATTATTTTATTTAAGTACCTATTCTAATTATGGATTATTAATTTTATCTGTAAACAGGAATAACATAATAATACATATTTTTAAAAAAATTAACTATGTTAATAATATTAGAAAATTTGTGTAACTTTCTTTTATAAGTTAGATTCTAAGTTATAAGAGTTATTTACTGAAGTTTAATAATCTCACTCTTATTATTTAACATTATATCATACTTTAAAATACTAAGTACATAAAAATTATTAACTGATTTTACTATTTTGAATTTCTCACTGTTTGGTATCGGTTTGTACCTATTACTGCACTATAGCAAACTTATATTCTTGTGGTTATTGGTTATATTACTATTTAATATTTAACCATTGTATTTTTAAATGTTTAATATATTATTTTTACTAATTATTTGCAACAGAAAATAACTACTGAGAAGACTGTTGTCACTGTGATGCATTGTATTATATTCTTGAAAAAAATTATATGTTTGTTATAATAATTTTAACATAAATATTTATGTTGTAAATTTTAAGAAGATTAATGATTAATTTTGTAAATAATATTAAAAACTTACTGATGGTTTACCAAACTAAAAAAATTTTTATTTATTTTTTTCAATTGAGAAAAAAATATTAAATTAATTTTAGTTTATTAATATTGGTAGATATGTAGGTATTAGACACAGACAGATGGATAAACTTTAGTCTATTGTATTAGATTTGTGGACCACCAGTGTATAATTTCTGTTCAATTGTATGTACAAATAAAATTTAAATCATTTCACAAAAATATTTTATATTTCAATTAAGGAAATAACAAATAACTGCATTAAGAATATGAAAAAAAAACTTTTCATTAAAAGGTTTAACAATTAAAAACATATTGTTATTAAATTTTAGTCTTTTCAAATATTACACACCAGTTACCCTGATCATAATAGTAATCAACAATTTTACAATTTGGAATTTGTTCACATAAATATTTTAATTCAGTTTCTTCAAATACATGATAATATCTCAGATGCATTTGAGGTTCATGTTCCTGATTTTTCTTTTGATTTAATTTCCATGGAACCAATAAATCGTTATGTACAAAATTTGACCGATTAATGTGTACTGGGAGATTAATATCAATTGATTCCACACAAAATTCTTTAGTCATTTCACTTGCAGATTTTGGCTTTTGTTTATTAGTATTGTTCTGTTTCAAATAAGTGGATAGGTTTTGGTTTCTACATTGTTCTTTTGCCCACACGTATACTAGGGCTTGGCCTCCGACTGCTAGCACTCTATTAATTTCTGTTAGAGCTTTTAAACGCCGATCGTTTGTCGCCAAATGATGAAGAACAGCTATACTAATACACAAATCAACACATTGTGACCGCAGCGGTATTTGAAGGCAATCACAGTTGAATACTTGATGATTACGATCTCTACATATTTGCGCTAATTGTGTACTTCGGTCACATCCTATCTTAAAATTTATAATGTTTATATAGTATTATAGAATAATTCAATAGGTATTATTAAATATATTTACTTGATAAACATCAGTAGTATTTGTGAAATACTTTGCGTTTCCACAACCAACATCAAGGATAATTGAACCCGGTTTAGATTGTTCTAAAAATTTGAGTACATTTGGCCAAGGTTTTTGTCGCGTTTCACTAAAATGTGATGCTATGTTTTCATAAACCTTAAAATAAATTATCAAATATTAAAAAACAATCATGTAACAAAAATTCAATCTTAAGAATTTATTTAGTAAATTAATTAGTATATAGCAAGTATATGTGGGGGATCAAGTTAAGTGTAAATTTAAGACAAGAGGGGCCTTAACCAAATAATTGGGATGAAAGTAAAGGAGAAGAAAATAGTACATTATAGCAGTTGTCTTCAACCTTTTTGACTCGTCCCACTTTTTCTACCATACATTTTTCGCAACCCATGTCAACTTTGTTAGCTATGAATATCAAAAAAAAAGTTTAAATTACTTAATAGCTTAGTATGCTATTATAGAAATGCTTTTATTACTGAATAAATAAAAGTTAACTTTTTTTTAGGTAAAATTTAATTTTATTACATGTTATGATACAAAAAATACATATAACAAAATAAAGTTGTGACATAGTTAAAAACCTCTATTCACATAAATATGTCATTGGAAATATTAATAGAATTTGTTCATTCTTATCTTCTATTAATATGAAATATGATACGGTTTACTCATAAATTATTATATCTGACGTCATATAGCATACAATAGTGCAGTAACATAATACCATAAAGTGATACATAGCACATTACGTAAAATGTTTTTTCTTAATTGAATTAATGAGTATACACTTAATAAAACTGTGTATAACATTAATTTTTTTTAAACTTTGAACAAAATATTTATCACAGCCTAATCTTAAAGCTTACGCGACTGGTTGAAGGTCACTGCATTATAGTAAAATAATTAGTTTGGTTTTGCTATATTTTAACCACATTTAAATTTCTTTTATTAAACAACTAGGTCTTTGGCAGTTAATTCTATAGAGTTAGATACAGATAAAATCATTGAAAATTATAGAGCGAAATCAATAATCTATTTCGAGTAATTTAATAGTATATAATATTAATTATGGTAACTATTGTTTCAAAAAATCAGATAAAATCATCAGATTTAAGGTAAAATAAGAACTTTTAAAAAAGTTAAAAACACTATGGAAATTTATTTTTAAAAGGAAAGTTGAATATTAAGGCGCTAATTGTAGACAATTGTGCATTTTGAAAATACCTGTCTATTTAATAAAACAAAGTACCTAACTTATAAACTATCTTACAAATTTGTATAAATAAAATAATACATCTAATTAGTCTTGGCCAATTAATTTTAAAGTGTAATTGTACAAACATTATGAACATGTAGATATTCAAGTTTCGATGCATTTTTTTCGTTCAAAGACATGGCAATATTATTATTATATTGTTCGTATAATAATTATGTTTATGAAGAAAATTGATACCTATTATATTAATTATTATTTGATAAATTAATAATTATGCATAAAATACTAATAAAACAAAGAAAAGAAAAGATTACTAACACAGATTTTAAAACAACGATTTCACAGCATTCCCAGTAATAGGTAATACAATAAATAACAATACATTTTAGTTAAAATTATCAATATTTGGAAAAATGTAAGCGAAATAACGACAGGAAACTCAGAAAACCGAATTTTTTTTAATTTTAATGATAAAAAAATGCCCAATGAAAATTAAAACCATAGATAATAAATCATACCAACCCGTTTGTGGTGTTATATTTTTGTTGGCAATCTTCAATATTGTCCTACTATCACATATATTATTATTATGGCAAGGTGATTATCTATGACTACCACCATTCGCAAAAAAAAAGCACTGTTGACCAATGATGTCTTTTTTCACGTCTCAAATATGAAATAATTAACTTTTTAATTTTTATTATTAATAATATACTGTCGGGTGTCAGTTGTGTTCCACAATCACAAACTTTTTTTATCGTTATTTTTCACCCGTGATTTCAAACTCTCTGTGGAAAATAATTAATATCAATCAAACCTTTCAATTTTATACACAAAATTAATTATTTCAATTTAAAAATGCATAACAAGAAAATGTAACAATTTTGTATCCTACTGGTGAGATGTGCATTTCTACTTATATAGCATTGTCTATGTTTAATAATATGATTAAGATTTTTACATTTTGTTTTTGAAATTTGTTCAGCATTATTAGCAAAAGCTGTTAAAAAATTAATATAAAATAATTACATTAAGATTTCTGTAAGAAAACTAAATTCATTATTTATTTAATACAACGATTAACATGTAGATTAATCCCTAGATAATTGTTAGTTTTTGTTTTTTTAGTTAATTCAACATCAAATTAACAAGATAATAATATAAGTCAAGATGCCGTTAATTCAACTAGACGTAAAAATGTTACCAATGAAAGTGCATTACTTTTTGTTTTTGGGAGGTAAGTGATTATTATACCGTATTTTCATAATCTTTTAAATTACTTTATACCTGTATAATTTTTAATGATAACTTTTAGGTATTTACCTTAATTTCCTAATTTTTGGTTCGCATAAGTAACATAATATGTATAATACATAACCCAATATTTAATTATGTCACATACTCTAGTATATAGGTAAGTTATTTACCTAATTAGAAGGGGATCGTATTATTGAGTACCTATTCCACATTGAATTTATTTTAGGATGGTATCAAATTGTTTATTTAAGAACTCCTACTTTTATTTTTATATTTTTTTTGAGTATAAAATAAATATATTATGAAAACATTAGACGAGTTGGTTAAAAGGACATAAGTTATAAGTATTCAATTGTTATTTATAATAAAAAATCACATTTGATAAATTGTAGAGCTCAGAAGTACTTAATTTTTCTCTTGCCATTTTTAGTTTTACAATTTTTATACAGTTTTCATGTTTGAAGTAAAACTGGTTGAAAATAAACTATTTCTATCCAGACAGTTGTTAATCTTTTTAGTTTTGAATTCTTCTTTACTTAATTCATAAACTTTAATACATTTTATATATGTTTGTGAAAACAAAATATTTTATGAAAAACTATTCACATTTGTATACAAATTATACTTCTAAATTTGCAAATAATATAACTTGCATAGTTAAAAAAAAATATACATGTATTTTTTTATCAAGTAAATGTTATTAAGTATATCAAATAATTTTTTAAATTTCAATATCACTTAACTATCTTCTTACCACTTGATGGTTTAACCTTTAAGTATTTCAAACAAAATACATTTTTGTTTTTTATATTATACACTTGATTTTAAGTACTTTCGATTTAAAAAAAAGTATAGTTATTGAAATATTCAGGTACTTATAATCTGAAATTGTTTTTAAATGGTGAAAATGTATCATTGCTGAATTATGAAAAGTCAACAAAGGCATAGCATTATGCTTTTAGTTTCACAAATATTTAAACAATGTCAGATAAAAAAAAAAGAAATTCTTACCAATCATAATATATTTCACAATAATAAAAAATTATTAAACTAAACAAGTTGTGTTGAAATATTTATATCAGTTTTATTTTATTATTTTCTATAAACATGCATGGTGTGAAACAGAGTGGTCCTACCTTTTGTAGTTAGCGGGCCAATTTACACTTTCATAAAAACACCGAGGGTCACCACCACAAAAAAAAAAAAAAATGATATTATTTATTACAAACATATTTAATGCACAAATTATTACATTACAGACTAATACTAACATATAATTATGATGATTAGGTTATTTATATTTAGAATTGAAAAACAGCAATTGTGAATAATATTCATGCCATTCAGGAAAACTTGCAGTCGTTATTACTAGATAAGGCGATAAGACAGACTTCTGCGATCTTATACGTCATATTACAATTTTGTTATTGTATTATTGTGATTTTTTTAAATACAAGTCTTCTAGTGTGGGGAAGGGGGGAGCAAAAAAAGGCTTCATGGTTTGCACGTGGACCACGAACCACGGTTAGACCACCCTGGTGTACAATACATAAAATTAAAATGATTATTAGAATAATGATGCCACAATGGAACAATGTATAAAAAAAACAAATAAGCATACTTTGTACAATGAGTGGGCTATTGTTTTAGATGATAGGGTAGAAGGGAATGAAAAACGATGTGGAGTAAAGTTCAACGAGACATATTTTGAAGTGTCTTAATTTTTACGGTTCTGTCAAAATTTGATCTTAAAACGATAATGAAAGAAAAAAAACATTACCCTCAAATTTATCTTTTAGACCACTAACTTATAATGTACTTATAATTTTATTAACAGATACCTATCAAATATAAATACATTTAAAAACACACAAATATCAATTACTTATAATTAGTCTACAAAGTGGTAGAATGTTTAGGAAATATTACCACATTTACAAAAGGCCAATCTAAGTATTTTGTGAAAACTACAGGTACTACTACAACTACCATATTTTCCAAGTTTTTCATAATTATTAGGAAAACTATACGAAAAACCTAATAATTTTTTTACTTACAAACTAGATAAAATTCTTTTAGAAAATATGCCGTTGAAATTTAGATACAAAATTTCTGGTTGACAATTGTAATTTGAAAAAAAAATCATATTTTGGGTTTTCTCAACTATTATAAAAATTATTTTAGATCTCAAAAACGCTTTGTCCGGTGTTGGCTGAATATTAAATTGATTTTGTTATTTTTCTTTATTTTAATTGAAGCAATACTTCAGGTAGAAACTATGTTCAAAAAATTAAAAAACAATGAAATTGGTAACGCTAGTGTGTCGTAAATACTTGTAGTTTTTCCCAATTATTTTGAAAATTCTTTGGAATATTAATAAACGCCTTCTCTTAAGCATCAACTAGAGAAAATTTCCCTTCAGAATAGGTATTAAACTCTATACATCAGAAGTTGTTTACAGACAGAAAATAAGAAACTACACATAGTAAAACTAGTAAATCCCTTGTTACACTGTGAATCAAAACAGTAATAAATATAATTTTTTTTTTTAAGAATATATATATATATATACAACTGTATCATAATAGATATAAATGGCTAAGAGGTTAATTCACAATGTTTAAGTACCAAAGTCAAATGTTCAATGAACGAATAATAAGTAACAATATATGCATTCAAACAATTAAAACTCAGTAAATACCATCTGGTTGATTAATAATTATTCATAAAATCAAACTGTTTTAATTATTTGTCTGCTGATCACTGATTATATAATTTTAATTATAATACATTTTTTACATAAATAAAAAAGTTTTGTATGACAGGAATTTATTTTCTATTGATATAAATGAGGAAAAAACCAATAATTATTATGTAAAATACTTAAAACAATAGAGTATATTTGAAATTAATTCCAATACATTTTTCAGTATAATATGCTCTCGGTAAAAATAGAGTTATTCATCAACTAAAGGGCGAAAACTGCCATCTTTAGACCAAACATATCTTAAAATTATTTTGAATTGTGCCATTTCATGTCCAAAAAGTTTCTGAAAATAAAATAAAATAGTATCAATAATAATATGTAGGTATTTTATAATCAGTTAAAATTAATTTACAAGTAATCTAGATTGTTCGGGTGTGAGAATGGCTCCTTCTTTACATATTGTATGATCTTTTAGAACTTGAATGATACCGCGCTGTAAACTTGTTGGCAAACCAAGTTGTCTTAGTGCAGGTTCCATCGAATGAATAAACGTGTCTGGTAGAGGTCCTTCATTCAATGTTACTGTATAAGCGGCTTTGGTACCTGCCCTGGGAAATTCTGGTTCTGAATAATTATCAAACCACCTAAACATTGTTTATATTATATTATTAAATACTAAAAAGAAAATACTCAAAATACAATAAAAAAATATCTTACTTAATAACATCATCAACTGGTTTGTTTGTAAATAATAATCCACATTGGCCTTCAATTTTTGTAGCCAATTTATGCAAATTATTTTGAATTTCCTCTTGGGCTGATTTTCCAAGAGCATACGCCATCACTTTATTTTTACCAAAAAAAAATCTAAAAAAAATAAATATGCAATATTTAAAAATAATTTTACCTAGATATTGCATAAATACTAGACTATTGTTTATACATTTGGATCGAAAATTACCTACTATCCTTCCATTCATTTCGAACATTTTTTAATTTTCCATTTCTCATATTATCTGTATAGAAGACAAATATATGTTCATATTTATCGACAGCTTCACGAAGATTTTCCATTATAGATTGCTTTAATTTAGAACCCAATTTGGTTGTCTTGGTTAATGAAACTAAAATTTAAAATAGATTATTAATATATAATTTGACACAAATTGTACTGTTTGTAGAAGATAAATTGATTTAACACAAATTGATAGATAAATTGTTGATAGATTATTGAATTTGTATTTAGGCAATCAGGATAAATATATATTTTTTTGAATATTTAAATCATAATTTTCTCAAACTAGGTAGGCATTAGACTCTATCTCATAAATATAAATAAACTGTTTATAGGTAAATTGATGACTTTGATTTCTCCATTTTAAAAGAATTACTTACTTTTTTTATCTCTCTTTGATCTAGGCATGGTTCTGATTTACTTTCAAATACAGCTTAAGGAAAAATGAAACTCAAACACAGTTTCAAAATAAATATTTAAATATCTAGTTTTAAATTAAGCACTTCAATATATTGAATTATGAAAAGGTTTGTTATGGTTAAGTGATAACATAACCTTAAATTGTTATCCAAGTACATGTGGATGGAGTACGATAAACTATCGATGGCGATTGTTGAGTTATTTTTTAAAATTTTTAACAACTATTATCATTTTATCAATTCATTATCTATATTACCTCAGACCTATGGATAGAGCTATTGATTAAATATTTAAAGTATATTTAACTAATGGGAGTTGGGACAAATGCGCGTGCGTAAAATTGATATCACACGCAATTGATCGAATTCACGTAATTACGTGTGACGTACCTACCATCACTGCCTGGTGATATACGATTTATACGATAAATATGCGACGAGTACTGATACGGATGCGCAATGTACATCAGTCCCTTAGCACTCGTTAATAATGATGTCTTCAACTCGTAATACGCGTTAATCATGCAGTAGCTCTATCCATAGTATATGATCTAAGTATATTACTATCACAGTATCACGGCATCACGGTTCTATCTATAACCGTGATTATTATATTACTCTGACCAGTGACCATAGATGTAAAAAAAAAATTAACTCAACACTCAAGAGTCAACGTAGTTATATTATCTAAATATAACTACCATGTATTAGTTGTATGTTTGTATTTTTCTAACGTTTCTGTGATTTTGACACTGTTTAGATTCCAAGTGTAGCAAATAATGTAGTGGTTTTACAAAGATTTTTTATTGTGTACAAAAATTCTGCTAAAAATCTTGCTCCGATATATCAAAAACAGCAGTTTTTTTTCTGAAACGGAATTTTCCTGGAGTGTTACTTTAAGGAGTCATTTATTATTTTTCCAGGAGTTTTCCCAATAAATTGGAAAACCAGAAAATGTTCGAAAATAATGCTTTTATTATTTTCAATTTTAATTTTGTGAAAAATATTTGTAGACTTGCAATTTTAACTGAAACTTTATATTTTTATATTCTATACTTTAAACTTTATATTTTCAAAACATTTGTGCCATTTTTGAACTAATTATAAACATTTTAATTTGGCGAGTTTTTTTTTACGAAATAGGTATTTATTCGGTAGCACTCTATAAATACAATTGTTAGACCAAACAGAAATGCTTGAGGTTCATTATCAGTTGTACTTAGTAGTTAACAAGAAAAAGTTAAGTTTAATGTAATATTATATTTTTTTTTCAATAAAAATTTTAATATCGAATTTTGACGAAAATCGTAAATATTATGCCTTTTAAACATATATAACCAAACAACTCTTAGAATCGTTTTTCATTAATTAATCGTTGAGTACAGATATATATTAAATTCTCCTTTATATCCCACCTTCCCAACTTCTCACTTACAGAAGTTGCAACATTTTTAAAAGTGGTTTATTAACAAAAAATCCGATTTGATGACAATTTTAAATTCATTTTTTCTTAAATTTTTTTTTTAAATAGCCATTGTTTTACCTGTACAGTTTTTTGTAGTATGTTTAAAAACAATTTGAGTTGTAGCTTGTTAAATTCTTGATTATCTTGAAATTTAAAATAAAGTACCACAGAGATTGCATTCATCTTAATCAAACTTTATTATAATTAAATCAAAATGCTCTTACTTTGTAGATTTATAGGTTTTTATTATACCAATAATTTGTTTTCAAATTGTATTAACTAACATAAAAACACATTTTAAAAAATATTAATGATTAGATGTCGAGATCTTCATGGAAACATAAATAATAAATTTTGTAGTTTCTAAAATCCAATTTTTGCATCATTTTAATGTTTCTTTTAAATACTATCTTGTAGTTTTAATTAAAATCTATATTTTTAAGATTCTAACATATAACAATTCAAAAATTTTGTTAATAATAACTCCATGTTTTAACAATTAGTTAAATATTTAAATAGTGGTGTTATTTGATAGATTTTATCAAATAAATTATAATTTATTTTATTCATTGTTTTATTTGTTATTCATATCTGTATGTGAACTGTTTGAATGAAATTAAAATAAGATGTTAAATTTGTTATACCTATATAATACATTTTGGGATAATATGTATTTGGATTTAATAATTTTCACTATATATTTTTTTAGAATATTGATATTTCCTAAGTTTTTTCCATTATACTTGCATACTTATTTCATACATTGCTAATATTTGAATATTTTAATTAAATTCTGTATACTATTTTGCTAACATAACGTTTTAATAATTATCTACTTATAGTTATTTTTGATTTTATTTTCAGGTGTTGCCCCTATGACATCATTTTTACCAACCATAGCCAAACAGTTGGGCTATTCTGCAATGGTTGTGGGTGTTATTTTTGGTATTTTACCGATTTTAAGTTTAATAACTAAACCTATTGTTGGTGCGATTGTTGACCAATTTCGGGTTAAGAAAACAATATTTTTATCTTTCATATTATTAGCCAGTTTTACTGCATTTGCTCTATTGTTTGTTCCTGATATACCTTTGCAAAATACAATAGAATTAAACTGTCATGATGTAACATATTTAAACTTTTGTCCTAAAAACAACCAACCTTTGTCAAAATGTGAAGCTGATCGAGTTATGGCCAATTTGAATAAAGGTTTAATTGGATGTGAAGTAAATATTAATAATTCTATTTTAAATGTATCCATTGTAATTGATTGATTTTATTAATTTTAAATTATTATTTTTAGCTAAACTGTGATAACAGTGATAATTTTCGAAATGAGCTGTGCAAAAATTGGAAATTTAATGAGTATTGCCCTGTACCTAATACATCTAACAACATTGATTTTAGTGAACCAAACAATTTACAAAATGTGATTTCCAAGGGAAACAAGAAATACTATAATGATGATCATGTTTACTTATTTGCTGACATACTAATGAATCATACTGATCATGTAAATTAATACTATTATATGTTTTTTCTAAAGATATTTACTGTGCTATATTACATTTTATTAATACTCATTATTATGTATAGATTAGTAATTGTTTTTACTTCAGAATATCCTACGCTCGATTCTATTTTAATAGTTCTGAAACAATAAATCACACGCCAGTCTGCATGCAACCGATAAAATCACAATGCCAAATTCAATGCTCTAGTGAACTAATTACGGATTTAATGACATCTCTAACATATAATGGAAGTGTCTTAGAATTAAGTCAATTCTGGATATTTTTTCTACTTATCAGTTTGTTTTGGATTAGTCAAGCTGCTATTTATAGCCTTAGTGATTCTATTTGTTTTGATCAACTTGGTAAGAATTTTTTTAAATAATATTTTAATGGAATACAATAATGTATTTATTTAATAGGTAACAAGCCTAATCTTTATGGCAAACAAAGATGTTGGGGTGCTGTTGGATGGGGTGTTTTTTCTATATTTGCTGGATGGATAGTAGATATCTTTAGTTCCAGCGAAGTAAATAAAAATTATTTACCAATACACTATTTATGTTTAGTGACATTACTTTGCAACTTTTTCACTTCATCAAAACTTAAGGTAATTTTTTTCTTAATTTGAATTTTTAAATTTATATTTATATAAATTTCATTTAATAGATTCCTGAAACAAAAATATCAACAAATATTTGTAAAGATATTGGAAAACTGTTGTTGGAAGTTAAGGTAATAGGATTTCTTATTTGGGCAGTAATATTTGGTATTTGTACATCAATGATTTGGAATTTTCTTTTTTGGTAAGTTTACATACATATTAGGATGGACCAAAAAAAAAAAATGTTTATATTCAATTGCTTTGCTCAATTAGTATGTTGTTTCTGAGGGTATATAACAGTTTATAAGTATAGGTTTCACTCAATTCCAAAAGAAAAATAGTTGAGAAAAACTATGATGAAGTAATAACAATCAATACCAATAATATAAAAGTTGAGAAAAACTAAGAATAAGTACTAAAAATTAATGAACATGTACAATTACAACAATAAATAAATTTAAGACAATTTAGAAATAAACTGAGATTATTAATAATATTAAATTAATTAATTTTTAATTTGAAATATGTAAATTTAAATTTTGACAGATTCTTTTTTTGATAAAAAATTTTGTTGCATGTGGAACATTCATCCTATGCAACTTTACAACCTGCAACATGTTGTTTTTGTTTTTCTTCTTTATAGAGTTAAATTTTTGAGCCATGTCAACACCCCTCTCTGTAAAATTATTCACCACCACCCAACATTGAACAATCTCTCGAGCTTTGGTGAACTCAGAATTACCATTCCACATATTTGGATCTTCTTTGAATAATTCCAGTCGGATAATTTTTTTTTTGCAATCATTTACTTTTCCAGCTGAATGCGATCGGGGAAATCAACAGTATGACTATTTTTTATTTTATTTCCAAGTGAAATATGGGAATTGAAAAATGATAATCCTGATAACCATTCACTGAAATTCTATTACTGTCCTGAACATTTTTTAACGCCACTTCTCCTATTTTTTTTATTAATACTATTATATTGCATTAGTATTTATTATCATTATTATTTCTTTTAGCTCTAAGTGGGGTCCTGTAACACTGGACTGCACACTGTAGTTGCAAATTAATAAATTATTGTTTTTAATTTATCTCAATTTTTTTCTCAAGTTTATAAGTTATTTTTTTCGTTTTCAAATTTAGAAAAATTTGGCAAATACATATATAGCTCATTTAGTAAATTTTATGAGGAATGTGTTAAAAATAGTTTAAACCCCTACAAAAAATATTTTGGAGTTTTATTAAAGGTTGGTTTTTTAATAATTATTGAAAGTGTCGGTTTCCAACATTTAAGAATTTGTTAATAATTGTTCTTTTTATATAAAAAAAAAAAAATATAGATATATAAATCTATTCATGCTCTTTATTTTTTATAAAAACAAATTGTTGAAAAAATTATTGTTCAATACTTAAAATAATTAAAAACTAAAAAAACAACATTTTTTTCATATAAGGGCTGCTTTTCAACCTCTAAATATCATCCAAAAATTATGAAAAAATTTGAAAAATTGTTATATATCTTCAAAAATAACATACTATAACAACACATAGAAATCAAACAAAAAAAAAATTTTTTGGTTCACCCTAGTACTCATGTTTGAATTAAACCTTATTATAAATTGTTAGTAAAATAAAATAGTCCTAACCGGTTTTTAATATAATATATTTATATTGTATTTTAGGTATGTAGAAGATGTAGCTTCGATGTATGAATGCAGCACTCAAGGTTGGATTAAAACATTACAAGGCTTAATAATGGGCGTCCAGTGTTTTGGCGGTGAAGTGCCATTTTTTTTCTGGTCGGGTCCTATAATAAAACGTTTAGGTCACTTGAACTGTATGTCTCTTGTTCTGGGAGTTTTTGCTCTCAGATTTTTCGCCTACTCAATTTTAACAGAACCAATATGGGTACTCTTTATTGAGCTATCTAATGGAATTACTTTTGGGTTAGGGTACGCTGTACTCATGTCATATGCTAGTGTTATAGCGTTACCGGGAACTGAAAGTACTATGATAGGACTTGTTGGTGGAGTTTTCGAAGGTATTGGTAAGTAAATTCTGAGATAAATTATTTATTTAAATTGTATATAATGTACAGCAGTTATAATATGTTTAAGAAATTTTTGTTATAGGTGTATCTATGGGCAGTTTTCTAGGTGGATATTTATTCAAAGTATATCAAGGTGCTCAAACATTCAGACTATATGCATACGGTTCTGCATTAATGTGTACAATTCATTTATTGTATCAATATGTACTGAAATCTAATGGAAAGTTAAGCTTACCTAGTAAGTAGAATTGTAATATCAAAATTTAACTTAAAATTAGCTAGTTCTAATAGCAGAACCTTAAAAATATTTGAAAGTAGATCCCAATTCAGATGCTTTATTTTAAAAACTATAAACAACTGAAGCCTCTGTTAATTAAAATGGTGATGTTTGGTTTTAAAATGTTTAAAATAAAACACTGATTATAAATTGTAATTACAATCTTTATTTAGAGATAATTTTATTTGCCCTCAGATAACATAATACACATAGGTAACTCAAATAACTAATGAAAGATTTTTAAGCCATTAGACTGTAGTTCCAACTGAAAATAACTGGTTATAGAATCGAACTATTGGGTATTTCATATTTAGGTAAAATTGTGCAAATATAAATAACTATATTATAATAACAATAATTTTATTTACAGAAATTAATTTCAAAATTAAAAAAAATAAATTGACAGTGTATATGGTAATGTTGTAAGAAATAATCTATTAATATTAAATAATAAAACTAAATTGAACATTTAAATTATCATACTAATGAATTGTTATTACTAACTTAGAAACATAAATTAAACAATGAGAAAATAGTAATAATAAGTAATTATATCGTAATATGTAAAATTATATGAGTCTAAATGAAGCATATAAGTACATAAGTACTCTGTATTTCATTTAATAATACACACAAGTTAAAAATAAAAATACTAACTTGCTTTATTGAAGAATTTTTAATATATGGTTTATTTTCCTTGTATTTATAGGCTTTTAATTTTTAAATTATTATAACGCTAACAATTATTATAACACGTTCAATTATTTTTAAAACAATATAATATAATATTGTATATTACAATAATTTCACTCTGTTTATTTATACAATTATTATTAAATCGCATACAAACCATTGAATTTCACATAAAACAACAAAATTATCACGAGTTCAAACTTTGAAAGTCAATAATAAGAGTGCATTCAATTATTTTTACAGAATTATTGTATATTATTACTAATTAGTATATAATATGATTCAATAAGTACTCATTCTTAAATTTAATTATTTATATTATACAGTTTTTTATTTGATATCAATGATATTCAATATTCAATGCAAAAGTTTTCAATAATTGACTCGTGATGTTTCTGCGACCATTCACATAATACATATGTATATTACAATAATTGTAATATATTTTATTATTAGAAAACTTATAAAGTAAATTTTTATAAACATTTGTTTTTCCAGGTTTTGTAAGTGGCTCAACAGAATATGCAAGTCCAAATGAAGCTATTCACATGTTGAGTGATAATTAATTTACATCTCTCTCAACGTTCCTACTTTTTTGTTTTATCTCATAATTTAAACAAATTAAAGGGATGAAATACTTAATTTATATCAAAATGAACCTAATCTACTTTTATACAATATTATTATTGGGTTATTATAAACTTATTGGATTGGGTGAATATTGAATTTTTTTAAATTTAAGTATTGTTGTACAAATGTTGAAATATCATTATTGATAGTTAATTAATTCATTTATTTATTTAGATGTAAGAAAAAAAAGTATCTGGACAAAATATACTGAAGTAAAGTATCTGTGAAATATACAGCATTAATTCTGTTATTGTCTTCGTATTCCAAAGATATACTATGTATTTGCTTAAATTAATAAGGAATATATGTCTTTTATATTAACAGTTTGTAATGTATACAAATATGTTAAGCTATGTACATATTTATAAACAACATACATACATCATTTGATAACCGATGGAACATGTAAACTCCATTGGGTCTCTCCTTATATAGTGTTTTGTTGTATGAGTATTTTTTGCGTGCACTTTCCTTTATATATGAATCTGAAAAATATTTTTTTTTTGAAGTTATATTGTTTTCTTTTGTTTGAATATATTTTATTTAAATTATATAGGTATTGTAGTTTAAATTAAAAGTATTGATCTGACCTGTTAACTTATTGTTTATCGTTTATACATTTTGTCCAAATGCTTTTTATAATGTTTTAATATTTTTAATTTAAGTTTTTATAGGTAGGTAATTATTTTATTTTTGTCTAAACTATAAAATAACAAATTATTTTATACAAACATTTTTAATAATTTATAAGTCCACAATTAATTATAAACATTACAGATTTGTTTTTTATTCTATAAATTTGTATTAAAATTACGTTTGATAATGCAGAAATAGATAATGTGATTTGTAAATCAAGATCTTACTGAATAATGTTTATTCATTATCACAGTCTATGCAATTCTTGAACAAACTTCTTCTTATTACCTATTTCCCTATTGTCAGTATAAATTAATAACAATTTTACATTTTTAAGGGAAGTCTATCAAGTAAAGCTTTAATAAGAATAAAAAAAAATTAATTATATTTATAAAAAAATAAAACTCCTTATTAAATATATTTTATATTAGTTTCAGTATTTTTTTTATTTTACTACAATTTTTATAAAAATTATAATGGAAAATTTGAACTATTTAGAACAAAACTGAGCATTTTTTGTTACACTCAAAAGTATTATTCAGGACAAAAAAAAATAGTTAAAAATACCTCGCTCTAAAAACTAAAATTGTGCAACAAGAATATTTTAATAGTTTTTATATGTTGTAATTTGTTTATTGATATTATTTTAGTATCTATAGTATTATATTTACAAATACCAATTATTAATACATATTATTATAGTTATATTAATGTTTATTGTGTTATAATTAAAAATTGCCTATATTTAATTTAAATGTTATTCTACAGTTATTTTATTATTTTTTAACAACCTGTCAATTATTTAATAACAATACTACTTAAATTTTTTTAATCATTCAGTATTCACCCAAAAAGATTAATTATTAAGTTTAATTTATAGTTTTAATGTTCATGATTTGTTTGTATACTATTATTTTTTTCTATTTTGTAAAATGTAAATTGTTGTAGTTGTGGTTTAAAACGGTGCTATTGAAAATGTCTGTAATTCACTGGAATCATGGAATCATTAAATATTTACAGGGGTATTTAAAAGACAAACACAAAGTTAATTTGTATTTATTTATAATTTAATAATTACTTTTGATTGATTTAAGTAACCTATTAAAACTTAGGTGTTTGAGTATTTTTGGTGATATATTTTTGGTGATATAAAATGTAATTTGAACACACAATAATCAGTATAGAAACCTATATTTTATGTTTATGATACATTTTGTTCTTTAGTATTTAATGTTATTTTTGAATAATAATAAAAAAGTCTATGATGAAAGTTATGTTAGCAATTACTGTACTTTTGAAAGACATTTTGTAAATCCTAGTGAAATATAGATGATTTAGTGTTACAATTTAAAAAAATTACAGGGCCTCTCAAACTACTCCTACAATTTAATTGTTGAACATTTATATTATGTACCTGTTTAATTAAAAATAATTTTTAAATGAATATTCAAATATTTCACACACATTTTGTTGATTGTATAATAATTATATGAGTCAGTTAGAATTGATAATGGTGATAATTGATTATGAATTTAATGGTTCATGCAAAAAACAAAAATACTATTACTTTAATGCCTAATTCATACATGTTTCAAAATATAAATCAATCGAAAGATGAGGTTTTGTTAGATTCTGATTAAAATATATATTATAAAATAAATACATATTATTAATAAAGATGGACATATTTTGTACAAAGGGTGGATTACTATTGTAGGTGAGAAGTTTGGAAGGTAGGATATAGAGGGGAGTTTAATTTATATCTGTAAGCATAGTTAAACCATTGCTAATGAAAGACAATTTGGAACAAAGTTCCTTTGAATGTACATAAATTTACTCTTATTTTTGAGATGGATCATTAATTCGTACAAAATCAAAAATTACACAGTTTAATTCTAATAATAATAATAAAAATAAATTGTTTTTAATTTTTCCCCTTAAATATGAATTTATTGTGTTGTTCAAAAGTTGTGCACAATTTGGGATCGATTTTGTCAAACTGAACTTGTTTCCTCATATATTTTTTTATCAACAGTGATTATGTTAGCTCCTAATAACGTAGCAAACAACAATGACATTTTAAAAAATATTATAAAATTGACTATTGAATGGTTGTAAATTTGTAATTGTGAGTTTAACTAAAAACAGCTATACCCATAATGGAATGTTTGAAAAATAACTAGGTACCTATCAATCTAAATTTTAGAGGCCCAAGAAAATATGTTCAACTTGACGGAATGGTCCCGAATTTTGTACAACTCTTTAATAACACTATAAATTCATGTTTAACCGAAAAATAATAAATAATTATACATGAATTAGGTGCTTACCTTGTGATTATCTCATTATAGTGAAACTTTTAAACCAGATTTGGAATCTGCAGAAATTTCCATACGGATTTCACTTTCGAATTGCAAACCGATGGGGTTTTTTTTTTTTGTCTAGTTTCATATATACCATATAATATATATCTATTATAGGGATTTTTGAATTTATAATTTCAACGTATAATATGCCAGATAAACGGGCATACCTGATATTATATTATGTATGGGTATCTAATATTAATCAAATAATTTGTATCGGTTTATCTATCTACCAGCTATGTTAGATAGACTAGGTAGGTACGCGATACAGCTAGGAGGATGAAACCTACGTCACATATTAAAATATTTTAGTACATAAACAGTTATCAGTTACTTACTTATGTGAATTGTAGTACAATAATTTGATTAGACAATTATATAAACCGTGCAAATTTGAATAGATATTCAAATTCATATTGCTGGTAAGAACATTTCACGTGTCTACCTAGTTTTGTACCGGTTTTGTTACGTCGTCTACGGATCGGTGAAGTGCTTACTTATACAGTAAACTAATTACCTATTACAAAAGAAATATTTAAAAACTGAACGTTTTTGAAAGTGCCGTCGTCGGTGGTGATACACTATTTCATTGTACGAGTACGTAAAACAGTAAGTAGTTAATAAATAATAATATTCATGTGAAACTGTACAAAAAGTTTAGTTTATATTCAGGGGCGGCCAAACTTTTTTCAATAGTGATCTACTAAGAATGTATTTTCTCTTTGATAATCGACTTTCACATAAGAAAACAAATGTAATTGTAATGTAATGTAATAGGTTATTATTATTTACTCATAGGTATTAATAATAAACATAAATGTATAAATATTAAAACTAAAACGTATAGTTAAATAATGTTTATATCACACTTTTATTAAGACTAATTATTGTATAATATTATGAAATAAAATATTAACTTAAAATCTTTTTGACAAATTGACAACTTAATATTAATGAACTATTAATACCATACAATAATTATTGTCTAATTGTATAAAAATAAATTCTAACAAAAGGAGATCGACATTAAATTCGTCCGCGATCTACCGGTTGATCGCCATCGATCGATTGGTCGTCCCCGGTTTGTAGAAACATTTTTAAACGGTAAAGTAATAATATGTAGGTAACTCAGTATTTATTTATATAGGTAATTTAATTTCTATAAAGAATGCATGGCCTCGCTGAAGAACCTCGTATAAAGGCTCAAAATCATTACGATAATTCTTTTGAAAAAGAAAAAAAAAAACCGATACTGGAGACGGGTTCTGCAACTATAGTAGGTGGGTAGTAGGGACGGTGTTATATATATATATATATAAGATTATTTATTTATAACTGGAACCAATGATAAATTATTGATAATGAAAATTGATTTTGAAAGGTCGTAGTATTTACGGTTTTCGTTAAAAGCTGATTTTAAAACTATTATACACTTGGCGTCACAAAAATCGCACCTATTGCAAATTATTTTTCAAAGTAATTTTAACTACACTTAATCATATATAAGGGTACTGTTATGATATATCATTTGAAAGGTGATGAAATAAACTTGAAAAATAAATAAATGGTATGTGTTTTTGTTTATCAGTGTTTTAAAAAATAAGTTAATCGTGGAAGAGGAAAACAAATTGTATTGAGGATATACAGTTTTACAAACAGAAACAGACAATAGACTTCATATAAAAATAAAAAACTGTTACTAAATGTTATTTAAAATCTAGTGCTACTTCCTCTTGCCTTAATTACTGCTTCCATACGATCTTTCATAGAAGTTATGAGTCGTACGATGCGTTCTTGAGGAATGTTCACCCATTCCGCAACAACAGCATATTGAAGATCTTGGAGGGTTGTTGGGGCAGGATCATGTGACCGCACTCTTCGTTTTAATTCGTCCCAGAGGTGCTCAATTGGGTTTAGGTCTGGACTTCTCGCTGGCCAGTTCATAACAGGGATCCCAACCTCTTCCGTATAATTTTTTACAATTAATGCGGTGTGGGAACGAGCATTGTCGTGCATTAGTATAAACCCATCTCCAACAAAACCCGCATATGGTACCACATGCTCTTCTAAGATCTCTGTAATGTATCGATCAGAAGTTAGCGATCCTTGTCCTCGAGCGCCACCAGTTCGGGAAACGCACACAAGCTCGGTCTTGCTATCGATGGAAATGCCGCCCCAGAACATGCATGATCCACCTCCATACTCCACTGTCTCCTCGGTACAGGCTTGTGCAAACCGTTCGCCCTGCNATTGGTCAAGCGTCCAATTAAAATGTTCACGGGCAAAATGTAACTGTTCTTTGCGGTGCTGTGCAGTCAGTTTCGGACCGGTAGCAGGTCTGCGGGCCACAATTTTTTGTTCTCCTAACCTTCTCCTAACCGTAGAGGTGCTTACTGTTGTACTGCGAGCTGCGCGGAGTTGCTGTTGAAGCTCTACAGCATTGGAAAATCGATTGCGCAAAGACGTCGAGACAATAAAACGATCATCTCTGTCCGTTGTGCAGCGTTGTCGGCCTGATCCATGCCTCCGGATAAAGCCACCAGTCTCTTGATAACGTTGGAAAACTCGTCGAACGGCAAAACGGCTCAAGTTTAGTTGCCGTGCAACATCACATTGACGCATCCCTGATTCCATTAATGCTACCACTTGAGCGGCTTCGTTAGCAGTTGTATCCATTTAATACGTTATTTTTTGAAATAATATTGTTTAAAGAGTATTCACGTACGTCCTTTTCAATGTTTAGGAAGTGAATGACCTGCATTTGACACTTTAAACTGATTTTTCTATAGCCAAAGAATATAAGATAAGATAGGAGTATATTTATACATTTTCCTAATGCACCGTATACTCCGAATATGATTATTGTTTATGAAATGAAACTACTATCGGATAAGAGGTCATTAACTGTACTTTCAATTTATATCTTTATTGTTTGGATTAAATGTTTTGGTTCGGGGAAATGCCCGTTTGAAACTTAATTTTAAAGATGTGCGATTTTTGTGACGCCAAGTGTATGTAAAAAAAAAAAGAATACTGCATTAAACTAACTTTTTTTTAATGAACCTCCTATCAGATTTTCAAGCATTTCAGTTTAGTCTAATAATTTATCTATAGAGTACCTACTAAATAAAAATTATGTAAAAACTCACAAAATTAAAATGTCTATAAAATACCGATTTACAAGTGTGGTATTTTTTCTGAAAGGAAATCTGACTGGATGGTACTTTAGGGAGGTGATTTTCCCAGGAGTTTTCACAATAAATGGAAAAACGGAAAAAAAAACATAGAGAACCGGGAGAACGAGGAAATAGGTGCGCACAAAAAAAAAAAAAAATATTATTAAAGAAAATGTTATTAAATATAACGAAAAAACCATTCTGAGTGAAGTTCAGTTGATAGTGATGCTCTGTCAACAATATATGTGTCATATGTATGGTAAAATAATTAAATAGGCATTATATATATATATATATATTCCTTATTAATATTGTACCGATTTTATCATTTTCCCTACGTTTTTCCCCGGTGTTTTGTCATTTGTTGAGAAAACTCATGGGAAAACCAAATATTGATCCTTCTAAAGTACCCTCCCAGTTAGATTTTCATTCAGAAAAAAGTGCTATCATTGTAAATCAGTGTAATCTTTCTGGTAGAAAAAGTGTTTACATTAAAAATAAAATAAAAATATGATGTTTTAAATTATGTATGCGATTTCATGTTTGAAATAGGAATAATACTTAAAATTGTTGTTTTACAAATCATTAAGTTTCACAACAATTTTATAATACTCTAAGTCGCGCTTTTATGTTCTATACTATTATATTCTTTTGTATAATATATATGTATGATTTTAATGAATATGCGTTTGCCAAATAAGCTTAATTAAGCAAAACATTTAGTACAGTTTTGTAAGATCTCAATTGGTCATGCCATACCACGGTAACGACGGATTACTGTAAGGTTTGACATCATGACATACGATGAATAAATTATGCCCAAATCTTAATACAATCAATGTTTACCGAAATATTTAAATAATTTCTATAAACAGATTATCTGTTTGTTAAGTTTCTTAAAACTAAAACTAAATTTAGTAATAAAGTGTTTCTTCAAAAGTTAACGTAATAGTCGTTTGTTTTAAATTTATCATGGTGTAAAATATTGTCCGTGATTCAAATTAGTCCTCTATACAAATATTACAATCGCATATTATTCAAATTATAGTTTCCACCTACCAATGATTTTTACAAATCACTCGAAATTAAAATTAGTTTTGAATACAAATATTAATCATGTGTGGGTAAATTTAGTCCTTCTAAATATTTATTAAATAATAATTAGTAGGCATATAGTTAATAATATTATTTGAAATATTAAAAATTATACTTTAGGATATAAGTAAAAAAGTAATAATTTGCAGTTATTTGCTCTCCTTAGCGAATTACTTGATTTGGGTCCATGCTCATAATTATATTTATTATTTTAAAACGTTTTATACGTTCTATTCTTTTTGCAGATAACGGAAAAAAAATTACTTTTTTTTTATCATGTATTCAAATTGAAAGGGTAGGTTACATAGGAATTATTTAATTTATATCTGTATGCATCGATAAATCATTGCTAATAAAAACAATTATGAGCAAAGTTTGGTTAAACATGTTTTGATAAACTTAAATTCAAAATTATATTAGTTCGTATCTACAGAATAAATTACAATTTTCCGCGTTTTTTGTCTCGAACAATTTTATTGAGTCTTATTTTTTAAAATCTAAAACGCTTATACAAAAAAAATAAATAAAAACATGACTACAATCAAGGAACAAAAAAAAAAAAAAAGGAAAAAAGTTTTGATTTTTTTTTTGTAGTTCCGTAGGGATCATGTATAAATAGTCTAAGTATATTTGGACCTTTATACACCGTTTATTGTACCTTGTACTATAATATTATGCACTTGGTAATCACTAATTAGTTGCATATTAATGATTATTATTTGTATAATAATATTTTGTTTCATTATGATATCTGGGTATCATATCACGATCAAATTATCTATAATTTATTATTATATGGAAAAGTAATTTTAGAAATTAATTTGGGCGAATATTAACATTATGTTTTTGTTTAAGTAGGTACCTACTAATAAGGACAAGAGGTGGGAAAGTGAAAATTCATTCAAAAATGAATCTTAATATTATATCAAATATAAACAAACAAACGCATGTTGCGAATGAAGTTGCATTTTTTCATTTATCTGGGTGGTAAGTAAATAATAATATACTTAATTCTTATAGTAGATTGTATTATTTCTTGTTAAAAATGTTATCATACATTTTTGTAAATGCTTATTGTTTAATAACTATTTCATAAAAAGTACCTAAAATTAAATATTTATATTTTATATTATAGAAGCGAACATTTTTTTCCTTTTCACTTCACTTCATCTATCGATTTTGTACACATCAGAAAAAAAAAATTTTTTTTTATATAATAATAAAGTACTATATACAATATTTTTAATATTTTAATGTTACGTAAATAGATATTTTATTCACTTGTTGTTTTTACTTTGTTTAGGTATATCACCCATTATAGCATTTTCGCCAACATTAGCTAAACAATTGGGTTATTCACCAAAAGAAGTCGGTTTACTTTATACATACTTATCTATTTTAGCCTTTTTGGTTAAACCGATTTTTGGGTTTATCGTTGATCAATTTCCCGTTAAAAGGATTGCATTTCTATCATTTATTATGATCAGTGGGGTATCAGTATTCGGTCTACAATTTGTAGAGAAGTTACCAACAGAAGCTGTATCAATTTTAAGTTGCAGTGATTCAACAACGATATTGAACGTTTGTTCAAAAACCGAGAGTTTGAGGTTAGCTACGTGTAATGAACGTCTGTCTAAACGATTAAACAACGTTTTCGAATCTGTTACATGCCAAGTACGTTATTAATTTAGTAAAAATATGTACATACCTATAATTGCATTGCAGTACAAAATAATCGCCGAGCTTGTTATTGTACGAAAGATTATATTTGAAATTACATTTTAAATTTCTAAAAATCAAGCAACGAATTTATTATATTTAATTTATACCTAATATAGGTTATTTTATTGTGACTCTTGTGAGCAATGGACTTGCATGCGTGTAACTGATGCATGCGAGTTCCATCACCGACGAAAAAAAAAACATATAAATTGATAAGACTCTATATTGTTCTATTAGTTATCGTGCCAAGAAAATGAACAGTTTTGGGATGAGATTTGCACATTTTGGAATATCTCTGCAGATTATTGTAAAACTTCGAATCGTACAATTAAAAACAAAGAACTCGACTATCTCATTGTTTCTTTATTTACAAACACGACATATCAGGTAAAAATGTATTAAAATGTTTCGTTTATAAGCCTTAATTTTGTACGTAATATTATTATTATAATCTGGTGTAAGTTAAAAAACCAGTAAAAAAAAAATATGTTTTACTAGTTTATCATATTAAATAAAATAGGTCCTAAATTATGAAATTTTTAAGAAAACTGAACATATATTTAATTTATTTTATTATATTTATGGATGAACATAAATTTGTATTATCTTTGATAAATAATAAGTATGTGTATCAAATATTTATAACGATTCCTTTTTAGTTATTTGTAAAAATATAATAATTCTTATTACGTCATTATCCACTTTTAGGGCCGTCAAGAGGACATTGATTTTAAAGTTAAATCAGTAAACATCAGGGAAAAACAAATTGGGCTGCCTGTTTGTAACATACCATTGAGTACTAGATGTAAGATAAATTGCTCTAATGATGTTATCATGAGATTAGGAACTGTTACTGAGTATAATGAAAGTATTTTTCGCTTAAGACAATTTTGGGGATATTTTATTATTATGAGTATATTTTGGATTAGTCAAGCTGTCACTTGGAGTATACAAGATTCAATATGCCTTGATCTTTTAGGTAGGTAATTAAATGTTACATTTATGATACTATACAGTAAATTAGGAAGGCATTTAATATATACCTACATGGTATGTGTACATGTGTATATATACACAAGGTGATCAGAATTTCATGTTATAACAATTTTCTCCTACTAATATATAAAACGGAGACAAATGTATCTAAAGTATCTAAAATAATTTGCATACTCCAATTTTAGGTTTAGGTATGGGGAGAGTAGTGAACCACTTTGTACATGTGTGGTGGCACGGTATGACGCGACGTGCGGCATTTGAATAGTGTTCCATTACTTTACCCCTACCAAACTAAAAACAATTTACATATTAGCTAAAACCATCTACAATGGCCTAATAATCTACATACAGGCTACAACCTCCAATCGGCGACAATAATAAAAAATAACAGGCATTCATAACAATTCGTATTTTTAAATGAATAATATACATTGTATATTAATATGAGAATTCAAAAAAAAAAAATTGAAATCAACTTGTTTAAATATAAAATTAACTTAAGTTAACTAAAAGTTAATTCTTTTGTATTCTTTAAGTTAAAAATTAAGTTAATATAGTTCAAAAATAATTAATTTAGTAAGTTAAAATGTTAAATTAACTTAACTTTAATGTATTAACTAGTTAATTCCCAGCCTTGTATATTACTATTAGCTATTAACTTTAATATGAAAGTATACTTTTGAAATCATTACATTATAATGTAGGTGACCGAGAATGTTTCATCTAAGAGTGAAATTTCAGACGTTTTGAAATTATTAACAAACCTAAAAGTTATAATCTAATGTACATCTTTAGTTTGGAATTATATGTTTTGGTAAGATTAAATTAAATAATATGTGCATGATATTTATTTAACTTTAAACTGATATGGTTTGTATTTTATAGGTACATGGAGGATTTGACTTTGAAGTACCACGTTGACAAACACTCTTGGATAAAAACCTTACAGGGAGCAGCCTTGTTTATTCAATGTCTCGGCGACGAAATGCCGTTTTTTTTTTCCGGTTGGATTATAATAGGTTATTCGTATTCTATGTGCTTATGGTTATTTGGTTTTTATGTCAGATTTTATTTATGCTCGATTATAACCAATCCCGTATGGATATTGCCAATTGACTTGATTAACGGCATTACGTTTGGTTTATTTCACTACGTTATGGTGGGATATGCGAAAATTATTGCTCCTCCAAACGCTGTTACTACGGTAGTAGGATTTACAGGATCACTATTCAAAGGTGTCGGTATGTATAATATTTGTACGATTACATTATTTGATCCGAATTTTTGAATACTTTTATATTACCTTAGCAAATATAATAGCAATGTTAAAGTGTATATATAATGTACTATGCTCTAGCTAATCTCCCATAGCTTTGCTTGTGACAAAAGAAATGTCCGTGGACATAATACACTACTTTTACTACGTGAAAACTAAATTAAATAATAATAACAGTAATTTAATCCATGCCACCAACCCTAAAATAAATAAAACAAATTAAATTTTCCAATAGTTATAGGATCAAAAATTAAATGTCAAACACTCTTTAGAGGTTAAATTTCCAAACAAATTGTCTCCTTTGTTAGGTTTATGTAGAACTTCTGTACAAAATTTAAATTTTCTAGGTTCCAGTTATAACGTTTGAGTTGTTCGATATTAGCCACACTGTCATATTGTTATTATATATTATTATTAAGATATTCAGAGTCGTGGTAGCAGTGCAGAGCTAAATAAAAAAAAAAAGAGCTTGCGCGTCGATCGCAGTATATTTTACGAGATAGCCAACTCCTATATAAACTGTGTTATTTTACGGCAAATGGTCCGGCCTCTCTGTAGCCTAAACTAATGGATTGTTTGTTTTGAAATATTTATTCAGGTTGGTCAGTATGTTATGTAGATGATACATTTGTAAATTTAAAGTTGATCGGATGATTGCAGCCTGAGTAATATGAAAAAGTGTTAGCATAGTCTTTACTCGAAACACTTTTTTTTCAACAATTCATCAATATATATGTTGTACTCGTTGTTATCACGTGTTTGCGACGATGACCGTTTGTGGCGATTATAAACTAATTTTGTTTATTTTATCGCTGTATTACTATAGTATCGTTTTACAGAAAAATTCATTCTTCATAAACTATATTCATAGCTATACATCATATATTTCCACCCGATTCCTGACTCCCAGCATGGTTTTTATTTAGGCAAGTCTACTGTTATTAGTAGCATTGCCTTTTCTACTTACATTCTAAACTCCTCTGAGTATGGCAGTTAGGTAGACTCTAGCTTTACTGACTTCGAAAAAGCTTTTGAAGCTTTAGAAGAAATACCTAACTGTGATTACACTAGGGCTATTTGATGATGCCATATTATTATAAATAATACCTACATTATTGTATTACTATATAGTACGTATACTGTTGTATTAATGATTAATCATAATCATTTTTAAGTATTATTACTTAAAAATTTATTTTTGTTTAGGTGTCTAACAATGATCATATTGATTTTTCAGGTTTATCTCTTGGAGGTTTATTGGGTGGATATACGTATGAAATATACGGAGGATCGTGGACATATGAAATATTTTCGTAGGGTCCTTTACAATTTGCATCATACATTTGTTAATCATTAAGATTATTAAATTAGAATAGTAAAAATTACAGTATATTTGTAACTCTTTTAATACCTATTATAATCAATTTAATAATTTGGAAACAATTATAAAAAAAGTACTTCTTTTTTAACCATTTTAATAAAATGTTGATGCTATTGGGGGTATTTTGTTTATAGGATATTATTAGTTTGGAATATTTTTAATGGGGTTATTGTTTTGCGTAGGATATATTTTGTATCGGGGATATTTTTAACAGGGAATATTTTGAGAGTAGACCTTTGATCGGTTTCCTATTATTTTTTTATTGGAGTAATATTTTTTGTAGACAACTTAAGCCGTACAAATTTAAGTTACCAAAATTGTTGTGCCGTACTTTGAAAAAAAGTCCTATATTTCGGCTTTCTTGGTTTTTCGCAATTATTATGAAAAATTCTTTAGTTATCAAAAAACGACTTTCTCTGTCACTGGCTATGTATTAAAAGGAGCAAAATTAATCTCTAGCCTAATCTTTCGATTAGAGTAATATTTCTGTTTGAAAAAATAAGTTGCTAAAATAAAAACAATGGAATCGGTAATGCCATTCAAATCGGTTTACCTATAATTTTCTTTCGGAGCTTTCCCAATTATTTCAAAAACCCTTTGGAAAATCAAAAAATTACTTCTTCAATCCACCATCTAGAGAAAATTATTTTCCTTTCAGAAAAGGTACTGCACTGTCTACACTATATACATTGTAGCATGATTTCTGGTAGAAAAGTTGTTTACAGACAGAAAAAACTACACATAGTAAAACCACTAGATTCTTTGTTTCGCTCCGAATCTAAAAGAATACTTTTAATATTAAAAATTAATTAATATTATTAAGTGATAATTATTTGTTTTTATAATATTATTATATTCAAACTTCACTGTTTAAAGAAAACGCACACAAGTAGCTTATTTGTCTATACAATGCGCCGTTATAGATAAGTTGCCAGGATTTTTCTATGATTTGGTTGGGAGAGAGACATAAAAAACGTCAGAACATTGCCGGCGTTTTATACACTATTATAACACCCTTCACGTTTATGATATACTGTATAGGCCTCATGTACAGGAAATTGTGAAAATTATGTGTATATATACTAATTTCATTTATGTTTGTGCGCAATGATAGTAAATCATTGCTAATGAAAAACGATTCTGAATGAAGTTCGATTAATCATGTTTTTTTATACTGAATGAGCTGAAAACTGTATTATTTTGTAGCTAATTATAAAATAGATTACTTAAAATTGTTCATGATCCCATGGCTCCCGTGTCTCTAAACACTAGACATGTCGTTGGCGGCTGGTGTTGTCATAAATCCAAATTGATGTAATATAATAATAATATATAAGGTCGGAGATACGTTGGGATAGAAAATATTTTCTATTATAAACTTATTTTAGCGTATCTATTTCCAGTTTTTCATAATGTGCATAAATTTAGTGCAGTATAATAAAAATCAATGGAGTGTTGTATAATTCAAAATTTTCCGACTTGAAATTCAAAATGTACTGACAAAAAATGTTTTTGCTCAGTTGATTGTCCTTTGATAAGTAATTAATTTGGCGATAATCATAAAACGATAATTATCTAATAAAATATTTAAAAAAAATTATTAGTAATGTTCAATTTAAAATTAATTTTTTGTTGAATAGTACACTCAGTAGTTTAAATTTCTCAGTTTTTTTGGTGGGGGAGTTTACCTCTCCATGAACTGGTCTCCGGTCCTGAATAGATATGATAATTATACACAGATATTAAGACAACTAAATTTTAAAGTTACACTTTTTTAGATTCTGAGTGGAGCGAAGAAGCTTATGGTTTTACAAAGATGTTTATTTTATTTTTTTTGATTTTCTCATGATTTTACCCAATAAATGGGAAAAACCGAGAAAAAATATCAGAAAACCGTAGAAAAAAAGGAAAAATAGGTACAATATTAAACAAATATTATTAAACAAAATATATAATGTATACGTATATTTTACCATACATGACATATATATTATTGTAACTGACTGATAAGTTTAGTTAATATCATTTATCGATATTTTCTAAATGGGTTATCGATTTTTCATAAGTAAACTTTATATTACTGTTCACCGAGAACAAAATAACTGGACTAAACTTTCAGTCGAGTTTTGTTTCATGTGTATGTGTATGCAATCTTAATACTTAATTATTATTTATTAATAATTGATTAAGCCAATATGCGCAAAAAATTTAAACGGAATTTTATAAAGCTACAATAAGCAATTACATTCATTTACATAGATAAATGAAAATACAATTTTGTAAAATTCTATAATATTGTGCCAAGTTTTATAAAACACAGCATATTAATATAATGCTGACTTTTTGAGGTTAAATAGTCTGTTGTCTGTCGTTGATTTACTGTCCAAAGGTTAGATTACTTTTACACCAAGAAATAAATAAAACGAGCTTGATTTATTTTAATATTGAACTTAGAAATTTGTTAAAAGCGAAAGTTATTATTATCTTGTAATATAACGAGTAACGACCAACCTTTTCGATTTTTATTTACTTAATGTAATAAGTTATTGCAATAGTTATTTTGTTCATGAGTTCCGAAGATATTATAGCCTTTTGAATATATTCAATTGTAGCTCTGGAGTGTGGATGGTTTATAGGATCTTAATATTAAAAATATTAGAAATTGTTTTTTATGTTTAAAGTTTGTGCCCTTTCTATCTCTAGACAAATATTTAGGAACTCCATACGATAGTATTAAATCCATAAGAAAAAAATGTATTGTGGCTGCCCCGTAAGCATTTACAATCGCTTTTTCAAAAGCCATTTTTACCACTATATAAGTCACCACATTAAGATGTTTTCTCCCTTTAGAAGTGGGGAATGGTCTTAAATAATCAAATGTTAATCTTTATAACATTTTCACTGATGTTAAAAATATTGGTTGTAATAATCCGTGGCTTTTGCCTGTTGAATTTTTGGGGAGTTTGGTTTATAGTGTTGCTTTGTCAACAATATATTATATGTTATACTAGTTGTCCCGTGCCCGGCGTTGCCCGTGCCAATTTTTATTATTATTATTTTACCCATATTCATTTTTGGTTTTGGAATGTGTACCGTATTACCGTGTACCGTATTATAGCTAATTGCTTGTATTACGGTTCAAATCAGCCCCTTTGCGTTTTGTTGGCATTGAAATATGTGCAAAACACACGTACATAGGTTAGGTTAGGTTAGCAAAATTAGCCAAATCGGCCCAGCCGTTCTCAATTGTTATTGGCACGGAAACCAATAATAAAAAATAACCACATAGAGTGTATATTATCTCTCCATGGGAAAATAATAATTGTTGAATATCGTGTGTGCTAGTATACTTTGACTTAAGAGGCCATAACTCCGGAACCACTTATCGCAGAGCATACAAACTTAGATAGTAGCCGATTCTCAGACCTACTGAATATGCATATAAAATTTCATGAGAATCGATCAAGCCGTCTCGGAGGAGTATGGGAACGAAAATTGTGACACGATAATTTTATATATAAGATTATGATAAAATAATTACATACGCATTACCTAGCGTAGCATAAGACCGGTTTCGAATTAAATAATAATATCTAGCGGTCCGGATAACCCGACATCGGTCCAACGTATAAGTCATTGTCCTAAGTGTATAAACGTATTAAGTCCTTAAACTTGTATATTTGATAAAAAAAAATACCACTACGACTGGACGCGTCTTGCGTATGTTTATTCATACCGCTTGGGCCGAATTCGGATAGGGTTTGTAAATACGCGTCCCGGGGACTTGACCGCTGCCCGATTATAACTTTGTAGCAGTCTGCTTGTTTGATTTTCGAAAACGGAATGTGTGCTCGTATATCCGCGTTCGGTATTCGGCCGAGGTCGTTGCCCCGGTATTGGAACTCGGAGCGATTTTTTTGAACGTAATTTCCGAGGTGGTTTGTTCGTTTTCTTTTTGATGATCACAACGAGTGTGTCCGTGTGTCGCGTACGTCGTGTACGTCTTCTGCCGTTAGTACGTGTGCGTGTCCCGGCGGCTTTTGCAATTTGCAGCTGTCCACGTTCGATTGGGTGTGCAATTCATGACGTTACGTAACGTACTTATGTATTTTTAACAGTGTTATTCGTCTTCTTTCTGTAATTATTGTCACGAAATTCTTGTCGCCCACAGCGATTTACACTTCGGTTAATTTATAGTAGCGAAAGATCGTTTCGCGTGAATTCACGTGAATCATTTATTTTGTGTTGAATATTTATGTTTCTTCGTTTGTAATATTAATAGAGACCGCTTATACGACGTTACACTTCACCCGGTTATTATTTTATTTAGTATAGGTTTCGGTCACCTTTCCTGTGGTCCAGACAATTTGCATAGGTTTTAAGCGCTTGGAAAAAGTATTTTTTGAGTATTTTGAGTATTTTATTTATTTTTATTTTATTTTATTTATTTAAAGTATTTTGAAAAGTTAAGTATATCTTCTCAAAATATCTATCCAAGACGAGAGTTTTACGTGTTTCAATGACAAGAATAAGTTTTAGTTTCATAACGATTCCATTTCAAACCGTTTAACTCTAACGTATTTATTGTCTGGCAATTTTTTTTTTTTATATACTTTTTATTAATTACATCACTATAATATTTTTTGTTTACTTTTAAAAGTTTATTGATTTTGTTTGTAGTTTGGTATTTATTTAATATTTTTGCGTTTATTTATGTTATACTTAAATTCTTTGTCATTTATTTATATTAACTAAGTCCATTACATTCGTTATCTCCTTTATTATACATTGGACAATTCAGTTGACAGTATTAGATATAGTGTTTAAAATAATCGTTGTGATTTAATATAATTTTAGAGTCCCATATGTTTCAAAAATTGTCCATGTAAAAAAAATTATTCTGAAATTTATCATTTCCGAAATCGTGACAGTCTTGTCGAGAATTGATCACTCGGCATAGCAAAACGACGCGACACCCGGAAAAACTAACATCTATACCATTTTCGGATCAGACACATTTTGTGATTGATCGACTGCAGTCGGTGATTGTTTTCCTCTAGCCGGATGAGTATTATACGATTCTTGTAAAAGTCATAATTTAAATAAACCGCGTTTAATTTTAAAAATACTGAACGCGTGTGAATTTCGTGTCCGACGATAAAATCATCAGTGTTTACTATTTCTCTTTGTGTTACGACGGCGCACAGCGGGAGGAATACGAGTTCTAGCTGGCCAAAATGTATATAATCAAAAAATGAATAACATTAACCTTTCAGCAGGCGCGTATGCACTTTTTGTACGCCAATTTATTATTGATTTATTGACATAAATTTCATCTACGTGCCCCGATTAATACTGAGGTTTTTCCTATTTCACAATGATGTATTTGTTATTAATAATTAATAAGTGTTATCTGTTCTTTTTAAAAGTTAATATATTAAATATAGAATGTGGATAAATATTGCAGTGGTCCTTTTAGTTGTAGTAGTTTTTCTACACCTAATGTGGTTAAATTTTCTGTCATTTGAGTATCAACCATAAATGCGAGAGCCTCATCTTCTGTGTATGGAGTTAGACGGGACTTAGAATTTTTGTACATTTTTTAAATTTTAATTGCACGTTTAGGAGAAAACTCGGATACTTATGAAACAACATAGGCTGCAGCACGCTTTTCTTCTACGTATTATGTAGATTTTGCAGCGTAAACAAATTCATCTGACGTAGTCGTCTCTCTTAAATGTTTAACGTACCAACATTTAGAGCGGTCACTTTGGTCAGCGAAAACTTTGGGTGGCCTACCGGAACTTATAGATGGTTGGGTAGATACATTATAGTTTATTACGAAAGGAATATTAAAATGTAATTGTAGCCAGAATTTATTTATTTGTTTAAACTTTCTTAGATATTAGTTCAACTCCTTCCATTTTTTATACGCAGTATTACAAAATCAATCAATTTTATTCGATAAACCTTTTTTTAAATTCTTCACTATCAAAATTACATTTATAACCAAGTTTATTTTTTAAATTATCTATCAATAAACTTTGCATTTCACTCGAATATGCACTAAATCCTTTCTCCAAATATATATCAAACAAACAACTATCTTTTATATTTTGTTTATTGATATTTTTGCCCGAAAAAACATAAATAATTTAATTTAGGGGGTTCAGGGGGTAAAAACTACTACATACGTTTATATAAAGATATAAATCAAACCTCTTAGAGGCTCTAAAAATATTTTCTGCTTTATTTAGGATAAATTTAATACGTAAATAACTTTATTGTTTAAAGCCTAAATCATGTATGTATTTTAATCGTATCTTCTAAATCCAACATCGGCTCGTTCATTTTAATAATTTTTAAAAATAGTTTTCTTAAATGATTGGAAAAAGCTTAAAACGACGCGTTGCAATGTACAAACATAAATGATATACCATGCAGAATTGCTTAATACCTTAATGATGTTAAACAGAGCTAATCGCTGTGCCACACTAATAGACCTAATAAATATGATCGATAGTGCTATAGGTACTTGGCGATAGTAAATCACCAAGTACATGTGTTTAAATATTCATATCAATTAAAGATTACAACGATGGTTTAATTATATACATTTTAGCCAGCTAGAATTCGTATTCCTCGCACTGTGTGGCGCGGCGGTGTGCAGAAAAAAATCGTAAACTTGGCGTGTCCACCAGGCGAGTCCACCATTAGTAATATTACACTAAACACCTTTATGAGTAACTATGTAATTATAAAATAATTATTTTATTGGTTCGATTGCAGTAATCGTAAAATACCGAAATCGTGATACTAAATAACTGTCCATTGGTGTACGCTTATATATTAAATTTTTAAATTATAGATAAGTGCATATTTTAATTTTTGCATAACATACTTAGTTCAACGAGAATGTGCGCAAAATACCGACAGAAACCGGCGGACCTTGAAAATCTCTGATCAATTGTCGTTTCTAGAAAAACAACTGATTACCTAATCGGGCAGGCTGCAGTGAAACAATTTTAAATTCCCAGTAGTTACAAAAGAAACGCTTGTTTTAAGATCGGTATTAATTTTTTTTTTTTTTATTATTATAATAGTTTATTGAAAATAAGGATCAAATCAGGGAAAATATAAACTCATCCAAAAATGCATTTTAAACTGAACATAAATGAACACATGTTGCGAATGAAATTACATTTTTTCCTTTATCTGGGTGGTAAGTATATATCTTAAATTATTTGTTTTTATCATGGAATATGTTATCATGAAATTTAATAAACGTCTAGGGATTGTTCAGTGAAAAGTATCTAAAATCATTTATAACGATTATTTTGCAACCATTTCATGAAACGGATATTGTTTTATACACTTACCTGGACAACTTTTAAAGAAATTGATTTCAAATGTTTTTTTTCAAATGCAATTTTTTTTACGATATGGAACTAATTTATTGGTCGTTTATAATTTAACGTTGCGTATATATTATTAATTTATTTTATTTTTCTTTTTTGAATTTTTTTCTAGGTGTTTCAACCTTTATAGGATTTTCGCCAACAATAGCGAAACAATTGGGTTATTCGCCAGAAGTAGTCGGTTTCCTCTACACATACTTATCTATTTTATCCTTTTTAGTCAAACCAATTTTTGGATTTATCGTTGACCAATTTCCTATAAGAAGGATTGTATTTCTAACCGTTATTATGCTTAGTGGCTTGTCAATATTTTCTATGCAATTTATTGAGAAGTTACCAACAGAAACAGCAGCAATTTTAAACTGCAGTAATTTAACAACAGTATTAACCGTTTGCTCAAATACCAAAGGTTTGAGATTGGCTCCGTGTGATGACCGCCTGTCGAAACGATTATCAAACGTTTCCGAACCTGTTACATGCCAAGTACGTTTTTAATTTAGTAAAAATATGTAGAGCAGTTAATATGGGTATTCCGAATAAACTATTCTGAATACTGTACATAGAATACTTCATAAGTAGGTGTAACAAATATTAAAAAAAAAAATTTAGGAAGTATTAATTATTGTATTACCTACTAATAGTTTTAAAGGTTTTTATTCATTAAAAAAAATACCTTTTATTACTCTCATTTTTGTATTTAATGTATATTTTTTAAAGAACTATTAATTATTTTCGGTTAATAGAAATAATCCGATTTTTTCACATATTCCTCTAAAAATTTAGGAATTTGTACCCGATGGTAGAAAATATTTGTTATAATTCTTTACAGTTCACTCCCCTTTAGTCTTTACCCTTTATTTTTGGCTTCTTTCTCAGAGAGCAATTATTTTCAATTAGTTCATAACTACAACAGTAGTACAGCATATCAATTTTTTTTTTATAGATGATTTAATTTCTAAAATACTCCTAATACTTTAAAGTTTAAGTATTTTAAAGTCGTGGAATTGTGATTTTGAATAGTGCGGGTGAGCCCAATCGCAGATGAAAAATTGAAAAATAAATACAATTTTAAGTTTCTAAATTGTCCTATTAGTTATCATGTCAAGAAAATAAGCAGTTTTGGGATGAATCGTGTACATCTTGGAACATTACTGCAGATTATTGTGCAACACCAAACGATACGATTAAATCAAAAGAACTCTACTATCTCAATATATCTTTATCTATAAACACAACATATCAGGTAAAATATATTGAAATGTTTTGTTTATAAATCTTAATTATACAATTTTCTAATCAAAATCTGGTTTAAATTATAGATTAGAAAAAAAAACATTTTCTCCTAGTTTAACATAGTAAAGAAGATAGGTCATAAATTATGAAATGTTTAAAAAATGTAATGTTTATTTATTTTATTTATGGTTAAGAATAATTTTTTATTATAAATCTTAACGAATAATAATGAATATGCGCCAAATAAAATGTTAAACGTTATTGTTTTAGTTCCCTATATAAGTACAATTATTTCTTATTACGCCTTTATCCACTTTTAGGGTCAACAAAATGATATTAATTTTGAAGTTGAATCAATAAACATCAAGAAAACAGAAGTTTCGCCGTCTTATTGTAATAATCCAGTGAGTACTCGATGCAAGATAAATTGCTCTAAAGATGTAATAATGAGGTTAGCAACTGTCACTGAGTATAATAAAAGTATTTTTGGCTTAAGACAATTTTGGGAATATCTCATTGTTATGAGTGTATTTTGGATTAGCCAAGCTATCACTTGGAGTTTACAAGACCCAATTTGCCTTGATCTTTTAGGTGGGTAATTGTATACTGTATAATAAATGTATACCGTGTGTTCACGATAGGGTGTATCACTTAATATTTCAGCTGGATGACTTTGGAAGTAGAATTTTATATTTTAAAAAATTTTCGTAAAATGTTGAAATTTAATATTTACAAAAAATCTCTTTCTAACGAAATTTTAGGGATCATAATAACTTTAAAATTTAGACGTTCTCGATAGTTATTTTTTTTTAATCTGTACACAAGTTAAATTTTATTGTACTGTAATTTTGCTAATTTTGTAATTAAGAAAAACTTTTTATTTAAACATTTTATAAAACAAATTACTACCCAAGTTTGTATATAAAAACTGAAATTTATATTTTAAAATATATAAAAAAAAATTTTATTTGATCATTTGAAATATTAAGTGGTTCCTATTACATAAAGTATACAATTAAAATTATATATGATTTTTTTAACTTTGCAAACAACTTGTGTCTATTTTATTCTGATAAAATAAACATAAATATACCTAAGTATAATACAGAAGTTATTAATTATTATTGAAATATATTGTCATTTGGTAAAGGTGATAAGGCCAATGATTTCGGAAAGCAAAGGTGTTGGGGTTCTGTCAGTTGGGGATTATTCGCAGTATTCGGCGGTGTACTTGTTGATTATTTGAGTGATAGTGATTATTCCAAAAACTATGTTCCAGTTTTCTATCTATGTCTAATCGTCATACTATGCGATTTTATATTAGCTTACAAAATAAAAGTAAGTTTGTAATGGTTATAGATATATTCATAAATACGAGTATATTTTGCTATGTACTGCAGATACTCGGATAATATATTAATATTAACTAGCAACTTATTAAATATTAAATTATATTTTTGAAATTGTTTCATAATAATGTAGGTCACCGAGAATGTTTCGTCTAAGAATAAAATTTCAGACATATTTAAATTATTAACAAATCTAAATGTTATAGTATATGTTGTTTGGATTTTAGCAATGGGTATATGTACATCTTTAGTTTGGAATTATCTATTTTGGTAAGTTTAAATTAAATATGTGAATTGACATATAAATGGCCATATTATATTCATGATATTTGATATTTATTTAACTATAAACTGATATTGTTTGTATTTTATAGGTATATGGAGGATATAAATTCGAAGTTCCATGGTGACAAACACTCTTGGATAAAAACTTTAGAGGGTGCAGCCTTGTTTATTCAATGTCTCGGTGGCGAAGTACCATTCTTTTTTTTTTCCGGTTGGCTCATCAAACGAATAGGTTGTTCGTATTGTATGTGCTTAGGACTGTTTGGTTTTGCCGCCAGATTTTACTTGTTCTCGATAATAACTGATCCCGTCTGGATATTACCAGTTGAATTGTTTGACGGCATTACGTTTGGTCTGTTTCACGCCGTTATGGTGGCGTACGCCAGAATTATTGCACCTCAAAACGCTGTTACTACGGTAGTGGGATTTGCTGGATCAATATTTGAAGGTGTTGGTGTGTATCACAGTTGTATATTATTTTATCCAAACTTTTGGTTGAAATCACTATCATAGCAAATAGTAACAATGTTGATATATATAAATATATTTATAAATATAATATACATGCCAAGGTAACAAATGAAAAATAATTTAAAATGGGGCTAAAAATGTGTGGTTTTTTATTTTTATTATAATTTATAGTATAATATAATAATAAATAATTTGAATCGCCGAAATCCTCTTTCAAGTGGTATGGCTTTGATACTAGCTATAATAATGCCGTATAGCTTTGTTTGTGAAAAACTAAAATCCGTTGTCCTTATATAAGATACGCTTTTTTTTATAGTATGACAAACAAATTAAAATATAATAGTTATAGTTTTTTTCTACTCATTTCACCAGAAAAATAAAAAATCGATTACCAACTATAGGATCGAGAATGAAATATCAACTTTAGGGGTTGAAATTCCAAAATTCTCTTATTAATGCTTGTCCTACATCTCTGTTGAAAATTGCATTTTTTTCGTTTCGATAATTTAGACTGTTTGACAGTCATATGTCATGTTTTTATATATTGTAATATGTATTTTATAGATATACTTGTAAGAACTCTAAAAATGTATTTTTATTTAAGTATCTAACTGTTATCATATTGCTTTTTCAGGTTTATCTCTTGGAGGTTTATTGGGTGGATATACTTACGAAAGATACGGAGGGTCGTGGACATTTGAGTTATTTGCATACGGTGCATTAATAATGGGCGTTATTCATTTGATAATTATAAAGATAATGAAATTATAATAGAAAAAACAGTAAATAAAAAATGTAATATATTTATTAATAATCTTTCAATATTGTAATCAATTAAATTCAAAATTATTGAACACATTTTAAAATTCTTTGTTCGCCTGTCATACAAATACGTCGTGCAGTATTTTTGTGCATTATCGTACCGATAAGTTGTACTTTGAACATTCTAATATTATTCACAATACATAAATTAATTATACCTGTACTCTTACAATAATTATGTATACAAAATACAATAACTACATATATTAATGTTATGAAACGACAATTGGCTATTAATAAATCTTTAAACGAGATCAAGACTAGTCAAAATAAATAAATTTCGGCACCAAAGATGAATCTATTGAATCTCTCTCTAAACGATTCAATGATATCTTCGAAAAATTCAATAAATTATCAACTTTAATTAAGATAATTAAACAAGTAAAGTTATACTGAACTGGAAAAAAATTTTGCTTGTTGGAAAGGATAATTCTTCCAATTCTCATACCTCCCAAATAAATATTTTTAATAAAATTAACTACTTTTAATCCAGAACGCAAACATTTTATTTTATTTAATCTTCCAGAATTATTAAATTAATTAGGAATCTTCCCAGAAGGCTCAAAAGGAAATGGTGTCGAGACCTCCTCACTGTTTGATCTAAAATAAAGCAATAAATAAAGAAAAAAAAATCATCAAGTTAGGGTAGTATTACCACTGGGTGACTCCTCTCATCAATTCATTCATGTTTTTATTTTTTTTCATTTACCACTTCATGTTTTTATTTTTTTTCATTTACCACATATTCTTATTGTTCCTCAAGGAACAGATTGTATATTTCGTATATAAAATAAAAAAAAAATCTTTCAGAAAACGACAGCATTTTATAGAACATTAAAACGGTTAACGATCACTTAAATTCAATTTTCCATCAATAAATAAATGTGAAATTTATTAGATCTTACTGTCTTCATAAGCAATCCTACCATACCTAAATTAGACCTTTAAAAAATATTTTTAGTGATGCACAATCTAAAATTAGCATGCATAAAGACACGTTTTCTTTCAATTAGAACAGTAGGTACAACGTGAACAAATTTCTTTACTATGAATAGTTTGAAATTTGTAAAATAAAGGCGAAACAGATATTACTATAGAATACATAAAAGGTATTCCAACTATTATGGTATAAGTTCAAAAACCCAATAAATCAGAGTCATCGTCTCTTCCTCAATATTTTACCAAAATGTCCACGGACTTAACACAAAAATTAACACATTAAGTACAAATATATACCACATATCCACATCCACACATGATATTTTTTCCAAAAAATCTGAATCATGGCAAGTTTTAATAACTACGATATTTTTTCGATATGATAGAAATATCCATAGGCCTCATTGGTCATCGCCATAAACAATAAACTTCAATTTAGATTAATACTTATATTATCTAATAATAAATTAAAATATGAATTAAATGATTGATATTCTAATAAAATTTAACCGTAAAAATATTTTACATAATACAGAGTGTTACATTGTACTACAGTGTTTTTCTTATGCTAATAATTTTGTCAATAATAATTTTTTTTTTTAATCGGGTTTTGTGGGTTATGTAGAGGAAAATTCAATTTTTGTTTACATTTTTTAATTATTGAAAAAAATTACTTTATTCTATTATTTTTTCAAAATGATCGAAATAGCAAATTTGTAAAAGATATTATTTTAAAAATTGTATGTAATACATACAATCATATCCGATCAATAGCTTCTTGGTATTAACTGATTTTATTTCTAGAAAATTAGTGTAAAAACATTTTAATTTTCAGTAGAATAACACGTTACACATAACATGCATAATAGTCCGCACGGTAATTCTTTGTCTTATCTGCTATTAAATGTTAATTATTTTCACGCATATTCTCTATAAATTAAAATCACTATAACTAAGAAACTATTAATGGGATATGATTGCATAATATATTTACATTTTTAAAATAATATATTTTACAAAATGGCTATTTTTAATATTTTAAAGAGTGGACAAATAAAGTAATTTTTTTCAGTGATGAAAATAAAAATTTAATTTTTCTTTATATATGCGTCCCCTTTGCACAAAATCGGATTAAAAAAAAAATGTAAAAAAAAAATGAATATTTACAGTTATTAAGCATAAGGATAAAACTGTACGACATTCTGTATACCAATACGCTTTTTTTAGATATCTTTACTAAATATTTGAATGTTACCAATATTATGTAAGTTATTCAATTGCAAATTTTATTTTACTTGGGGATTTCAATGTACTGTCTGTATCATATAAAAAATATTAACATTTTCTTTTATGATAATATTTCTCTACCTACTTATGTTCAAATAATAATATAGAAAATGTAGATAACCATAGATACATAGGTATATGTACCTATACATACTAGTTATGTAATCTCAAGTACTTATTCCGTAGATTTATATAAAATCCAATTAGGAATTAGGAAAATGTTGATATTTATCATCCCATATTGGATATAAATTTTACGTTTATTAATTATTATACACCTAACATAATTAGTAACGAAATTTTATATGATTGGTACGAAGCAAATTACCGACAGATAATTTCAGCGTTAGACTTAACAATTTGGATTAATATATTTAATAACAATAACCTTGCTTTCAATTCTCTAATTTAAGTGAAAACAATATGAAACTCAAAGATCGAAAAAATTTTTTAAATAATGTTGAAAATGCCGTACACATTAATCCAACATACTAATTTCGGAAGTATTTTAATGATAAAAAAATTAAAATAAAAATACCAAATCGTATGCAATATAATGAAAACGAATTCTAAGGAGGATAAATCACTTGTATTATTGATTCTTTTAAACATTTTTTTGCCTGTTTTTATATTCCTACTCTAAATTTACCGTGAATAACTTACAATGGATTATTACTATACAGGATATTTAACAAATGTAATAACTTTTTTTTTAGAAAAGTTGTTTATAGAAAAAAAAATTATCATTGTAAAACCAATGAATTCTTTACTTCGTTTAGAATCTAAAATAAAACACCTTCAACGTTGGGTCTCTTCAAACGTCGCTGCTTTGTTATGATTGTTATGTTACGAAAATCATAACACATAAGCGATAAAAACCATCTCACCATGCGACCAATGACGGGTTAAAAAGTTTATTCGATTTGCTGTTAATTCAAATTAATTCTAACTCTATTATGATATTGAGAAAAGCATTTAAACGGTAAGAGAATTCATGTTTTTTGACAGATATAGAATTAAATATTAAATATGAATATAAAATTATGTATAATACATTTAAAATTTATTATACTATATTTTTTTTTCTGTAAATTTAATCCTAATATTTATGATGTATTCAAAACCGCCTACTTATATACCTTTACTAAGGTTTGAAAATTAAAGATAACACTATATATAGTATAGTAGGTATAACATATTGATTTTCAATTTACTCGAATGAGAAAACAGGAAGGTATTAAAAATGTGTCCTACCTAATAAAAAACCGATAATTTTTTTCTAAATTCATATTTTTCTAAAATATGAGCTTCACGCTTAAATTTTGAACATAATAAATTATTGTTTCCACTAAAACACTTTCATTTTAAGAAAAAATAATTTTTGACAAAAGACTTGTATGTTAAAAAAAAAAGTTTATCCTGACATCCTTTAACGGATATTTGATCGGTTAACCGTAAGTATTGCAGATATAGTTGTCTGTATGTGTTATCTGAGAATTTTATTTCATGATATAATTATATAACTTTGGTAATTTTGAAGGCTTGGAGTTTATGTACAATTGGAAAAGCACATTCAATATTTTTCGTATTTTGTTAAATACATTTATTAAAGAAAAATACTTTAAAATTACAATTGTTTTCATTGATATCTAGGACCATACTTCTGATAAAAAATGAATGATATCAATTTTATAAGATTTATGCTTATTGTATGCATTTATGGTAAATTCCATACGTTTTTTTTCTTTTGCGTTCAACATTTTCTCATCATTATATAATGTAATTGATCTGATTTTAGTTTTAGTTTCGGGCTGAAATTTCAAAACTTTTAGGACTAAATAAATATGTGGATGAGGGTGGTAAAATTGGGTATTATAAAAACTTTCAGAAGCATTGTTGTATGTATAAAGCATAATTAATAATAATTATTACTCACAGAAATATTAGTGTTGATTCAACTAATGTTAACTTGGCTTCATTGATGGCTTTTTGTCCACAATTCTTATGAAAATAAGCATTCATCTTCAATTTAATTTTTCAAAATATAATCAATGAACAAATATCGTACATCGTTGGGACAAACACTTATACGTTCAGTGAATGCTTCATTTACTTGATTTACTGCAAGGAAAGGCAAAGCGAAAAATTGCTTGAACCATTTTCGAAGCTCATCGTTTGAATCCATGTATCCTATTATTAAATTAGATTCACTTTGAATTTATATAATAAATAAATAATAAAAAAAAAGAAATACATATATTATAAATATGCATTAATATTGTTTTTCTTACGCTACCAAGATTGTCTTAAGTGAAATCTGCAAGCCATTATTTTTAGATTCGGGAAAACAGATAGCACTTCTTTATGTGCACTGATTTCAAAGTCCAAATGTCTTTTTTCTTTTTTATATTTAATATTTCATCGCTACAAAGTTTTCGAAAATAATTCTATAAATCTACGTAGGTATTTTGAGTTTCGTCTTTTAAAAAAAAATATCCTAGTGGTAAATAAAATCCAACACCGTGGGCAGGTCAAACAATTATAATTTCTATTTATTGGTATCGTCATTATTCTCGGACTCACGACTCCATAGCCCTCACCAGGAGGAAGGTAGTGATTAAAATTCTAGATTTAATATAGGTATCAAAGTAAAACACTCCGTTTTTCTTATATCACATAATTATCATTATTTATATATTATTATTCTCCCCTTTATACTCTCTTCTCCTTTTATTACTACATGTATATTTATACATACATGCATTTTTTTTTCTATATTTAATAATAAAATTTAATACTATTTCAATAAAATTCAATTCACAATATCACATAAATTATTTTTTATAATTTACTTTGAATATAATCTACAATATCACACATTTTTAACCACACCTTTTTTTGAGACAGTCCTAAGGCTGTATGAAGTGGGAAGGAGTTTATATTGTAAAAAAACAGGAACCGAATCGGCTACGTCCATCAAAATAACTTGGTTCTATTCACTCACACATGCCACTTCTTCTCGTAATCAAATTATTTTTATTGTTTACACGGAAGGTATTAGTGCGAGTGACAAATAATAATGGCACTCTGTGTAGCAATCTTAACACACATTCTCCACCACTGTCGGTTAACCGGAGGGGGGAATTGATAATGGCAAGTATAATAATTTCGCATCATGTTAACTAAGCCTCCTATACTAATCAGTAATCACGAATAGTTGAACAACTCGAGTAGTTATTAAACTAGTAACAAAAACTAAATGTTACAGTTATGTCTAAATTTAACTACTTATTTAGTTTGGGTTATAAAATCCCAATTTTTAGTAAAGTATTGTTAAACTTTCCACTATAGGTTAATATCGCTGTATAAAATGGGTCAAAATTATAATAATATTACTTTGCAATAAAAATAATGTAAATATAATTATTAATAATTTTAGATTTTGAGCTGAGCGAGGAATGTATTGGTTTTACAATGATGTTTATTATTATTATTATTTTTTTATGTGAACACTTTTTCTACTAGAAAGCTTACTTCGATTATTCTATAATTAAAAATTTCTATAAACTGAACTCTATTTAGAATAGTTTTTTCGTTAGCAATGGTTTATATTTGCTTACAGATAAACATTAAATTTCTTTTGGTATCCTACCTTTCCAACTTCCCACCTACAACAGTAGCTGCAACCACGTGTAAATTAGGTTCATTTTTTTTTTTTAATTTACGTTATGATTATATTATAATGCAATATCTCGGACATAACTCTACCGCATCGTTCTCTCTAACCACCACATATTAATCTTGATTGATGACTCAAGTAAATGAGACAAGTAAATGTAAACTATTTAAACACTCGTGGTCATCGAAACTTTGTAAGTAAATTATTATTAGGTGTCTGTCTCTATACACATTTGTATCCGCTAGGAATACATTTTGGGGAGGGGGAGGGAAGTTACTAATCATTTTTTTATTACATACTATATTTTGAACATTTTTTAGAATGGTAAATTAACAATAAAGAATTTTTAAAAAATGGGGAAGGAGTCGCGTGTAGTCAGTTTCTTCCCAGTTAAATACAACTTAAACATTATGATATACCTAAAGTATTTATGATACTTATGGTTTTTAGCGACCCTTTTGTGGGTTGCTACGCCCAGGCGGAAAACCATTGGTCTAGTGGATGGGGCGTTGAGTATGTTAGGTCAGATTAAGACAGAGTTTTAGGTTTGATAAATGGTCGCGTTTTCTTGCATTTTTATCTATCACATTTTCGTTTATCGTTTTTCTATACTTCATAGTAATCTTGGATTAATTCGGATTGGTACTAGAAATAACAAAAATATTTTGTTTTCCAACATTGTTCTATTTATTTTTTGTAATTTTAATGATTGAGATACGCCAGCCATCCACCACAAGAACATATACACCAACGTTATATAATATTTTAAGTCCTAAAACATATTCTTTATGAAAAGTACAATTATTCGAAATTAAAACATGTAAATTGATTGCACTCGTCGTGCGTTTATTTATATCGACAGTCGACACAGATGTGTAATATGTAATGGTATCATGATGTGTTATTTCATATTCGAACGACATACTAATTTAGTCTATTAATAATAATTAGTCATAATAATATCTATCGCCATCCACGTCGTCACCACCACTCTTTTTGAAACTTTAATACGACTATGTCAATTTAATTTTATCGGCAATATTATAAAAATTAAAAATATATTATTACATATAATTCTTAACATTATATATAATGTTATAAATATGATGCAATTGGTGAGATTTTAATAAGCCGAAGTTCACATGAACTATACCTACTCCAATATGCTACAACGTAGAGGTAAAAATATACGTCCACCATGTAAGTCATTTTAGTTGTCATTAGTCATCGACCGCATAGGTTTTGGATTTATTTCATCGCGAGTTGCGTTTAAAAATAAATATATATTTAAAAAAACGTAAATTACAGACGAGAAGTAATCGGTGAATTGAACCAGGTAACCGTTATAATTTGGTTATCATCAACCGTTGATCATATGGTAATAGAGTAGTCATTGAAAAATTTAACGGATTAGTAGAATTTAAAATGGCTTTTACTTAGGAACTGTTCATCAGATATAAATGTGTAATATATTAAAATTTTCAGAAAAATAAATTCTACAGAATAGCTATCTTAAAATTTTCTGAACAAAAAAAATAAACTTATTTTTTAAATTTTTTTACTAAAATAAAAAAAAATTTAATTCAAATGCAAATATTTGTAGTCTTCGTCCCTTTAAGTAATATAAAAATAAGAATTTGATTATCTTTATTATCTCCGAAGATATTCAAGGGGTATATCTTTGTGGGACAGCCTGTATATTTTATTATTAGTATAAATTGACCAAAATAATAATTAGGTACTGTTTATTTTAATAATAACAATAATACCTTCAATCTAAACACACACATAACGAATTAGATTGATGCTCATAAAAATTCTGAACTTCGGTTTTAGGTAAATATGTGTAATATTTTAGTTTAAATTTGTTAAAATTAAAATTTAAAAAAATAATATTTTAATAAAAACTATATTAATATTTTTATAAAACAATATTTTTATAAGAATACAACTATATGACTTGAGTTGAAATTTTACATAACATTGTACTTTGTGTGTTTCTATATGTAATAAATTATTTCGGTGATTAATTTAGATGATTTGAAACGATTTTAACATTGACAAAATTTATTAATATCAAGTAATATTGAATATTAAATATTATTATTTTTAGATGAATAATTTCTCGGAACAGTGTAATACCCACGAAGATAAATTTTAACAAAAACAAATCTGTTTTCAAGTAATCTCGTACGGTTTTAATTCATCTCGATTAATTTTATTGAATTTTCGTGTATATTTTGTGTAATTTGGATGTTAGCGTATTTAATTAAAAATTAAATTGATAAATTACATATAATGGGCGTAAAAAAAAAAAAAAACAAAACAAAACAATTAAACTCGTAGTATTACTAATAATACTTAAGTACTTATTAAACGATTTAACAAAATTTAATTTTTCTTTGTTAAATTTAAATTAATATATACCACAGTACTCTACTTATATAAATTTTACACGACAAGTTAACTGGAATACCTATATCGACTATATCAAATATGTATATTATATAATATATTTTGGTATTGTAACACCATATTCATTAATCATAATATGATAATGATAACGAAAGAGAACATCATAATTAAATCGAATTTAGATTTTTATTTCAAGTCGTGATAATTCAATTTTGTAATGTAACATAATACGTATGTAAGAAATTATTATTGGAATTGCAGTAGGTACCTAACTTATTAATATGACAAGAATTAGGATAACAGTATTACTCATTTCAAAAGCTATAATCACATTATATTCTATATATATATATATATATATATATATCGAAAGGTCATTATAATTATTGTTGGTCAAATATTATTATTTAATTATTATTAGAACTATGATATGTTATCAAATTTATTAGTAGGGAGAGAAATATAATTAATTAGTTATTTCTAGATGCGAGTAAAGTACTGACTCGATGGTTCTTTTAGAAAAAATCAACAACACAGCCGGTAGTGTTTTTTTATTTGTAATAGTTATGCTAATTCAAATCCGATACTTCTTTTACTACAGTTAACGTAATGTATTAAGTGAACTACTATTATAAATGTAATATCTGTCCAATCTTAAACGTATAGATAGCTTGCAAAAGCGCTGATCAACGAAGCCTACAAACCGATGTCTTCGATGAAGCTTCTTTAGAATCACAATTCACGTGGCGACATTTAAATACTACCTACTATTTTAAAGCCAATAGTTATCTCTAAGGTAAATCGAAATTATTGATAATTTGGGCTCGAGACTTATGCACTTAAAATCCACAAAAAAGGGCAAAAACGTTAAAAAAAAAAACACTTAAGTATTAAAAATTGTAGAAGGGTTTAAAAATTCTTCCCTTTAACGACTCTTAAAGTATAAAATAGAATGTTCTAACACTACACAAAGTAATTGTTTTTTAAATAAATTTGTACATTTTATAATTTTTGTAGTGTTAGAAAATTATATTTAATAAGTTTGAGCTATTAGAAAAGAGACTTTTAAGCGACTTTATCATTTTGTGTTTTTAAATATTTCTCAAGTACTTTTTTGACGTTTTTAATTACTTTATTGTTTATTTTAAATTCAATGAATCCCGAGTCCTATTGATGACTAAATCTAAATTAGTTTAACTAAATAATATAATACAATGTAAATTAACAGTGACGTAGATAGGATTTTAATTGAAAGGAACTAATTATGTTTATGCTTGAGACACGGGGGAAGACATAAGAGGCTGAGGGGAATTTAAACACCCAACGAATTTAGAAAAATATTTTAATTAATATGCATTTTATTGTAATATATTAAACGGAAATGAGAATAAAAAAACTTAATAGATATTGAAATAAGAATAAAATATGTGTCTTAACATAACTCGTATTACTGAGTAGAGTGGACCTAATCTGAGAGTGGAGTAAATCTCACTCTAATAGCTGCATCTTCTTAAGAAACTTTAGAGTAAAGTTGAAATTATGAATTTAAAATTTTTTTTTTTATTTATATTATGCTTGGCTAACATATTATTATACCAATCTATTATCTGGCATATCGCTCCTCCTTAAATCGGGTTTTTTATACGGTCCAGCAGAGAAAGCAGGAAAAGTTATTTTTAGACTGAACGAAATAGTGAGAAACGTATTTAAAATTAAAACCGTAAAATAGTATATACACATTCATACGGACTATGGGGGAGGTTATAGTTACTTTAGTCCTCCGTAGCTACGTCTCTGTTAAACTATTGTAATATTATAACTTTTGTCTCTTGCATTTGTTTCAATCAAGCATTTATTTAGTATATTTATAACGGTGTTTCCGAACTGAGTGCAGAAATTGTAATGTAGGTCTATTTATGTGCGTGATTTTTTTTCTTTTGATTTTAGATTCTATGAAAAACTTATCTCTTAGAAATACTTTTATTTTTTGATTTAACGATTTAAAATTAAAATAATTTAAACATTTTTACTTAGATCAAGTGGTTGAATTATTAAACAAATAAGATTTACACATTATTTTTGTGTATGCCCATTTCTGAATATTATTATTTAAAAATTGACTGTAACAAAAAAACCATGCACCCAACTCAGTTGTCGAGAGACATCGCTCTTTTTTTAGCACACAATTCGGACGCGGCCATTTACAATTACAATAATCATAATTATAAACTGACTCGATGAATCATTATATTAGTAATTGAATATAATTTAACAACTGATCAATTATAATTTATTTATTGTCTTTTGCATGTAGAACACATCAACCGTATTTAATGCTGTGTAATTAATATTCAATTTTAATAACTGATTATTATTATAAGTATGTTTTATTTTTATTTATAAGAAATTAAAATGCGTTAATTAGTATTAGTTTTACTAAGTAGGTATACCATGGTACAAGAATTTTTTTTTTTTAAATATAAAAATGTAAGTCTCAGGTTCAAAAGAAAAACTCATTATTCGAAGAAAAATTTATAGAAAATATATTATAGGTCTTCGGAAAAAGAAAAATAAGAACTTTATAACAAATCTAAAAAAACATGCGTCATAAGAATGTCAAAATGTGTCTCATTAGACATCACGTTAATAATTATAATGATAAAATCGGCGTTTAATCGATATAATAGTTCATAATTAATTTAAATTCAGAAATAGTCATGTAAATTGCGTAGTATGATTTTTTTAAATTTTCTTTATTTTTGAGAATACAGACAAACGTTCTCATAAAGTTGTAAATACGTTAATAAAAAAGCCAGGCAACTTTGTACGTGGGTGCAACCACTTTTATAAGTGAGAAGTTGTAAAGGTTGGGTATCGAGGGAAATTCAATGTATATTTGTACGCAACGACAAATCATTGCTAGCGAAAAACGATTCTGAGCGGAGTTCGGTTGTACATTTTTTTAAAGGCAGTATTATGTATTTACGAATTTTGTCAAAATTTAAAATTAAAATTCTTATAAAAAAAATACTACATTAAACTCAAATTTTTCTTGTTGACCACTAAGTATACCTTATAATAAACCACTTGTTAAATTTCCAAGCATTTTTGTTCAATCTAACAATTTTATTCACAGATTACCTACTTACCAAATAAAAACAACGTAAAAACTCGTAGAATTAAAATGATTATAAATAATTCAAAATTAGTTCAAATGTTTTGAAAATTTATCGTGTTCAGAAACGGCAAATTTATATTTTCTGTCGAAATTCCAAGTTTCTATATCCATTTTTAACCGAATTATAATAAAAAAAAAACAAAATCTTTTAATATTAAAATAAATTTTCCCATTTTTCCTACGGCTTTTTCTGGTTTTCCCCAATAATTATGAAAACTGTTTGGCAAATCAAAAAATGACCTGGTTATAGTATCAACTAGCTTAAATTTTCTTTCAGAAATATTGCTACATTCTATATGTTGGAGCAAGATTTCCGGTAGACATTTTGTACACAGTATATAAAAAAAAAATAAAAACATCAATGTAAAATCAATACATTCGTCACTGACGTTTCGCTCAGAATTTATTAGGCAATTATAATATTATCTATAAAAGTGTTGTGTGTATTGATTTGATTTTGGTTTTTTAGATTATTACAAATTACTAAAACAACATTTTTAATGATAATATTATTTGCAAAATGTTACTCTTTATATCCGCGTATATCATATTTTAAACACATAATATCAATTTTGGATTTGAACCATGTATTCAAAATCAAATTCGAAATGGAAATATTTTTTTAAAAATTCCGGTACCTATAATTCGGTCCATATATTAACCTGTGTTTTTTTTTTTGTTTTTTTCTAATGTACACAATTTTTGAATTTATAGTTTCTAAAATAATATGGTTTAATAACAGTTTTTATACGAAACGATTGAACATAGTATTTATTAGAACGCATTTGTACATTCTAATTATTATAAGGCGTTTTATATAGGCAATGTTCATATGAGTTTTTTAGTTAAATAAAACATGAATAATAATAATATCGGGCTAGGATTTATATGCAATAAAAAAATATGAAATATGCTTTTGTTCAATTATAAATATTCAAAATTATGCAATACAAATATGCTAATATATACCACATATATATTATTAAATAATCGCATTTTCTATAATTTGTTTTTAAATACCTATTACTCTAAATATGTATGTTAAAATACGACGAAACAATTGATAAAATGAACACTTAATACAAACACTTTTAAAACACATTATTTAAGCTATTCCAATGAATTACATGAAATAATTACACTATGTTTTAAATGTTCAAAAGTAAACGTTTTTTTGTTTGTCTTCAATAAATTTTTATATTTGCTAAAACTTTATTCGACATCTTATGGTATTTAAATTGTGTTACTTCTCCAGGAGTTATAATTGAGAAATCTTTATATCGGTTGTTGCCATTTAAAATTTTACGTATCGTAGATTTTAATCTGGTATTTTTTTCTAACATTTTTTTAAATTTTTTATCGACTTTTCTAGTTATGTGTCCTTTGATTGGCTAAGTTTAAATTTGGTGTTTTCAACGATTTTTAAACTGTCATCGAGTAAAAATGAGGTATTTGCTTATGTTAATATAGATTGAGTGATAAAGCCAACGTAACATTTTTAATAAGTTTTATCATTTTGTATATTTTTATTTTCAAATAAAGCTATAGCATTCTTTATTGATTTCGTGGAACTTTCGTCTAAAGACAAAAGCATCGATTTTATGGAGTTGAAATTATTAGCACAATATAATGTGGCTTTTACCCAAGTTCCCATCGGGTAAGTATAGGCTTTAGTGGCAAAGGTAATTCTAGAAAGAATTCTCGAAATTTTAACATCACATAACTCTGAGCTTTTAAAAATACTTTTTTCACACAGCTTATCATGTTATCAATATTTGGATACTCAAGCCTTATTGTTTCAAACACTCTACGTAGTCCATGAGCCACATATGTTACATGTATCGTATTTGAAAACAATACAGTTAGAGAATCGACCGTTTCCACCAAGTATGGCACAGCGTCAATTAAAAATAAAAAAAAACTTTATTACATTTAATCTCGTTGGGCCAAAGTATATTTAAATCGTCGTGAAATAATTTCCCTATAGTTTGATAAATGCACTTTGAAAGTTTTTCGCATGTTAATAAATATAACTCAGAAACTTTCTCTTCATGCATAAGGCCAACTAAAACATTAGATACGTACCTTCTTTCATCATCAGTAGTTTCATCAATTGAAATATATATTGGGCCCTCTGCAATTTCTTTACAAATACGACCAATTACTTCGTTGTAAAGAACTGATACACATTTTTTTGATTGATCCGGAATATGTTTACCAGTTTACTTTTGTAAAAATATATTAAAAGTCGTATTATGCAATTTCCATATGGGGATACCAGAAGCTAAACGTGCACGACGTAAATCAAGGGGAAATTCTGAGTTTTAATCTTCGAAGTAATCTTTTATAAATATTTGTTCGATTTTTTTTCTCGTTGAATTACTGAGGTACTTAAATATTGATTTACTTGAAAGTGCTTATTTGATGAAACTGCATGGTCACAAATATTACAAACTAGTGTTTTTTATCAATTTTAAAAACTATACTAGAAAATTCTTCGACGTATTATCGAAGTTTTGCACTGACACTTTGATTTTTGGCATTTGAACGAAATCAATACAGTTCACAAACGATATTATACGACGATGACTCGGTCAAAATATATACTAACTAACTACTAACTAGGTAATTTATAATCCAGTACAGTATTTTACTATTTATATATTGACAGTACAATAGGTAACCTTCAGCGTAGCAGTTTGCGACGATAAGATAAGATAGAAAGATTAAATTACTTTTAAGTATTTTTGTACAGCGATTTGTATAAGGAAATATTTCATAGAACATGCATTTTTCGAGTTTTTTTAGTTAAAATATGCAATAATATTCATTTTTTTTTTCAAAATATGTAAAAACATGCAAAACAAAAAAATACCACCATTTACCTCATGAGCTGATTCGTAGACATTACTAACAAAAGTAGTAATAAGAAGTTGCAAAAAAACATACGAATGCATATAAATCCTAGCCTTAGTAATATAACATTTTGTTATTTTTTAAAATACTACCACAACAGATGTGCAGCTGTGCTATTATGTTGTATTTGTCTGACGTATAATAATATTGTATACAATTATTGTTTTGAAATAAAACTCGTTTCGTGCAGGTAAGAATCGTCAAGAAATCGTAAGAATTTAAAATATAGTCACTGTTAATAAACATTATTTTTACTAATTATAATAAAACATTTAATTTATACTGTTTTGTAAATATTTGGTAAATCGAAATCAATGTATTATAGGTAAAATTATTAATATCAGCACATTTTTGGACCAACTACAGAACTTAAAAAACATATATTATTCAATATACATGTATAGAATATATATTATACAACCAGTGCTTCTCAATTATATTCCAGGCCTTCTTTAGAATTTTCAACTATTTCACCACCACCCCATTATTATTATTAATGTCAGAATAGTTATCCCTCAAAGCTAAAGATCCCCCTCAAAATGTAAAATGCCCATAAGGGTAACATCTATATTGAGAGTTATTAAACTATACTTAATTTTACTGTATAACAACGGAATGTGATGTTTCATAAAAACGGCAAGCGATAAACTAATAAAACTAAAACGAAATGTTGAATTCGATATCTATAAAGTATGGCATATCGTCAGTAGAAATAATAAAGGAAAGGAAAGACATCGTTATTAAAAAACTGAAAAACCAAACGAGATGAGCAATTGTAATTTGTATATAATAAAACGGTCTTCCGTGACATGTTGGTGAAAATTCAGTAAAGATAAATTCAAGAAGTATACTAGAGGTATACAGCTGTTATCGACATGGTGAAAAATAAAGCGAAAAATATTATAGTCTTCATATTATAATTTACCTTAATTACGTATTTAGGCATACTTTAGATTAAAATCGTAACATATTATTTTATACATGTTTAAATGTTTCGTATTTAGTATGTAATAATTGAAGAGAGATAGAGAAAAAAAACTATTTCAAAAAAAAAAAAACTGAATAGATAAAAATTTGAGATACAACTATTGGTGATATATATACGCATGTATTTATCACATATTACAATTGTACCTAACCTAACCGACATCGTCGCTATATTATTTTACGAATTAGTGTACATGACTATTATACTGACAGCGTAAATCAGCAATTGTTTAAGAAAATAAAAAGTTTTCCTGTTTATAAAAGACTTAAATATTAATTATTTTTATCAAATCTTTAATGGACACTAAACAAACCGTTATACTTAAACAATACACGTGCCTTATTAATACAAATAAATAATATCATCGAGGGTACCATAGTACAAAACAATATCGACAAAGCTATCTGCATTTAATTTTTTTTTCAGTGAGTGTTTAAATACGGCAGGAAAATGCATAAATAATCTAAATATTGAATTATAATTGTTACAAAACAAAAATTAATTAATGAAAACATACATAGTCAGTTCATATACTATATACAGTTAATATGCCCTGCATGCATTTTTTTTTCAACTATTACTCTTTATATAATACGAAAGTATTATATAAAGTATATAGTATATAGTAATATTGTCTTATCTAAAACCTTGCGATTGTTTTATCATTATAATTAAATCGAACGTTTTTGTATAAAATATTTAGTGTATACTGGCAATTAAATTTAATAGACAGTTGTAGTCTGTGTTAAATATTATTATTATTATTATTATTATTATGTTTTGAATAAGATGTAAATATAAAATAACAAACGAGTGCGTAATTAAATTAAACGGTCATCAAAATATATTTAGAAAAAAAAAAAAAAAATTGTAATTCGACAAGAACCGCCGAACTAAATAATCTACGTGTACGTTTCCGTAACTATGTATTATTTTTAATTATTACACTAATTACACTAATTGATTTCATTTTAATTTTTAACTCAATATTTTCTTAAACTATACTATCAATCGTTTCACTTAATACGTTAGTTACTTAACATTTTCCTAACGACAATGGCGTAATTTTTCGTATTTTATTTTTTAGCCTTCAAATGTAGTCGTATGGCTGAGCTACAATTAATTTTATAAGAAATGTGTTTTTTTTTTTTTTTTTGCAAATATTTGTTCATTTATAAATATGCTCAAGATTGTTCACGCAATGCCTTAAAATATGTGTTAAATGTTCACTCAGTATCTAATAACTTGAAATTGTTTTTAAAATTCTCAACAGTTCACCCTAGATCTCTTCTTTTGCTTTTTTTCCCAGAAAACACATTTTTGATTAGCAAAAATGTTCCAAATTGTTTACGTCGTACATTAAAAAGTGCAGATTAATTACCCAGCAGCAGTACTTTATTGGGAACAATTTTCTAGATTCCCAACATATTTTTTAAAAAATTTAAAAACCAATAAATAATGACTATACATTGGTGTAATTTTGGTTGATTTCCGGGTTGTCTTAGCTGCAAGGAAAACAATTTACAACCACTGTAGCTACCTATACTCTATATGGTAATCGGTCAAAAATTCTGGGTATAAAAGGTCCATGGAAATAAGTCTATTTTAAAAAAAAAAGTTGGACAAAAAGTCTGGACTCATTTTTATTGTCAGACAAAAAATCCAAAATACAAAAATGTATTTTCTTATTATTATCACTTTTACACATGATATAGATAAATCTACATCTGATTAATCAATTATTTTTCAACTATATTTATACCATGTTAAGAAAATAAAAAAAAATTTGTTTTTAATAGATATTCATACACCTATTTTTTATTATAAACTTGTTTCGAGTATTCGATGAAAACGTTTTTATTAAAATTTCGAAAAAATGTCCGTCTATTTTAGTAACTTTCAATGGTAAGCTGAAAATTGTTAGTAATTTTATTATTGTAGAGTAACCAATATTTATATTAATAATTTTTCAAAAAGTAACTTATTTTAAATTATTATTATTATTATAATTGTTAAATTATTATTATATTTGTAAAAATGTGTTCGGACTATTTGTCCAATTTTTTTCAAAATGGACTTTTTGTTCTTGAACCTTTGGTCCTTGGACTTTCGTTCGGGATTCCTGGGTTCTTTTTGTTAGAATTTGTTTGGAAAATAAGTGATTATTCGATGTATCTTTATTTAAATAACCTACTTATATGAAGTACCCAATTAACCATATCATTTACAATTTATACAATAATAGAAATATAAGACGCATAATATTGATCATATAGATCAGTGTTTCCCAAAGTGGGCGATATCGCCTCCTTGGGGGCGCTAGAGCTATCCAGAGGGGCAATGGAAGTTACAGGCTTAATTGGGGGTCATTACATTACAAAAAGGGGGCGGTGACAGTTTCATCTGTCGTTATCGCAATAACAGAAACACCGTACGTGATCAAAATTATCTGAATTGTGTATTTTGTATTTTTAGATTAATCGTTCGTCGTCTATCGACAATCATCGATAATCTGTCGTTTTAGCGATAACAGAAACAACGTACGTGATCTAAATAATCTAAATAATTTTTGTATTTAGTACACTCGCGAATGCCGACCTTATTCGTTGTCGTTTTTATAATAATTTTCGTTAATTTGTTGTGTATTATTTTATTTAAATTTTAAACGTTTTTCACATCATGGCTGAATCGAAGAAAAAATGTAGGCAGTATAATATTGAATATTTGAAGTACGGTTTTATTCAATCGCCTACAATTATTACATTACCAATGTGTCTCATTTGCCAAAAAGTATTTTCAAATGAAGCTGTGAAACCGTCGAGACTGTGAGAACATTTAACAAAAGTTCATGCTAATAAAAAAAATATGGATTTATTTTATTTTCAAACACTTGAAAAGAAATATTTGAAAGAGCCATTATACATGTACATACATTATATGTATATACCTATTTATAAACAATACATTTCATTTTTCATTGCATACTTTTGTAACAATATTTTTTTTAAGGGGGGCGTCTGTCGGATTTTTTTTTTGGAAGTGGGCGGTAAAGATAAAAAGTTTGGGAAACACTGATATAGATATGAATCATACAATGAGTAAATAAAACAACAATATCAATAAACGTAGCGTTTTAATGATAATTTTTTTAACATCAATTTTTACTATCTATTACTATTCTCAAGAATCAAATAAAATATCAATGTATAGATTAACATTAATGTTTTAGATCTTGAAAATGGAAACGTGCATTATTTTATAGGCTATGATGTATTTTTTTCTGAATAAAAACTCGAGAGATAATGCTAATATTAATATCAGACCGATCGATGTTCGGTACTATATAGGCGCTCATTTGAATATAAGAAGTAGTACTAACTACACTAACTACTCCGAGAATAACACAACATAAGTTATTATAATACGAAAAACAATACCTATTTGCATTGAATTTTTTGTAAACTACAAAGGTTAGAATTTATAAAATAATGTGACCATGAGGTGAGAGAGCCCAACGCTAAAATGAAAAAAATATTGTCTTTCGTTTTTAAATAGAAATATTAATCCATTTAAAATTTCATCATTACCTGTCTATGTATGATGAGAATGTTATCCCATAATCACATTTAATACTTTAAATTATACAATAAAATGTATATTTTATCGTCTGTTAATAAGAGTTAATTATCGAGAACTGATTAAAATATAAGATCAAGGCTTCGCATAAAGTTTTTGTTATACGTAGGTTTCTATAATATATATCTACTTTTAGTAAACTTAGTAGTTCGTTATACTTAAACATTACGATTGTGTACAAACACATTATTGCTAATTTAATTGCATTAAGTAATTTTAGGATTTTCAAAACATTTATTTTTTAAACCATCTGATCTCAATGGGCGTACATTACCAATCCGAAGTTTAAATCTATTCAATTTAATGTATCAAAAATTAGATTTCTTGCGTCACGCATCGATGTTATCAGAAAAAAAGTGCTTGAAATTAAAATCGTACGGACGATTTCTTAAAAATCAAAAATTGTTAATATTTTTCACTGACAAGAGGGAGTAAATATAGGAATATTTTAATTTAATTTTATGAAAAAAATACTATTAAACCGGTAACGAAGAAATTAGAGCACGTAAACGAATCAAAATTAATTTCAGAGGGAATAGTACTGTAACTTTACGATTAACGCCGTTTACTTTATTAAGTATATTTATTTTATGCAATTTCTATGAAAAATAACACCAATAACAAATAAGTATATAGGTAGGTATTGTACATGGTGTTTTTTTTTTTTTTATCAAACATTCTTATAATATAAACTTATTTTTATATTATCTTATGTATAAAAATACAACAGGTTAAAATAATAAATAATAGGAATTTTCGAATCACAAAATAGTAAGGTTATAAAAAAAAAGAAAATTACAATAATAAACATTAAACGAATATTATGTCGTTAGGTTTTATCATTTATCGTTGTAATTATGAATTACAAGTGTTACGGCGATAATATAATAATACAATTGCAGACTGGTATCAAGTTATTGTTAAGCTTAGCGGTCGAGACCATAACATATTAAAAACGGTTGAAATCAGTGGTTTAAATTGGGAAAGGTGAGGGGGGATAGAAAAAATAAGGAATTTTTCCTAATAATGAAAAACCTTTTTTAGGTACTAGAAATTAGTACTGTAAATGTAAATATAATTTATACATCTTTACAAAGTTTGTGGCAGTTAATTATCATTATTATATTGTTAATATTACTTAGGTAAACATTTAAAACCGAAATTACAGCCGCCTTTTTTAGATTCTGAGCAAAGCGAGGAATGTATTGGTTTTACAATGATGTTTATTAATTGTACATTTTTTTTATACTGTGTACTTAATTTCTACTAGAATTCTTGCTTCTATGTATAAAATATAGCACTTATTTCGAAAATAAATTTTATCTAGTTAATACTTGAATTAAGCCATTTTTTGATTTTCCAAGTGGTTTCCATAATAATTGGGAAAAACCAGAAAAAAACGTAGGAAAAATGGAAAAATTTACGAAAGTAATGCATTTATTATTTTCGATTTTGTTTTTTTTGTTATAATTCGGTCAAAAATAGATTTAGAGACTTGAAATTTGGACAGAAAATATATATTTGTCGTTTCTGAACACGATACATTTTTAAAACATTTGAGTTATTTATATTCATTTTAATTTCGCGAGTTTGTACGTAATTTTTATTCGGTAGGTAGGTACTCCGTGGATGAAATTGTTAGCTTCAAAAATTTAATATTTGAAAAATTAATAGAAGATTGTGATTGATAGAAGAATGTGTACTTATAGTGGTAAAAAATAAAAAGTTGAGTTTAATGTAGTATTTTATTTATAAAAATTATCAAATTTTGACAAAAATCATAATTGAGTATATTACTGTCTTTAAAAACAGGTATAACCGAACTCTGTTCAGAATCGTTTTTCGTTAACAATAATTAATCGTTGCGTCTAGATATTAATAAAATTCTTAATTGGTTCGTTTAAAATTTAAATTTAAAATCCTTGTCCAACAGGCAAATAATGTATCTTTTGTATTTAAACTATTAATGGTCTAATTGTTTCTCCTGATATTTTATCCTCACTTCTCATTGCTGTTCCGTCTTTTAACTTACGGTGGGGCTTAATATTTAGATGAAATTTTCATAGTACTAATTATGGTTACACATCCCCGCTAAATCGTATTTTTCGTATTATAAATAATATGCCTAATGCTGATATATTCTCTAACTCTTTTTCTCATTTTATTAATAATGTATTTAAGTAATTTTGTGTTGTGAATTCAAATAAAGATAAAAATAAATACTTGTTTTTTTTTTATCTTGGTTAACAGTTTATAGTAAAAAAAATTAAGAGTATACAATTATTGTAAATTCATATTTTTACGATAAGATATGTATTTGGGTATTTAAAATATAATTATAAAATTATATAATTATGTGTTTTTAATAATAATTATGGTTAAAAATATTCTAAAAAACTGCACTACACACTTAAAAGTGGAGAACTTCGTTAATGGATTAACGAAAATCGAAAATTTCAACACCAATATTTATTTCGACTAATATTCCATCTATTTATGGAATTATTAATTTAGGTTGCTATTTGAAAATCAAAATTTGGTAGTGGTTTTATCCCCTAAAATAAGAGTTATAAAAATTATATAGATTTTAAATTGTAGAGCTGCTTGTTTCTTATATTTTCCAGAAAACAAATTCAGGAAAAATTAATACTTTTGAGATAATGAGTGTCTTACGATCACTCTGTATTGTTGTAGGTATAGAAATCGATTTGCTTATCTGGAGTCACGGTTAACGTTAAACAACTTCTACGTTCGGTTTGGTGTGTTAAAAAAAAATACTTTGTGTTCCTCCGGTATTATACTCTTAATAATACACACACACACACACACACACATACACACAGGAATAATGTATTTCACAATTATTATTACAATAAAATTATTAGTTCGCTAGAATACCAATATTACATGTTTTGCTTAACTGTTTGCAGAAGAAGAAAAAAGAAAACTATAAATACGCTGCAAGATGTTTGGAATACTGGACAATATGAACCAAAAGATGCTCCCGATGAAAATGCATTATTACTTTTACTCGGGATGTAAGTATAATTTAATTAGAATTAAAATTATTTTTTCTTTCTTTTATATATCAGGTTTTTAATGTAGTGAAGAAACTATTTGTTTTACTGATAATGCGTTATTTTTCTTGGAAATTTTTTTTTTTTGAATCCGTAAAAAGTTCCGGTTTTGTCCATTTGATTATTTTAAGTTATTTTCGAAATTCTCATCAGTTTTAATAAAATCGATTTTTATGATTTTCTTGAAAACTCTTTCGGTGAGTGAAATCCTCTGATTTTTTCTCTCGCGGTATACTCGTATTACTCGTACTACGAGTTGCCAAATTTCTGCTTGTGTACAATGGTAATTTACTTATATTTTTCGAAACTCTTATAGATTTATTTTTTCTAATAAAATTTTTCGGTTAGGCCATAAAAATGCTCCAAAGTTATACTCATTGTATCTTAAAAGATGTGGATTTTTACCCGTACATTATTTGATACAATTTTCTAGATTATCAACAGTTTTTCTAAAATATAACAACGAATGATAATACACTGAATACAAAGAAAATTACAAGATTATATCCTTGGTCTGACTACGACAATTGATGTAATTATTTTTACGTCTATAATTTTACCAGTTTACCAAGCTTCTGCTTTATTGAAGTAATATTTCTGGTAGAAAATATCGTGCTTAAAAATTTGAAATTAATGAAATCGATAACTCCGCTGTGCATCGTAAATATACCGGATATTTTTTTTTGGTTTTTTGCAATTATTATGAAAACTTATTGGAAATTTAAAAAAATGACTTCTTCAGTACACCAATTGAAAACAATTTCCTTTGAAAAAAGATGTTATACTTGGTACATCGATGCCAGTTTTCCGTTCGAAAAGTTGGTTACAGACACATACAAAAAAAAAAAAACATTTTAGTAAAACTAATCCTCGTTACGCTGTAAATCTAAACGAAATGCATAAATAAATAATCTAATTTATTTTGAACATTCTTACCGCGATTATTTTTTTTTTATTTAGTGTCAATAATCAATGATCTTCTAATAAACTATATTTTGTTTTCAGGTATAGTGTTGATTTTGGGTTACGGTTCCACGTACGCGAAACAATTGGGATATTCGAAAATTACCGTTGCATATATAACGACGTGTCTGTTTTTCGTGTCTATGATGACAAAACCGATTATTGGGGCTTTAGTCGATAAGTTTCCCATAAAGAAATACATATTCTTAGGGTTCATATTTTTGACCGGCATTTCATCGTTCTTTTTGATGTTCGTGCCAAAATTGACAGTTGAAACTGGTTCTGAACTTTATTGCAATACATCAAAAACCATAGTCAAAATATATTCCAATGATAGTAAAAGGCTTTCATTTTGCGATAAGAAAAGACTTTCGGATAAGCATGGAGATAGGTTGGTCAATTGCAAGGTATTTTATCAAAATATCTTAAATATATATATATATATAATGTTTAAATAAATAAATATATGTATGTATACAGGATGATTTAAAGTGTATGTAACAACCATTTTATCATTTAAATATTTAAAAGTTGACCCCAAAAAAGACAGAAAAAAAAATATACAATTATTGTGCGTAAATTATTTATTTTAGATGTTTGTATATGGAAAAAAACTTTTATATTATACATTTTTATCTATTTTGAATATTTACATGATGAAATGGCTGTAACAGAAATTTTGAATTAACCTGTTTATATATATCCTGTTTAAGGAGTTATATATGGCTACGGTAATTCGATGTTTTTATCACTGTAATATTGTCCGGCATAGGCGTGTCTAGAAATATATGAATATATCGTTTTTAATTACACTTAAACATTTCAAAAGTCAGAATTAGAATATATGCATAATTTACGTTTAAAGATTGGGTGAATATGCTTAATAAATCATCCTTCATATACAGTAAAAGCCGTTTATTAGGAACACATTGGAACCGAGATGAAACGTGTCAATTAACCGATTGTTTCTAATAAGCGATTGGTTTTAATACACGTTTTAATATACGACCGGACCGGACGGACCGTCCTTTACGTTTTATTTTAATAACGCGGTTGCAACGATTATCTGTGTTTCTAATAAGCGACTTTTACTTGATTAAAAATAAAAAGAATAATCAAGTGTTACATCCTCATTTTCCATAACTTAACACATAAAATGTTAGAGAGTCAAATGGTCTTTGGACGAGCCAAACATGGACGAAACTGGTAATTATACGGTTTGTAACAAAAACACGAAAAATCCCATTGGTTGTGACTTGGTGAGAGGCTGATTTTGCTGTTATGGTCATTGCTATAATGGCCTATTACACCCGTAAAGACACGGTTTAATACCGGTAAAAACTGGTACAAACCGTAAAAAATATGATATTTAAATAATTTTAGGGAACCAATATTTATATACGTCACACCTGCCAACCCAAAACCAGTTGTCTAGGTTAAAATGTAGTAAAACATCATTTAGACCCAACATATCTAGTATCTACCAAAATATCACTGAATACTAGATAAATAAGCAGTAAATGATATATTCTAGAAAAAAACGTAGTATAATATTTTGAGTAGTTACTGCTTCTAGGTACGTTTAGTAAATTTATTTAGCAGAATACATTTTTAAAACGCTTTTTAAAAATTCAATCCTTGAGAGGGTAAAATAGAGCGTTTAAGATATTTTCGGTATGATAATATCCAATTGTTTATTCATTTATTTTTGTTTATTCATAAGTCACCTTGGAGAAATGGATGATAATTTGATTGTCACGGACAAGATAACTATTATTATTATTATTATTATTATTTATTATTTATACTATTTAGCATTAGCAACGCGTTGTCGGTTCAGCTAGTAATATGAAGTTAGTAATTTTTAGTTAAAAATCTGATTTTAATTGTAACGTTTTTATAATTTTTGATACGAACCAAAATCGATAAGAGTGTGCAGTTACAATACCTGGATTTTATATTACAAATATTATTGTTCTAGTAGTTATTAACACTTTTTATCATTTTCTTGAAACTTTAATTATTTGTAATTTCTTTTCCGTAACGGGCTTGTAGTAGAAAATATTATTATTTTTTTATTTTCAATTTAATTTTGAATCGTCTTGGTTCGAATAGTATTAAAACGTATATCGTTTTTCAATTATTAAATTTCCAAAATTATGTCTATTCAAGACCATACGAGTTCAAATTATTGTATTTTTGACAGGATAACTATACGCAATGCTTTTTTTAAATAAATATTATTTTAACATTGGTCGATTCATGATCGTGTTAGTTAAAGCCCGTTAAAAACCTTTTAAAAATAAAAATGAACAATATTGTGATTATTATGACAAGTCAATCTGACACTTTTTAAACTTTTGCTATGCAATCATATTTACATCTTCCATGGTTCAAAAATCGATTTGATTACAGTGTAAATAACAATATACGTAGTCTGCAGTTTATTTTTAAATTTGTTTATTTTTAATCACTGATTGAAATTAGAATAATAAAATATAGCTGTACGTGTTAATTTAACGAAGTAGTACATAAGCCTCGGATTTGTGCATTAAAAAATTTCGAATACATTAATTTTTACACGGGTTTTTGTATTTTTTTTTTTAGTTGAATTGCAATAATAATGACGATCTGCTATTTTCCGAAATGATAAATTCTTGGAACGCAGTCAAATCCAATGCGCAAAATGTAACGAACATAATGAGTGACACTAACAACATCAGCGATGCGGAAATTAAAAACGTCGATTTAAAAGTGTATTTACACTTTCACGATTTTAACCCCGGGCAGGTGAGGGAACACAATTTTATTAATTTCAGTATACATATATATATTTATGCAAATATATAATAATAAAATATACACGTATTCGAAAATGTCGTAATCCAAAAAAAAGTGAAAAGTGATTAATGAGATTTTTGACAAATCGTGTACAAAAAACCTAATTATTGATAAAATAAGGCAACCTATATTAGTAATCATGTTCTCAAAGATAATTTTAAAATTTCAAACGTGTTTGAAAAATTCTTCATTGATCTTGGCAAAAATATCGAAAATATTTTCAAACAACTATCATAAGGTAATATTATCATTTCGTTGATCCGTATTTTTTTTTTTTTTACAATCAAAAGTTTTATTTTAATTAAAAATCGGCTTACAGATTACTGGGCCTCACTCAGATAACTTGTGTGGATTAACTTTTAGTGTTAAGATATGGGGAAACATCTTTGATATCCATTTGAACAAAATTAAAATTTAAGAGTTAATCTAGAGTTTAAATTAAAATTACCTGGATTTGCTTATACAACATTTATATTTAAAAAACTTAGTGTATTTGACTTTAAAAAACTATTTAAACTAAATTTACTCCTGCTATTTTTAAACATAAAAAATATCTCCCGACGTGCCCCCACACTTACAACACTAGATTTAAGGAAAATGTTAATTTAGTTACTGAAAAATGTGACACAAATTTTGTAATTAAAAGTTTTCTTAGTTATACAAATGAACTTTCTAGGTCATTTAATTGAAAAAATTATAATTTTTGTACCATAAACTAATTTAAATATAAAGGATAATTTGAAATTAAAATTTAACTACCCTTAATCCTATTGATCTATCTCAACATTCATTAACCATCAATAACACTCAAATCTCTATCTTGTAGCATTAGGTTAAATTAATATTTTAAGTCTGTAATATATGTATTGTTCATTCTATTTTTAGGAATTCGAAATTTCCGATAGAAACAGTCGCTTAAAGGAGATATTAAACCTTTAACAATTATAATATTTGTTACAGTTTATCTTATGTTAATTTTATAAAGTTAAATAAATAAACAATAATATTAATTAAAAAAAAAAATTATAATTTATTAATATTGTTTGAAACCGTGGTTGATTTTATTATACTAATTATGTTACAGATGGGTTCGTACGATTTCTATGTTATGTTCGCTGAGCTAAACAATTACACAAGATTGACGTCGCCGTACTGTCAACGATCAATGAGAATACCGTGTCAACTGCACTGTTCGAACCAAGCGATCATGGAGCTGGCGACAGTGACGAAACCCCAAGAAGCCATTCTCGTTTTGCCCGAGTTTTGGGAATACTTTCTTCTGCTGTGCTTGTTTTGGATCAGTTACTCGAGCATATGGACTATACAAGATTCGATATGTTTCGACCTATTGGGTAAGCATACCATATACATTTAAAAAAGGGATATTTGACGTGTTTGCAATCATTCGTAGAAGACAACAGTAACGATTTCGGAAAGTTAAGATGCTGGACGTCCATCGGATGGGGATCGGTGTCGATATTCAGTGGTTGGCTAGTAGACTTCTTCAGCGCCGATGAAGTATACAAAAATTACACGCCCATAGCCTACTTAGTACTATCGTTTACGATAATGAATTTAATTTTTACATCCGACATAAAAGTACGGTAAACGAATGTTTGGCGTTACAATGCTAATAACATTAATAGGTATTTTATACGGTTAGGTGACCGAGTTGGACAAGAAGACCGTAGAGGAAAAATCTTACCGCGATATACTTGTGCTGTTCACAAAGCTCCGAGTCATATTTTTCTTCACATGGATAACAATGTTGGGCGTGTATTGCTCAATTACTATGAACTATCTATACATGTAAGTGGTTGGATTCGATGCGCATTCCGTAATACATTTACGACTGCACGGTTTAGTTTAGGTAATATTAGATCCAAGGGTGCATCCAAGTTCTGATAAACTTGTATTTTCATTTTTATTAACACCACCTTCAACTTTGATAATTGTAGCTAAACCAAGTGAGTAAAGTTAAGAAGCTTAGAAAATTAAAAACAAAAAAACTGACTTAATAAGGATAGTTTATAAAATATCGCCGTTTATTATATGTAATAATATATTCTAGCAAATCCGATAATTTGTATGGAACTAAATTTGAATTTTATTGTAAGAAACGCGCCACATTTCCTTCTACCTTCGTTCTCCCTCCTCACCGTATGAACATACCTCCGGATGCTAATATACTATACATAAATCAATAATACTAAATCATAAAAATACACTCTACCTAACCGTGCGATTACGTTTTGCCGTATAGATACTTGGACGAGATGGCTTCAGTGACCGGATGTGATAGGCAAAAGTGGACGAAAACAATACAGGGATTATCACAGGGACTGCAGTGTTTTGGTGGCGAAATGCCGGTTTTCTTTTGTTCCGGTTGGATAATTAAAAAAATCGGCCACCGGAATTGCATGTCTACGGTGTTGTTCGCGTTCATTATCCGGTTTTTCATCTACTCGGTTATGACCAACCCGTTTTTCGCCATGGTTGTCGAGATCCTCAACGGTGCTACGTACGCGCTTGGCCGGGCCGTAGTCGTTTCCTATTCTAGAACCATCTCACCACCCGGCACGCACAACACAGTTTTGGGACTAGTTGGACTGTTCGATTGCATTGGTGAGTGTTGGGATACACATTTATGTGCAAATGTTTCATAATATAGAGATTATTTTGACATGTTATGAGGTCAAGATTGGTATTGGAAACAACGTAGGAAGGAGGAAAGAGGGAGAGAGGAAAACCAATTATAAATGAAATCCCAAATGTGGTCCACCACTCGTTAGATTTACATTTGTATCGTGAATGGTGTATGATTATGAATTATTTACGTTCCTTATACCATTTAACTAATGATCACATTCGATATTGACCAATACTAATCGTGTATTCACTAATCGTATATTGTTTATTTAACTATAGTGGCGAGAATTTTCATTGGGGGAGGGGGATATATATTCATTGCAAACAGCCGGGTGACCCCCTGTACTCCAAAAATGACCCGATTTAATACAATAAAAATTATTTCATTTTTCTACAAAAGTTGTTAATCTAATGCCTACAATTCGTAGTTTTTGATATTAGCCATATTAATTATTAATGATTTAAAATTATACAAATGAGTTCACACTTGACACTTTACAAATTACAATATCTTACGTATACAAATATAAATCATGCGTACAATGATTTAAGGTGCGATTATACACTTTGAACCTACTTACCTGATTTTAACAAGATAATGTATGATTTGGTTCAAATTAAAAGATAGGATAGTCAATAGTTGGAAAATTCAACCCCTAAAGTTATAAATAAGGGTTTTGGGGTATTTTTCGGTATGAAAATCTAATTGTTTATTTATTTATTTATTTGTGTTTATTCATATTTTGGATGAAATAACAAAACAAACATTTTGGTCCGACAAACCGATAAAGATATTAGCGATTGGTTTAATTAAATTGAAAAATAAAATAAAATGATTTTATGAAAATTGATAACAGAAGTTTGTCAATCTTTCTATCATCGGTAAAAACACTATAAACTATTAATCTTAAATAAATCATCAAAGAGAAATATATCTTTTTAAAAAGGTCATGGGGGATCCATCCTCCATATCCCCCCATGTATACTCCCATATATTTAACTCTTATAGTAAAATAACATTTTAATAGAATTTTCCACGAAAATAGAAACAATTTTAGCCTAATAAGGTCCGTTTATATTTTTACTCCGCTACTTTTGAACATTTAAAGGCACTATCAGATCAAATAACTTTAAAATATAAGTAATAAGAGTTGTTATATACTATGCAGATTGAATTGATATAAGTTGGGATAAATATCAATATGAATTGCATCATGTTGTTGGGGGAGGAGAGTTTTCAAAGGTTTTCAACATTGAACAACCATAAGAAGTTATAAAGATGACATATTTTATGTGAATGGTGTTGGTATCAAGTATACGTGTCTTTTGTGTTTTTAAATTTACATACTCATCTCCCCACTATCATTTGTGAGCACAAATTTCAGAATTGCAGTATAAAGAATAAAGGACTAGTAGCATAAAGGATATTTCTTTTAGGTACACAAAATAGGTTTTGAAAAATTCTACTCCAGAGATGGAGCTCTACTGCTTACAGGTTTTTTACTTTTCCGCTGAAAAATAAGACATTGTTCATTCCACTGAAATGTGACATTTTTACCGTGTTCTGATTACAGGTTTATCGCTGGGCAATGTACTAGCTGCGCACATATATGAATTTTACGGAGGAGTATTGCTTTTCCGTCTGTTTACTTACGGATCGGCTGTGATGTGTGCTTTACACGTTGTATACACTTGGTTTGACAGCGACAAAGTCAAATTATGAAAAAATAACTACAGAAACAAATCCTATGTACATTGACAATATTTTTGAATATCTGTTTTGTGGAATTATGATGGAGGTTTACGGATATTACTTCCGAAGCTATTTTTACAGTATTAATAAGTAATATTAAAGTCGATTTTTTTTCAGTACATTGTAACTATTATATTATATAGTATCAACTATAATCGAAGTATTAAAATATTTTGTTATTTTTATTAAACCAAATTAAATAATTTAAAATTGGTAATTATAGTATAATATAGTATAATATAGTATAGTATAGTATAAGGTGAGTTCTGACCTCTAAAAATGAACATAATGTTATGTGTTCAACGAACTTTAGTATATTTGTTTTTACCACAATGGAATAATTAGTAGGCTATTTTGCCTACTCTCTGAAACCACATCTCAATATTTAGAGGTCTGCTAGAGAGAGAAGTAATGTATGATAGGTGGTATAAACAGCTTTTAGTCATAAAAAAAACTCTTTGGATGTCTGCAAATAATGGCGCACAGATCATTTGGCTTTTGTTTAAAACAGAGCTTAATTGTATAAAAAAAATTATCGTTTTTACGTTTTCGGGTATTTAAACGTTACAAAATGTTAAAATGTTTAACGTTATTATACTTTTAAGCGTTATCCTCATCGATGTAAAAAAAAAAAAAAACAATATTAAATCACCGAAAATTAATTAATAACTGAACAATTAGTGATGTAATTTGTCTTATTTAGTTCGAAAATGTAATAATTAATAACTAATAACGTATAAAATTATAAACATTTTTTTATGATAAAAATCATAATTGTAATTGTAACTAATATTTTATGAATTACATTACTTCAAATTAAAATACTTTATTTTAAATTATTTGTATACAAGTACGTACCCATGATAAATTCATTGTAAAAATAATGAAAAGTAAAAACAAATAATCATGGTGAATAAATATACTCACCTACTTATTAATACTATGAAATAAAGATAATAAACTTTTGGCTAAAGTAAACGAACTAATATACGCTGCAGTTCCCATTCCCAAATGGCTGTATGTCGGTTAGGTTAGACCCACTGAACTATATACTATAGAATGCATATTTGGCCATATAATAAAAGTGAGCAGCCTAGGAGATCGACGAATCCTGTGACGAATCCGCTGGTATTGCATTTTGTCGATAATGCTTAGGGCATTTTAAAGTTAAAAATATCATTCGATTTAATGTTAAAATATTATTATGTACAATATCGTTGTTCAGTGATCCGGAGTACAGGTGACAATATTGTATACTTTCGCGTATAATTCGTCGTCTACGCAAGCGCCCGAGCGTCCGGGACTCGGTCTGAGCGGACCGGTCCTCTGAGTCAATAATACGAACCTACGTCCTACGGCAATACATGTTTAGAATGTATTTACAAAAAAAAAAAAAAAAAACATACCTGCGTATGGAATAGTTATACGAACGTTCACACCGGTCGCGTGTGGCGGCTTGCATAGCGCAACGCAATTCGTACCGTGTAAACCCGACTTTACGATCACTCATTATCGTCCGGAGTGGAAGGTCGAACACGGACGTACACTATAATATTCTGTAGAACTGTACTTAATACACGTACGAAACTGTACTGTACAATAATATTGTAATAATCACGCGTGTGCAGAGCACCGGAAACGCGCGGTTTAAAGCAATACAATAATATTACTATCAGAATTAATTCGCAGAACTGGTTACTTCGTTTGCGCGCGTTTCTCCTGGCAATGTGATCAATCAGTCGCGACTAACTTCTGTCGAGAAGATGTTCTCGATTAAAGTTAACAGAAAACTTTTGCCGTTGAAAATATGTTATTTCCTAATGTTCGCATGTAAGTACATAATATTATTATTACCTTTAATATCCACAACACGTTACGTATATAGTAGGTATGTTATTAGAAAAATAAACAAAAGTTGTTTTAGATTAATGGTCGCAAAATGTCAAATATAAATAAAAATAAATAAACAAATTAAGTTAAACAGAACTAGTATTACGAGATGAGTGTTACCGATGGGCATTGAAGGAGATGTTCGATACATGCAATTATTTAATCTGCAGGTGACGATAAATCATTGCTAACGAAGTACAATATTCTGAACGAAGTTCTGTTAAACATGTTTTGAAATGCTACGTTATTTTTACGATTTTTTATAGAATTTGAACTCAAAACACGTGTAAAATAAACTACTATAAATGACACTCAAATTTGATTTTTTATTTTTTGTCAAATGCCTATAAATAACTAAAATTGTCAAAATTATATCACATATAGAAAATGCTTATTCAGTCAAGTATTTAAGTCACTACGATTATTTTTAGCCGAATTACAACAAAACACGAAATCGAATATAACGAAGCCGTTAATACTGTGAACTTTCTCGTTTTTCATAGTTTTCTACAACAACTAGAAAACGAAATTTCCAGGTTTTTCTAAAGTTCAATGAAAACTATAAAGGAAATGCATCAACTAGATTCATAATGATACAACACGCACTTTCGCTTTTTTGAAATTAGAATTGGAATTGGAGCAATATTTCCGATATAAAATCGGTTCACAGATACTAAAAAATTGCTTACATCATAGTAAAACCTATACATTCTTCTTAACGCTCAAAATCTAAAATATATATGATTAACATTTCATCATGCTGTATTATCTGATGATTATTTAAATCGAAACTGGTTGTATTTATGCATATATTTTATACTATTTCAAAAAACGATACAGAGCTTTTGAAAACTCTAGTTGGTGCTTTGATGTAATTAATTTTTCCAGCAGTGGTTTTTTACTACAAAAACTGGAAAAACTGTAAAGAAATTTACGGAATGTCTTGTTCATGTCAACCTTTATTACAATTTAAAATAATATAATCTTTAAGGTATTAGTTGTAAAAACAATTGTATTGTCTTATCATAAAAATATTTATAATTTTATTCGTTATTACATATTACATATTTAAGCTAAATAAAATAAATTAGAACATTAGTTAGTAAGTTATTAGATTATTATTTTTCGATGCCTTTAAGAAAAACGTGTTTTTTTTTTCAAACTAGTGTAAGATGTGAAAAACGACGATAGAATTTATGAAAAAAATTGCATAATTTCGAATTTATTATAACGTTAAATAAAGTTTTAGAAAAAAATATAATAACATTAAACGGAAAAAATAAAATGTCTGAACAAACATATAACGTTAAACACTAAAATTGTGTAATATTTAAATACCCGAAATCGTAAAAACGATAATTTTTTTATAAATTTACTACTTAAAATGTATCACTATCTTATATATATGCCAATCTTCATACTTAAATCTTCCTTGCTGATAAATATTAAAATATGAAATATTATTTTCTCGACAAATTATCACTATGTATATTGTCATCTATAACATTCAAATTTTTTTTAGTAAAAAAATAAACTTTTCATTTTATTAAAATTAATACATTGATACATGAATAGTTTCTAAGTAATAGCCGTTTTAAATTCTATAAATCCGTGTGAAAACCGATGTTATCTATGGAATGACTTAACCGCGTTAACTGATAACATCGGTTTTCACACGGATTTGTAGAATTTAAAATGGCTGTTACTTAGAAACTATTTATCGGATATAAGTGTGTTAACACATTCAAATTTTCAAAAAAATAAACTCTACAGAATAGCTGTTTTAAAATTTTCCGAAAATAATAAAATAAATGAATAAATAAATATTTTTATTTTTACTAAAAAAAAATTTAATTTAAAAATAAAGATTTGTAGTCTTTATCCCCGTGAGTAATAAAAAAAAAAAAAAAACAGAATTTGATTATCTTTATTATCTCCAAAGATATTTAAGAGGTATATCTTCGTGGAACAGCCTATATAAGTCACGTTGTCATTAATTTAAAATAATAAATGTTAAACTTTGTCTTCCTTTTTACAGGTCGGGCATGCGCCATTTATCTAACTCGCCTTGACGGCACGCCACTGCTATATTGATTTACTCGCTTTACATTTAACATAAAATTTATTATTACTTGAAAATGTTTAATCGCCTGTTTCATGTTTTACAGGCTTAGCGCCCATCATCGGATTTTTGCCTACATTTGCAAGACAGTTGGGATACTCATTTACGATTTACGGCGTGTCAATGACAATTATATACTTGTCATCAACGGTATGGACAATGTTGGTCGGCGTCTTGGTTGACAAATTTCGCGTGAAGAAAAAATTGTTCACGGCCGTCTTGCTGGGAATGGGCGTGGCGTCGGCATTCTTTATGTTAGTGCCGAAAGTGCCACTGGACGCGGTTGTAGAGTTGAAATGTCTTTCGGAAACGGTCTTGACGGCCACGTTTGCGAGCAATGATCAAAAATCCCCGGACGTCAAGCCAAACGTCAATATCGGCCTCGGCAATAAGTTAATGATGTGCAAGGTCGGTTATTTACCGAACATTGTGTGATGTGTATAATGCGCATCACAAGTATAATCATAATTATGTCAAACATCAGATACTGACCAGAACTGTCATTTAGTTAGATTGTAAAGACACGGTATTCTACGGTGAGAAATCTGAAGAATGCGTCAATTGGATGGCGTCGGCCAACAACGGCACCGACGAACTGTACAAATACAAACACATAGACGCCACGATCGAACTGATGAACCGCACAGAAACAGTAACGATCAATTGATGTATTTCGAACGCATTATTATATCACACATCCCCCGTTTAACTCTAAATCGCGTTCGGTTATAGACGGACGATTCGTATGGATTTCGTTTGTTGTCCGCTCAAGTCGTCGGCATAGACGCGCAGCTGTCTACGAACTGCTCGTGTCCCTTGAAGTCCCAGTGCCGTTTAGTATGCAACGACGAGGCCGTGATGGAAGCGACTAAAACGTACAGGGGCAACGTTCTCGGCTTGTACCAGTTTTGGATTTTTTTTATTACGCTCAACGCGTATTTCACCATGACCATGTTGTCCAGTACGCTGATTAATCCCATTTGTCTCGATATTTTAGGTAAGTACGGTAATCATAATAATAATATAGGATAGGTACGATATCTATTACACTGTTTTATCGTTTGATTGTAATATTATGCAAAACCGAACATCGTGGCCGTAGGAGACAAATCCGTGGACTTTGGAAAACAGAAATTATGGGCGTCATTCGGTTGGGGTACGTTCTCCATACTCATCGGATGGATTGTGGATCTGTTCAGTTACGGACAAAGAGAAAAAGACTATTCGCCCATTTTCGTATCGTGTATTATACTTACGGTATTGAACTTGATTGTAACGACACAAATTGAAGTACGTTATCTTCTGTAATATACTATTTATTTTCCACTCCTTAATTCTGTCACGCGAATTTTTTTGTTATTCGTACAGGTGGTGGAAGTGAAGAAATCCAATAAGCAAAGTATGTGGAAAACTGTGTTCGGTTTGTTCGCTAAACATTATGTGGTAATCTTTATCGCTTGGTCGGCGATATGCACGTTTTTGCACGCAATTATTACACATTATCTATTCTGGTAAGTCAGCTATTATATTACGATACAATATGATCATCTTGCCTTTTTAAATTATACGTGTATAATATACTTGTCGGAAAATCGTTAAACCATAATACAGACGAATCAATCACTCCGTAATTCGTGAGTGTCTGACGCTAGACTACAGCGTCCGAGTGTAGTATTTACTATGATGAGTGGACAATGAAAAATTGTCGTCTATAATAATGACACGTAATATCATGAAAATTGTCTGCGAACGATCTACACATGTTATATTGCACTTGCAGACATTTTATTATAATCTAAATAGCTTTTCTCGAAAAATCTCGAATTTCCCTGGGTTAACCTCGAAAAATAAACATTATTATTATTTTATTTTTTTGTTAAGACGTTTTGATCACACGATGACCAGAAGTTAAATTTGTTGCCGTCGATGTATTGAATTTAAACACCTATAGGATTGGCTAGTAAATTCGAGTTATTCAATAATTATAATGCACATAACTTTACGATTTTTACATGATAAATCAGACAATATTGTAATTTATAGTCCGCACTGTTAGCTATTTGCAATTTTGGTCATTATTCGTTAAAGTATTCGTATCGTTCTATCGTGCATTGTTTTGTGTGGTTATTTTCACATCGTGTAGTTTGTCTGATGATAGGGTAAAATTCATTGTATAACGTAGTAAAACAATATTTTTTAAAATACGAATCCATTTGATATGCATTAAAATTAATATTTTAGCCTTTTTTGAGCTCTGATGTTGAATTAATTTAAATTTCTTCAAAATTAACTCGTAATTGATTAAGCTATTATTAAACAAAAATTAATTAATTAAATAAATAAATCAAAAGTCTAAAGTTCAGTAAAACTTAAAATCAACTCATCACTCATTATCTATTAACTTACGTTTTAACTATTTAACTCGTTAATGTCCAACCATAGTTAATTTTTAGTAATAAAATAATCTTTAGATTTGTGTTAATCACACCCGTGTAAGGTTATCACCAATTACATATTTTCAATCAACAATGCTAATGACAGGCCAATCATATAAATCGAATTGAAATAGAACATAGAGTACAATTTTTTGTCTGCATTGTCTGCTTTAGTAAGACGTTCTTTATAATGGCTAACCAATAATATCGATGACTATAAATAACAGAGTCGACATCATAGACTAGCTATACACAATATAATGTATAAATATAATAATTGATGGTAACTAATAACTTTTACCTACGTTATTTCAGGAAAAAAGGTATAGTCTTTAGGTATAGGCTTTCAGTGGAATTCACTCATATGGAAATTTGGTAGAATTTGTGTTAAATGATTATTGTAATACGAGTATTTTCACTATAATTTGCATTTGGTACCCATTATCCGACTAATCGGCTGGTCATAGTTAAATCCGGTGAATGACAGTATGCTAATTTGTGAAAGAAAAAAAAAATTGTCGACTTACCCGACTAAATTATGTACGGTACAGGTACATGGAGGATATGGTGTCTGCGGCCAACGACCAAGTCCAACTAGCATGGCTGAAAACCCTACAAGGGCTGGCGCAGGGCGTCCAGTGTTTCGGCGGTGAAATCCCGTTCTTATTCTGGTCCGGATGGATAATCAAAAAGGCAGGATATGTCAACTGCATGGCCCTGGTGCTGGGTACCATGGCCATTAGAATGTACCTGTATACTGTGATCTCGAACCCGGCCTGGATCGTGCTGATCGAACTGCTCAACGGCGTGTCGTACGCGCTGGGATTCGCATTGAAAATGTCGTACGCGAAAACGATTGCGCCACCAGACACACTGAATACGATTATAGCCTGTATAACGCTTTTCGACTGCATCGGTTTGTCCGTTTTATATTCAGAGTTTAGCGTATGGTATTGGTTTTACTATGATGTGCACTTTCCTTTGTTTTTTCCGTCTTAAACAACTTTTCGAAAAGAAAACTTGCTCCGATGTATATACAGCTCCGACGTTAATTTTTTCTAGTTGATGAATCAAGGAGGTCGTTTTTTGATTTTCCAAGGGTTTCAATAATAAATCGAAAAATCCCCGAAAGAAAACTGTATATAAAACAACAGAAATTTACGACACACCGCGTTAGTGATATCATTGTTTTTAATTTTTGCAACTTAAGTTTTCTACCAGAAATATTACTTCAATAGAAAAACAATACAAGACCTTCTTTCTTATTAATCTTATTGGTGAATAAGAAAGTAGTTTTTTGATTTTCTTTGTAGTTTTATTAATAATTAAGAAATTGCCTAACCGTAAAATAAAAATTGACAAATTTATGGTGTTACGATTTCATTATTTTAAATTTTTACGCTTTTCTTTTTCTACCAAAAATATTGCTCCAATAGAAAAGCAACATGAGATTTTTTTTGTTAAATTTTTAACTAAGTTGGGACCAAGAATATTGGTTTTTGATTTTATTTAAAGTTTTTTTTAATAATTAAGGAAAACTGGAAAAAAAAAACATAGACAGAACGGAAAAATTTACTCAAATAATGCTTTAATTATTTTCAATTCATTTATTTTTTTATATTGTTATTCAGTTGAAATATTCATAGAGACTTGAAATTTGTGCAGAAAATGTTTGAAAATTGAACACAAAGTTTATCATAAGTTGTTGTAATGATAAAAAATAATGACTGAAATTCAGGGTTTTTTTTTATAATTATATAAGTTATACATTTTTTTTTTCAATTAAAACTCGAAAATTTAATTGGACGACTATAATTATAATATATTTTTGTGTGATGTGTATGTTTTTAGGTGAGTCTTTAGGGAGTTTAATGGGTGGATTTGTATTCGATTCGTACGGCGGAGTTTGGGCGTTTCGGTTTTTCGCCTGCTGTTCCGCTCTGGCGTGCTGTTTGAATGTGGTGTTAAACTTTTTCGGGTTAACAAGAGACACAACGACGATCGTTTTGAACATTGACGAAAAACCAACGAAAACTGACGAAAATAAAGAGACCTGCAGCACGGTCGATGCTGATCATGGGCTTAAGGAACTTAAGCCCCCATACTCTTCGAGCTCTCACGGACTTTCTGAATAATTTTTAGACCCTTGTTTATTTTTACTTGATTGTAAAAAAAAAAACGCGTTTAAGTTAATATACAGCGGTGATTGGTTCTGTACAGCGTACCGTTGATGTTCTTATTTTTAAATTCTAAGCTTAACATGTTGTAAAATACAATACATACCGAGGTAAGTATTGTATTTTACAGAGATGTTTATTTTTTTTTTTAATGTGAATACTTTTTCTACCAGCAAAATTGCTCCTATTATCAAGTATAGTACTTTTTCTAAAAGGAAATTTTCTCCAGGTGGTCCTTTAAAGAGGTCATTTTTTGAAATTCCCATTATTATTCGAATGAATGAGGAAAATATGGTTCTTTAGGTTAAAAAAGATTGAAAAATTAAAAATAAGGTTATTATTGGCAACCGTTATTTTTTATCTATTGTAAATATTAGATTTGTATTATTTTAATTTTTTCTAAACAATCATTGTTGTCATGGAAACGTATATTGTAATTATTTTACCATAATATGAAATATATATTGTTGACAAAGCAACATCGTCAACTGAACTCCACTCAGAATTGTTTTTTTGTTAGCAACGGTTTATCGATTCTTAAAGATATACATTAAATTCCTGTTTGTATATTACCTTCCCATATACATCAGTGGCTGCACCCATATGCGTAGTATGTCCGTCCTTTTTTTTTTTTTTTTGATTCCTTCACAAATATATTTAGCTCGGTAGTATATGCAATAATATAACGTTTGAATAAAGAATGAGGTGCTCGTTTAAATATTGATATCCCATGGAGACGCGTTTGATAGTAATACTGATTTTGAAAAAGAAACCGCCTATAGAAATAATAAATTATCCTCGGTGTCGAATTAAAAAAAAAATAATAATAATAATAACAATATACGAACTAAAATAATAGGACAAGCATTGACTAAGACGATGACGAGTACGGATCGTCACCTGCAATATCTATTGCGAAGCATTATCGCCACCACATTGTTTTTCCCTTTGCCGAGGCACTGCAGGGCGTCTGTGGTCTGTTGACGTTTTTCGAGTTCAAAATCGACAAGCCGATGTGTGATATGTGAAGAGCTGGCTTGAGATATTTGACTTATTAGTTCAATAGTTGTATAAAATAATATGCTCCTATGCTATGACGGCTGTGAGTTTAATAATATTAGGTATGCTCTACTCCCGGTGACGCCTGATAAAAAAGAACGTTTCACACGAAACAACACAATGAGAATATGTCAACTTCGCTTTAGATTTACGCGATTCGTGGTCATGGTTGTTATAAAAGTGACTAGCATACTGATATATTTTCTCGCGTGCGAACGAATGGAAGTGATGAACGGGTTTTTTGAATTCGGCTGATCGGATATTTTATCTTACCGCGTAATTCGGAAATTTAAAATTTATTTCAAAAAATTACTGGCCAGATTCTTACAGATTTCAACATTTAAAATTCCAGATCTATGCTGTCCAATTTTGCATTGACAGGATACTATCAAGTGTCAACCATAACAAACTGTTACAAAAAGTGTATTACTATACTATGGAGTGGTAATTCGTACAAATAGTAGTTGCTCTTACAGAACCGTCGATTTACTGTAAAAGTAAACGATAAGTGGAGTAGATGGGGCACCCAAATATCTCTGCAATATTGTAGATCATTGATTTACCCGTATACCTAGGCGTCACCCTAGATAAGACTTTGGTATTTAAGGAGCATTGTTTCAAAACTAAAATGAAAGTACAAGCAAGGAACAACCTACTAAGAAAACTCAGAGAGACCTAATGAAGAGCACTGACACACACCATGTGATCAACCGACCCTATGTTTCTAAATTAGAGAATATATATGTCTAAAAGCGTAGGATGCGGGAGAGTTAATAGATTTAACTTGTTCCGTACATTTTTGCAAATAAAAAGATAACGAGAAAATCTTTTACTGCATGATCATATTCAGGGGAGCTGTAAGGAATGGTGAGAGGGCTAGTGGAGATTTTGGGAAGGCACTATTGCCCTCTTAGACTCCTATGCTTCCTATGCTTATGTACATATCCAGTGTGGAGCCAAAAATATTTAAATGAAATACAATAGTTTTAGTCCTACTATAAAAACTACTACACAGGTATTCTCTCATTTATTGCTCCAGATTCTCAATATTCAAACAAGTTTATTATTCAGATACAATACTACTCATAAAAGGATCAAATCTATATTTATCTGAAAGTTAAAATAAATTTCATAACCGTGTCTTGAACAATTAATCCTGATTTAATCAGTACGACCTGCAGTGTGTTCAATGTACTTTCTCCAAAAATCCATTATAATTTAACATTTTACCCTTGAACCTAAAAATTTAAAACTGTAGTTTGTACTTATTTATGTTTTATGTTTTTATTTTTCGTATCTGTCAATAAATTTTTAGTCAAAACTATTGCTCTAATCAAAAAACGGCTTCAGAACTTCTTCGTAGTATTTTGGATTTATAGTTAGCGTATTTATGAGATCATTTGTTCGATTTGTTTTCATATACATGGCTCGAAGTCGTGAAAACATGTGACGACCTTTTTAACACGCCGTTATCGAATTGTACCACATTCAAACAGACGTATAATACGGTCTACTGCGATTACCTATATTCTATTATCGCGCGATTAGTTATTAGTATAGATAATGGCAAACAAGGACCAACCGAAGTGCATGCACCCGCTTCGGACATTTCTGTATAGATAATAAAATATTCGTTATTGAATTGATAATAATATTTTCATGATCCTACAATATTGACTAATAGTTACCGGAACCAAGCTGACGAAACGCGTAGTATGGCTTGCCGGAAAAATCATGGTTTTTTCGATAAAGTCGTTTTTCGCGCGAAAGAAAACGGCGGAGAATATTTTTCGTAACTCGATAAAATCGTAAAACTATTAAACTCAACAGAGAATAATATTTATTGTACCCTCGACGGTGGTGCATCGCGATGTTTTAGAAATAGGTACGACAAAAGCCGTAAAAGAAAAGTTTGTTTAAAAAAGAAAATCGTCCGAAATGAAAGTAAATAAAATATTGTTACCAATCAAAGCGAATTATTTTCTTCTGGATGCATGTAAGTATTATATTGATTTAATAACATTGTAATCTATTAAAAAGTACGATAAAAATGCAGGAAAGCCGTTTTTTTCCGATCATTTTTTTATTGAAATTTTACCATTACTAGGCAAATATAATAAAGGGTGATATGTTGTGTTTACGTAATCGGGCAAAAAAAATTTTCATCGCCCTCTCACTTTCAAAGCCCACAAGCCACCACTGTCTTCATGGTTTCAAAACAATAAGTACCTAACCGGCACATAAATATACTATACGAATTTTAAAAATATCCCATAACCTATTTATAAACTAAGACGTTTGATTTATTCTACTTGTGTTACTGTATAAAAGCATAGTATACGAGGTTTGGCTATTAAATAACGAGACCATTGTTATAAGTAATTTCATACAACGCTAAACCATTGCTAACGAAAAAATAATTCTGAGAGGAGTTCAGTTGATAGTCTTGCTTTGTCAACAATATATATGTCGTATTATGGTAAAATAATTAAATAGGCATTACATATTTCCTTTAATAATATTTGTTTAATGTACCGATTTTCCCGTTTTCGCGCAGAAAGCGTCCCAAAAAATGTAGGGGAAAACCGAATACAGCGTTGGTTAGCTGGAAGTGTCTATTATGCCAGTACAAAATTGGGTTTTTGTTGGTGCATTAGTTTTTTTTCTGTAGCGTTTAGAAACGAACATGTTTTTTTCTCTTGCCGAAAACGATGTGTAGCGAAAAACATGAGCAACGGGTAAACGTAAAATTTTCTCGTCAAACAAAAANCCAACTGAGTGCTATAAGTTGTTAAAAGAGGCCTATAGTGAGGATTTCCTATCTCGGGCGCGTATTTTTGAGTGGCATAAATTATTTTCTGAAGGTCGAGAGTGCAGCGGAATCCAATTCAGTCGTAATCCAAATTCAAAACCGTTTTCTTTGATATCAACGGCATCGTGATGATGGAATGGGTTCCAGAGGGTCAAACTGTGAACCAACATTACTATTTGACAGTTTTGGCAACAATTTTGGAAAAACAAGTCGTGGATCTTGCACCAGGATAACGCACCTGCCCATAACGCGCTGTCTGTGAAACGTTATTTGGCCGCTTAAGGCACTCTAGTACTCGAACACGCGTCTTACTCACCCGACTTGGCACCCTGCGACTTTTACTTGTTTCCGAAGATAAAGTCTGCCTTAAAAGGAATCCGGTTTGAGTCGATGGAAGAGGTGAAACAAAAATCGGCGGAACTCCTGAATGGTCTTACGAAAACAGACTTCCAGCACTGCCTCGAGCAATGGAAGAAACGAATGAAACGGTGTGTGAAGAGGGGAGGAGAGTATATTGAAGGGGAACATTTGGTTGTGGAATAATTTTTAAAATAAAACCATTTTTCATAAGTAGTCTCGTTATTTAATAGCCAGATATCGTATAAATACTAAGTTATCGAAATCTTTCGAAATTGTACATGGATTATAGTTCATTGTTTAGAATACATTTTGAAGGTGGGAGCTCGCTCGCAGAGTGACCTTTTCAATATGTTGTATATAATCACTGTAGATTAATTACACGATTTACTGGATTTATCAAGTTTCATAGGTTTTCAGAAGTATAGGATTTCGGCCTATTATTGCGGTGAGAATATAATATTTGAGTACGCTGCCATGTAAGATGTTTTTGAAAACTTGTACCAAATTTATATCAAATATATTATTGAGAAACAATACGTAAAATATAAGATCGCATAAATTATTAATTATGACACTACGTCTAAATTATTAACCTACCTAACGATTTTATCGTTGGTGGTTTGTAGCGAATGTTCAAATATTGACCATCAAGTTATTAACTAAATAACAAAATAGTAATATACTCGTATAATTATTATTTTTTTAGGCATAGGTCCCATCGTGGGATTTTTGCCCACCATAGTGAAACAATTGGGCTACTCGGTAACGACTTACGGCGTCGTTATGACGTTCATGGCGTTGACAACGATACCGCTGTTGCCTACTGTCGGTGTGATCGTCGACAAATTTCGCATAAAAAAATTTCTGATGATGACGTCTCTCTTCGGGGTTGGCTTCATGACGTTTTTGTTCATGTACGTGCCAAAGGTGCCTGTCGAAATGACTGCAGCGCTGGAACTGACGTGTGACTGGAAAACAAGGAACTTGGTCATCCGCATCGGAAACGACCAGAACACCGTAGGCGATAAAACGATTTTCACCAGCAACGACGCCGATTACGTGCTGTTCACGTATGAAGTATTACTTTTTTTTTATAAGAAATACAACTTTTAAATTATTTGTAACGCCATCACGTTAAAACTTAAAATCATTAAATTGCACAATCCGAACGACTATTTAATTACCGTATTGCCATAAATCTTCAAAAAATGTTTTTCATTATACCGGTGTTCAAGATTCCGACAGGTCAATGGACTCTACAATTATTAATAACATCGATTTTATTTTGTACCATACGTTCAAATTTTATTGGGACTGGCCACTCTAACAAATGGTAAACTTCTCGAGGTCCCTAACAAAAAATACTCTATATTATCACTATGATACACTTGATGAAATTTTGTGAAATCCAATCAAAATTGGATATATACCTTCTCAAATATTTGACGTCACATAGGTTTATGTTATTAATTTTATTTTTCTGAAATTTTGGAAATTGTTATAGGTAATATGCGAGTAAACTATATTCGTCGTTAGCGAAAAAAATTTTCGTTAATACGATCAATTTTGTTTAATGTTATGTTAAAAATGTCTAAAGTCCATTAATTTTGTTATTGTATGCATATTCTTATTCTTGTAATTACCTATATTTTATACTAATAATATTTACTGCGTGGAAATAAATTTCGTTTAATTTACGTATATGTGACCTATTAAGTATTTATTAATATGTATATAAGGCACACACTATTATGAGCTCAGGGTAATCCAAGGTCAGAATATATCGGGGCTAAAAGTATAATTGGGAGCAAATGGAGGGGGAGGGTTGTTGATCACCCTATAAAAAAATATATATTTCATTTTCGAACCGCCATTACATATTATCCTTATCATATTCGGACGTTCAACCCCTACTCGTGCTATAAGTTTTGAAATAAAACGAAATCAATGGAGATAGGCATAAACTCAAAGAAAATCGAAATTAATTATTGTATGCGATGTTTCGCAGTTGTTGGTCTGTCGATCTTTGGGGCCGATCAATTATGACGTAAACGATCAGACAGGCCGATCAAACGCGAGCCGTCGAGTCGGCTCTATCGGACATTTAAGCAGTCGCGATTGGGTCGACGTAGCGTTCAAATTGAAAGACGTGAAAACCGTAATTATGTCCTTTTTGTTAGGTCCATTCGCACGTTTATAACTCTGCCGTTGTTTAGCGAATCGTAGTATTTTACAGGTCGGCAGTTCGTACGTTTTCAACTTGGCCTCCGTCCATGTCAACGGTAAGGAAACACTGTCGATCACCTGCACTCCAGGGAGTTCGTCAATAGTTTTTCGTCCCATCCAATGTTCCAGCGAAGCCGTAATGAGATTAGCCACGGATGCGCCGTACCTAAAGCGTAACGTTCTCGGGCTGTATCAGTTTTGGACAAGTTTTCTTCGTCGTAATCACGGCGTTTTGGATTTTCCTAAAGACAACGCTCTCGTTGCAAAATCCGATTTGTCTGGAGACGTTGGGTAAAATACAATACGATCGCGACAAATTATATAAGTAATTTTATATTATTTTATTATGTTTTGTATATTTGCAGGTGACAAACCAGAAGATTTCGGTAAACAGAGATGTTGGGCATCAATAGGCTGGGGTTTGTTTTCGATAATCATCGGGTGGCTCGTAGACGTGTTCAACATCGGTAAAAACGAAAAAGATTACTCGCCGGTATTTTATTCGGGCGTCGTGCTGACGATAATTAATTTGTACGTGGTAACGCAAATTAAAGTGCGTTACCCATAATATTATAATACATAAAATATTACTTTTGTCTATAATATTATGAACATCCTTAAAGGTCGTCGAAACCAGTAAATCAAACGTGTTATATTTACACGCAGGTATATGGAGGAAAAAGCCAAGGTCAACAACGACCGCAATCATCTATTGAAGTGGATAAAAACGTTACAAGGGTTGGTACAGGGCGTCCAGTGTTTAGACGGCGAAATTCCATTTTTCTTCTGGTCTGGTTGGATAATCAAGAATGCGAGGCACGCCAACTGTATGGCCCTGACGCTGGGTTGCATGGCCATCAAGATGTATCTGTACACCGTGGTCCCGAACCCCACCTGGATCGTGTTAGTCGAACTACTCAACGGTCTGTCATTTGCGTTAGGATCAGCGACGAAAATGTCATACGCAAAATTGGTCGCACCCCCGGACACGCTGTATACGGTTATCGGATTAATAGGATTGGTCGACAATATCGGTACGTATAAATATTACTAGAAAACAGATATAAGATACGATAGGTAAGTAGGTCCCATGAAACGTTACAGACTGGGGCCGATGACGTCGAATGAAGATGAAAATAAAGACGTACGTGAAATTAGCATCACATGTATAACATACTTTAACCAAATATCTCTAACAACCTTATTTCATACTCGTTAGACGTGTTAAAATTGTTAGAATTTGTTTGACTTTATTTTTCGAGATTTACTATATATGACAACTTGGTAGCACCAAACAAAAGCTCAAAATTACCGAAACATGTCTCAAAATAATTATATATGTTTGTTAGATGATTTGTTATAGTAGTTAGAAATGTTAGCCGTTTTTCCCTTTATAACATTTAACTAGCTGATCCAGCAATGCATTTTCTATTGCTAAATAATATAGTTATCTTGTTTGTGACAACCAAATTGTATTCATGTTACCAAGGTAACCCATGAATAAACAAAAATAAGTAAATAAAAATAAAAAAATTGTATCAAAAATACCTAAAAACTTAATTGTTGCAATTATCGTAGGGATTTTTAATTTTTTTGAAAATAAAATATATTCCATGTTACTTTCAGTTTTTGAATCGTTTAAGTAATATTTGAGCTTATCCATTATCAACACACAAACAAATCTTTTCTCTTTATAAATTAAAAAAAAAATAATAATAATAATATTAGTATAAACAGGTGACCCGACAATGCTTTGCAATTGCTAGATAATAGTGTAAATAATAGTATTAATAATAATTAGTTTTAACATAAAAAAGAGAAACTTGAAATTTTCGTTTAACTTTTATTGATTTCTGAGTTAATTTGACATCCTAGGATAATGAGTATGGGTGCAGCCTCTGTTATAGATAATTTAATGTATACCTGTAAGCAGCAATAAACCATTACTTACAAAAAAAAAGATTCTAAGCGGAGTTCAGTAGATAGTGATACTTTGTCAACAATATATAAGTCATTTTATAGTAAAATAATTAAATAGGCTTTATATATATATTTTTAATAATATTTGTTTAATGTTGTACCGATTTTCCCAATTTTCCTACCTTTTCCCGGTTTTTTACATTCGCTGGGAAAATTCTTGAGAAAATCGAAAAATATCTTTTTAAAGTACCTTTCTAGGGAAATTTCCTTTTGAAAACATTGTTATTATTTAAAGTCGGAGCAAAATTGCTCGTTGAAAAATTTTGCACAGGAAAAAAAATAGTAATATTTTAGTAATATAATTCATACATTTTCCCGTTTTTTTTTCCGGTTTTTTAAAATGTTATGAGAAAACTCTTGACAAAATCAAAAAATGACTTTTTTAAAGTATCTCTCCACATCCATTTCATTTTAGAAAAGATGCTACACTTTGAAATCCGAGCAAATCTTCTGGTAGATAAGATGTTTACAAATAGCAATAAAAAAAAAAAACATTTGTAAAATTATAAGCTTTTGTCGCTCCACTCAGAATCTAAAACTTAGAAAAACGGATAAATGTATAGAAATAATGGTTTTATTATTTTGGGTTTCGATTTTTTGTTTTAATTTAGTTAAAAATAATTTTAGATACTTGACCGTTTGACTGAAAATATAGATTTGCTTTATCTAGATGTGGTAAAATTGTCAAAACATTTTAACCATTTTTGAGCTATTTATAGACATTCTAATTTTGCATGATTTTTATTTGATAGGTACCCTGTGGATAAAATTGTTAGGCCAAACAGAAATGCTTAAAAATATAGCATAATTGATTGTATTGTAAATTTTTTTTTTTATAAGATTTTAGTCTCAAAGACGTTTTTCATTAGTAATGATTAATCATTGCGTACAGAGATACATTAAATTATCTTCTATATCATACCTTCTTCACTCCACACCTACAATGGGTCACCCATCGTGCGAATTTATTTTGTTCGTCATTTTTAATAGTAAAGTTGTTAAGATTAATTTAGTACAACTAAGCTCATATTGTTTAGTAACGCCCAATCGGGCAATTTAAACAGAAGTTTATAACATTATTAATAGTATAAAATTGCACACGCATTTAATAATACAAGAAACAAAACAATTTCGATTGAACAAAGTTTTTAATCAAATGTCTGATATATGTTTGTTTGTTTTCGATTGGCCCCCTCGTGTAACTACTAACTGCGCGACCCGGTTAATTTTTTCCAGGAAACATTTAATCGCTTATCTGAGTGTTTCGGATAAACATTTTAATAGATTATTTTGTTCGTTGTAGGCCAGTCTTTAGGTAGTCTGTTAGGCGGATATGTGTTCGGTACGCACGGCGGAGTATGGTCTTTTCGGTTTTTCAGCTCCGGCGCCGCGCTGATGTGTTCATTGACCATACTGACGACTAGAATTTTCCGACTGACCGAAAACTTGAAAAAAAGTAATTACATTGCAATTACCGGCGAACATGAATTTTGAAAAAATCTATTCCAGTAAACCAAGACAGAAGATGTGCAGTTATTGTATACTAATTTCACGTTATTATAAACGATTTTCTAAAAAATATGACACTCGTGAGTATTTCTTTAATAATTTAATATTGAAACGCCAACATTTATCGGCCAAATGACACAGGAAAAACTCGATTTATCGGTTGAAAACTTTGTTTTTTGGCTTTTAATTGACACTGTCGAATCCGGGTATTGAAGACGATTTTACGATTACAATTATTTTTTTTTATACCCTCCCGTTGGAAAATCTGATGGGTACGCCACTGCACGAACCCGTACAACCGACAAGCGATCCGTAAGTAATTTTTGTATGTGTAAAAATGATTTGAATGCAACAATCTTTTTAACATAATCGTATATGGAACACGACGATTAATTTACTTATCGCGCGATAACGGCGTTATCGTAGGTAACGGCGAGCACGGGCCGAACGAAGTTCACGGCAACCGCTTATGATGCTTCTGTAGTACCAATTAGATATTGAAAATTCGCTAATTTATTGATAACAATATTTCAATAACCTAGACAGTAATATTACATTATACTTAGTAGTTAACGAATCTGAGCTGACGAAATCCATATTAGTATGACTTGTCGGAGAGATGACGGGTTTTCGATAAAGTGGTTTTTCGGAGAGAAAACTGAGGAAAATATCATTCCAACTCGATTAAATCGAAACACATTGTGTCACCGGCGACGCGTAACGATGTTTCAAAAGTATACTAAAATTGTTTTGGCATTTTAATGATTTTTTTTACCAGAACCAGACAATAAGTTTTTAGACAATCAGTGTTGAAAAAAAAAAATTCGTTCGAAATGACCGTGAACAAAATATTGTTACCGATCAAAGCGAATTATTTTCTTCTCTCAGCATGTAAGTATACAATAATATTTTATAGGTATACACGATTAATATTTTTTAAACGCTTAGGCAAAGACGTAGATAGTCCCCTCCCTACCGTCGATTATTTTAAACTTTATCTTGACGAAACAATGGTAATACGTAACGAGTCGTATTCGTGAAAAATCAAATCAAATTTGTTTTCGATGAGAATTATTATTTTAAGATTTAAGACAATCGCATGTTTAATATTATGTTCCTTATTATAAATGATCACTGTCGATGTTCTGGGTAGAAAATTATTTATACAAACCGGACACCGGACATCGGCCGAGTAATATTATCAGTACGGAACCGGATGCACATGTTTGAAACGAATGTTGAGAATAAGAATACAAATTGAATGGTACATCAATAGTCATTACACTCATCAATCAAAATAAATAATTATTGCGAACAAATTATGAAATAAATACTCACAGTACAATGAAAATAAGCATGTAAATAAAGCATAGCGAGAAGTGTATTCTATTGTTATGTTAATAGGTCATATATTTAGTGTTTAGAATAAAGCCGGGTACCGGGTGTTGGCTGAGTAAAAATTTAATTTGACGCCGGGTAAATGCGTTGTATCTAATTATTTTAGGTGTTAGGTTTTAGTAACACGACGGGAAAGATGATCCGTGAGGGCGTAGTTTTCCCTCGAAGTGCTTCGATACAAACACTAAAACAAAAAAAATTAAACAAATACCAGACACCAAATCCTAAATATGACATCGAGTACTCGGCCATCGATTTATTGCCGGAACATCTTAACCGTTTTCTCTTTATCCAACTCTGCAGAACCTCCGTCAGCGCTTCTCGGTACCGTACTGGCAAATCGACACGTGGTTTATGCACACGGCGCAAAGTGGAGAATATTTTGATAAAACCAGACAACTTTTATGCATACGTGTAATTTTTTTTTTTATTCGTTTTTTATTGTTTACTGTAGGTATACGTCTTACCTACACCTACCTATATATTAATTGTTAAATTTATTTATTTATCGATAAGTTAATGGAATGGAAGACTATACAAATACGGAACGCAATAATCCGAACTGTACGGAACGGAATAATCCACACTGAAATTTCCTGGACTACAATAATCCGTAACATACAAATCTGGAAAAATATCAATGATTTCTCAAATATTTTCATGATTATAAAGTTAGGGACGATTAAATATTTAGAAATATGGGAAAACCACTCGGGGAGGATCTGGGTTTTATCTTAATTCCGGAAATCTACACTCCGGAATATTGCAGTCTGTGTTTTTACATTTTGAATTATTGCGATTCAGAAAATTACTATCCGGAATATTACGTTGCGAACTTTTTATATTCTGGTTTTGTGCGTTCCGTGAATTTACGTACCACAATATTATGATCCGAGGTTTTACGTTCCGGATTTTTAAATGCTGAGTTTTTATCAATCCGGATAATTAAATTCCGGAAAGTTATGGCCTAGCAATAGAATTGGTAACGGTTTTCCAAATATATTTTAATTTTGTAAAATTTGAACATTTCTTTTTTACATTTTAATGATCCTTATTTAACTATAACAGTGGTCGAAGAACACCTATTTTTCATACATTTTAGATCAATAAGCGATGCTAAATTAGACATACTTCCCAATATTGAATTTTAATGTTGGAAGTAAACGGTGGTATCCGTTTTTATAAACAAATAAGACGTTTTAGATTAAAAACCAAAAAAACACTGTAGGAATTTCGTTTGGCACATTCTAAAATCTGAAAAAGTATTATGATTCTAGGTAATTTTTTGAAATATTTATTGGTTTTACGATAAGTAAAAGACAACATTTTTTAAGTAGATATATTTTTTAAACATTTTGAATTGATTGAAAATAAATATATTTCTATTCCCAATATATTCTGGTAAATAATCTAAAAACCAATATTACATTTTTATAATCGAAATGCATCAAACACAATTTGGGCCCAATCGATTGAAAATTATGTACTTTATTATTCACCAGCAACGGAGCCAAAGGAATGATGACCTAATAATGGTCAAATAAATAAAAAAAGCGTAATAAATTATTATTAAATTATTATTATTTTAGGCGCAGGTCCCATTTTAGGGTTTTTGCCTACCATAGTGAATCAGTTGGGCTACTCGATAACGACATACGGCGTTATTATGACGTTTATGGCCTTGATAACGATACCACTATTACCCGCGATCGGTGTGATCGTTGACAAATTCCGCGTGAAAAAATGTCTGGTCATGACATCTCTGTTCGGGATGAGCATCATGATGTTTTCGTTCATGTACGTGCCAAAATTGCCCGCCGAGAGGGTTTCAATGGTGGAACTGACGTGCGACTGGAAAACAAGAAACTTGATCGTCCGCACCGAAAACGATCAACAAACTGAAGGCAACCAAACGTTTTATATCCAAAACGTCGTCAATGACGTATTGGCCACGTGCAAAGTATGACTTTTTTTAACTATACTATAAAATAGATCTTGGTGAATTAGTCACGAACAATTGATAACCGATCAAAAAAAAAAAAAAATTAATTAAGTAGATATTAATTAAATATTAAATATTTATTTAGTATATGTATTTTTTTTTTTTTGTAATAATTTTTCATACATGGATAAATAAGTTAAAAATCAATAAATTATTTAATTTTATTAAATTTATTAATATCATTTTATTTAAAAATTGTATAGTTTAACCTAGAGAAGTCTATATAAATCAATACCTACATAATTAATTTTTTTTTGGTGACCAATTTGCAGCTACAATCAATTTGCAGTAACGTTCGCAATTAATTCATCGGATACTTTATACAAATCATTTACTAACAAATAACTTGGTCATTTTTCTGTATATGGAAGGGTATTTCAAATTATATAACACAGTAAATTTCACCATGAAATACATATTATTCCAAAAAAAGGTCTATGTGATATTTTATCAAGAACCATAAATTATTCGAATGATACGGTTTTTTTTTTTTTTATTTCTTTGGAATTTTACTATTTAAACGACCCAAAAGTATTTTTAAATATGTTTAACATATAACTTTAATATATCTTAAACATTAAATGTTAATATATACTTTACAGTATACACATTAATGACGTCTGTTCTGATTATACTCTTAAACAAGCCGTATTGTTTCAAACGCTAAAATTAATGTTCTTGGAGTTGTCTAATAATTTGTATGGCTATTGGATTAACATTTTACATTGGATTGCGAGGCAAACCATTGGATTTCATCTGATTTTGTAGTTAATTTCCCCTAATTTTTGCCACACTTATGTTTGGAGTGAAACCACTAACACATTTTGATTTTCAAATAGAAATCTATATAAAAAATTCCATAAATAGTTAAGTTTTAATTTACATTAATGTTGACGTTAACATTTTAAATTTTCGCTGACCATGGATGATGTTCTATAAATCAACGTACGGGTTTCACCACCATACATAAGTGTGAACGAAATAAAGGCGATGCAATTTTTTGGAAAACGATATGATTTTAAAAAGTTTCGACGTAGCCATTTTTGAAAAATAAGTATAGTATTTCATGGTAAAAATTGAACCTAATATAACAACTTAAAATATCCTGTATTTTTCAGTGTGATCAACAACATTTTTTAGTGTGATTCATTATCTCTGAAACTATTCACTTTTTCGACATTTGTGTTTTGGAAAATTTGAGAAGCTCTGAAATGTTACAGTACCGTTATTTCGTTATCCTTATTTTATAGAGTAAGACCACTAATAGTGACCCACTTATGATTTTCAAACAGCAACGCATTACACGAATTTCATAGATAGATGAAGTTTTAGTTTAAATATATTTTGGTGTTACAATGTTTAATTTCCACCAGTGGTGAATAGTGGTGAATCCATTGTTTAGTGGCGTGGCGTTTAAATAGTGTTTCACTACTCTCCCCCTAACCAAATATAAAAGTGGAACACGCTGTCAATGCCAAATTGTACTAAAAATACAATTTTACCTAGTTGTAGAATTATTAATATAAATTGTCATTCAAAAATCAAAAGCGATTAGTGATTTCACCATCAAAAGTAAAGGTGACAAATAAAAAAAGCCAAACAAAATTGTAGAGTTGCTTGTTAATTCTAACAAATTCTGAAAAAAATATTAATAATTGCCCACACAATGAGTGTCGTACCTATATTGATTACTTTGTAAATATTATTCAATTTCTAAGATACAAACATGTTATGGATTTTAATAAAGCACAGACAAAAATAAAACAAAGTAAAAAAAAAAACCCTCATTAGTTTGAAGAAAATCGCGTACGCGTCTCGTTGTTTTTAATATTTGAATAAAAAACGATACACAATTAATTGTATGGGATATTTTACAGTTGTTAGAGTGTCGAACTTTGAGGTCGGTTAACTATGATATAAACGATCATAAAGGCCACCGAGTTAACACGAGGCGTCAGTTCGGATCTATCGGACATTTAAATAGTTATGATCGGGTAGACGTAGCGTTCAAATTGAAAGACGTGAAACACGTAATTACATACTTTCTGTCGTAATATTCTGCTATTGACACGTGTATAGCTTAGCCTTTGTTGACCTAATTATATTTTACAGGTCAACAATTCGAATGTTTTCCATTTGACGTCCGTACATGTTAACGAGAAGGAAACACCGTCAATTGCCTGCAGCCCATGGAATTTTCCGACTTATCGTTGTGTCATTCAATGTTCCAATAAAAACGCAATGAGGTTAGTCGCTATGAGTACGGCGTACGGGAGGCGAAACATTCTCGGATTGTACCAGTTTTGGATTTTCTTCACCGTTATCACTTTGTTTTGGATATTCCTGATGACAACGGTTTCGCTACAAAATCCAATTTGTTTGGACATGCTGGGTAAAAATATATACAGTCACGATTGTTACGGGCGTCGGCTTATTCCCTTTAAATATTATAAAATTATAATTATTATACGCAGCGCAGCAATAGAGTATTATTTAAGTATGAGCCACAACGGTATTCGTGAAGTCAAATTAAATGAGCGATAGTTGTTCGGCATCAAAACTACATTCTCCGGACGGGGACTGGTTGTCTAAATCTACCTCAGCTGCTGTCAATTTCGGGCGCACCGAATCAGCAGGGCAACTATCTACTAAAACTCCGGCGCAACGAATGTGAACAAACAATTTTAGCAATATATTTATGCGCGTATTTTTGCACAACCCGGATGCCGGGACCGATGTGTGAGGTTATCCCTCAACTGAGCAATAACATGTTGTTGTCGAAGACTTTAGGTGGAGGGTCTAGGGTATAATATACCGGCCGCCGAAAACGCCTTTTCATACGAGTCTGAGTACTAAAAAAACCTCGAGCACCTTCACGTCAGACAGACTTGTAAATTAATTAAAAAGTATTAGAAAATATTTGAACTAAATAAAAATACTTATAAAATATTGTGTCTACTCATTCGATTTAAACCTGACTCTAAGTTTGAAAATACGCCCGCAACATAATAAACACTATAACGCAACATTAACATCATAAACAATAAAGAAGTGCATAGGATATGGCCTAACATTTTTATATTTCGAATGATCAGAAATTGAGACGATTTGTTTCCATTATGCGACACAAATATTATGTTGTGTTCGTTCTTTCAGAATTCAAATTATACCGTGGTAGTCTGAGATAATTTATAATGTAAATATTACTATTTAAACACAGAATAAATTAATCTATTCTACGATTTTAAGAACATACGCACCTATATTAATCATAGAAACTCTAGTAGCGCACGTATTACGTATTAGTTTGATAATGGGCCTTTGACTTCAGTTGACCGCCATTCCAGAGACGAGTTTCTCATCAGATTATAATGGGCATGTTCTATCCTTTACGTTTATTATCTATGGACGTCGCGTGTCGATTCATTTAAATAATTTAGGAAATTCTATATAAATTGACAGATAACAAACCAGAAGATTTCGGTAAACAGAGATGTTGGTCATCAGTAGGTTGGGGAGTATTTTCGATACTCATCGGATGGCTGGTAGACGTGTTCAGCGTCGGTAAAAAGGAAAAAGATTACTCGCCAGTATTCTATTCAGGCATTACGCTGACAATAGTTAATTTGTACGTGGTGTCAAAACTTCAAGTGCGTTATAATATTATACATACATAGTTAGGTTTATCTATATTATTAACGTTGGCCGCCGTTTTGCCGTCCTAATAGGTCTTCGAAACCAAAAAATCCAAAGGCAAATGGAAGTGCGTACGCGGACTGTTCACTAAATACTCCGTAATTGTATTTTACGCGTGGACAACATTCAATACATTTTTTTATACTATAATTAATAACTTTTTATTCTGGTAAGTAGGTGTACAAATAGTTTACGTTTCACGTTAAACTTACACAACTATAATTAATGCCGTATATAATACTATTGTTGTTTACATTTTTTTTTCACCTCTGATATTCGTAGGAAGAATATTATATTGCCATATTGGTTCACTACGGTTTAGTGCCCGTTTAACTCTCATTTGTCACAACCTCCCCCCTCAAGTTAGAAGTTCACTTTTAGACCAAACAGTCGCTTGTACTCAACAGTATTTTATATTTACACGCAGGTATATGGAGGAACAAGCCAAGGTCAACAACGACCGCAACCATCTATTGAAGTGGATAAAAACATTACAAGGGTTGGTACAGGGCGTCCAATGTTTAGGCGGCGAAATTCCATTTTTCTTTTGGTCTGGTTGGATAATCAAGAATGCGGGGCACGCCAACTGTATGGCCCTGACGCTGGGTTGCATGGCCATCAAGATGTATCTGTACACCGTGGTCCCGAACCCCACCTGGATCGTGTTAGTCGAACTGCTCAACGGTCTGTCATATGCGTTGGGATTCGCGATGAAGATGTCATATGCAAAATTGATTGCACCACCGGGTACGCTGTGCACGGTTGTCGGATTAATAGGATTGGTTGACAATGTTGGTACGTATAAATGTTACTATTTAGTGCCTGTATAATAAGAAAGTGATCAATTAGGGATTTGTTTTTTATTGATATATCCGTGGCATGGGCGGCTCTATTTTGCGACATTTTTAATAATTTACTATGTCCGGTATGTTACTGCAAGCGCTATTAGTCCACATAGGGCCGTTAAAATGTCTCGATAAAGCCTCCACTGAGGTTAAATATTATTAAGCCGTAATATACAAGACGATTCACTGAGCCTACCATTCCATTTTTTTGATTACATTTTGCATATATTTAAATTCTGATTTTTGGAACTTTTAAGTATAGTTATAAAACCGATATTTTTGAATATTTAGATTTTTAACAACATTTAAGGAGTATTTTGTGATGATACTAACTTAAGTTTTTCAAATGAAAACCTGTATTAAAAATAGCGTTCAAACATTTTACTAAGTGTTTCGGGCAAATATTTTAATGGATTTTTTTTTTTACAGGTCAATCTTTAGGTAGCTTGTTCGGTGGATATATGTTCGGTAGGTACGGCGGAGTTTGGTCTTTTCGGGTTTTCAGTTCTGGCGCTGCGCTGATGTGTTCCTTAACCATACTGACGACCAGAATTTTTCGACTGACCGAGGACTTAGAAAAAAATAATTACATTGTGATTAACAACGATCCCGAAATTCAAGCAATCAATTCCTGGAAAGGAGACGACAATGCGGTTGTTGTAAATTAATTTTAAATATAATGAAAACTTATCTAACAATTATTTTTGTTTAACGAGTCGTATTCAAACGTCACAGAATTACGTGTGATAGTAAAACGACTAATGAAATGTACAATACATTGTTTTAATCAGTAATCGTAACATTTATCGGTTTCGGTTTTTCATATGTTCTCTACCCAGTCACTAACTCAAACTGTAAAGTATGTACTAAGTACGCAAAATCCAAAATGGTATATTTTTATTACAAAATAAACTTGTATTGTTATCGAATATTCGAAAATGTATACTGATAAATTGTATCGATAATTTACTTAATTTAGTTATAGAATCAAAATTTTAAAAAAGAGCTGATACTGGATAAAATTTTACCACGTCTAAGTAAGTCTAATATAAGTATTATTACCAAGTTTCAGGTCTCTACGTGGATTTATAACCGAATTACAGCAAAAAACTCTCAAAAATTAAAATTTCTTAAAAGCTCAATAAAAGCTCAAAAGTTTTAGCGATGATACCGTGAGAAAGTAAATTAAAAATATAAAAAAAAAATTATTTTGTAGTTTTTCGATTAAATAATTTTTTCTGGTAGAAAACGTCGTCCGTGTTTTTATAAAATAATAAAATTGTGAAATTGTACGTTTTCTTACGTTTTTTCATACTTAAGTGCTTTTATTTCAAAAATAGCATTAGAAATTAAAAAATAACCTATTTAAAGTACCGTATAGACATCTTGATCTATCAAAAAAGTCACTACGCGTAAAAATCGGAGCAAATTCACTAGGAAAAAACTTGTCCACAGACTAGAAAAAAAAAAGAAAGAAATAAACATCTTAGTAAATCAAATAGGTTAGGTTAGAATCTTGTAAAATTAAGAAGTAAGTTTTTGATTTTTCAAGGTGTTTTTTATAATAATTATCAACATTTGTAGAAAAAACGGTATAGTTTACGGCATTAGTGCTTTCATTATTTTCAATTTTGTTTTTTTACTATTATTTTGTTTAAATATGGTAACCTCTATAAAAATTATTAGTGCCCCACTCTCCGTAAAAAAAAAAAAAAAAAAAAATGGATAAAATTGTGGGAAGTACTATGCCCGTCAGGGCCAGCCAACTGTTGAGTAGTTAGTACAGGCGCAGTACTGTGTTTTTTGTGTTTTTAATGTAATATTATAATTTAATTTAATATATTTTCCGAACCATTAATGTTTTATAATAAAAATATATTTAAATTACGTCGATAATTGTATACAATAATAACGCGTGATATAAATTTAAATAATATAATAGTTATTATCATAGTACATGTTGTTCGGTTTTTCGTTATCATATTCCACTGAAACACTCTAGTTATAATATGTAAGACGTAAGTGTTCTATTGGCTATCGGACCCTTATTTACATTACGTTACCTTACATGACGACAATTCGTCGTATTTGTGTATATTATTATTATTTTATAATTAAACACTCGATCAGACACTGATCTCGTTTACAAATGAATAATTACGAAGTTGATAATGGGACTGTTTGAACAAAATAACTGTACAACAATCGTAATAAAAAAATAGTGGGAGGATTGACCGATATAACGAACGTGATCACATCCATCATTGACAATGCAACTGATATTGCCTACGATGAAAATATTACATTATTAGGCCGGGAAGAATTAAAAACTAATCCTCTGTTTGTCTCATAATAAAGTAATATCAACGAGCAAAATACAATTGATTGCATTAATACAACAGTGGGTATTAGCCGTTGGCTATATTGTTTTCCTCGGTCGTCTGCCGCAAACGATAAATAGCAGCGATATCGTGTTTACGAAATGCCATTCGAGACTTCGTCTCGCGAGTGAAACATTTGACGTTAAAAAAAAAAAAACGTTACACTTTAATTAACAGCGCACATTACGTTAAAATCACGTTGTTTACATTTCGTTTTCTTTAGTTGGACATTATTCAGGTTCCGTCAGTGTTTTATGATAAACCGAATAAACCGATCAACGAAAATGTTCGGATTTCACGTAAACAAAACACTATTACCGATAAAGGCGAACTATTTTCTCGTGTTCGGATGTAAGTATATATTATTATATCGTAGTGACCGGAATCGCGGCGAGTTTGACGCGATAATGGTTTTTTTTTTTTTCCGTACGTATAGGCATAGGACCAATACTGGGGTTTTTGCCCACTTACGTCAGACAATTGGGCTACTCCGTAACGACTTACGGCGTTATTATGACGTTCATGACGTTTATAACGATGCCGCTGTGTCCCGCTGTCGGTATGATCGTCGACAAATTCCGAGTGAAGAAATTGTTGTTCCTAACGACCCTGTTCGGGATGGGATTAATGGTGGTTTTGTTCATGTTAGTACCGAAATTGCCGGTCGATACGGCGGCGGTGGCGGAACTGACGTGCGACCGGAAAACGGGGAAATTGGCGGTACGCGCCGGAAAAGAAACGACAATTTTCGCTGAAAACGACACCGACGGCGTACTAGTCACGTGTGAGGTAGTACCAATATTATATTACGACTGTCAACGATACGACACAGTTAACGAAAAAAAAAAAATTAAAAGTAAAGAGCTGATACCTGAGAACTGTTGCGGCCACTGTCACTGGTGAAAAACGGAATGCGTATCAATTTTAAATAATGAAATCGTAACGCCCGTTAATTTGTCAGTTTTCATTTTACATTTTTTGTCCGGTTTTTCCTAATTTCAATTTGATTAATTTAAAATATGTTTGTGCTGTTTGTGTTATTAGTAGCTATTTGAAATTTTCGAGTACCTACTTTTAGTTTTGTGGATATAATTTTTTGGCTTCTAATAAAATGATCGAATATTTAATACTACATTTGCCATAAGTCTCTGTGACAAAAAAAAAAAGTGAGTCTAAATTTGTTTTTTGTTTTGTATGAAAACTAAATCACTATAATGCAAACGTTTAGGAGTGCGCAGAAACAAAAACAAGCCGATCTTCGATCGGCCGCGAACAGTCTACCTTACGGTACATGAAGCTGCCATTAGTTGACCTTGCAAATAACATATCCAAAGTTTCTTACCTGATTTGTTGAACATTTTTCAAATTTTTTGGACAATATAAACAAAGTTATTCAACTTGAAGTTTTAAAAAATAATTATCTAACATTATTTGATTTTGTTCAACAAATTTCAACAATGGCCAACGAGTCATAGTAAAGGTTGTTTGAATTTTTTTTTAATTTTGTCAACTTTGAGGTACCAGTTTCGCATACTCCCCTACCTTCATTAGGAATTTCTCCCACCATATAACAAGTTATACAGTGTCACGGTTTTTTTTTATTCACGAACCAAGGTCTAGGCTGATGTTATTGTGCTCGCGCTGTAAATGCCACATATTGCGTTCAGGATATAAGGCTTGCCATGCCCATACAGTCGTTGTCAGTCGAACAATACTAAACTCTCTCCGAAGAGTGTACTGTGATTATGATAATTATTGGATACCAATAAACCGAAAATATATCCAATCCGTGTTTTTGTTATCTATGATAAGATGGCGTTAACCATTGACGTAATAATACTAAAATTGCAACAATTATAAAATACATGACCATATTATAAATATAATGGTATGTTAGGTTAGGACGTTGATGACCTAAAACACACACAAAAATGCCCTGAATAAAATGCAATAAAAACTTCAAAAAATAATCTAAGAAATCGAATAAGTGAAAAAAATGTATTTATAAATAATAATTTTTATTAGAGATGTAGTGTGAATTATAATTTTAATAAACAATAGTATACATTTACTTTTTAAGCATTTTATAAAATTATTGAAAATGAATTAAAAAGTAAAATATAAATAAAAAAATTATAATAAAAATATTCATATTGCACTGTTGCACTGTACAATTAAAATGTCTGATATTTTTAAACAAAAAACGACAACGTCGATCAGTAAATAAATGTTTGTATGATGAAAAACTTCGCTCGACATCAATGGACGTTATGGTTGCATACTTGAAGTAGATCATGTCATTTGTAGTTAGATCTTCTGGAATATCTTCTCCTCTTGTGCCTTTACCATCGAGCAATTCAGAACTGTTAGTTACAATATTAAATCCATTATTCTTCAAAATGATATTCTCTATTTCGGTTGCTATTGTTTGTCCGAATTTATTTTGGGATTTTTGGATTAAACACTCAATTTTTTGAATGCATTTAATTGGTTCTAATAATAATATCCCGGACGTCTCCAACTATGTCATTTCCGAAGGTATAAATCCAAAATTAGATTTTAAATCCATTAAATTTGTTTACAAACATGAGTTTAACACTTGCTCTATTGCGCCTTTAATTGCGATTGAATCATTTTTGTCTAATTCCGGAATCACTTTTTTTATATCAGATAAATACCCACAATAATAATTTTCTACATTTATCCATATTACCCAGCGTGTGAGTATGGGTTCAGGTGGCAAAGGAATTCCGGAAGCAATAGTTTTAAAAATTTCTACTCGATATGGCTTTCAGAAATACTTTTTGAACAATTGATATAAGTTTATTTATGTCTAGAAAATTTGTCCTAATTTCTTAAGCCACTCTATTAATTGCATAAAAAATGCAAGTTATGTGTATCATTTTAGAATATAGGTTTTGTATAACTTTTCCTGCTTTTACCATATATGGAGCCACGTCAGATAAAAAAAGATAAACGTTGTCATTTTTAATATCCAGAGACCATAGTATAAACATAGATTAATCAAACATTTTGGCGATTGTTGAATTATTTGCTTTTTCCAAAACGTCAGTATGCAATAAAATTATTTTGCCTGTATTTTCTAATTCCAAAATCCCAATAATGACATTTACTACTTATCGCCCTTCGACATCCGTTGTTTTGTCAATGCTGACCCAAATTTTTTTATTTTCTACGTAGTCTGGGAATTTTTTGCATTGTATCATTGTAACACATAATTCGTACGTAAAGTTGACTCATTTGGGATATCAACTTTAATATATTTTTCTGAAAATTTTCGAAAATGTTCGTTGTTTAATTTATTAATTTTTTTAAGCGGAATATTAGCTAATAATAATGTTTGACATAATTTCCAATTAAATTAAATTTGTTTGATGTATTTTTTGTATCGGTCAGTAATAATTGAGTTTGGTTTTTCTTCTTTTTGTCACTCAACTCCCTGTGTTTTTCTCAATTTACGTGTTGTTCAACAGTAAATCGTTTCAATGCACTTATTTTATCAATATATATTACTCAAATAGTAAATCTTATTGGTACACAATAAATTTGATCACAAAAAAAATCCTATATTTTGATTATACATTTTCGTAAGAGTTTCGATTCGAGTCTCGAGAAATACTCTAATGCCTGCGTGAACATGACGGCAACGCAAATAAATTGTACATTGTTCGTGCGATGAAAACTTTCTGTTGCGCATTGTTCTACAAGATCAAATTAAACAATAAAAATTAATATAAAAGGTGATAGAACGATTACTATCTCTACTGAATTATTTCAATAACAACTTGTAACTAACTTTAAAACTATAAACGTCGTCTTTGTAACAGTCAGTATTCCGGATAAAACTAATATTTTATTGCTTAATGCGATAATATTATAATTAAAGCTGGGCTCAACTCGCCGCGTATCTTAGCGTATAATAATACGTAAAAATAATAAATTATAGAATTATTGTTTGAATGTGACAATCTCGTATAAAATATTTTATATGCTCAGTGTCGGCCTGGCACACCAAGGGCCACTGAAGCATTTTGTTTTTAGAGGTCTCATAGGCCATCGATGATAAATAAACTCTGATTTCCAGAGATATTTCAGATTTTAGTAATTGGTAAAATATAAATTTACTCGTTCACACAATTATTTTATTAATTTACTGCAGTCTGAAGTAGTCAACTAATCCCTAAACAATACTATAAGTACATAATATTTTAATATCTGCAATAGGTATAATATTTATTATTTAGATCATGGATGGCCAAACTGCGGCACACGTGCCATTTGTGGCACATTTATTGTTATAGAATGGTACACTAGTGTCAGATAAAATAATATATAATTTTTAAAAATAAGTATTATTAAATTAGATTATATTATCGCAGTGGAATTTTCCGATTATTATTCCGATACGAGAATTGTTTCGGTACGTGTGTACTAGATTACTACAATAAAGTTAATCGTATTAGAATCGCCGTGCTCGTGCGTTAACGCAGTAGTTTGTGCCGTTGTGTGTGTGTGATAGTGAAATGGCATCTAATAAACCAGGAACTTCAGGTTTAGGCGTAAAACGAAGTTATAAAGATGATATTTCTTCGCGAATTTTTAATACAGAATGGATAGAAAAATTTTTATGTATAGAAGGGAAAAAATCTAGACCGACATGTTTAGTATGTAACTCTGTAATTGAAGTTCCAAAAAAATTCAATGTTCAACGGTACTATAATAATCACAATGATATTATTGAAAAATACCCCGAGGGTTCTGTAAAGAGGACAGAATATATTAAAAAGAAGACTAATTCATTGTTAACTCAGCAATCAATTTTTACTAAACAATCAAATGAAAAAAAAGACATGGTGTTAACGTCTTATGAAATCGCATTTTTGCTGGCCAAGTGTGGAAAACCTTATTCTGATGGCGAAATCATTAAAAAAAGTTTCGATATTTTTGCAAAAAATGCAAATGATTCAAAAATTTCTACGTACGTAAATGAAGATAATATTAACAGACACAAATATAAATGGAGGGGGGGGGGGAGTAATATGCAGTCACCGCCAGGCAGACAATGTCTGTTGCTCAATCGTGTTAATTTTATTTATTTATTCGTATGTCAATCGTGTTAATCAAAAAGAAAAAAATATATATATTTATATAATACTAAGTAATCCATTTAAGTGGTTACGCTTATTTTTTCAGAAAGTGTTAACTTTTGCTGGAATTTATTTTCTAGAACATTTAAGAAACAAGCTGCTCTACAGTTTTATAATTATGTTATTTTTTGTTGCCTTTTTTTTGGGAGGTAAAAACATTATCTACTTTTAATTTTAAAACGGCAAAATATATTAAAAATTCCATAAATAGATGGAGTATTAGTTAAAATAAATTTTAGTGTTGAAATTTTTATTTCTGTCTAACCGTCGAGATAATTCACTTTTAAGTTTGGGTTGGAGGAAAGTAGTAGTGCATTATTAAAGCACCGCGCGCTGTACCGACACAAAAATGATACTCCACTATACTTTCCTCCAACCTAAATTTAAAAGTGGGATTTTCAATATTCTAAAAAACAAATTCCGAGAAAAGTTAATGCTTTTCGAGAAAATAAGTGTACCCAATTATGTGAATCACCTGGTATGCTCAGTCATGTAAGGTCAATTGTTTTTTATCGTGGTATTAGCTTCATTAAGATAAATTGCGATACCTATGTAAAGTAGATTTTTTAGGCGAAAATATTGTGTAACTGATTATTAAAACAATGATGAACCTTCAAATTATTAATCTACAATTTTTTGAAAGACACAAATATCATTAACAAATTTAATTTTCATAGAAAAGTTATTCGTGAATCGTTTGATATTATTTAGAAATGATAGTAATTAAAAAAATCGTTCACTTCAAAAATTATAAAAAAAACTGATGATTCACCATTAGTTCGTATATATAACAGCAACATTTTATAGCAAAATTTGTTTTCAAAATGATTTGGATTCTGTAAAAACAATTTTAAAATAGGACGAACATACTTTGCGTGTGGGAGCAGACACTATTGTAGGTGGGTAGTTGGAAGGTAGAATATAAAAGGGAATTTAATGTATATTTATAAGCAAAGATATACCATTGCTAATGAAAAAACGATTTTGAGCGGAATTTAGTTGATAGTGTTACTTTGTCAACAATATATATGTCATATTATGGTAAAATGATTACAACAATGAGTGTTTTCATGATAATAATGATTTTTAAAAAAGATTAATATAATAAAAACTTAATTATAATAAAAAATAAACAACCTTATTTTTAATCTTTCAATCTTTTTTAACCTATAAAGAACCAGGTTTTTTTCATTATCTAGAATATTAAATAGAATTTCACTTGATAATCAGAGTAAGCTTTCTGGTATAAAACGAGTTCACATAAAAAATAAACATCATTGTAAAACCAATACTTTCCTAAGTATGGAAAGTGTGTTCAAATTGGACATAAATATTTATCCGTTTATCCCTACGTATTTTCTATATTTTTTCCGGTTTTTTCCAATTGTTATGAAAACCTCTCAAAAATTTAAAATATGTCGAGTTTAAAGTACCAAGTAAATGAACTAGTCTTTCAGGAAATGTGCTAAACTTGAAAATCGGAGCAAAATTTCTGATAAAAAATTTTTTCAAAGATAAAAAAAAAAAGAATCATTATAAAACCAATAATTTAACCTCGCTTCACTCGGAATTGAAAAAAAAATAAGAAGGAATGACAATTTAAAAATATGAATTTGAAAAATAAATGTTATCCAATAACACTATATTGTATTATGCAGTTACAGAGCTGTCGATTAACGGAGCCGTATGACCACGACGTTTTAAACAACCAAAGAACACAATCAGCAAACGATTCAAACGATAGCTGGTTTGGGTCTATCGGACTTTTAAGCAGTAGTGATCGGATCAACGTAGCGTTTAAATTAGAAGACGTAGAACAAGTAATAATAATAATTATAATATTATACTCGTTAAATATTCTATTAAATTAAAAACCACAATATAATTATGTTTCGAGTAATACTGAGCGAATCGTGTTTTACAGGTCAGCAATTTGTATGTTTTCCACTTATCGTCCGTACTCGTCAACGGTACAGAGACATCGTCAACGTCATGCAGTCCACAGAATTCGCCTACATATTGTAGTTGCGTCAACTGTTCCCACGAAACTGTAATGAGAGTAGCCACGAATATGGTTTACGGATGGCATAAAATTCTCGGCTTATATCAATTTTGGATTTTATGCTCTGTTATCATTATGTTTAACGTCTTCATGTTAATAACTAGCGCGCTCCAAAATCCAATTTGTCTGGAAACGTTGGGTAACGACATGGTTATAAAATCCATGGATAATACATAAGAGATAGGTTATATTGGTTATCAGGCGTAGTTCTTGTCTCTTCGTTCACACTCAGGAATTAAATAAGAACAAAACTGCAGGGTGTCCCATGAATATAATATTATGATCATTGCTATATATTGAAAAGTACCTGTTCACTTTTTTCATAATTTTTTTTTTTTACAATTTAAGAAACAAATTCTAAAATGTTACATTATCATTATTTTTGTTCGACCTTGGGAGTGAACCGAATTTTTGGTTTTAAAATGGCACCCTATATTAAAAATACCTTAAATTGGAAGATGGAGTATTAATTTAACTGTAGCATTTTGGTGTTGACATTTTTCATTTCCATCAACCCGTTAACAAGTTATTCCACTTTAGAGTTTAAATATGAAGAAAATAGCAGGGCACCAGGAACACTGAAAACAATGGAAATATCCAAAAATTAGAGTGACAAAAAAATAATGGTAATATAACATTTTAGAGCTACATATTTCTTAAATTATCAAAAGAAAATGTTTAAAAAAATTAATATTTTCCAAGATATCGCAAGGTATCGCAAGATATCAAATCTTTGTAAGACATTACAGCATATTGTATTGGACACGACAAGGTGTGAAGGTGTGGGTAGCTTGTCCACAATTAATTGGGCAATCGGTATCAAAGCAGATATAGTTGTAGAAAGTACGTATCAATTAGAATATGTAGAAGCCCTCTAAGAATAAGTCTATATTAATTACCTATAGATAGATGGCGCATTGTTAATGGAAGGAAAAATACCCCCGTACTCCGTCTATCCAGGGACAATTCGTAACTACAAATATAATTATCCTCTCCAGTCCTGCATATCTTAGTTGTGCAATAAATGTTACAATAACTTCTCACTATACGCACGACAACAAGAACTAATTCATGTATAAGAGTCAACATATTACGAGATATTGCTAATATGCCCTAACCCATTATGTATTATCTATGATACAATCACGAATCGCGACAATCATAATTAATCGTTTAAGTAAAATCGAAATTTTTTTTATCTCGGCAGACGACAAATCGGAAGATTACGGAAAACAGAGATGTTGGGCATCGATAGGTTGGGGCCTTTTTTCAATACTCGTCGGATTGCTCGTCGACGTGTTTAGTACCGGTAAAAAGGAAAAAAATTACTCGCCAATATTCTGTTCAGGCGTCATACTGACGATTTTCAATTTGTATGTGGTGACAAAAATTAAAGTGCGTTATAATTGTATTCATTATTATTTATTACCTATTGCAGTCTAAATTTTAATTAACTTTTGACCGTTACAACCGTTGTTTATATCGATAGCTAAGAGCTAAAAAGTGGCGACCATTGAATTGGCTCCCAAGAAATACAATATTAAATTGAACCCTAATAATATTTTCAACAAGTGTATCTCAAAATATAAAAAGTACCTATGAGAAATTAATATTTTAGCCACACGGTACCGGATTACTATTAAAAATTATCTAATTTTAAGACGATTACGCGTTCAATAGTCACGATTTAACTATAATAGATATTTCTATACTTAGTCATTGAGTACTTAAAATGTATTGGATCTGATGTCATACAATACAGTAATCACAGTTCGTCGTTTGTATTCAATATTCATATAACAATAGTTTTAACTATTGAATGCTTTGGTCGAGAAAATAAAAAGTGAAAAAGGAAAATTAATTTATGTGTATCTTTTCAAAAATTCCATATTAAGTTTAATCCTCAATTTTATTCACCATACCCAAATATTTACAATTTCTTTAATATATTATATGGTGTTCAAGCTGTTACTGAAACTATTATAAGAAGTTGGTGTAATATCCAGATTTCGATGCATACATTAAACAAGCACTAGCTAACAAATTTAATCCTATTACATAATACCTATTATTTAAATTTGAAATTTTGTTTAGTAATTATTATTATTTTAATTGAATTTTATTATTGATATTTTCATTTGACTCTATATAATTTAATATTTATATTTTAAATAAATTATTTATTATTTATTTATTTATCATTTTGAACAATTTTGATAACCACTGTATTCATAAAATAGAGGAGCTAATTCAATAGGTAAAAATATAGACTGCTTAGCTAAGTTTGGGAGCAATTTCAATAATCCCGCTAAAATTTGGGTGTCTAATTTTTCTCAAATCGTTTTATAAATCCACTGGATTAACCAGGGTCGGCTAAATATTATAAGTCTATACCATATTAAAACTTGTTTTTTTTTTTTGTGGTATTTTAATTTTTATGTTTTAAGTTCGAGATTTTTTTCAGTGCACACTTACAAGTCTTAAATATATGTGACATACAATAATTTGTATCGTTATATTATGCGGACAAATGTAAAAAATTCTGGACTTGTTACTTTTATGTTGTTTATATTACATAGATATACTTATATAGGTGACTGAAACAAGAAAATCAAAGGTCAAACGGAAGAAGATTTATGGACTGTTCACAAGATTTTGCGTGATATTTTTCTATGTGTGGGCATTGCTCAATTCATTGTTCCACACGATATCCACCAGTTTCACATTCTGGTAATTTTTTGTTCCTACGGTAGTCACTAATTGTTGATTTACGGACCACTATGGTTTAATCATATATAAAGCTGGGGGTTCTTGACAGTAGGGTTGCCAATTTTAAGTAAAGTACGATTATATCATGTTTTTTGTTTTCGAATTAGTTGTTAGTAATTAGTAATTAATCGACTTAGGTATATGGAAGAACTGACGTTATCCAACAACGACCGCAATCAACTGATGTGGCTAAAAACGCTACAAGGGTTGGCGCAGGCTGTCCAGTGTTTCTGCGGTGAAATACCATTTTTTTTCTGGTCCGGTTGGATCATCAAGAGGTTGGGACACGTCAACTGCATGACTCTGGCTCTAGGTGCTATGGCTCTCAGATTGTACCTGTATACCGTGATTTGGAATCCAGGTTGGATCGTGCTTATCGAACTGCTCAACGGCGTGACGCATTCGCTCGCGTTTGCGGTGAAAATGTCGTACGCAAAAAAGATTGCACTCCCGGACACACTTAACACGGTTATCGGATACATAATGTTAATTGACATGTTTGGTACGTATTCCCAATGGTTTCCAAAATATACATTGGGTCTGATAGAAAACTATGTACGTTTATTACAATTAAAGGGCTTAGTGTTGGTCAACGATATCTACGATATCTTAGGAGAATTATCGAAAATACCCAAAAATATATTTTTATCCAACACTAAAACTTAAAAGCGTTTGTTGTATTCCAAAATAAAATCGCTGAACAATGAGTTCACTGGTTCCGTACAAATTTGCACTTTGTGTAATTTCGTTGAGTTATTCCGGTTACCATCACTAACTGCGAACCTATACTAAACTATTTTTGATACTGACATTTTTAATGCTGTCACGCTCGTCAATCGCAATAATTAATTCTGAGGCCTTGCATAAAAGTACGTATTTCGAGAACTCAAATTAATTCAAATTCGAATTCATTATTTAACTTATGACACTTAAAAAATGTTTTCCTTTTTGATATCATATCTTATAGGGAATTATTTGTATTTTAATAATAATGATGATACTCTTAACATAACAAGCTTAAATTTCGAACAAAAGAATATGTGGCTATATTATATTCTTATGATGATTGAGTACCGATATTTTATTTCTTTTTTTGCATAAGCAATATATAAATATAGACCCAGTTCGTTCAATCAGTCCGCTTAATGTAATGAACTAATAATAATTTTGGAAATGGATTCGAATTCAGCGAAAAGTTTATATAAGATCGGCCACTTATTTTTTTCCCAATATTGATATCAAATTTTTGAAAATTAAGAACTAAAATTTTAAAAATTGACTAATATGACACATGGTCAAAACAACACATGCAAATTAAGTTGCGTATATTTTACTCCTTCCCGGTTCTAACATTATTAACAATGTCTCGAAGAAAATTAATATACAAATGTGGATTTGAATTTTATAACACGATTAAATATTTAACATAATATTTAAATATTTAACTGCTCATGTTTTAATCGATTCCCAATTTTTTACGTTACAGGCGATTCTTTAGCTACTCTATTAGGCGGATACATTTTCGGTTGGTATGGAGGAGTGTGGTCGTTTAGGTTTTTCGCTTTTGGCGCTGCGCTGATGTGTTTCTTGACCATACTGACGAACAATGTTTATCCAATGACCGAGGATATAGAAAAATTGAATTTTATCTCTGTTACTATCGATCCTCAAAAGACAATAACAAATGATGATGGTGTCGTTATTATAAACTAAAATATTATAAATTTAGGGCTCAGACGTTATTGCACTAAAAATGTTATACAATTGATTGCATTATTGCTATCACGCATCTATTGATCAAATTGTTTTTCCAGTTACCACCGACGACGATGGTCAAACAAGCCACAAGTCGCAACCAAAAAAGCCCGACATAACCATAGATTATCTCCAAATATACGCTAATAAAAAAAGTGAAAACATAAAAAAATACATAAAATTGTATTGAAAATGACGATAATCAAAAAATTTGCATTTAAATTGAAAAAAGTAAAAAACTGCAGAAAGTTGCACTTAAATTTTTTAAATATTGCTTTTTACTTGTTTGAAATAAATGTATAACCTACTTAGTAACGAATCCGAACAATAGAAAATAAGTTGCAAATGCAACAACACTCGAGCTCTAATTATAATAAATTGTTTTTTTCTTTAAGCAAATTATACATTTTAAAGACATGTTTACGATTCGTGTTTAGATAACACTTGGCATAGGCCAAGAAGGTTGATTTTCTATCGCCCTCCCACCCTGAAACCACCGGTGTCATCAAAGACAGTGCTAAACATAATAAAATTAATGAAATATTTGATTGGCCAAGAGATTAAGACTTTATATAGTTATATATTTATATTTATGTATATTATTATGTTTTATGTACAGCAACCGATTATAATAAAGGTACTTTATTTTGTTAAATATCGAGACTTATTTTGTTTAAGAGTCACTCGAATACATTTTTGTTCGGGATACTGTGTATTAATTTTCCTGTATGTACTTACTTACATACAGGAGAATATTCTAATTAGATAAACATTTGTTCGCAATATTAATACAAGCAAATTAATATTAGACATACAAGCCAATCAGGGTACCGAAAATTTTTTAGTAGGCCATTCTCTGTACAGGCCCTTCATGTGTACTTGTTTTCTGGTTTTCTGATTCTGGTAGCGATGATTTCTCTTTGTTATTAGTATAAACTCTGAACTTAATTACCCGATATTTCCCATATGATCTTCCATATTTGCCACTCATATTATATATATATATTTACTGTTCTCGGCCATTAGTCCGTCGAACAACTTTTTTGGTTTCCTACCGCGTTGTGTTTGCTGTTCGCATAATTAATCACACACCATTTCGTTTAATGATCAATTATTATAACTTGCACGTTATGCTATATTAACAGCTTTTTAAATTTGTCCCTACGTATTAATAATTATAATTATTCACAACGTGTGTCTTGTTGTAGAAATAATTCCATGAAAAAACGGTATCATCGTTAATGCAATTAGACCGTAGTAACGGTTATTAAAAGTATGAAATTGTAAAATATTATTCGCATTGAATTTCATTACAAGTAGCACGTCTGTAAAGTAGGTCGTTTTGTTTTTATAGTAAAATCGATTTTATCACTAATCATTAATCATTTTTATCATAAATCAAAATTATCGAATTTTTAACGATTTCGTCAGTTTTGTCGGTTTCGCTAAATCGGGTGTCTCAAGACGCGTCTATGATGATGTATCTTAAAATGCCACTTACATTTTTGTGAGAGTGGGAAATTTAAGAAAGGGAGGCGATTGGATTTGTTTTATTATACATTACGTGTATATCTACAAAAATAATATTTATTGATTGATTTATTATTTGAGTGTTTATTATTAATATTGTTTTAATTAGGTATAATATATAACATATGTGTTACTACTAAATGTGTGGGATGTCAATTTTATTTTTATTCTGTTGCACGGTCTTTGAAGATAAGGTCAGCAATCTATCTGTTCCCTCTGTGTTAAACTCTGGTAACCATTAATATCGTAGTGGCTAAGTCCATGATTATTAATAACATAACTGCACAGATATAACTGTTATTTAATAATATAAAAGTGGATGATGGGGCCAACGAATTTCAAATTAAATGATCGAACTTCATTTTTAATAATCGCGGTTAGCCATTTATACTTACATTTGAAATACAATGAAGCTTCAATGGTGATGAAAGAATATGATGTTGAACCTGCCTCGAATAAGTACATGTTAGAACACAGACCTCATCCACCACGTAACACTACAAAAAAAATGTATCTAATCTCATTATAAAATTCTATTACTTGATAATATTGTTGAAAATCTAAACTAACGATTCTTAAAACCAAAAATAAACCACTATTGGCTTTAATAGCACTCATACCCAGTACTGAATAAATTGAATAAAAATTTGGTGGGAGAGGTAATATAAATTATCAACCATAATCAAAAACTTGAGACCCCGTCCATCCGGTTTAAATATATTTTAGATTTCGAGCTGAGCGAGGAATGTGTTGGTTTCATAATGAATTTTTATTTTTTTTTTATCTATGAACAACTTTTCTATCAGAAATTTTGCTCCAGTTTTCAAGTATAGTACTTTTTCTGAAAGAAAATTGGAACTAGGGTTTTACTTTTGGTAGGTCATTTTTTGGAGATTTTTATAATGAATAGAAAAAACCAGGAAAAAAACGTGGGATAAACAGGAAAATTTACGAAATTTATTATTTTCAAATCGTAAATATTACGGCTTTTCAAAACGTATATAACCGAACTCCTCTCAGAATCGTTTTTCGTTAGGAATGATTAATCATTGGGTACCGATGTAAATTAAATTTCTCATCTACCTTCCCAATTTCTTATAAGTCTTATAACTCATTTTATGATTTATAAACAAATTGTTGGTAGCAAATTCTAAGTACCCGTATTATTTACTTAATATACTATCGATACGTGTGCTGTACGTTTTATTAGGTTGGTGAAGACAATGCTTGATATAATTTGAGGTAACAATTTGTGGGAGGGATGTCAGATGTCGGATTGTCGGATGTCTTGAGAAATATAAAGGGTAGCTCTGTAGGGTAATCTGAAAAAATGTCAGTGGACTTAGTAGGCAATTGGGGGTACTTTGCCCTCAAGTCCCCCATAAATCTGGGTTTCTCCCATCTTTGAAGTTTTGTCAAAACCGTCTCTGATTTTGAGTAATTATTATGAAAACCCCTTGGAAAATCAAAAAATGACCTCCCTAAAGTACCACTCTAGTCCAATTTCCTTTCAGAAAAAGTGCTACACTAGAATATCGGATCAAATTTCTGGAATAAAAGTTGTTCATAGATACAAAAAAATATAAAAAAATACTCATCATAGTAAAACCAATGCATTCCTCACTTTGTTCAGAATCTGAAATGTTTGAATTTCGAATAGTTTCCGCCATTTCTGGGCATCAATGACGTAAGCTTAAGAGGGTTCTACCGGTCGATGTCATTTATTGACAAAAAGAGGGGGGATTGCGGAGGTGTATAAAACGCCAAATATTCAGCGTAATGTACTTAAACCTTCATCCCGTACCGTCAATTTCAGTCAAAGTTTTACCATCGAATATAGTAGGCACCTACTAAAAACAATTATACATATTATTTTATAGATAATGGTCGAAACTCGCGTATACAATTACAACTTTACAAAATTAAATGTGTTTTTAAATATAGAAGCTTGAAGTGGACGATTTTAATATGCATAAAAAAAATAACAATTACAGTATTAATATTTTCGGAAAATATTTAACCTATAATTTACGTACGTCTGCAGCAATGACGTCGGATCATTCGATATTTTTCCGTTGATGGTTGCAGTTAGCGAAAAAAAATAAAAACATAAACAAAAAAAAATAAAATAAAATAACGTTGTTAGCCGTCGTGTCACGATTAAACCGGTTTTGTCGATGTGCGCGCCGAAATACATCACTAGCGGCAGACGTATAATATGTATGATAAATATAATATTAGGTAGTTACCGTTATTATTCGATTCTCGCGACGAAGCGAATTTCGCATCACTGAGCGTGCGTACGAAAACTATAAGAAAAAACGAAAATAGTTTAGACGACGCTATGTGTTTTGTCAGTCCAACCAATAATGGGTGATATAGCAAAATCCTTACTCATCAGACTGAGTATAACTCGCATAGTTTTGGTTTTAGAGTGGAAATCACCTATTATAAAATTAAAAAGAGGAAAATATCCCGGAGGATAAGACGATGCGTTTTTCATATTATTTCGTAAACCGTTAAATATGTCGTTTAGAAATAAAAACTTCTTCATCGTTTTTAAGCGACTGTGACATTTCAAAAAAAAGATACGTCTTGCCCTCCGGAATATTGTCCTCTTTGAATTTTATAACAAGTGCTTTTACTCTGAAACCAAAATATTAAGCGAGTTCTACGCAATCTGCGTTAGGTAGATTTTACTTTAGTGAACGTGAACTTGAACTGAGACAGCACATAACGGTCTCTTAATAATTGTAGGTCGTTCGAGAAAATCGAGTTAATGTGCGACCGACGTAACCGCAACCGTGAATTATAATTAATGACGTGACTAAACGCATATGTATCTTGGGTCTGCCAGAAAATCGTCAAAAATTGTTTGGTGGCAACATCCAGAAATATTTTTTTGAGTGACCCATAAATTTAATCACAAAAGTTCAATATCATCAAATCACAATACAGTAAAATTATTGTATTGTATTATTATTATTAATAAATAAAATACAGAATCATTTTTATTCAGTAATTAATATCGAAATAAAGTTAAAATTGACAAATATCACGTTAAGAACGCAAATTCATTTAGAATTTCGTCTGGATTTTCTAATAACTCTTTACATTTTTCTCTTTCGCATGTTGATATTTTCTACATCGTATTATACATGCAGTCACTGAGAGTCCGTAAATCATAACTCGATTGGTTAAATAACACAATATAAAATATTGTATATATTTGCACATTCCGACGTTAATGTGTTTTACATTTTTTTTTTTTGCATTTTTATACTATATTATATTATTATAATATGTAACAATATGATTATAAGTGCGTATAAATCCGATATAGGTAACTGATTATTTATTATCAGACTTTTATGTTTAGACGGCGATCGATAAATTACACAGATTATCGGAGGTAGGTGTATTGAATAGCTTTATTACTCTCCTGCAGTACGATTATGTACTTTTAGATAGAATATTATTTCAAAAATAAATTTTAAAGTAATTTTAAGTAATCATTTTGAAACAGTTAATTGAGTGGAGAAGCATTAATTTTTTTTTTTCAAATATTATTATTTTATGATTTCAATATTTTCCATAGCCTCTCGATGTGCTGAGTGTCGATAAAAACTGGTTAGTGGCTGTAGTCGATTCGTGAATGTATTCGTATGGTTTCCTAATGTTGAGTACATTTGCCATTATTTGATCAACCGATTTTCGACGATAAAAAAAACAAAAATCATAATTATACATTGTAGAAAAATAAAGAAATATTTCTCGCGATGTCAAATCGTCAGACTTTACCGTGATAAGCCGATAATCTATGGTGTCTGTATAGGTCGCATAACAATATAGCGGACCGTTGCCCTTATAAATTACAGAACCGATAGATTATCGAACCGACGACGGATTACAGAACTGTTTTCGGGTGTTAAATAGGTGTGTACCTATATTACCCTATTTGATTTTTTTTTTCGATCGGGTTTTGAGTCGGTGGGACACATATGTAGAAAAAATAATTTTTGTTCACCCCTTGATCTACTGAAAATCACTTTTCACTTTTAAAAATGTTCAAAATAACCATTTCATATTAGATATTTTTCTAAATATTGTAATGTGCCGTACATTCATATTCGATTAATAGTTTCCGAGTAATAGCGGTTATAATTGCTAGACAATTGGTGTGAAAACAATTAATTAATAAAACACTGTGCACAATTACACACGTTACGCCGTATTAGACGTTAACGTTCAATCTGGCGTGTGTACACGGTATCGCGGTTAATCACAAAAGTTCAATATCAACAAATCACAATACAGTAAAATTATTGTATTGTATTATTATTATTAATAAATAAAATACAGAATCATTTTTATTCAGTGATTAATATCGAAATAAAGTTAAAATTGACAAATATCACGTTAAGAACGCAAATTCATTTAGAATTTCGTCTGGATTTTCTAATAACTCATTACACTTTTCTCTTTCGCATGTTGATATTTTCTACATCGTATTATACATGCAGTCACTGAGTATCGCGGAAGTAACGCGAACGGTTCTCGCTGTTATCGCCCGTTTATTTTCTCCCCCGGCCTTTTGGTCCGAATCGTTTTCCCTCCCGACCGTCACACCAGACACGGTACCAAATACGCAAGAACGTACCCGCCTATTTGTGCCTGTGCGGCAATGCATCTACAACACGTGTGTGCGTGTATACGTACGCGTTACACGTCGCTACCCGCCGTACACAACAATGGAGATACTGTACTATTATCGTACCGGCTGCGCGTATAAACGTATACGTACAATAATAATTCTTATTGTGTTATTAACACAGAGGCCCTCCTTTTTTCTTTTTTCTGCTGCACTCGGCTAAGCGCTGTGTTCGCGTACAAACCCCAGGCCACACACGCGCGCGCGCACGCACACACACACGCACACGCACACGCACACACACAACGCGTACGGAACGGGGCGTCGCACGATCCGTCAGGCGCGGTACGACCGACCGCGTTTTATTGTCGTGCCGACTCCGCACCTGGCAACGCACCGGCCGCACGATAATATCGTAACGATATTATTAGAACGCTGCCATCGAATTAACGTCTTCGGGCGTATTTATACGCGTCTAGTCTCGACCGTTGTCGACATCGCGACCGTTTCGGTTTCAATACGTTCAATCGATCGCCGGCACCTGCGCCGCGCCGCCGTCGGTTCCGTTCGTCCGAAGGTTCCGCTCGCGTATCCGCGAAACGCATTTTCATTATCGTCGAGGTCACGTGCGCAGTGTATACGCCGGCCTCCCGCTGATGATACGTCTTAATTTTTCGATATATTTTATAAACGCGGGAGAAGAATTTTTTTTTTCGCCGCATGCGAGTGATTTAGTAAAATAAAAAAAAACCAGCGATATGCCTCCTTTTCAGATCGACCGTAACCTGTTGCTGATGAAAGTCCATTATTTCGTGGGAATAGGCGGTAAGCGCGCATAATGGATACATAAAAATATTTTTATTTTTTTTTTGCAAACTTTATCGTTTTTATAACTATTGAATTATCGTCGGGGGTCAGCGGCGTATTCGGAATTTCGCCAAAGACGGAAATATCGAATTTGTAAATTGCCGATGTTTAATTTATACATTGTTCACAGTGCCTATAATTCAATCTGTCCTGAAATATTAATATTGGCGATCAAATAATTTACACTATTTAGGCGCCTACCCAACTTCCTCTGTGTATCCTACTGTGTCCTTAGACCGGTTCGGATAATATACAGGTTTCGTTTTAAACTAGAAAATGTTTACGTTCAGATTTTCAGATAACAACACACTGAAACGTTGATTTTTCCGACCAGTAAAGACATTTGAATTTATAACTAAGAAGCCATATAAAATAACAGATTCTAATAATAGGTCAAGGGGAGAGATATACTTTCCTTATCTCCTTCTGTAAATATCCCGCCATATTTTGAATATATTATCGGTTAAATGTCGTTTTATGATGAAAAATAGTTATCGCGTCTCGTAAATCGAAAATCAATCAATATGTCTCACGTATTATAATATCACGATATTATAATGACGTTTTATTCAATTTGCATGCAATACGTCTATGTGCGTATTACCTCTGCAATCCTTTTGAATGGCGAACATTCGTCTGCGGCTTATTCGGACGTAAAAGTTTACGAATTAAATAATTTATGTTTTTTCTTTCTCTTTTTTTTTATCCATTCGAAAACATCGTTAATACCGTCTTGTGCACACCTCCGTTAAAGGTGGTTATCATTTGCGCATTATTATTGTTCTTTTCGACCTCTTTCATAAGACATTTGCGCACCGTTAAATTGTCGAGGTCGAAGGAAATTAGGAGTACTTAAAACGGATGAAACCGTAAATTGTTTTCTGAATTTCAGCTTAATATCCAGTATAAATAATTTTTAAATACAATAGTTATTTAGAAGGTATAGGTGTTATACGTAGGTACAAAAGTTATTTCTGTTTTAAAAATATAATGTCCATTTATCTAGACCAGGGATAGCAAATCCATTGCACGCATGCCCGAGGTGGCACGTGAAAAATATTTTGAGCATACGGCTTTTATCGGATCGGATTATTGTAATCGATCTTTTATCAGGGATCAGGTGGGAGGCGATTCGTGTGAGGCCATATTATGATGTACGAATTTTGGGGGGCAGGTAAACAAACGGTGAACAAATGATAACCGCCACCCGTGAAACCCTTTAGGCGTTCGACATGATTCTCGCCTACAATTAAGTCATCAAACGAACAACTGTTTACGAACAATTAATATGTAGGTACCTATTATTGTAAATCAGCATCCACCTGCAAACAAAATAAATTAATATTATTTTCATTTTAGTATTTACTGTTCATTTGTTTATTGTAATCAGTAGCACACGCAGGATTGTTTTCCGGGAGGGGTTTTATTTATAATAAAAATCCTAGAGAGGGGATAGCATATATTATTATCAGTACAACAGTACTATCACTATTATTACTGAATAAATGATTTTTGATAAAATTAAATTTTATTTTATTCTGCAGTATAAGATATTGTTGTTGAAATAAGTTGATATAAGTTGGTATAAGATGAGTTGTTGAATGGAAAACTTGATATAAAAAAATGTAGTGTTGGAAAACATATCGGGGTTAGGTCCCTTCTCCCTTTGTGCTCGCCACTGTTTATAATATAATATATGGCGGCGGTTTACTATTAACAGTTTTACAAGAGGGAGATCGTCCGATTCGGCTGATGAGACGACGGGTACACTAATCCACCATTTTTGCGTCTTTCACGTGCGTTCTTTTTAAACCGTATAGCCGATCCCAAACGCTGATTGCTAAATCATTATTGCCCGTCTATCAACCGGCACAACTGGTTTTCGTTTTTTTTCCTGTTTCGCGCGCGTAAAACATAGCAACGAAAGCAATATTATTGGGCGCATACTGGTCGCCTCCGGAATCAAAAAGGTCGATAATTTTAATACGAATCGTCTTCCGGGTATATTCCTCCCGGCGTACCTTAAACTTTATCGTAAACGAAAAAGATCTACTACTAGTCGCCTCCCAATAGGTAGGTAATGAATGTATAAGTGGTTTACAAACAGTATGCATAAATATACAGCTTTGTTTAAATCTTTTATCATGAAGTAATATTATGTTGGTTTTTACGTATTAATAAGTAATAACTTATCATTGGATTTTGGATTTATACATTCAAAGTCGTAATCTATAATTTTTGTGTATTGTTAATATTATACGACTAATATTAAACATTACATATCTTGTGTAATAATTATTATCATTAGCTGAGCTTCAACACTCGTCGCATGATTTTATTTTTACAAATAGTTATTAAGTGATTGAATTAGAATTTTTAATAGTTATTAAGTGATGATAATATTTTTGAAGTTTTTAGAATAGATCAAATTGAAATGCGGGAAATGATCAGTGAAAAGAGCAAACATGTTACAATAATTAATAGTTTTAAATTTAGTTTTCAAAAAAAGTTAGCCTACAACAAAGAACGGGTAAATTGTACGACAAAAATATGCAAAGTTGTTTTAAAAGTACTTATATGAAAGTTATTAAGTAATATTGAACGAAAATAAGTTGAACCATATTAGACATCATCTGAACAATTATTGTTCATGTACATTGTACATGATTTTTCATTGACCGATTATATTATTATTTTTAATAAAATTATAAATATTATATTAAATCCAGTTTAGTTTATGAACCACTGCATTATTCAATATGGGAGGCAACTCGTATATAATTATGAACTACCTAATCGTCGGAAGCAACTAGTGTATATTAAAATTTTTATTTACGATAAGGATGGGAGGCGATTCGTACATTTTGGGAGGCAATTCGTATGCACTGATATTATTAATGTTAAAATCAATTAACCAGCACGCACACTCTGGTTATAACGATTTTAACTGATTAGGTATACTTAGTTGTATAACAATATGTATTTGTTTCTTTTATAAGCATTTTAAGTTCAAATTTTGACCTCACGTTTAATAAAAAATAATTATTTTAAATTAATATAATTATTCATCTTTTATCTTCAATGCGTTGCATTAATTAAATTAATTTCGGGTCAAATTCAGTCTGTGGCAACTTGAGTATTCATCTTGTGAAAGAGATGTATTCATACACACATTTTTTATTGATCAATATTCAATATAACCCATGAGGCACTCATTATCTCGAAAAGTGTTAACCTTTTTGGGAATTGTGTTTTAGAATATTTAAGAATTAATAGCTCTAAAAAGTCGCATTACTCTATTTTTATTGCCTTATTTAGGGGAAAGGGAACTGCTTTATACTTTTGATTTTAAAATTGTGGCCTATATAAAAAAATTCAATAAAACAGAGTATTAATTTAAATACTACATTTTCCCGTTGACGAGATATTTCACTTTTATGTCTCGAAGAGAGGAGCGTAATAGTGGTGCATTATTTGTGTGGCGGTACAGATCACGAAATGTTCCAGCACTTTCCCCTACCTAAACTTAAAAGTGAAGTATCCCGTCATTGGATTGACAAAATTAAAAACTTGTTTATAATTTTGTACTGAATACAAGTTGGTTTCATCATACAAAGTAATATGTAGTTCCACCGTACGTATATTATTATTACAATAATCATGTTTCATCGTTTTTTTGTCTACAGTAAGATGATATTGTGAATAATTATACTCGATTATATTTTCTTAGGTGTTAATTGGTGTGACTGATGGCAAAAAATAAACCAAGAAATGACGGTCTAATAATTACACTATAACATCGTCTTGTTATGATAAATTGTTTGTTCATTCTTATTTCCCTCCCTCACCTCCCGAAAAACCTTATTAAAATATATACATAAAAACAATACGAAAACTTGTTATTTGATATTTTACTCTATAACGTATTATTTATATAAAAAAAGAAAAAATGTGTAAGTATCAAACAAATTAGCGTCAAAAGGAACGTTCGCCTCATGTTTTCGCGCTTGAATAATGGATTTATTATGTGAATCCTGTGTTCGGAAAATTTATTCATATTATAACGACTGTATTATATTTTTCAATATTTTAAATTTTTTTGTCTATCAGTTCAGAGGTTCAAGCCCTGTGGCGACGTAAAAGTCTGTTTTTACAAATGAAAACATAATTTTTCTTCGCGCGAAACGTCGTGCTAATTTATTCGGCTGTTTCTGTTTATTGTATCGACGTAAAAATTATTGTTCAAGCGTATACAAATTGGGTGAGCTTATGTTTAAAAAACCACCCTGTATCTGAATAAATGGCTTTGTTTATTAATTTGTTGGTCGTCGAAGTCTTGTTCAAACGACTTCGGTTTAGTTATACATACTACGAAATAACCATAGTTATTAGAATAATTGGTAAGAGAAATCAATTATTTCTACTAGGTTCTGTAACTTAATCGGGTAGACGAATAATTATAACTACTCATTTTTTGTTTATCTGTTCGCTGTTAGGTTATAGTTCAAACACTGACCGTAAAATGCTGTTCGCGATGCTGTTCAAATTACCTATTCAATATTATTTGCATTCACTTTTTGATTATATTATTATGTCTACAATATGTTAGTTATCTTATCGAAATTCTCCACATTTGTCGGATCAGTTTTCGCTGATGTTAACACAATATATTTTACTATAATATTATACACACAATATTTACTGACTAATCAACCCCGTTGGGTGTAAACTGTCTCCATCCTCCCGACAAACAGTAAATTCCCGCATAGACACCATTATATTAGTTCTTAATAATGCGAAAAAATATTTTTCAAATGGTTCTCAAAATGTATTTTAGACAACTAACTCGTGTAAATCTTTCCATTAAACATTTGCTTTTCAGTTTTATAGGTAGAACGCATACTAATATTTTTTAGAATTGCATTGATTTATTATATTAAGGTAGTCAAGCCGAAATAATTATAAGAAGATCCGATTTATGGAAAGGCAGGACAAATACTTGGGACCTAATCAAATTTAGAACTATGATACTATCGTAGGTGTATTCGTAATATCCTAATTTCAACGTAAATAAATATTAGCTAACATATATAACCTAAACATAACTATATCAACTTCAATAGTTTTCATTTTATTCTGAGTAAAACAGAATTTTGTTAAATTTCCCAATACTTTTTCTAAAAATTGCTTTTTATAGTTTTTATTTTTAAACACTTGGTTTGGCAAATATCTTAATTTTTTCACGCAGTACAAAAAAATCCGGAATTTCTACCCGATGTTGGTATACTTTGTTTGAAAAACATTTGTCGACATTTTAAAGAGTTCATACACGCATCAATTTCATTTGTAAATGTGCTTCCCTGAATCACCAGTAGAGGCTTCAGAAAATCGGTAGCAGGAGGAATGTATTTGTTTCAATATAATATATTGTGATGTGTGTTATTTATGAACAATTTTACTACCAGAAATTTTACTTCAAATTTCAAGAAAAAATGAATTTCTGAAAGACAATTTTGTCTAACTTGTGTGTAAGAAAGTAATTTTTTTATTTAATAATTGGGAAAACGTAGGAAGGAAGAAACCTAATCTAACCTAACCTAACCTAATAACGCATATTTTAATGTTGTTTTAAAACATTTTCCCAATGAGTAAAACTGTAATTAATAAAAAACCAATTTAAGAAACAGTTTGTAAACATTTATATTTGTTTTGTAATATGTATAATAATAATAATAATAATAATAATAATAAAATCAATCTCAATTTCTTTTTCGTGGTAATATAATAATAAAAAACGACGGACATACTTTGTACGAAGACGCAGCCACTGGTGTAGGTGGGAAATTGGGAAAGTACTGATCCCCTGTGGATTTGATAAGATTTGGATCAGATACCTATATCGTTATAAATATTATTCGTTCATATAGTTGTCCGACCCATTTCATCCGATTCCTTTGATACCGGTGTCAAAATCTTCGTACTAATTTGCGAAAATTCCTATAATTTGGTATGAGATGAACCAACCTCGTGGACGTATAAATATTATAGGATCGATTGAACATTTTATATTCGTGTACAGGCGAGCACCCAGGAATTTTATTTGGGGGAGAGGGGCTTAAAATTTGCTTATTATACTTACACACGAGTAAACAACTACCACTGATTATTAAATCATTATTTTTTTATTATTATTATTATTACTACATACTACATAGTTTTGTATTTATAATTATATTTACAACGATGTAATGAATAATATAAATCTAAAAATAATTTTCAACGAAATATAATCGATCGGCGATGGCCACAAACCTTATGTCGTACTATTCAACTATTAATGTGTATCAAACATGCTAATCAAATAAAAAGAAAACATATTTTATTATTGTAACAATAATAATAATATTATATAGTAAAAAAAATTTTGGGGGCTTCAGCTCCAAAGCTTCTCTCCTGAGTGCGCCACTGATCGTTTACGACGACAAACGATTTTTGATACGAACACCATTACGGATTTGCAAATACGCATAATAGCGTAGATAACATTATTATTGTTGTTATCAGTAACGAGTACGTTTATTTTGCATATGATACGCCCCTTGCCCCATAACCCTACCGGATTCCGTGTTTTGTAATAATATTAAATAATTATTTTATTATGTTATTACGGTATTATTATGTGTCGTCGTAATTATTATCGGTTTACGCGTTGGGTTTCAGTTCGGGTTCACGGGTAATTACATTACCTGATAAACCCATCGATAGAATCCGAAAAGCTATAGAGATACTAGTATTACTGTAATACAATAATTTATGGCAATCTACATTGCCCTTAATTATTCTTGCGTGATACGTGTAGGTACTTATTTCAAATATCGTGTAAACATAATAATAATTTGATGAAAATTTAATATAGTGAACGCATACATTATCGCAGTGGCGTACACAGCATTTTTCAATGGGAGAGGGGACACTGAGCAGTATAAACTATTATATACCTAATAATAACTACAAATTATAATACATATACATGCTCGTTTATGTACTATTATTATAAATGTTTTTTTTTTTGAGGTTACTTTGCAACAAAATACATATTAATTATTGTATAGTACGATAATTACTCGTACTTGAATGGTTAAGTCAGTTGTGCAAATGTGCGATGATTATTATTTTATTAGTAACATATAAGTTTTCAATGCTGAATAGTTTATAATGTGTGTTTTGATGTGGAGCAGAGTCGACGGCGCGGCGGTTCTAACAAAAATCGACGGTGTGACGTCGTGATTACATTTTTTCCGAAACGAAACACCAAGTTTGCTGACTTCCATAACCGCTTTTACCTATTGTTTTATCCTTTAGTAAATGGCAATAAATAGAGCGTGGATTTATATTCTCTTAAAATAGCCAAAATGTAATGCTTATATTCTCTTAAAATTTTGAATATATGCTTGTAATATTCTCTAAAAATATTATTAAAATATGTAAAACTATGTTTTTTATTAATTTATTCTCTTAACATCAAAATATGAACTTATATGCAAAATACATTTAATAAATAATAAACAAAATCAATAACATTATTAAATAATAATAAACTAAATTTTTTAGATCGTTATTTCGGCATTTCATTAAATTAAAACTTGTAAATTTAAGCACAACAGTTATAAAATATATAAAAAAAATGATTTTTAATTTTATTTAACTTCAAATACGAAACGATAACTCGTTATCATTAAAGAAAAACATGTGATAATTTACGTGGTAACAAATTATTATCAATTATTCGGGCCATAGGTAGTTTACATTAAACATAGTCTATATGGTAGTCTGTTGTCTGTAAAATTATAACTAGATATCGAAAATTCGTCTAACAGGACGTGTATCAATGTCATTTACCGTAATCGTATTATGATAAACAGCAGAATAATAATTTTCGCACTTCATAATCATTTGCCAATTATCAAATCATAGTGGCATTGGAAACTATTGTACGACGCACCCATTAATAAATTATTATAAAATAGAAAAAATTGATCGCAATGGTTGAAATATACATCATTTTTTAATTCCTGGAAATATTTCAATTCATACATTTTTAACTAGTCAAATATACAAAAAAATAATTTTATATGAATAATATATTCTCTTAAAATCAAAATATGCACTTATATTAAAATTAAAATTTTGTATTCAGATTCTTTGTACTGCGAATCGTTGACATATCTTACTCTCATGATTGTGCATGCATTTATTAAAAACATGTTTTTACATAGGAATCCGCGTTCTAATAATAAATAATGTATTTTATGATAATAATAATATAACACAAATTGCGTAATAAAATACAATAAGAAAAACGAAAAAATGGGTAATATTTTTGATTTTAAAATTGAATTACCGTTAATTTACTTCTAAATTTCCAACTACTGGGGATTTGATATCTCCACATACCTTCTGATTAGAGGACTAAACTCCCTTAGTCCTCTCCCCGGGTACGTCAGTCCATTATCGAAATCATTTTGCAGGATAGAAATTTTTAAGAAAATTCAGATTCAGGATTATCAGATACAGTATAACGTAGTTGGAGAGATGAAGTTAATTTAATATTAGTCTATTAATGGGCTAATAATCAACACATTTTTATAAAACATCAGTTTTATGCTATTTTCGCCTTTAAGTATTTTATAAAATGCCTTATTTGACTGTTACATTATACTGGTATACCAAAGACAGTATACATTAATATCGGGTTTATTTTCTGTTTTTTACGCAGGTTATGCGCCGATATTTCCATTCCTGACGCCGATATTGAAACAACGGGGCTATTCGGCGTTCATTGTCGGTTTGATATACACCCTCCAGCCGATCCCGGCGTTGTTTATTCGACCAATTACCGGCGTTATCACGGACCGGTTCAAATGTCGGAGATCCGTGTTTATCGCGAGCACGTTAATTATGTTCGGGCTGGTAGCCCTGCTGTCCGTGATACCGGGTTCGGTATCAGACGTTGAAATGAACGATCTGGACGTAATCAAATCACCGCTTTTTTGGTTTTATTTCGTTACCATCACTCTGGTTAATATGGACGGAACGATCAACGGCGTGTTGGCCGATACCGTTTGTATAAATTTACTAGGTATGATGATTGAAAAGACTTGTTACGGATATTATAACAGGACACAAAATGATCTCCCAGTCATTAGTTTTTTTTTTTTTTTTTAATGTTAAAGCGGTATATTGAATTCCAATTGCAAAATTGGCTAAAAACTCTTTTAAGGGAGATATAAGGGCATTACACGAGGATGTGGTGATGGATATATAGGAGGGTTTATAGCAGGGGAGGGGGTGAGCATATAAGTATGGGACTTTATTACTTGTACAGGATCAGGAGGAAAACAACGAAGGGCTTGTTTTAACCAGAAACTTATTTTAGGTATGTATAAGTTTAAAACACTTTATATCCCAGTTGTGTTCGTCCGTTCGTATAGTTACTATAGTATACGTCATAGTTATTGATTTGGTTGACAAGGAGATAATTATTATTCGTAACATTATTATTATTATTATAATCATTATCAATTTAAATAATATAAATATTTAATAATAAATTACACATTCATATTAGCCAAAATTAAAAAAATAAATATCAAAATATAAGTAGTAATTAAAGAGTTTTAATAATATCCTGTCCACTATTTACATTAAATTAAGATTTTAAATTTATTTTCATTCCTATACATATGCATAATATACCAAATTCTTTTAAAACGGAATACGATGGAATTACGTAACAGTTTATTGTTTAAATTACCTACGTTTAGAAACCCTGAACTTTGCACTCGTTTTGTTAACTTGTTATCTTGTTTTTAAATATTTAGATGGTTAACTCGTTTTAAAATAGATGGCGAAATTATCACTGCATATAGTGGTGTTTATTGATTCAGGCTACTGAACTTTTTCCTCTGCTATTTGTAGGCACTTACTAATTCGTGCGACTATTACCTATAACTTATGGGACTCGGTTTACAAAAAAAAAAAAAACTCCAGATCGATTGTACTTGATGATTTACTAACAGTAACATTGTTAGTTTTATGGAAATTAACGAAACAAATTAGTCCAACCGTCAAATATTGCATTAATATATTCACGCACTCAAGGTGGTAACAAATTGTCGCGTATAATTAATACTGTACATGTATTATTCAATATTTTATTGCATATAATTAATTCTGATGATTTTTGGACACAATTGATTTTCGATAATTCTCTCTATCATATCTTCTACATTTTTAGATTCGGAGTGTAGCGGTGGCTTTAAAAAATCTTAATGATGTGTGTTTTTTTCTGTTTGTGAACAACTTGTCTACCAGAAAAATTGCTCCGAAGTATACACTATAACACCATTTCTGAAAAGTTATTAATTTTCTCTCGTTGGTGCATTGTGGAAGTTATTTTTTTGATTTTTTTAGAAGTTTTCAAAATAATTGGGAAAACTCGAAATAAAATTATAGGCAAAATGGCAAATATTTACGATGCGCCGCGGCGTTTCCGTTTTAAGTATGTTTACACGATGTTTTATACCAGAAATATTGCTCTAATAGATAAACGACAAGAGATCATTATTGTTGAATATTTAATCTAGTTGGTGCCCAAGAAAGTTGTTTTTCAATTCTTTGTTGTTGTAATAATTGTGCAAAACCGAAAAAAAGCGAAGGAATAACGGGAAATTTTACGAAAATAATTATTTTATTATTTTAAATTTCGCTTTTTCATTATAATTCAGGTTAAAATATTCTTAGAGACTTAAAATATTGACAGAAAACTTATATTTACTTTTTCTATACGTGGTGAAACTTTCAGAACATTTGAGAGACTTTTAAGCTATTTAAAGAAATTTTAATTTTGCGAGTGTTTTACGTAATTTGTATTTGGTAGATACTCTGTAGATAAATTATCAAATAAAAACATGGTCCTAAAAAAACACGAACAATAATTACAATAATAATTATTGATATTAGCATACCTATTATAATTTCCCGGTAGTCGACCGAGACTAACAATACTATATTATTTTATAATCTTATATTTTGATCGTTAACCTCCGAAAAGATAAAAAGTTATTACTTTGATGATATTATTATACTATTGGACTGCGGAAACAATAATAGTTGTTTAAGATTTAGCCAAAATAAGTACGATGACGTCCCAATAGTTCTGCCATAATATTCCTGGAGGTAAGATAAAATACTTTTTCTATTGTATTTAAATACTAAATATAAAATAAACATATTCTCGATAAATAAATATAAGAAACAAAAATACTATTAATATTTACTAGTAATTGTTTATCATGGTGAAGGCTCGTGAACAGTGAGAACATAAATCTAAAAGTATGATAAACCAGCACAAACGACAAACATTTATGATCAACGGTCATGAAAACTATTAATTCGATATTTAACAATGGTATATATTGTATATACTGGTATATCTTATTAAAGATTCAGTGATAATAATAATTATTATCATCAAATAACTGAAAAGTATTTAATAAATGTATTTTCTTCGAAAATTGTGTGCACAAAATTACGAAATACACCGCATAAACGTTGTTTTTAAATATACGATACAAAATACTTAAAAAAAAAAAAAATTTATTCTAAATGGTAAATAAACAATTCTGTTATATTCGAAATAATGTCTATTACTTTCACATCTAGCCTTAACGAAAATTATAATGAATAATTAGATTATTATGTGTCAGGGAAATTATGTATAATTGAATGTTTTGTTTCGCAGGCGAAGAAAAAAATAAATATGGAAAACAAAGGTTATGGGGATCGATCGGTTGGAGTTTGGCCGCCATTGCTGCCGGTGTTAGTGTAGACTGGTACAGCAAAGATCTCACTTATAAAAACTATACTCTCGCATTCATAATTTCATTGTTGTGTTTCCTTATAGATATAATCGTGGTTTCGAAAATCAAGGCAAGTAAATATCATCTATTTAACTCCATCGCGATACTATTATATACGTTTTGTGCGTTGGTCGAATTTCTTTTAATTCAAGTAAACACAAACATACTATACTATACGAATCACCTACTCTGAACAATTAATTATATTATTTGCACATTTCAAAATAAACGAACATATTTTAGCTTTTTTTTTTTTTAGAATTGCTCTCAAAATAGTTATTAATTAATGACCTAAAACCAATCACTCAACTCATATGTTATTATAATTATAAATAGCCTGGAGACGGTTAAAATAATATTTGCAACTAACGATATTGTCAACGGTAAGTACTTTTAGTCGATGGGAATTTTAATTGACGCCGAGATTGATGGGATTTCAAATATTTTATACTATCGAAACCGTCAATATTATTGCTCACCGTCTCCGGGAAACACATAACACAAGTTCCGAACACACCAATCGCTCGTGTTTATAAAAAGGGAAAATTCTATTTTTTAATTGTATTCCATTTCAGATTGTACAAGAAGAGGAAACGAAAATAGTAGTTTCAGACTTGAAGAGGGTGCTAACTGAATCCAAAGCTCTAGCATTTATTCTTTGGGTAATTTTGTTTGGATTTTTTATGTCTTTCATATGGAACTTTGTGTTTTGGTAAGCAACAAATTATTATTAATAATATTACAGGGTATACATTTATTTGACCGAAACTATGATTTTCCTCCGTTTACCTACATTACGTATTACTACAATATTAGCTAGATTCTAGCTAGACGAAATCAATGTAACAACTATAATTTTATTTTTAATTAATATCAACATATAAATTAATTTAAATAAATCGAAAAATAATTTCGAAAAGCGTTAAGTCCAATAAAATAAAATTTGAATTTTAAACGTTGATTTTTAATCACGAATTTTTTTGTTTTTACATAATATACACTATAATTTTCCATGAATTACTTATTTTTCAATAAATGAGTTGCTATAGACTTTTTTAAATCATATATTCTAAAATGTTACATTTACCTTATTGTTGGGGTTAAATCAGTTATCAATTTTTGATGTTTAAATAGCGACCTATACTAAAAATACCATAAATAGACGGAGAGTAGTTAAATGGAATTTAAATACATTTTGGTGTTGTTTTGGACAAGACGTGATAATGAATTGTATAACTATTAAGCCGAGCACATTAACCATGATTATGGTAAGACGATACGGTATTACAAAAAAAAAATGTTAACACATAAAACAGGGACAGTCTAAGATTCAATGGCGTTAAACCTATAAGTAATCTGAAGCAATAGCTTCAGTTCATAAAACTATTAAAGTAAGTGAGTCAAATTTGTAGGTATTTTAGATATGTTTTGGTAGTATTTGACGTACCTATCTATGCAGTAAAATGCATAACAAGTTAATAAACATAGTTAATACCAAGCGAATGTATACACACAATATAATTTACAATTTTATTATAATATATTATGTATACAATATAATACCTATTCTACGTAATAACTTCCTAATGTAAGTAACTTTGAGTATACGATTATACTCAAATTTCATGCTCAATATAAAGAACAAAATTTTAGTACTGTTTTATATGTTCGGTATTGGGTTCACTGTTTTAACCTAGTTTTTGTAGCTGCAGTTAATATAAAATTGTACATAAATTCGTGATCTATTCTGATATTTCAATATTAAAAACTAATTATATTTATTAGTATTTCTTATACAATGAAATTTCAATCGAATCGAACCCAAATTATGTTAATGACAGGTGAAAATTAAAAATAAATTCCTGGGGGATCTAATTTTTTTTTGACGACCGATTTGATTTTTTCTTTGCTAGTTAAATTTGATAGTGATCTTTAGTCATGATAACATTTTGGAGGTTCGAACATTTACGTTTAGCAGGTGTGTTCTGGTTTATAAGTCAGTCAACATATTTTTACTTTACATTTATTTTAAGAGTTTGGCGCCATTGCAATAAGGTTCATGGTGTATTCAATGTTGAGATACAACTAAATATTATTATCGTGTATTCCACTAATTTTTCGTTGTTTTAACATTACTACAGGTACATTGAAGATTTGTCCATTATTTATCATCCCGAGACAAAATCGTGGATGAAAACTCTCCAGGGAGTGGCATTGATAATTCAGTGTTTCGCGGGGGAGGTCCCGTCTTTTTTCGTGTCCGGTAAGCATAATAATGTAGTTTACGGCAAAAATCAATATTCGTCCATTTCTTTAACTTGTGAACTATAATAATAATAGCCTGAATATTCACAGGTTACATACTGAAACGCATCGACCACATGACCGTGTTTTCTCTGATGTTCCTCACGTTCACTGTCGTCTTCTATTTGTACTCAATCATCCAAAATCCGTTGTGGACTCTGCCCGTGGAAATCCTCAATGGCATAGCGTTTGGCATGGCTTACTCGGCGGCCGTTTCTTATGCAGGCATCATAACTCCAGCCGGAGCCGAGGGAACCGTGCAGAGCATTTTCGGCACGGCGCTCAACGGGATCGGTAGGCTAATTTTTCGATTTCACATATTATCGACTAGTCGGAGGTATATCATGTCAAGTGTCATGAAGTCATGTATTTTAACGTCAATAGTGTAATAAAAGTTTAGTGCCTGTAGTATACTCGTAATAATAGTAGGTATACGTTTTAAAATTAATTTAACCATTGATTTAATTTCAAAAATGTTTGGTTTATGTACTATCGTACATTCGTATCATATCTTATCGTTTTAATCAAATGCCTATTATTATTATTACTATTGTTATTGTGACAAAGAATAAGATGGTTTGGAAACAAATATTATACATTAGTAGTGACTAGCCACTAGACCTATAGACCACACAATACTTACAAATTAAAAATGCTGTCATCCATCATTGAGTTGAAATGTACATTAATTATCTTACATTTAAAATTGTAATTAAAAATAACCTTAACATCTTACCAATATTAATAAAAGTTCTATGCGATATCCACAGCCGAAGTTATCGCACGCAGAGATCTAAAAAAGATTAACATATCTTGCGCGTGGGTAGGCCACTGTTGGAGGTGAGAAATTGGGAAGGTAGTAGATGAGAAATGTATAACTGTACGCAACGATTAACCATTGCAAACGAAAAAACAATTCTGAGGGAAATTCAATTAATAGTGTTGCTTGTGTCATATTATGGTAAAATAATTATGCATTAAACATTTCCTTTAATAATATTTGTTTAATATTGTACCTATTTTTCCGTATTTGTTACGTTTTTCCCGGTTCCCCATGTTTTTCCCATTTATTGGAAAAATTCCTGAGAAAATCAAAACTCTTTTCCTTAAAATGCCACTCCAATCAAATTTTCAAACTTTTAGAAAAAGTGCCATCATTGTAAATCGGAGTGAAATTTCTGGTAGACAGTTGTTCACTGATAAAAAAAAATAAACATCATTGTGAAACCAATACATTCCTCACTCCATTCAGAATCCAAAATATACATACAGAAGCGAATGCATGGGTTAATGTTGCTCCTCGAAGCCGAATTTTCGTTATCCACGTTATAATTGGTGGCTGACCAAGAGTTTTGGATATTTTTGGAATGAAAATTGAATAACAAAATTATTGATTTATGGGTTGTCTTGGTGATACAAATGAATAAAAACCGTTGTTATTGATAATTAATTAGGTAGTCATAGTCAAGGAAGTACCTTTTTTTTAAAAAAAAAAAAAATACGGTACCGTTACAAAGATTTACTGTAATTGGGACGGAGGTGGTGGTCGTGGAGGAAATACGAGCAGAAATATTTTAATTTTTGTTTCGTTCAATACTGTGTACAGACAGCTAATTACTATGATAATTAAAACGACTTTTGTGACACTTGATATACCTATCGTATGATACCTGACATTATAACGTAAATTATAATGACTTTTTAACACTTGCGTTAGAATCCTCGATATTGTTTTAGTCGCTTATACTAATGGTATGACGAACGTGAATACAAAGAAAATCAAAGACGAGGATTCGGATGCAAGTTGTTAGGTGCCTAACCAATTTTCACTTGCAAAATTAAAAATATATTTGGACACCGATTTATCAATGGACTCAAAATCTAGTGTCTAAACATAATGTGATTCTATATAATTGTTGGTGCATACACATACGACCTTAAATGTTTTTTTGATGTGTTATGATCGATTATGGTCATTTATAGTGACCAATCACCCTTCACCGTTTAAAAATCCATCGTTTTCCAGGTGCTCCCATTGGAAGTTTCACCGGTGGTAACATGTTCAAAAACTTGGGCAGCATCCAATCGTTCCGATTGTTGACCGGACTCGCGTTGGTCGTGTGCATCTCCCAAGTGTCCGTCAACTTTTTGTTAAACTGCCGTCATCGTCCGTCCGACAACGGCGCTACCACCAATAAGGACTGCGCTTACAATTTAGTTGAGACTAAGGATACGGCCGAAGACACTATCCCAACACTCTAGCGTTTGATCTCCTATGCGTATAATATAAGTACTAAGTATAGGTACAACTTATAATACTCAATAACAATATGTATTTGTATTTTTTTTTTTTTTGATACATTGTGTTTTTTTTTTTTTTTAATTAAAGCTCTTCCGGCTGTCTCGATAACTGCGTGTGTTTTTTGTTTTACCATCGACACGATTAATTAATAATGATTAAAAATGTATTGTTAACAGTGATTGTGAGGGTATTGACCGTCATTCGTCGTCGGAATAACAATTATATAAATCTGCTATCGATATTTTTAAACCAAGCATCTTATACAGTGTGCTTCACTCAAACGGTAACACGAAATATTACACCAGGATTGTTTCTGAATTGAAGTATAATTTTTTCGGGTGGAGAGAAACTTAGGGGGTAATAAAGTACGTATATCGCATCTTTTTTTTTTTTTTTTTTTTACAAAAATTTAGCCCCTGTTGTGCGTTTTCTTAAACACACATATCAACGATAAGTGGCCTAACAAATATAGGGTCTACTCTCGAAAATATTTTATCAACTGTTCGTTTCATTTATTCTATCTAGTATCTATAGCCGTTGGTCGAGTTAACAACATATTAAAATGTATTACTCTGTGGCACGGTTTTTCTATAAGATAAAATTGTATATTTTATAATGACCAACTAAAAACCGAAACAGTAGAAAATATACGTATTTAAAAATGCAGACAATATACCAAATATCTTGGTAGACCTGAAATCACATTTTTAACAACAGATTCGATTTGTGTTATTGTATTTTATAAAACTCTGTGCTATACATTGTATTATTCCCATTTTGTTTCTATGGTTGCACTTACAGTTTATTTTTTTGTTTACAAGGCTAGAACAAGTTGATAACTTTTTGATTTATGATAACACAGCATCTCATATAATGTAGGTGGCCAATGTTATAATATGCCGACTATACTATAACATATACTATAACGTATTTATATACGTAGCCGTAGAAATATTATATTCATTACCGTGAACGAGGTCAACAAACCAATAAATTAAATTATCGAAATGGATCCACATTACCGCTAAATAAATGATTAGAAAAAATAAAAAAGAGCCGATACTGGGGACGGGTGCGGCTACTATTGTGTAATGAGAAAGGTGGGATACATAATGTTATTTAGTTTATACTTCCTATTAAATTTTCAAACATTTCTGTTTATTCTAACATTTTATCCACGGGGTGCCTACCTAATAATAATTATGTACAATACTCGCAAAATTAAAATGTCTATAACTAGCTCAAAATGGATCAAATGTTTTGAACATTTTACCACATCTAGAAAAAGCGAATATAAGTTTTCCGTTAAAATGTCAAGTCTTTATGAATATATTAAAAAAACAAAATTTAAAATTATAAAAGAATTATTTTCGTATATGTATCCGTACTGTCTGCAATTTTTTGGGGTTTTGCAAATTTATTAAAAAAAAAACTACAAAGAAAATCAAAAAACGACATTCCTTGTCCACCAATTAGATTAAAAATAAAACATAAAAGATCTCTTGATGGATTTTTATTTTGAGTAATATTTATGGTAGAAAACATAAGCCGTACAAATTTAAAATAATGAAATCGTTTAGGTGCTACAATTTGAAAACAATTATATATTTCATCTTTTTTAGTTTTTAAAATTATTATGAAAACTACTTTAAATATCGAAAAACAACTTTTTCTTGTCAGTGGTTAGTGATAAAAGGAACAATAATCGCTACGCTCTGAATTTAAAAATGTAAATCAAGGTTCTGTGGGAATGTTTTTTGGTTTAAGTTTTTCGGAGAGGGCCGGATATTAATATACAAATATGCAATTCGATTTAAGGGATTTAAAATGATGTTGGTTGTAGTTAATATTATAATAAACGTATTATCGCCGAATCAATGAAAGTTCATTAATTTGTATAAAAAAAAATACTCTTTCTTTTTAATTTTATGAGAATTTTCATCTAATTAAATACCTTCCTTCAATGAATGTGTATTAACACAATTATATAAAATATTTTATGTAGGTAATCAATAACTTACACGAAGTCGATTTATTCACACGTGAGGTGTCAAATTTCCGATTAAATTTGTATGAATACTTGGTGTACTAGGTGTCACCTAGCTCTGCCCGTGCAATAAATGCTAATTTTTATGTTAGGTTAGGTTACTATTTGCAAAAAAAAAAATATAATGATATTTTCTTCCCATTTATTCTGAGCATTTATGTACAATTCACAGCCTAATTTATCACACGCGGAGGTCTGGAAATGTATATAGAGAATCGGATGAACGAGTTCTTAAACGAAAATTGAATTTATCTTTTTAATTTATATTTTACTTTGATTACATCGATGACATAATCAAATAAGTATGCATCACGTTAGATTTTCAAACAGAAACCTTAATAAAATAATGATTATTGGTTAAGAGACTGAACTTCAAGCATAACCAAATTTCGTTATAAATGATTATTGGAAAACCTGGCGCCCATCCTACTGCAATGGTTATACCAACAGTTATATTATCTATGGTTAGATATACTGATATTTGATCATATGGTTATACGAACGGGATCTCACGGTAATCGTATTACGGCCACGCGCAGTGAATCTGTTTACAACAAACATTTAACTGCCCTCGCATTATTGGGGCTAATATTATGATGATCATGCACAAATTCTTTCTGCGAACGTCAATCGATTTTTGTACGTATTGGCTCGTAACGAACCGATCGTCAATGTGATTTTACTACAAACCCGCGCACACGTCTCTTCCAGTTTTCTCTCCACTATCGTTTTATGTTAATTTTTTAAATTCTTGTAATACTACGCGTTTTTATTTCAAATAAAAATATTTGCGAACGTCGGTTTGTTTTCCACCAAACGTGATATTTTACGCTACGCTAAATTTTACGATGGTGTCAAGTTCCAGTGCGGTTATTGCTCGAAAATATTTACGTGTAATCACAAACGTAACGAGCACGTAAAATTTGTTCATGGCGGTGCCGCCGCCGAAATCACCACCGCCTCCATTAGACCATCGAATACCGCCGCCATAGACCATGCATCGTCACTCTCAGATCCTTCGATTACTACCGGTGGACCGTCAAATGGACGATCGCCATGGACAAGCGATGACGAAAATGATGAACTATTCTTGGAATGTTTGAAAAACAACCAAAATACTGATTTATATGATTAATGTGTTTTAAAATTGAATACCATAAAGTTGGTGAAAAATGCGATCATGCCACAACTGCCACCAAGGCAAAACAAAGTCAGAATAGATTTAGTGAACGCGCCCGGATTCATAAATCGATTAAACCGGTAAATCGGTTAATGATCGCCATGAATAAGTTTATGCTAGTTCAATACCGTCTGCCCGATAAATCAATTTATTTTTAAACGGTCGATTATCGAATGATGTGAAATATCGTTTACAGAAGACTGCTTCTGCTTTATGCAACGTTTTTTGAAATCGAGCGAGACGGGAAATGTTAGGTACATAAGTATAGTGTGGTTTGTATTTTTCGGATATTAAGAACAGATTGAAATGGTTAGTATTCTCGTTGACGATCACCTTAAGCAGAAAAACAAAATATATCGTTTTTTGTTTGTATTTTGCTCCTTTAATCCGTAAACATTCACCGAAAATTATTACAAGAGCAATTGATATACAGTTCTTGATGTACCTATTGGCCCAAAAATCAAAAAATTTAAATTTCATTATACGGAAAGCTGAAAATGGGGTGAACTGCATGCTTATAGTTATTTTATATGGCAATGTATAAATGTAAATTACATTTTATAAATGTTTGTGTCTATTTTTATATTTTATTTATTATTTCGTGTATATATTTTTTATATTTTACAATTTTAGCCTTAAGTTATAACATTTACGATGTTTATAGGCACACACAGTGCATACATATCGTGCATATACGGTTAAAGAAAACTTGCTTACTGAAAACGATGTATAATTAAAATTAAAATTATTCTATAATAACTTTGACATAATATTATAATAATTCAATAATATTGCTTAGTATCGTAAGGCAGCAGTGTGCGCTTGTTGTACCGAAAAACGTTTCGGTACGATATTTTACCACCCGGGATACAATAATATCGAGTACCGGATCCGGTAAAGGCAACGGCGGTATAATAAAGCAAACGAATAAAATATTTTTTACCATATCGCGTACCGTTAAAGTGCGCGGGAAGGTTAAGTGCTGAATAAGTTTGAGAAGCAAACCTTACCTTAATCTAGCATAGATAACCTTCATATTGTATCGCGTAAATACACGCAATGCTCAGTTTTAGTACAGTGTACACTGCCGGTAGTTTATTACTCTGTTTTTCGGTCATATTAATTAGTTACAATTCGGTTCAACGTAATTATTGTTAATACCACAAAATTATCAAGTTTTATAAAACGTGTTAGCTTGAAGGAAATCATTATATTATGTCTCTTTTCCGAATCGATAAAAGCCTACTACTGATGAAAATGAACTATTTTTTTGGAATAGGTGGTAAGGATAATTAGTTTATATACTTATTTTATAGTCTTCAAATCATAACATAGGTAGATAGTTAAAAATCGGCAAAATTTTACATACCAGTAGGTTTTACTGGCGGTCTGTTTTAACTAACGTAATTACCCTACACAATGTTATTTAATATATCGGGGGTGGATTCAGAGAGGCGGGGTAGACTATATTTTAATAAAATAAAAACAAAGACGTCGTAGGACGAGTTTTATAGACGGGTGCCACCACTGTTATAGGTAATTTAATGTATACCTGTAACCAACGATAAACTATTGCTAACGAAAAAACGATTCTGAGCGCAGTTCAGTTGATAGTGATGCTTTGTCAACAATATATATGTCATATTATGGAAAATAATTAAATAGGCATTAATTATTTTCTTTACAATATGTGTTTAATATTGTACCGATTTTCTCATGTTTTTTTTCCGATTTTTCCCATTTATTAGGAAAACTCCTGGGAAAAATCGAAAAATGACCTCTTTAAAATACCTTCCCAGTTAAATTTTATTTTAGAAAAAGTGTCATAATTTTAAATCGGAACTAAATTGCTGGAAGAAAAGATGTACACAGAAATTAAGGCCATAATATTTTTTTACTAATACCTACATTTCGTACATTTTCAGTTTTTTCGACATTTAATCCAGGTTTTACCCAGATATAAGAAAACGCTTAAAAAATCAATAAAAGACTTCTCTAAATTATCACGGAGATAAAATTTCCTTTTAGAAATTAAACTTAACTAGACAAATCAGAGCAAGATTTCTGGTAGAAAAGTTTACATAACAAATCGAGGGGTATTTTGCGATTGAAATATTCCGAGAAAGCGATTGCTTGGGCCTCTGGGTGCATCCAAAATTCATTTTTTTTCCTTTGTTTAGTTAAAAGGGAAAAAAATACGAAAAATTTGTTTGTCACACAGGTTTGAACTCTGAACTCTTAGGATCATAATAAGCTTAATAACCATTAGTTTACAATAAATATGGTGCGATTTAAAGTTATTTAACAAAACATATAATATCCGCATAATATCAGTACTTCAAAAAGCTACAATTTTGAAACTTAGTCAGTTCGCTTAATTTTTGCTTCACCATTATTCTTAAATAGGCAATATTCATATGTTCAAAAAAAAAAAAATTTTACAACATTATTTGTCAAAATTTGATATTAAAATTCCCTTATAAAAAAAAAAATACTACATTAAACTCAATTTTTTTTTTTATCACAAAGTAAGACTCTTAATGAACCTCCTGTTCAATTTTGATTAATTTCTGTTCATGTCTAACAATTTTATCACAGAGTACCTACCGAATAAATATTACGTACAAAACTCTCAAAATTAAAATGTCTAAAAAATACATCAAAAATGGCCTAAACTTTTTAAAATTTTACCATGTCTACAAAAGAAGAATATAAGTTTTTTTTTCAGATTTTAAGTCCATCAAGTTGATACAAATATTTTAAACAAAATGTTAACAAAAAAATCAAAATGTTTATAAAAACCTAAAAATGGCTTAAATGTTTTGAAATTTTACCTCGTTTAGAAAAGACAAATATAAATTTTCTGTCCAAATTTCAAGTCTCTACGAATATTTTTATCTGAGTTACAACAAATAACAAAATTGAAAAATAATAAAAGCATTATTTTCGTAAATTTCCCGTTTTTCTTACGTTTTATCCTGATTTTTTCCAAATATTAGGAAAATCACTTGGATAATCAAAAAATGATTTCCCAAAAGTACCATCTGAATAACATTCCCTTTCAGAAATGATGCCGCGCATATATATATCTGAGTAAGATTTATGGTCGAATTTTCGTACACAGGATAAAAAAACAAAAAAAATATTAACGTCATAGTAAAACCAATACACTCTTCGCTACACCCATAATCTAAAATTAGTAGGTATCTGTTAATATGTCTTATTTTTTATTGTATGCTTAATTTAGTATTTTAAGATTAAGATCATTATTTATTTATTTATGAGTACTTAAGTATACTTTAGTATCTAAAGTAACTATAATGTACTATAATGTACATTTGTACTTTTTGTTTGCAAAAATAGGCGTAAGCTGTATAATTATGTTACTGAAGTCATTTAGGTTTGGTCGCTTAGAAATTCAGACATTATCAAAATTTAATTTGATTGAATTGAAAACTATACACTTTTGCAACTAAATAATGCAAAAAGTGCGAAATATTTCAAACTCAGCGATAGCCCTACTCTCCGGCGGGTCTGATAAGCGTGGACGCCCTATCTCAGCATTTATAATTTATTTTTATTCATTATAGTCTATTGTACCATTATATATTTGGCTGTTAATCTTTGTGATTTGTTGTAAACAATTTTAATTAACTATCCATTGTCATTTGTTAAACTGTTAAATATGTTATTTAATATTATCAATAAGTTAGATGACTTTTGTTAGGAACACTTTATAATAAAACGGGAAATTTACGAAAATAATTTTTTTTTTTATTTTTCAATCTTGTTATTTGGTGTAATTTAGTTTAAAATATTTTTGGAGACTTGAAATTTAAGTAGAAAATTTATATTTGCTTTTTCTAGATATGGTAAAATTTTCGAAACATTTTTGCCATTTTTCAGCTATTTATAGACATTTTAATTTTGCGAGCTTTATACGTAATTTTTATTTGGTAGGTACTCTGTAGTAAAGTAGTTAGATTAAACAGAAATTCTTGAAAATTGAATAGAAGGCTCATTAAGAGTATTATTTTGTGGTCAAAAAAAGAATGTTTGAGTTTAATGTATTATTTTTTTTTATAAAGGAATTTTAATATCAAATTTTGACGAAAATAGTTGAGTAAAAAATGATGTGGAACAAATCTAATTTTTCAATGTTTTTTTTCGAACATAGGTTGTATATGGTGAAGTCATAATTGAGCGGACATATTTAAAACTTCCAAGTGGCTTAATAAATTTTATCAAATCAAGTGTCTTAAAGATAATGTATTTTATGTTTCTTTACAATTTTTCTATGTTAAAATAAAATCAATGATGTCAATAGAGGTACAAAAAGATTAATTTTTAAATAAATATATATATTATTTCCATGTAAAACGATCAATTAGTATTAACTTTTTCTCTATGTATTCCTTCATTTATTTTTTCATATTCAGTCGCGTTTTAATTTTTGACTGTGTGATTTTATCTGACGATGAATTTTTAATTCTAAACCGGTCGTACAAAACACATATCATAATACTCCAAGCGACGAATTTATTTATTTATTTATTTACAAATATTAACCATTTAATAATTTTGTTTTTACTTTATTATTTTATTATTATTTTTAAGTCGACTACAGGAAATATTATCCAATTACCTTCCGAAAGCATTAAAAATGACTTAATTAACAAACATAATATATTAAATTACTCATCTACACTAGATTACAGCACACCAGGGCATTCACGTTGAGTATAATGTGGGTTACTCCCTCTCTTTATAAAAAATTAAACTGCGATAAGTGAAAAAGACACAATATTGTTTTTACAGTAAACAAATTATTGTCTATACGATACAGTAGAATCCGCTTAATGAGGACACATCGGGCGGCGACCTATTTGTCCCCATTATCCGACTGTCCCGATTAGCCGAACTGACGAAAAAAAAAACAACTTTAAAAAAACTAAAAAACTTTATTTACAAAATATATACATACTTGATTCATACTTTATTTAAAAATTACATATTATTATTAGCAGTTATACATTATATTTACTATTTAGTATAATTATATCGTAAATTTATTTAATATATTATGTACATACTTAATTCATATTTTATTAGGCTGCAGAAAATCGTTCATTCTTCTTTGCTGTAATTTTTCAAGACTTTGCTTATTGATAAAATCTGCACAAACATCTAGTGAAGTTGTTGGGACATTTTCGTTTCCATTTTGCANCTTCATTTTGCAGACTTCTCTCAGCAATTTCGTCAAGAATATTACCGTAATTCTCATTTTCATTCTCAAGCACTGCACACCATCATCAATTTTTAAAAATAACTTCCCATTTCCTACGCATTGCGCTACATTATTTTTAATAGAAACAAAAGGAGGAATAGGTAGATCAATGAGTGTTCTGAAACCGCAATGTGCAAAACAATGCTGAATGAATGTCCTGAGGGGAAAATTTTTTAAGAATTTCCAGTAATTTAGTTAAAGACCATTCATCAGCTCCGTTTGAATCAGCACTTGATTTTTCTCCGTGAAATCGCTTGAATTTAATATTATTCCGATCCTTCCAACCTTTTGTGGCCTTAAAATTACCATGTCCAATTTTTTCAGCAAAAAATTCAGCTTTCTGCTGTAACATGGGGCCCGAAATATGAACACCATGTTCTGTAACAGCACAAAAACCATTCGTTCATAGCTTTGTCTACTTCGGAATCTTTGCCTTCCAGCTTTCTTTTTCTGTTTACTGGTGCACTATAGCTGTCGTTTAATTTTTCCCATTGTTCACGAATAGCTTTTTCATTATTTTTCAATCGGCTTAGTACCGATTTAGACGAGCCTATTAATTTCTCTAACTCACGAAGGCTATGAGGTTGAGCCTTAATTTTGTCCAAAATGGAAATTTTTTCAACCAACGTCAAGTCTTTACGAGACATAATTGTTACGCATTAACACAAACTGGGATCAATAAAAATTTTAATAAACACACATACGTCAACACACAGAGACGAAAGAACGTGAACTAAAGGTTTTCGATTTTGTACGTAGGCTAATTGACTCTTATCGTGGTAGTAGAAGATAAACGTGCATTACATTTGTACATATACGGACGTATATAAAATATAATAGAGCCATAAAGATTAGATAATTACAGTTTCGATAAGAAAGTTGATAATTTAGGTCAGAATACCTAGTTAGACGCTTTTATTTTTGTCCCTTATAGCCGATGGTTTGTCCCCAATAAACGAAGTTAAATTGCCTTAAACGAATACATTCGTTCGGGACTATGCCAATTTGTCCCCATTAAGCGGTGTCCCGAACAAGCGGATTCTACTGTATATACTTAAAAGCGGTTCGGTATCGGTTTTTTTTTTCGTGAAAAACGGCAGTTCCCCATTTTTGTCAAAAATGTACCTTTCCCCTTTCCACTGATTCACATTTCCGTTAAATTATAAAATTGGTTTTTTCCGCTAAAATTGTATGTTTCCCTTTTCCGCCAAATGAAAAATATTAACAAACAATTGTATCATCAATTATTATTGTTGTATTATAAAAAATAAATGTCACTGTTGACAACGTGGTTCAATTTAAAAGTATCGACTTGATTGCATTGTAACGGTTTCATTGTATCAGTTTCGTACACTTCGTATAACTGTATCGACTGGTATAACAATTAACAAGCAACATAATCAATAACGTTGGGAAATGCGATGAATTTATTATTGAGTGAAATCACGGTACGTGATCTTACGACGGAAAAAAAAATTATAAAAATAAGTTTGAACTTATACTATGATAAAAAAAAGTGATGATATTTTTGATATTTTTCGAGTAAAAAAATGTTATTAACAACTACTTTTACCTTGTATTCAATAAATAATAAATACAATTTTCATCATACATAAAAAGAAAAATCTTACCAATTTGTAATTTATTTATTTGTCTAATTAATAATTGTAATGTATACAATTGCCAATTAATATTCGAATATTAGATTAACTTTTTTCATTTAATCGACCAATTATACGATTTGGCGGAATCGTGAATCTGCGAAAAATGGAAAGGTACATTTTTAGTGGAAACCGGCCATGCCCGAGAAAAACATTCAGCCCGGTCTTGTCCTGCGGTTTATTTCATCAATCCGATTCGGTCCTGGTGTTAATATCACTGTATTGGTCCGGTTCGGTCTTTGAAAACCCGAATCATGCAGATGAACTCTATTAGCCACGGCTTGCGGGGTTTTAATAGTGCCTCACTACTATACCCCTACCCGAACACAAAGGTAGAACATCTAATCAAAGAGTTGACGGGGAATTACGTATTGTTATTTTGTTACTTAACAATTCTAGTTTATGAATACAGGTTTCTCGCCGTATATGCCGTTTTTGACGACAATCGCTAGACAACGAGGCTATTCGGCATTCGTCGTCGGTTTTATGAACATGCTGCAGCCAATTCCGGGGCTGGTGGCCAGGCCGATCATTGGTGCACTTACGGACAGATACAAATGCCGCCGTGCGGTGTTTATTACTTCTATTGTGCTAATATTTTCGTTGATGTGTATGCTATGGGTAATACCCGGCAAGACGTCGGATATAGAACTGAACGATTTAGACGTGATCAAGTCGCCGTTGTTTTGGTGGTTCTCCGGAACAATTTCGTTAATCAACGCCCTAGCAATGGTGAAGACTGTACTGGAGGACACGATTTGCGTGAATCTTTTGGGTAATTGAAATAAACCAAACAATTTATTATAATGTCTGTAGTTAATATAATTCAATGTTTCAATGTTTTGTAAAGACATTTTATGCGTGTCAGTGTGCATTCTACAGCATAATCTATCGCTCTGAAAATTTGTATACGCGGATGAACTGGTTTTAGAACGGAAATCAACCTCCCCAAATGTGGCTCATATATGATGTGAAACTTTTTGTTTATTTCTGGATTTGGTTGGTGACCCGGGTGTAATAAAAAGGGGGACAAACAAGACCGGTTCAAGAACCAATTAGGCCCGAGGGATGTAGTTTCAAAAGATCCCCATAATAACGAAACATTCTAAACAGGGAGAGATGGAGAGTGACGTTAGTATAACCAATATATTCTTCACTACGTTCATAGTCTTGTCAACAGTGCCAAAGATATTTTTAAATTTTAATTTATTTGAAAGTAATACTATAACGAAATTAAGTATTTTTTTGTTTTGTTTTCTATCAAGGCGATCAAAAAAATGAATACGGAAAACAACGGTTGTGGGGATCTGTCGGTTGGAGTTTCTTTGCCATTGTTTCCGGAGTGTGCGTCGATTGGTATAGCGAAGGGCAACATTTAAAAAATTATGATCCCGCGTTTTTTATTTCATTGTTGTGTTTTGCCATCGACATGATTTTGGTGTTAAAAATTAAGGAAAGTTTAAACATTTGCCTCACTTAATTCACAAGAGCTTTCTATGTTACATGCTTACTCGTATTTATATGAAATCAACATCCGAATCAATAAATCGGTGTACTTGAAAACTACGATTACTCGCAGTGGCGTATCCAAAATATTTTTTTTTTTTGGGGGGGAGGGTCATACATTGTTTTTAAAATGTATACATAGTACAAGTCGTACTATGTATACATTGCGAAATTTTACAAGAATATTAAATTAACATGTAGTTATATGATTTTTTTTTTTTATTTATTTATTTAGAGATATAAACAATCAAGTCTTGAAATTTATATTTTTTTAAAAACTATTATTTTAAGTAATTAAATTATTGATTACAATTTACAATAAGTAGGCACATAGTTTTTTTGTTGATTATTATTATAATTATAGAATATGGCCTATGGCCCACATTAACTCGAATTGATATAAGATTTCAAAGAGATTGAAGTACCTAGATAAAAAATTAATATTTTATTTGAATTTTTAAAATTCTTTGCATTAAAAATATTTTATAATATAATTAGATATTTTATTGTGGTAAGTTGAAAATTTCTTCTTGGAAATATAAAAGACGAAAAAAATAGTTTTGTGTCTTTTATATTAATTTTAATTTAATGAAAAGGTAACACTGTAAGTACCAAACCAAATCAAGAGACATGGATTTTTCACTTCTTATAAGTTTTCACTTATCAGTGACAACTGAAAACTTAATGACTGAAAATGTGCTTAATGTTTAGATCACAGAATTTCTGAATTTCTGATTTCTGAAATTTTTGAAATGTCCAAAAATGTCCATTTGGAAATTTCTCAAAAATAAAATTTCCGAAATTTAACATTAAATCGTCTAAAACAGACGAATACGGATAATAAATCCACGTATATTAAACCTACATACGTTAGTACATATTTTTTATTCCCGTGTACATGCACTCTATTTTCACGTATTCATATAAAAATGCACGTTTTTAATCAAAGACCTCCAAAATTTACTGTATGAATACCAATTTAAATAAGTTTTCCCCATATCAGGTTATACAAGAGAACGATAATACAGTCATGAATTCCAATGTTAGCAAAATATTCGCCGAAGGTAAAGTAATCGCTTTTCTCCTTTGGGTCATCATGTTTGGATTTTTCATGTCTTTCGTATGGAACTTTGTATTTTGGTATGCGAACAACGACAATGATTTCATGCACCATTTATTCGCTGTCTTATTCTGTATAGGTACCTTGAAGACTTGTCCGATCAATACCACCCCGAAACGAAATCGCAGATGAAGACGCTTCAAGGTTTATCGCTAATTGTCCAATGTTTTGCAGGCGAAGTACCGTCGTTTTTCCTATCAAGTACATGATTTATTGGAGGGCTATACAAATCCGAAATGTAAAACCCCGGAATGTAATAACCTGGACTGTAATCTTTCGGAATAAAAAACGACGGAACGTAAAACTTCGGAATTTAAGATGCCGGACCATAAAAGTCTGTAATGTAAAACTGCGGAATGTAATAATCTGGAATAAAAAAATATGGTTCTCAAAATTGTCAGTAGCGAGTCGTCAATAACGATGTCTATCCATGTAGCTGTTTATGTCTATCCAAGTAGCTCTCTTCATGGTATATAATCTAGGGTTAAAATATATTAACATGAATTATTTTATCAACTGCTATATTTGTAATCATGGTAATCAAAAGTAGGAACGAATAATAATGATAATATAAATATTTAAATTTGAAAATACATAAAATCATTCTAAGTTTGTTATCACGATTTAATAATTTGCAGAGAATTTAGTTTTCTAAGTTGTACATTATTTAGATTTTGTTATCTTCGGAAAAACTACCGAACGCAAGTTAATTCAAGTTAGTATAGCTAAGCTATTTGAGAACCATTGATTTTTATCTTTTTCCGGATTTTTATGTTCTGAATCATTACAGTCCGGAATACTAAGTTCCGCAATTTTACATTCCGGTGTTTTACTTTCTGGAGGTATACCGTCTGAGTGTTTACTTTCCGGATTATTATGGTTTTAGACATTACACTTTCTAGAATTATATGGTCCGGGATTTAGCATTCTGGCGTTTTATTTTATATAATATTACAGGACGTATTACTTTCTGGATTTTTAACGTTCCAGCCAATTATTTTCCGGGCAATTACGGCCTCCCGTTTTATTAATTTTTTACTTTCAATTTTTTCCATTGTGTTTAATCGCCGTATTCGTATCCCACAGATTACGTATTGAAACGTGTCAACCAAATGACGGTGTTTTCGTTGATGTTCCTCATGTTCACCGTGGGTTTTTCAACGTACTCGTTTGTTAGAAATCCACTGTGGACATTGCCCATAGAAATTATCAATGGTGCCTCGTTTGGCATGACATTTTCGGCTGGCATTTCCTACGCGACTATGCTGGCACCGATCGGAGCTGAAGGATTTTTCCAGAGCATGTTTAGCACCGCAATGTATGGAGTAGGTCAGTCATCAAATTAAACTGACGTATAAAAAAACATCATTTTTGAGCCTGAAGGCTTTTGTTCGTGCTGTAGCGAATTAATCATACATGGTGATTAATCTATTGTAAGACACTCATTATCTCGAAAAGTATTTATTTACTTGGAGCATCATTTGTGAGGCAGCACGGCGGATATACACCACTACTCTCTTTCGATCCAAACTTACAAGTGAAATTTCTTGTCAACGGATTGACGGAAATCAAATATTTCGACACCATAGTATTTATTTGAACGTATACTCCATCTATTTGTGTAATTTTTAATATAAGTTGGCATTAAAATCAAAAGTAGGTAGTGATTTTACCCCTAATATAAGAGTGACAAAAACAACATAAAACTAAAATTGGTCTCCTATAAATATATACAGTAGAGAATAATGTATAATGACATTTTTTTATAAAATATCGTAATAGAAAATTTTATGTGGGTTTGAAATTTATAGACACCTTTTGTGGAGGATTTGGCGGTCAACTTTTAAAATCCAAATAAATTTTTTTTGTGAATATTTGATTTCCGCCAACTTCTTGACGAGATTTCACTTTGTAGCTTAGACAGGGACAGAGCAATGGAATACTGCGTGTGAATGGTGGCATAGCACTCGGAAATCAATAATTTTAATACAAAAATTTACTTGAACAAATACTCCATTCATACATAGGATTTTGAATATAGGTTGCCACGTGAATTTCAAAAGTTGCCCCGCAAATCCTTCCCAAAAATGCGTCCAAAAACGTCAAACGCACATATAATTTTCTATTACACTATTTAATAAAAATGTTTCATTATACCTTATTATCCATTTTGTAAAGTCATAGAAAAAAATTATTTTAACATAAACTTCTGTACACACCTGTCTATTTTTTAGTAGTTGTCATGCAATACATGACTTCTTTGACCTTTAAAAACATCCGATGAATAATCCGTTTGTTTGAACAATGGTGAAAAATGACAGTTTTTTTTTATTTATACTTATTTCAGCGATTCCTAAACTTTTGTTGCACACGGACACCTGACGAAAGACTTAGAAATCGTGGACCCCTTACCAATACCTTTTGTTTATAAAATATCTCATGTTATCATAATCAATATTTGCGGATAAAGTCACAGCGAACCCCTGACATGAATATCGCTGACTCTCATAGTGCCGTGGACCACAGCTTAAGAACCGCTAATTTATATAATAATAATAATATGGTCTCGTACGATTAATCCAAAATACATGTGTGACCATATATTATATATTTGTTTTTTTTTTGTGTATGTGTTTTCCGCAGGAGCGCCTGTCGGAAGTTTAACCGGCGGTTTTATGTTCAAAAACTTGGGGAGCATCAATTCGTTCAGACTGCTTGGATTGATCGCATTCGTCATGTTTGTGTCACAGACCACCGTCAACTATATCTTAAACCGTTTGAATGGAAACGAAGACACCAAAGACACGTACACTGTAGTCGCCATTGAAGAAAACGCTGAAAAAGTCACGATTTCCGCATAGTATTAGAGTTGAGGGCAACTACAGAAGGCTAAAATAAAATTCCTGGGAATATTGAAAATGACTTTCCTAAAGTACCACCCTAAAATATTTCCTTTCAGAAAAGATACTAAATTTGAAAATCGGAATAATATTTCTGGTAGAAATTTTGTATAGTATAAAAAAAAAAATGAAAAAAATAATTGTCATTTTACTTTAGACCAATACATTTTACAAAATAGTGAGTGTGCCCATTTAAATGGAACACACATGTATTGTATTTTTTGTTAATATTCAAATAAAATTATATATATGTATATATATTTCCTCTTATGTATATATGATATATATATATAAATATATATATATGACTTGAACGTGATGTATTTTACTCAAATAATCACTAATAGTAAAAAACAAAAACAAAAAAACCAAACATAAAAGATAACGGCTAAAAAATGGATACAAAGAAGACATGAATTAAGCATTTTCATTATCCTTATCAATGAACACGGTGTTAAAGATCACAAAAGTTTTCATAACTTTTTACTAATAAATGAAGATTAAATTGAGAAAAATTAAATAATTTTAAATGTATCAGTCAAAATTAATTCGTGATATTAGTATTTTAATTAACGCTGAGTGATAAAAAACATAATATGATAATAGTCCATGGTAGCTTCTGTCAAGTTACTAAGCTCAAATTTATAAAGCAGCAGTACTTCCATCATATATAATATATGGGAGATAGAAAATTCCACAAAAAACCGCAAGTTTATAGAGCACATAATGGTAACACTATAAATCTATTGCGTTTTATTATAATTAAAAAAAAATTGAAAAAAATACATTTTAGAAATTAATAAAATGGGTTCAAGTAAAATGGGAGACATGTTGTGATTGGTTGAATATACGATAATAATTTGAAATAAAAAGAAATAAAAAAAAGTCGTCCTAGGATAATGGGGACAGTTGCAGTCACTGTTATATGTAATTTATGTATACCTGTAAGCCCGGATGAACCGTTGTAAACGAAAAAACGATTCTGAGCACAGTTAAGTTGGTAATTATGATTTGTCAACAATATATATTCCATATTATAGAAAAATAATTAAATAGGCACTATATATTTTTTTGAATAATATTTGTTTAATGTTGTACCGATTTTCCCGGTTTGCCCAGTTTTTCACATTTGCTGAAAAAACTCCGGGAAAGTGGAAAAACGACCTCTCTAAGGTAGCAATGGTTTAGTATTGCTTACAAATATAAATGAAATAGCCTTATGTATTCACCTTCCCAACTTCACACCTACAACAGTTGCTGCTCTCTCTCCAAGTATGATCTCTTTTAGATTCCGAGCATAGCGAGGGGAGTTATTGATTTACTAAGATTTTTATTTTTTTTATTTTTTTCTTCTAGTCTGTGGACACGTTTTTTTCTAGTAAACTTGCTATTTTTTAAACAAAAGCACTTAAATATGAAAAAACGTAGGAAAACGTACAATTTCACGATTTTATTATTTTATAAAAACACGGACAACGTTTTCTACCAGAAAAAATGATTTATTCGAAAAATCACATTTTACCTTTTTTGTTGCTTTTTTGATTGACTTTCTTACGGTATCATCATAACAGAGAAATTCAGTCTGTAAGTTTAGAAAAATGGCTTTGCAAACGTCAGAAAACATTGCTAAAGCTTACATTTTAAAAATAGCACCTTATATCAATACATTTTAGATAATAAGTAAATAATAACCAAATAATTTATATTTCTTAACATATTAACATATTATATTTATTATCTAAGTCTAATAATAACCCATTTTAAATAATCTCTCCTGCTAAAATAAATCATTTCTATGTAAAACGACTAATGTGTATAATTTTTTTTCTATGTATTCCTTCGTTTAATTTTTTATATTTAGTCGTATTTTACATTTTGAATTGTGATATACCTGATGATGAATTTTTAATTTGAAACCGGTCGTATATACACTTATTTTACTCCAGGCAAAGCCTTTATTCTTTTATTTATTATTTTTGTATTTTTATGTATATATTTTTTATTAATTTATTTATTTACTTTATTTACTTCATAACGCTGAACTCTATTTATTTTTACCACAAAGTTCAACTTATAATTAACCTCGTGTAAAATTGTCAGCCATTTCTGTTTGGCTTAACAACTTTACATCTATAACACCTACTAAATGAATACTAAAAGAATTTAAATATTTTAAATGCAAATAAATAGCTGTGTAAACTCCAGAATTGTTTTGAAAATGTACGATGTTTAAAAATTCGAATATACGTTTTCAGTTCAAATTTGAATTTTCTACTGCTTTAATCGAATTAAATCGAAAATAATGTAACTATTAATTCAGTAAACTTGTCCATATTTCTTTCTTTTTTTCTGGTTTTTCAATTATTAAAAAACCTACTTATAAAATTAGATATTCCTCTTGCACCAACTTAACAAAATTTTATTTTGGAAAATAAAACACTTGAATTTTAGTGCAAGATTTCAGATAAATAAAATTATAATCAAAAAACATAAGTTGTTTTAGATTAATATTCAATAAAGATAGCATATATTAGCAACTGGTATAAACACCGTTTGTTTATCTTTTACGGATATTTTTCTGATTTTATAGAGTTATTACGTACTTGAAAACTTCGTTGAAAATCGAAAAAAAAAACTTCTCTGAATCACCAACTAGTTCAAAAATTCAACATAATATAAAGTGTATTTTTTTTTTATTAGGTCGATATTTCTAAGATATTATAAAAAAAGGTACCAATAGACTATCATAATATTTCAGTCTGATTTATATTTTAAACTAGATAAAAATCGTTGTACATATTATAATTGTTTTATAATTTTTAATGGCGTGGCATATCTATTTTTAAAATAAAAACAACGAATACACAATAGTTTATTGCATGCCATAACTTTTTTTTAACACCATCCCTTCAATTTAAGCTGATATATGCATATATATTTACTATATGATATTGTGTACCCTCATTATAACCGACCAACTTTATGTTTTCGCCAGCACAACATACATGTATAAAAAATGTCGCACAAAGATATATCCATTTTAATATCTCTTGAGGTAATAAAGATAATTATATTTTCTTATATTTGAGAACACATGGATAAAGATTACAAATATTTTTATTTTAATTAATTTCTTATTTTTTGGTAAAAAAAAAATGTATTTTATTATTTTTCAAAAAATTGATATTTTAACTTTAATTTTAAATAGATTTTTAAAGTTCAGAGAAAAAAGTGTACTGTCAATAAGTAATGTAGCATCTTTTGTGAAAGGAAATTGTATATAGGTGATGCATTGCGGAGGTCTCATATTTTGATTTTCCAAAGGGTTTTCAATAATTTAAAACTTTCATAATAATTGGGAAAAACCGGAAAAAAAATTATTGGAATAAGGTCAAATATTTATAGCGTTACCAATTAAATTGTTTTTAATTTTTACAAACTATGTTTTCTACCAGAAATATTACTCCAATAAAAAAACGATAAAAGACATTTTTTGTTAAATTTTGGATCTAGTTACTCAAAAAGTAAGTGATTTTCAATTTTCCATACATTTTTTTTTTAATAATTGAACAAAACCGAAAAAAAACTTGTGAGGAATTGGAAAATTTACGAAAATAAATTGAATTTTGATAGAAAATTTAATTTTGCTTTTTCTAAACTCGATAAAATTTTTAAAAAATTTAAGCCATTTTTAAGCTATTTATAAATAGATGAAACAATTTTTGAGTTTATATAATGTGAGAAATATATTATTGGATTTGGACTTACCTAAAAATTGTTTGGCGAAATGCGTATAGATGCAGAAGCATTTCAAGTTGTGAATTGAAAATTGTTATTATTATTGCTATCGAGCTATAATAATATTTTTAATGAATAAATATATTAATATATACAATTTATCATAATATTTATGATATTTTGAATAACGCACATCTTTAAAATATGTAATATACATGATATTTTAGAAATAAATGTCGTACTTTACGTGATGGTATTCTTCATGTTCTTCAGCCCTCAGTATAGACTTTTTGGATTTTTTTTTTTTTTAATGTCAAAACCTTGGATTTACCGTGATGATTTAAAATAAAAATTAAAAACAAACCATAGCTCAGAATGACCTTGATTGGTCAGTTTTAATTACTCGGCCAATCATACGTAGAGATGGGAAACAGAACGCGAAAAAAAAAGACACATTTTGTAATAATTGTTTATTATTTTATGTGAATATACAAAATGTGCAAAATACCTTTGCGTGATATTAATATGAACTTAATTAAGAATCTTACAATTTAAACGTATATTCTTATTTGATATTATGTAACAGTACTTATATAATATGTAGGGATGGCCAAATTAAAAACGTTATAAATTGTTTATATTTTTTTTTAAATGTTGAAATTATATTTATTAATTTATGTCTTCAGCGTCGTTAGGGTCGTCAGGTATGAATTCATTGATATCATGAAACGATTCATCTGAATCTTTATCTAATCGATTATACATTGTGTAAGTGGAATCGCCATGACTTTCAATGGGGTCTGCATTTAAATTATTTTGCATCTTCACCGGATCGTTTATAAAGTCCATGTATACCGAATCTCGATAATCTGGCGAAGCGTAGTTATATATTTGATATTTATCGACCAAGTTCGTGACGTAATACATAATTCTATTGATCTTATCGACGGGCGTGTTAATGTCATTTATGCAATTCATCCAAGTTATTATATTCAAAGTGTAATAATCACGCGCGTAATATAAAAGATGTATGTAACGGTTGCCTTGCCTCATTTTTTCGGTTTTTATTATCTGGTTTAACATCTTCGAAATGAGTGAAAAACGTTTTTGAAAAACTTCAAAGCGGTTCTCTGTCATTGAATATATGCTTATCTGCAATTGAACATCTAAACACTTTGCATATAACGATAATATATGATTATTATCATTACTCATTTGTCCGGAAATAACACTCGTGTCAATATCGATTATATTTAAATCGTGATTGTGTTTCGCAAACATTCCATTGTTCTCTGGGAAATCATTTGCCAGTAGCAGGTTAAAAATTTGATTGAAATACCCGAAAGATCGTTCTGTTAATATTTCATGTAAGAAATTATGCAATTCATAGTCTTTTTTTTTTATAAATACAGGGTCTTCACTCAAAAAGTCGCTCAAGTTATTCTGGGAGAAGATTTCACTTTTCTTAACGTCACGGAAAAAATGTTCCATTTTTTCCACAAAACAGTTTAAATTTTGATATTCCCCGAACCGAATTACGTCGGTTATTATTATTTCGATCGTGGAAATGTGATTTACAATGTTCACCGGGAAATTTTGAAGCTCCGATTTTATGCGGAGTTCTTTGTAAATTCGTATTAATTTCCTGTCTTTAATATAAAATTCATCAAAGTACTTAATTTTTTTTTGTGAAATACTCTGTTCAGAATCAAATTTACTTCCCGTTTGTCCCGTTATCTGTGGTATATTCTTCTTACTCCATTCTAAATAATTATTAGTTTTGCGGTAAATGATGTAAGTTATTAAATCGAAAATCTTATTTCGATACGATAATATATTCGTCATATTATCCAAACCCGCTAATTTTGGATCGAACGCGTTGATACCGAGTATAGTATTTAAATAACTCGATACCTCTTCGATTACATTTTTCGAATTTGTTTCATTTAGCAAACTTTCATACAATTTGTTTTGGTTTTCCAGCCATGACCAGTTATTAATATTGTATTTAAAATAATGAGTCGTCGATAAGCCCGAATTGTTCAGTAAATATTCAAACCTACTGGTAATATTACAAATTTGTTCTCTATCAAACCGTATCGTTTTGTTCACCACATTATTCATTTCGGTCGGTTTCAATACTTTGACAAAACAATTCGATATTATAAAACGTTCCACTAAATTGATTATTTGAAATATTATCTTTTTGCAATCTAACAATAATTGAAAGTCTAATAAAATTGATTTTTCTTTGATTCTCATCAGCATAAAATTAATGTGTAAATTAAATTTCAACGACATTTTAATTAACATAGTTGATCCGAGAGACAATACGTTTGGCGCTTTGTCCGCAAAATCTAATAGGGCGGCTAGGGTTTTCAAAATCACCCGGTTGATATTAATAAGGTCCTGTTCTAGAGATCCAAAATGATGATCTGAAAATATCGTCAGCAAGCTACTCATTATGTCTCTAATCGTCTCGCCACATTTGCATCCCAATGCCAAGTACATCATGCTAGACATTTCTTGCCAATTATCCTCAGTAATTTTTGACGAAACTCCGTTCAGTTCGACAAACCTACACAATTTATTTTCAAAAAAAATTACCTGATGCGCTAAACTGTCCATGTTACTCGGATTCCAACGCCAACTCTGCATTTGTACGATAGTGTTGAGCGTAAATATATTTTTGGTCATTTCTATATCATCGTAACTGTGTCCCGGCCTGGTCATCGCTAGCAACCAAATAACGTCGTATATATAATTGTGTTTGAAAAACATTTTTAACGAAACACAATTTGAACCCTCAAGCTAAAAATTATTAATATTGAAATTAATAAATGTTGATTTAAAATCAATTTAATTTGATGAAATAATTTTGTTTAGGCTTATTAGATCGGAAGTACTATTAGATATTATACGAAAAATATAATGTACTAATGTAAATTGATTTATTGAAATATGTACACTCATTAGCTTGGAAAGTATTAACAATTTTGTACATAATTCTCAAATTCTACACTTGTTGTTTAATTATTTATTTATTTTTTAGAGCCTTACACAGTGAAATATCTCTGAATACAAGACGGTACATACGATGGAACATATTTTGCATTTTTATTGATTAAAATTTAAACGTAAATAGTGCTTATAAAAAATTTTAAAGTACTACAAGACGTTGAATTTTTTTCCCCATTAATAGCAACTTACCTTAACAGTTTTAGTTACATAAAACCAGATGAAATCCTAAAAAAACTCAACAATTTCAAATGGCTAAAAATAACTGAGAAATTCCCAGAATATTTTTAAAAATTGTATCATGTCTGAAAACTGTACGTAAGATATTGTACCTACATCAGTATTCAGTACAATTTCCGGCCTATACAATTTTTTTCACTAAATAAACAAAGTAGAGTGCCACAAAGAAAATTAAAACATAACATGCTCCTCATTCATCAACGAGACAAACATTTTTACTAGTAACCATTACCTCTAAAGTTAATGATCGGAGCATAATTTCTGATTGAAAAGTTGCTCTCATACAAAAAAATAAATAACAAAAACACATATTATACTAGAAATATAGTAGTACATAAAATAAATATTATCTACTATGTAGGCAAAAAGTTTGCTTGCAGTGTTACTAGTGTTTGTTTTAGGAAATTTGTAATTTCTGAATTATGTTTAAAAATTAGTGTAGGGGATGAAGGACAGCAAACCTATAGTTTAGGTTGTGTTAAATAATTGAATAGCACACTAATTTCTTTTAAGTCTTATAATCCCTCTTCTTTTATTTTTCCGATTCGAGCACTGGTTTTAAGAATAAATTGATGGAGCAAATTTCTTATTAGCAGCAAAATAATGAATTAAAACAAAATGCCTTGAATAAGAATTTGTCTATTTTTATGGTAACTAGTTTTTGTTATATTTGTATATATAGTTATCTAATATGTATTTGAATATGCCTACCTATTATTTGATACAATCAATTGTGGTAATTGTGATAATTGGTACGGTTTACCGTTTCTTTAGGATTACTCAAATAAACGTAAATTCATTTATTTTCCTACAAGGTTTTTTTTAAATGTAAATGAAAACTACAAGAAGAAAAAAAAGGCACACAATTATAATAACTAGATTCAAAATGCTACGAGAAAGCTATTTGGTATTTTTTGATAGGAGCAAGATTTCTTGTAAAAAGTTTTTTACACATAAAAAAAATCACACATATCCATCATCCATATCATCATTCATGTCTACATCTATTAAAAAAACACAAATATTATTTCCGTTTTTCGTTAAAATAATTCGAAATATTTACTTTATTTTCTTACATAACATGAAAACAGGGAAAAACAATTTGTGTATATACTTATATCGAACGATAAAAAATGAAACGTTCTTATTATCACGTTAATAAGAATAATGTGTAAATATCAGATACCTATAGTGGTGGTGGCCAGCTGTGGACACAATACTACAACGGCGCAGTTGAGTTACAGTAATCAAACAAGAAATTGTCTATACACAACTCCCATGAAACGGTCGGTGTGCAAACCTCTTTTAACAAGTTTTCCTTGATATTTTAAAGTAAAATAACTATGAAACTTCTGAAACGTTCAAATTTCGATTTCATTACGTCAAAATTTACAGAAAAATAATTTGATTAACAATTTACATTAAATGTATGTATGTTCTCGTTTAAAAAAAAATAAATTTTTGAAAAATATCTAAAATATAGAACAATGCAATTTTTAAAATATTAAATTTTTTTTTTAAAAACCAATTTGGTTTATAAAAGGTAGGTCTAACGAAGATGCTTTATTTTTAATTAACAAATTTATTCATACAGACCTGGACAGTAGTAACAAAGTCTTAAGAATATTCGTAGATACCAAAAAAACATTTGACTGTATAAATAACGTAGCACTTCTAAAAAAATTAAATTATAGATGTTTAAGAGACAAAATATACGATATATTAAGTTCATGACTAACAAATAAAATGCAAATAGTTAAAGTTAATAATTGTTTATGTTCTCTTTCAGAGGTAAAATGTGGGAAAAGGTACTGTTCTAGGACCTATCCTCTATATCATAAAATTATATAAAAAAATTATAAAAATAAAAATTATTTTTTGAATCTTGATATTAATGCGAATACTATATGTTATGCTGATGATACGGCTATTTTGATTCAAGACAAATTAGTAGATTCCCCGTTTTTACTCAAATATCATTATAAATAAAGTTAAATCTTGGTTTTATAATAATCTATTAAAAATAAATCTAGACAAATCAAAAAATATTTATTTTAACATAAACCTTGAAATAATTGATCATTTGTATAAATTACCCATTAGTTCATCAAGCATTCATAATAATTTATCTGATAAAATTTCTATTGCCTTGCAACATATAAACACAATTCAGTATCTTGGTATAATGGGATCACCATTTAAATTGTCTAACCGATATTGTACGTAAATTATTTCATATCTTTGATTATGTTAAAAATATATTTAATATCCAAATAAAAAGGCTTTTATACATATCACTTGTTCAATTAACATTGAATTACGGAATAATTGTATGGTGTTAGGCATATGATTCATATATCAATACATTAAAAGCAACTGTAAATCGCCTAATCAAATTCTTATTGAATAGACCAAAATACACAAATAATGAATATGTGTACCCATCATTATTGATGTTTATGTACTTAGTATTTAATGAAAACTTTTGGTAATCCTTCATCACAAGCTTTTAGCTTACAAGAGGTTTGCAAATATTACAAATTATATTCTATACTACATTATTTTATTTATTATTTATACTGTATACCGTATGAAATTTGCAGCTTTTGTCTGTTTCAAATCCGATTACTTACACCTCCATTTATAATCCTGATCGATTATTCATCACGTAGAAAAATATCTATTGTTGAATTAGCGATTTTAAAAAAAAGAAATAAATCATACAATTGTTAAAATGTTGCATATAAAAAGTTTTGACTTGGATTTTTACTTAAAGGTTCAAAATTCATGTTAAATTATTACAATACGTACAAATACAACTTTGTAACCTATACCGTTAACAAATTTTAAAGGGGCATTGAATATAAGTTATGCGAAAGCAATAATCGAAATTAATGTTTTAACGAAAATTTAGAATATTATTATAAAATAATTGAATAAAACGCACACTTGTGTGTGAGATACATTAGAACAAAATATGTAGTAGGTGTGCCTACACAAATACGGTATATGCAAAAAGTGGGAGGAATACGATTCCGCACGCTCTATTGTTCATTGAAACAATAGAAATTGAGTGCAACACTGTCAAATTTATCATAAACAGTGTGATTCTATATTTATTACGAAAAAAAAAAATTTTAAATAAAAATAGTTAATTCATATAGAACTAGTGATTAGTGAATAGTGAGCCGTCATTACAAAAAATAAATATGGTGTAAAGTAATGTACAATTTAATATAATTTTTCCCTTGTTACATAAAGCCAATAGAAGTTAGATATTTTATAATATTTTTATGTATTTTATAATTATTAAGATGTTATATAACGTTTTGTATACGTTGCCCTCCTTATATTTTATTATCTCTGATTGATTCTCCATTCCTAACTTATAAATTTTAACACCGTAAAATATAAAGTATAGAATATTGCTCGAAATTAATACAACTTCTTATTGAACTGTATCCACGCGCGGCGTTTTAACAATTTTGACTAGACGACTATACTGGTATACTCGTATTCACCCATAGATATTAAAAATATTAAAGATATTCTTTAATATCTATGTATTTACCAACAGTTATTGTGGGTGGTCATTTATCAAAATAATCCCGTCATTATGAGATTATCGTTATAACCTTAGGTACCATTATCATAACAAATATTAATTAAATCATATAGATTTGGACAATTTAATGTCTATCGTTGTCTTTATCAAAAGACCCAACTTATCTTGTTTTTAATTAATTAATTGAACTTAATATGTCATGGTAAAGAGGTAAATAAATACATAAATCACGGAATGGTGTTACAAGAAAAAAACGTGCGGAATCGTATTCCATGTCTGGCAACGTCGCGTTCGAATACAATACGAGATTGGGTAGAAAAAAAGGTCGAACAAAATGTAATATCGAACAATGAATATGCAGAATCGTGTTTTACCCACAAAAGTAAACACTAAACATAAGTACACAAATCGAATCGTTTGGACCACATAACAAATAATAAAAAAAACTTAATAAATTAAATTAATTTGGAATTACATAAAATACTTGCATATTTCATCATACATTATGCGTATAGTATTTTTTTTAAAGTATAATATTATGGTTTAAGAGTTTTCGTGCGAAATTCGGATTTTTTTATAGATACGTTACCCTAGATACGTTTACTACCAAAGTAAATATCGACGTTAAACAATATAGTATCGATTTCAATTTCATTTGTGATCATTTTTAGATTCTGAGTGAATTGCAGAAACTTATGGTTTTACAAAGATGTTTTTTTTATCTGCGCGCAACTTTTTTACCAAAAATCTTGTTCCGATTTCTAATCCACCTTCCAGGAAAGAAAATCTATGTAAGGAGGTACTTTAAGGAAGTAATTTTTCGATTTTCTTAAGAATTTTCTCATAAAATGTGAAAAACCGAAAACAACAGGAAAATATACGAAATATATTACTAAAATATTACGATTTTATTTTTCTGTGTATAACTTTCCTACCAGCAATAATTTATCTCTAATTTACAATGATAGAACTTTTCCCGAAAGGAAATTTGTCTGGAAAAGTATTTTAAAGATGTCATTTTTTGATTTCCCCAGGATTTTCCTCAACCAATGGTAAAAAGCAGAAAAAATTTAGGAAAAACGGGAAAATCTGTACAATATTAAACAAATATTATCAAAGAAAATATTTAATCGTTTTACTATACTTTAATATATATATATATATATTACATATAGTTGACAACAGTGGCGTATCTATGGGGGGATATGGAGTTCCTATCCTTCCCGGAGGTTATTATAATTTTTTTTTACTTAAAACAATATTTTGATAATTATGAGTTGATGATTTGATGAGAATTTTATGCACATTACCCGTTTTGATAGCGACCCCACAGAGAGAACGTATTCAACACTCAAACGAGTAAAACGTATTTAAGGAACACGAATTACGGGTTAGGTAAATTTTTAAACAAATTTTTGATTATAATGTTCCTTCATTTTTTTTTAAAATCTACTTGATGGCTTTTACATGCTATCAGTACACAAACATAATATAAAAGTTATGCCTGATGAAGTACTCGACATTCTTTCATTGTCCTTGAGAAAATTGAACTTTGTTTTGTAATTAAGAAACCAAATTTTGTACTCAATACAACATGGATATACCTACTATATAATAATATGAATATATGTCTATAAATATCTTTATGTCCCCCCCCTATGAAAAAATCCTAGATACGTTACTGGTTGACAAAGGATCACTATCAACTGAACTTCGCTAGGGTCGTTTTATCGTTGCTTATAGGCATATATTAAATTACCTATAACGATGGCTGTATCCGTTTCTATTACCCTAGGACGTCTTTTAAATCCTAAATTCAATATTTGTACACCCCTTAAAATTTAGAAAAATCAATTTACAAATTGAGGAAATGGTGTATCCGTTACACGAATTTTTGTCATTATCACATATCTTTGCGTGCGTAATGACGTCAATCGCCGTCCAAAAATAATTGTCCGAAACATTTTACTCAGGAAAATTATCTCTAGTGAAATTTTACACTCGACCATTTTACCGAGAAGTAAATATTCTCTAGTGAAATTACTACACATTATTTGTAGTGGTTTTGTAAATCTATTATTGTGTATAAATGAGTAGAACTTTGTCGAAATGTGTAAACGAGCTATATATTGTTATTATTGTCACCTAATCTAACCTACGTTCGGAATCTAAAAAAAAAAAAGACGTTATTTTTAAAAATGTATTTCTTATTTATTTTTTTCGAAGAATCATTTTATTGAAAATACAGGTCCTTTCGAATAATTTCCCGATCCATACGTGCTTCTTGGTTATTGCATTTAATCTTTATTTATATCTAAGTGTTCTGATTAAAAAAAAATCCTTATATTACTCAGCTACTTTCAAAAATACACGGTAAAAGAATTGCAAAAAAAAAGAAGACATAATTTTGAATACATTTTAGATCCTGAATGTAGCGAGAGTGTATTGGTTTACTAAGATTGTTTTTTTTTTCTTGTTATTATGCTGTGTACAAAAATTCTTCCATTAATCTTGCTCAGATATGTATACGTGGCACCATTTATGAAAAGTAATATTGTCCAGATGGTATTAGGTGGTCATTTTTTGATTTTCCAAGTAGTTTGCATAATATCTGGGAAAAACCAGGATAAAACGTAAGAAAAACGGGGAAAATTTTAAGAAAATAATACTTTTATAATTTTTCAATTTTATTATTTGTTGTAATTCAGTTAAAAATATTTTTAGAGACTTGAAATTCGGACAATTATTTGCCTTTTCTAGACGTGGTAAAATTTTCAATAAATTTAAGCCATTTTTAAGGTTTTTATAGACATATTAATTTTGAGAGTTTTGTACGTAATATTTATTCAATAGGTACTTTGTGTTAAAGTTATTAGACTTGAACAGAAATGCTTCAAAATTTAACAGGAAGTTCATTGAGAGTCTTACTTTGTGATGAAAAAAAAATTTGAGTTTAGTGTAGTATTTTTTTTTTTTTAAGGGAATTTTAATATCAAATATTGATGAAAAAAATGTTGTGGAATTTTTATTTTTTTGAACACATGTATATTGACGATTTAAGATTTATGGCGAAGTCAGAATTGAGCGAATCAACAAAGTTTTGAAATTATAGTTTTTAGAAGTTCTGATATGCGGATATTATAATTTATGTTAAATAACTAAATATTGTCATCAGTATAGTATGTTTGTCGTAGCCGAATAGTTATGCATGTCTATTATCATCTTAGAGGTAAGACCTTTGTATTTAATTTCAGTTTTTAAGTTTACAGTTATAATTTTATTTATATTATGGACTTATTAAACGACGTGAAAACCATAACGGTAGCATATGTATCACATATGCGTAATCGTTCTACGAAAAGAGAAAGATGCAATAGGCGCGATCATTTTCTACACTTTTCTACAGGGTCTTTACACTTCAAAGATAATTTCATAAATGGTAATTTATAAACCGCTAGCGGATCGCGGGGATCAAATCGCCTGTGTGAACAGGTCTAATGGAAAACCACAGTTATATCATAGCTGGCGGACGCGGTCGTTGCCTGGGAATTCCCTCTTAATAAGAAATGATAAATAGTAAAAAATTATTAATCTATACTAATTTTTACTTTATAAAAAAAAAAAAAATAAAAATATTATCGTACTCTCTAAATTTTACTTTATAATCAAATAAATTTGAATTCGTTGCAATTTTTCATTAAAACCCCACTTTTTTATGTATTGTATTATTCGATTTTAATATTTATTTTAACATACTACTTTATTTTTGAATAAAATTAAAAAGATTCATTATCAAATACCGAATATAATTGTTTTTAAAGTTTGGATGTTATAACGAAGAATAATTTATCTTCTTTAACTATTGATAAACTGATAAAAGAAGTCGTGGCAATATTTTAGATTCTGAATGAAGAGAGGAATGTATTGGTTTTACAGTGATGTTTATTAATTTACAGTTTTTCTGTGAACGATTTACTATCAACAATTTTACTCCGAGAATTCTAACTGGGGAGGTACATAAAGAAGGCCATTTTTTTAGGATTTTTCCCAATAAATGAGAAAAACCGGGATTAAACATTGAAGGACCATGAAAAACTTAGGAAACACGGGAAAATAAGTATAATATTAAACAAATACTATAGAAAAAAATATATAATGCATATGAAATTATTTTATCACAGTATGACGTATATATATTGTTAATAATATAACACTGCCCTCTCCGCTCAGAATCGTTTTTTCGTTAGCAATGGTTATCGTTGAGTACAGATACTTATAAATTAAAAATGTCCGTCCATATCCTATCTTCACAACCCATATATTAAATATAGATTCCCAACTCATAATAAAAATAGGAAGAGAGGTAGGGGAAAAAAGAAGACAAATTTTTAAATAATTGTTTTATTTAGAAATAATATATAAGTATGTAAGTGTTTTAGTATGTTATAGTAGTCTTTAAATAAATATATAGATCTTAACAATTTAAATATGATAATATGTATTTAATTTTAAAATGTTTTAATACATGTTTAGAAAATTAAGACGGAGGGAAATTATAAAACAGTATACATTATTACTTAATTAATTTTTTTTTAAGTGAAAAACTCAATTTATATTTCACATTTTAAATATAAATAATTTATGTATAATGTGATACTAAAAAATTATGATCAAGAATTTTAGAATAGTAAGAAACGTATTGTTTTAAATATTATTTTTTAGATAATCTTTAGAATCCATTTAATTCGAAAATGGCTCCAACACCATCATCATCATTACTACTACACTCATAATAACTATCAGATAATGCACCATTATCATTATCATTATCATCAGAACCATCATTATCGTTATCATTATCACTATCATTATCACCGTAAATTAAGCTACTACCCAAAACGTCGGAGCAGCCTGGATCAACGTATGGATACATTGCACCAGCCCCAAGAAGTCCAAAATACAATGGAGGCACACTATAATTATCAGTGCACATATTATCCGTAGGGGGACAATCGTCTTGGTTATCATTCGGCGGGAGTTTAAATTGAATGGGACTTTTATATTCTAGTTTATCAATCGACCACAACATGTTGTCGAACTCTATATACAATGAGTTGCGATATTTTGGCGAACGGTAATTATACATTTGATATTTATCTACCAAGTTTGTGATGAAGTTTAATGTTCTATAGATTTTATCAGGTAAAATATTTGCGGTTTTGTTCTTAATATTTTTTACAATTGAATCCAAATAATAACGCGCGTAAAGTAAAAGATCTATGCGATTGCCCCCTCTTTGTTTTTCATGATGTATTGTATCGTTCAAAGCGAAATCAATATTATAAAAACGTTCTATTAACATTTCTTGGGTGAGAAAGTGGTTCAAAATTGGACGATTACCAATTTCTAATAGAATTTTGAAACAATATTTGTACACTGATAAAATTTCTTCACCTACCATTTTAGTTGTTAGATTATTTGTGTCAATATTAATTTCTATTATATTTAAACTTTCCTTATATTGCATAATCGCTTCACTGAGCTCGTCGGGATCCTTAAATTCTTCTAAGTTAAAAATTTGATTGAAATACTTGATAGATTTCATGGATAGTATGACCCATAGAAATGTATGCAATTCATAATTTTTTGTGTTTTCTAAAATAAGCTGAAGGTCGATATTCTTATTTTGGAGGAAAAATGTACGTTTCGAAATATTATGGGAATAAATTTTCATTTTTCCCTTTAAATTTTCTACATCTGTAATTTTCCCCTCCCAAATAATGTCTTTTAGTAATCTTCTGATCAAGATAATGTGGTCAATAAATTCCGTCGGGAATTGCAGACTAACCGCTCTTGCGTAGAGACGTTTATAAAATAGTAATAACTGATTGCCATTGATATAAAACTCGTTAAAATAATTAATATTTGATTCCAGTGATTCCGAAATACTCTGTTCGTCGTTTATTTCTGTTTGTTTGGTTTGTTGTGAATTATTTTCCTTCCTAAGTATGGTTAAATAAGTATACGTTTTTCGGTAAACAATAAAATATATTAAATCAAATATATTTTTTTGATACGATAATATATCATCCAAATCGATATCCTCTAATGAAGGATAGAAACATTGTATTTTGAATAAAAGATTTAGTTGATTCGATACATCTTTGATCATGTTGAATTCCAAAAACTTTATTGCTGATAAATCGTCATAATCTTTATGGTCAGTTTGATTGTTCAAAAACATTTTGTAATTGAGGTTGTATTTAAAGTAATGCTTTGTTGATAAGCCCGTATCTTTCAAATATACGTCAAATTTATCTATTATATTTTTAATTGTCTCTTTATCACACCATTTCGTATTTTTAAGTACTTCTGTACTATCGCCACGGTTCAACCGTTTCACCGAACAGTTCAAAAATATGAAACGTTCGGTTAAATTGATCATTTGTAATAAAATCATTTTGAAATTTTCCAAAAACGGGTTTAAATTATGTGATGCGTTATTGATTCTATTAAGCATGTTATTTATGAACAAATTAAACCTCAGTGACATTTTCAGTAATGTGATTGCTCTGAGGGGCAAGACGTCCGGTGCTATTTCAGAAAAATTCATCAGAACATCTACGGTTTTCAGTATCACCCGATTGATTTCGATTAGGTCTTCCGTTATCATATTTTGATCCTCTGTGAGACTATCTGACCACATCGTTAACGTGTCGTTCATTATGGCTCTAATTATCTCGGCGCCCTCGCATCGCAACACTATATACATCGAGGTAGTAATTTCTGTCAAATTGCTTTCGTTAATTTCCGACGGAATGCCGACTAATCCGACGAACGTACTCAGATTTCCTTTGAAATCCATCCCTCGATACACTAAGCTGTCCGTGACACTAGGATTCCAACGCCAACTTTTCTTTTGCATGATAAAAGTGAGATCCTGTAATTTTTTGCTTATTGGTAATCCCAAGAATACGTGTCCGACTATTGTTGGAAAAAAGATCACTGATAGCAACCAAATAACGGTGTAAAAATACTTACGTTCGACAAACATTTTTACTGAAATGCAATTTCAACAGCCGACTTGAAATAATATTAATAATATGGTATATACTTAATGAATTTTCGGGGATTTTCAAATAATATCAATCATTCAATAAATATGATAAGAATAATAGGTTGGTATGGATAGATCTTTTTGAAGGCGTACAAAAGGCCTGTCAACACTAATAAATGACCACAATTAATATTAAGTTTTTCTTCTGATAGTTTTTTTTCGATTCTTCTTTTCAACGTCAAATAAACAGTATACCTGTAATAACATATTATATTATATTATTATCAGTATATCTATTTAATGCAACGTTTTATTAATTTATAATAGGTTGGTTATTTTTGTTGTTTTTATACTACTTCAGTCAACTCAGTTTAGTAGCTTCACGAGTTCATATCAGACATATTTTAATTAAAAAAAGAAACTACCAATTTGTCTATCAAAACCTCGTCAGGTTTTTAATCCGTGTACCTTATATAGGGTGTTCTACACTATTATTTTTAATTCAATAACTCTGTCAAAATTAAATTTTCTTTTTCAATGGGATTTTGTGCGAGGAGGATATTTTTTATTTTCATCCCTTATTCGCTGAAAAAAATTTATTTATTTTTCTACTTCTTATAATTTTCAATATATCCATTTTGTAAAATATATTACTTTAAAAATGTCATTGTATGATATTCATATCTAAATTATAGTTTCTTAGTTATAATGGTTTTAATGTATAGAAAATAAGCATGAAAATAGATTATGTTCAATAGAAAATAAGAAATTACTGTGCCGATTGTGATTCCTTATCGCGTAATATGTTATTCTACAGAAAATTAATTTTTTTTACGACAATTTTCTAAATATCTATACGGATATTACTAAGAAACTATTGGTTGTATGTTACATTAAAATTTTATGAATAATATTTTTTTCAAAATGGACGTTTTGAATATTTTAAAGTGGTAAAATACATTTTTTTTTTTTTTTAAATAATTAATAGATGAAAACAAACATTTAATTTTGCATTAAATACGAGTCCTCTTAAAAACCAGATTGAAAAAGAAAATTAATATTTACAGAATTATTAGCATAATGATAACACTATAGGACACTATATATGGTATTTGCTGACATGGCTGAATTGCCGACATTGATGCTAACATATACGCGATCAGTAGGAACCACAAAACTTTAATAAAATTGTTTTTCATCGTAAACTTATTGAAACTATTGTTATAATTTAGCTATGTCATTAACAACAATTAAAACTATCGAAAAATTCATAAATTGTAGAAAAGTCGTTCAAATGGCCTAGAAATTATTTCGAAACAAAGTGATTGCACACACGCTATATAATACTCATTTTGTTAAATTTAAATATTAAAATACAGTTGAGTGTTGAGCGTTTTAAATTAATGTGGTGACGTCAGTAAAAACAAGTTTTGAAAAAACTGATGAACATTTATAAAACAATTTAACATTTTTTTATAAATACGTAAGATTTTTGTATTTTATTTTACAAGACTTTTTAACGTAAAATATTAATAATTTGCATAATATTATACGGGGTTTCCCACAGAGATATGACATACTAAATGCAATAACTATTGTTCTGTTCAATATATTTAAATATTTTTTAGATTCTTAGCGCAACGAGGAATGTATTGAATTTACAATTATGTTAATTTTTTATTTTTGTGAACAACTTTTCTACCGGTAACTAACTTCGCTCGGTTAAGTTAAGCACTTTTTCTGGAAGGAAGTTTGACTGGTATTTTAATTTGTGAAAGTCATTTTAATTTTCCCAGGGATTTTCATAGTAACTTGGAAAAATCGGGGAAAAACGTATGAAAAAAAAAAGAAAATTTACAAAATTATTATTTTTAAATCATAAATATTACCGCCTTTTAAAACATAAACAATTGAATTATGCTTAGAATTGTTTTTTTTTATAGCAAAGTTTAATTATAACTTACATTTATTCATTAAATTCCCCTCTATATTATACCTTCTCAATTTCTTACCTATAATAGTGGCCCATCCATCGTGTAAATTATGTCCATACCTTTTTCTCGAAACAATTAATCAATCTGGGATTTGATTCCTGTACATTTTATTTTTCAAACGAACATAAAAAGTAAAAAGATTTATTATTTAAAGAAAAAATTAAATTAAAATTTTTAAAAATTATGGTTTTATAAAATCCAAGATAATCCAAAATTGTAAACAACATTAAGGTGTTAAAAATCTTTATTTATTACGATGAGTAATGTTTCTAAAACTGTCATTAAAACTATCAGAAAATTCATAAATTGTAGGAAATTAACGATTTGTCACCAGTAAACATATATAACAACAAAATTTTGTTTCAAAATAAACGTATAAATGGGCTATTTTTAATTATCATACCGCAAACGCCCTATAGAAATTTTTTCGAAAAAGAAAAACTTAAACATATTAAATAAATATTAAGGTTTTGCATACACAATATTATATACTGACCTTGTTAAATTTAAATAATATAGCCTTTGAACATTGCTATCGGCTTTCTGTTTTAAATTCTATTACAAATAGCTTGAACTATTTGTCTTGTTTTCACGTACGTAATCAAAATCGACTATTATCAAAAGATAAAACAAATAATATTTTTAATATTTATTAAATTTATATTTCTACTAGAAATAATTAGGTGGTAAAAAAAATCGTATAAAATGTGTTTTCAATTATTTAATAGATAACACAATTACTTACCATACACAAATTTAAACGAGTCCGTGGAATACAAGTTACGTCGTAGTAATAATTGAAAACTTTCGACGAAAATTCAATATCACACTTAAACACGATTAAATATGAGTAGTACTTACATTTGTACACATTTGAACATATGTGTAATGTTTTACGTAAGAATAGTACAAATACGTTTTCTGCAATAAACTGAATGCAGGTACACAAATCCAATATTTCAAGGATTGTACCTACTTATGTAAAAAAAAAATTGTTCAAAGTGTGTTTAAATGTTCATTATACAATTCTAAACACAGCAAAAAATATATTGTTTTTACTAAGACATGTGATTTAAATCGTTTTTTTTTTGTCTGTTTACAGCAGACAGCAATTTTGCTCCAAACAAAGAAATAACAAGAAAACTATGTTTTAATTCCCATAATTAATCTAGTTGTTTAATTGGAGACTCATAAGACAATGTTTAGCAGTACTTCGGAACCTCAGAGCTCAGGGGGCCTCGGGGTCCTTGGATAATTCTGAAATTAATACCTTAAAATAATTACAAATTTGTAAGTATTTAATGATGACAAAAAAGATTTATAAATTTATTCAATACAGTCTTCTTCTTCTTTGCTTTTATTCCAACTATTTGGAGTCAGCTTACCTCGTTATAAACATCCAATTCACCAGATCTCTGACCCCGTATAAAGCTGCTGTTCTCATAATATTCTCAATAGCATTCAACCACCTCTTGTTCAGTATTTATCTCCACCCCTTTCCTTCTATATTTATTTGCATAAACCATTCTTACTACTGTCGTATATTTAATAATGAATGTGATTGCGAATCGTAGGTATGTGATAATTCCAATCAGACTGAGTAATTGAATGAAATAATAGTACGAGGTCTGGCTATTAAATAACGAGACTGCTTATGAAAAATGGTTTTATTTTAAAAATTATTCCACAACCAAATGTTCCCCTTCAATATACTCTCCTCCCCTCTTCACACACCGTTTCATTCGTTTCTTCCATTGTTCGAGGCAGTGCTGGAAGTCTATTTTCGTAAGACCATTCAGGAGTTCCGCCGATTTTTGTTTCTCCTCTTCCATCGACTCAAACCGGATTCCTTTTAAGACAGACTTTATCTTCGGAAACAAGTAAAAGTCGCAGGGTGCCAAGTCGGGTGAGTAAGACGCGTGTTCGAGTACTAGAGTGCCTTAAGCGGCCAAATAACGTTTCACAGACAGCGCGTTATGGGCAGGTGCGTTATCCTGGTCCAAGATCCACGACTTGTTTTTCCAAAATTGTTGCCAAAACTGTCAAATAGTAATGTTGGTTCACAGTTTGACCCTCTGGAACCCATTCCATCATCACGATGCCGTTGATATCAAAGAAAACGGTTTTGAATTTGGATTACGACTGAATTGGATTCCGCTGCACTCTCGACCTTCAGAAAATAATTTATGCCACTCAAAAATACGCGCCCGAGATAGGAAATCCTCACTATAGGCCTCTTTTAAAAACTTATAGCACTCAGTTGGAGTTTTTTTTTGTTTGACGAGAAAATTTTACGTTTATCCGTTGCTCATGTTTTTCGTCACACATCGTTTTCGGCAAGAGAAAAAAACATGTTCGTTTCTAAACGCTACAGAAAAAATACTAATGCACCAACAAAAACCCAATTTTGTACTGGCATAATAGACACTTCCAGCTAACCAGCGCTGTATTCGGTTTTCCCCTAATCTTTTTGGGACGCTTTCTGCGCGAAAACGGGAAAATCGGTATATTAAACAAATATTTTTAAAGGAAATATGTAATGCCTATTTAATTATTTTACCATAATACGATATATATATTGTTGACAAAGCATGACTATCAACTGAACTCCTCTCAGAATTATTTTTTCGTTAGCAATGGTTTAGCGTTGTATGAAATTATTTATAACAATGGTTGCACCTATCACCATTATCCTAGGACAGCTTTTTTTTTTTTAATATTACAATCTATACAAATGTGTACAACAAACAATAATTCTGGGTGGGATAAAAACAAGAAAAACTAAGAATGGTTAATTTTGTTTTTAATATTGTTTAATGTTTACAGTCATGATCACATTGTAATAAATATTGATATGTCTTTATTCCGGCTGGTTCCAAATATGTCTATGCTATGTAACTATTGTGGAATTCATGACGTTCTATTATTAAAACTTGTATACTGGCTAGCATGATTTCTTTAACTAGTATACTATCACATTATCTTCACAAGGACCCAAATACTATAGCTATCACATAAGAGATAGCACAATAACTAGTATCGTGTGAAATTGGTTTAACACTTAAAAGCAACACCCATGGGCGTAACTAAGGCAATTTTTATAGGGGTGGCAAATTTTACTTCATGTTATTAAACTTAAATTCTTTAGAACATGTTTAGAAAACATATAATTCTTAATTATATTAATAATGGTATTATAAATTGCATAACGAGTCAATTATTTAATTAAAACCAATTATTTATGTTAATTGTAATATTTTTCCTTTTTCTGTTAAGTCTGCATTAAACTGGTTTATAATTGTTTCAGACTTAATTTTAAAACTCTTTTAATATCCAAAACCCACTCTACTCATCTCGAAAGCCTAAAATAAATCCTAGTTGCACCACTGTACAAATAATTATATTATTAACGAAAGTAGTTTTTTAAAAGCGATAAATCTAATCATTAATATATCATTAATATATCTTACATTCAGACAAATGTATTAATATACTAATACTATTACTAAATTATGTAAAATATATATAGTACAAATAATATATGTCGAAGGATCAGGAGTAGGCCAAATCAGATCCACTAATATCTTTAATTAGATTTAATACACAACAATAATCAACTTCAAAAGAAGAAGAAACTTATAACATGTATTTTTTATAATTAATTACACCACTTATTCATAACTAACATTTTATTATGAAAAATATAAATTATTTACACCTACATATATGAAAATTATACAGAATTATCTAAAAAATAAAACATATTATTACTATAATAAATTCTGTAATTTTCGTAGTATTGCATATACTTATTCAATGTCCATATTGTACGGTATTGGTCAACAAAATTGGACCAAATTTATGTATGACGAATGACCCTAAGAAGACTCTAAGTAGTAAAAATATTCCAATGATCAAAACAATTTGATTGTAGAAATCTTCAAGTGGAGTTTGACCAAACAAATGTGAGGTAGTTGTAAAACACGTCTACACATAAAAAGCCATACATTGTATTAAATAATATAAAAAAAAAAAATGTTTTTACTATATATACTTTTATAATACAAACAATAGGTAAATTCAATGTTCACAAAATGTTACGTAAATTGAAAATCAAAGATATCGAGTGATAATATTAATACCTGATTAGATAATCATCTAATTAAATTACACAATATGGAACATTAAATGTCAACAAATAATACAAACTCCAATCTCATGTTTTATATTTCGAGCGTAGTAAAGGCCTACATCACTCCGGCTCCACCCATTTGGAATTTCGAAAAAATGTCTGTATAGATATTTAGTATGTAGTTTGTATAAATTGGTATGCCAGTTTTCAAAATTTGTATGACCTTGATTTTCACGTTATTGCAAAAAAAACATCTGGTAGGGCCAGGGTTATGTAATTTCAGCCTCACTCATATTTAAAAACTAAGTATAATTGAGTTTGACTACGCTATATTTATTAGTATTCAATTTTTATGAATTCATAACACCGTTTTTACGAATTGTGCGAGCCTCATTCCGCGAAAATGACGCTTATGATAGTATCAATTTGTACGGCCGGTTTTTAATTTGTATGAGTGTCATCCCGCGGTAATAGCGTTTAAAATATGATTTATCGTTGATTAAAAGTATAATATAAATAACTGTATGTATCCCATCTTTCCCACTGCCAACTATTAATAAAACAGTGGTTGCACACGTCCCCAGTATCAGCTCTTTTTAATTCCTGATTTTAATAAAACCTCGATTTTAGAAATAGTTTCGTTCAACTTGCATACATAGTCAAATGTTATGGTGAATATATTAGACATTTCTGAACATAGCCAATATTTAATTTTATTCTAATTATTGAAATTTGAAAGAAAATAATTTACAATACCATAATAGAAGAATTAACGATCCAAGCCATATTGATAAATATAATTTCATTGTAATTGAATCCTGTACCCCAAACTGAACATGTTGCGGTTATTATACGAATCTGAAAATATGAATTTTTTTTTACTTAGATAAAATATTAAAGTTTAAATCCGTTGTTACTTATATGCTGGACATTTGGACTTTATAATCACGATGAGTTAGTTTATACCAGTGGCGTAGCGAGGATACTATTTTGAAGCAATTGCTTCTTCAAAATGTTTAGTGGGGAAGGTGGTCCCCTACCACAAAATAGCCACATTGGAGACTAGGTATATCATAGACAATAGAAATATACTACGTATACGAATATGTGGCTTACTTAAGTAACATACGTAGTTCTACACTCTACAGCATAAAACCTGTTAATTATAGTTCAAAAATTTAGTACTTAGTAGTAAATTAGTACACCGAAAACATCAGTCTGTCCATGCAGATCGAATCCAATGCATTGTTAGAAGAATACAGGTAAGCAGGTTTATTTCTAGAAATTTGCTCAACGACCGCGATTGATTTATACCCTCATAATATTAATTATCATAATAATTGTATAGAACGTTGACCTCCCCGCTGCCAACAATATTTTATACATTATTAAATCTGCATACACTATAACATAAACCAAGATACAAGATAACGAGTGTAATCAATTAACTAATTAAAATAAAAGTAGGTACATTCGATTATAAAAATCTTTACAAATATACACATATTTTGTAAATTTTTAATTTTTGTTTGGATGGACAAGTGGGGGTGATGAATTGTATATATTTTTGTTCCTCATCAATAAGTTGAACACGCCACTAGTATACTGGCTACTAATTAGTACGTACTAAATTTTACGATGCTTAATTATTTTAAAATCATACGGAAAAGTGTCCTATGACGATATGCCCATTGTGATATCTCGAAAAGTGTTAACTTTTTTCAGAGATTTTTTTTGACAATTTTTGAAATAAGTAATTCTAAAATATTATAACTCCGATATTTTTTGTCATCTTATTTTTTAGAGTAAAACCACTATCCATTTGATTTTAAAATAGCAACCTATATTAAAAATAATACAAATGTATTACAATTTACCTAAAATAAATATTGATATTAACATATTTAAAAACTATCAATTAATTTACAAGATATTCCAATTTTAAGTTTGAGTAGGTATACAGTAATGGAGCATCATTTATGTTGTGACGTGGCACATAGTATTTTAATATTGCTCCTACCTATACTTAAAATTGGAATATCTCATTAACGGGTCGACAAAAATTAAAACTTTCAAAATTTATTTTAACTAAAACGTCATTTATTTATGGAATTTTAATATAGGTTGCTGTTTTAAATTTAAAAATGGGTAGTAGTTTGCTCCTAAAAATAAAGGTGCCTAACAAAAAATAATAAAATAATGAAAATTTAACATATTAAAGCTGCTTGTTTCTTAAATTTTCAAAAGAAAAATATAAGTATAACTTTCCAAATTATCACAAAGGGTATATTTTTATGGGACATTCTGTATACTTGTATATAATATATTATGTGATATAACTGATATAAGTACTTACCTATTTCATATTACATTATCATATTAATGATATATTTTTACTAGGTAGGCCGTAGGTACTTCATAGTTAAACGATAGTCATTGTAGGTATTACTTAACATCAAAAAGAAGATTAGAAAACGAAATTTAAAAAAAAAATGATTAAAAACACCAGATGAGAAAATAGCTCAACATTCAAAAACAATTAATTAAAATGTTTTATATTAATATTATTAGTAGTTTTTAATTGCTATAAAAAAGAAATACTTACAATTATGACAACCATGAATATGATTATTCCAGTTAATACCATGGCTGTGTTTATACTGTAAATAGTATAGCTTAAATCGTATCCAATTAACACGAATATTAAAGGATGGAGAACATTCCATATAAACTCGAATATTTTTGAAATTGCATTAATTTCATGTTGCGCTTGATTATTAATGCCTTTAGATGATGATATTGTTGGGTTTATATTATTCTGGTTTTTACATTTCCAGCTAGTGCTTGCTAAAATTGTTGATATGGCACATCCTAAAGAGTAAGTTATGGGTAAATCAGTATACCACTTGTATAACCCAATAAGAAGTCCAACAAAGCATAATAGAATTGCTCTTATTATTGATAATAGCGATACAATATTCTAAACAAAATAAAAATTAATTGTTACGATTTATAGATATTACGATTAAAACAATAAAATTATATTTATCAAACACACAAAATTCTATCCATCAAAATATGTCTAAATCAATAAAATAATTAAAATTAAAATACATTTTGTAAGTATTCAAGGAAATAAATTTGAATACATAGGAATTATTATTCATTAGTATGTATTATTTATATTTTTTATGTAATATAAATAATTTAAAGATGTTTTTTCTCTTTTATAATCCTAAATTAACATGCAAATTAATCAGAGATGTATAAGTATAGTCATCTCCAAAAATATAGACTATGATAAAATCAAATTCATAGCTGTTAATAATCAAAATATAAATACCGTAAAAGACCCAATGTGAATATGCTAAATAAGTTTTTCACTGCCTACCTAATATCAATAGTATTCTTGTATCTACAACTTAACATTAAAACTTACAATATGTCTAAACTTATATTTTTAAAACATTTGTTTGTGGAAAAACTTAATACAAACAAGTAAGGTACTTAAAATTATAAGACATTAAAAATAATACTATTAATACTGCAGGCTCTGACGAAGTATCAGTAAAAAGTTAACAGCAATTATTATTGATTTAGCTAAGGCTTTTGACATGGTCTACCATGTCAAATTTCTTGATATTTTACCTAACTTTGGTATCAAAAACTCTAGTTATAACTAGTTTAAAAGTTATTTGTAAAAAATAAAAAAGTTAAAATTAATGAGATCACAGGTAAAGGAATGATAATTAATTATGGTGTACTTCAAGCTAGCATTTTGAGTCACAATTTGTTTATTTGTACACCAATAGTATACAATAGTATACAAATAAATGAATTAATTATAAGTTCCATAACATAATATGTCGATAATAAGTTTCTACTTTTTCGTATTTTTTTAAAAGCAACACGAGAACTTAAAAAAGTTTTGGTCTTTTTTATTTATATATAGCAGCAAACTGCTAATTAACTATACAATTTTTTTTTATAAATTTCCCGATTAATAAGAACAACAACTTAGCAAAGTATAATATATTTGTGATAATAATGATATTAGTGACCTTTGTAGTATTTCATGTAAAGAAGTATATAGAGTTTCAAGTATACTATACTCGGACTTTACTATTGATAACACGAAATAGTACTTACATGTAAATAATATTATTGGGTTTATGCACTCTATGACGTATTGCATTTATAAACTACGGGATTGTATATCTATACAAACTATACGCATAATTTATTATGCATCACACCATTTATACCAATAATTTATTGGTGTGAAGTGATTTAGATCACTACTTAATTATACAAGGTTATTCCACATAGCCTATACTGAAATCAAAAAATAAAAAATAAAATGGCAGCGTAAAAGTACAGTCTTTTATCAATTAAATATATAATGTATAAGTATAATATTTATGCCGATTCTTATAATACACAGCCAATCAGAACATTGCTCCTTACATTGCCATTTTGGTTTAATTTTAATCTCTTAACGTGATAAAACGCTATAGTGGGGATACTATTGCAATAACGTTGTATAATTAAGCCATGGTCTAAACAAAACTGCGATAAAAACACTATTATTACAGTAAAGGCAAGTTTTACAAGGATATGTTTAAATATATATAAAAACAATTTAACAGATTCAATCGTTGATAACTAGTTATCTAAATTACTATAGATGTGTTTTTCGTTGTAATATTATGTAAAAAAAATTGTTATCAACAATTTGAAATTTATTTAATTAATTTTTAAATTTAATTTCAACGCCATTTCTGTGCAGTCATGCCTCTCAATAACAATAATAATAAAACGTAAAACGAATCAAAAACATTTTTTCCAATAAACAAATATATTATATTAATATAGGGTTAAAGTATACAATGTACAAGGGTTTCCCTTATTTTCAAACTACAATTTTTTTAAACCAATACTCTCTAATTTTTTCTGTTTGGTCTAAAACTATCGTACATAAAAATATTTTATTGAAATAAAGTTAATATCATCAAACTTTTACTAATCTTATATCGTTATAAAATCTAATTTTCAACAAAACTATAAATAGATTTATCTTGATGTCACAACTGCCAATTAGTCGATAACATACGTCTTAAAACTTAAAATCATACTTTTTTCTCTTATCGTATTTTCGTACGATAAAATTACTTAGGTGTTGCAAGACGTATGTGACTACTGGCTATCTCATAGTCGTATTTTATCGAGCTGGAATTTCAAAGAACGATCTGAGACATGATTATCGTGAATTAGTAGAGCTGTCTATTATATTATTAGGAGGAGATTAAAATAAAAAATTGAAAATAAGTCCACTTAACCCAATGCATCAATCACATTGGATGACAAGAGCACTGTATTCCTTGAAAATTACTTTACTTAGAGCACAGTTTAATCTGCCCCCAAAAGACAAATTAGTTCTACTGGATGTGTGTAGTTTTATTGTGATATGTTACATTAAGCCATGGTTGCAACCCACAACTGCAATAAAAGCTTCTCAGCAAGATTTAGACTTCCTAAAAACTCTCAATGCGAACAAGACTGTAGATGAAATAATATCAAAAACAGCTATAAAGAAATTTTGCCAACATCTATGGTATTTCACAGATAAAGTCGCAGTCTATAAAAGCACGAATGGTTGAAAATCTCCGTAGAGAAATGCCAGTAACGTCTGGGAGAAGATATATCCCATCTATTCAAGAACTTACTGGTCTATTGTATGATAAATTCTTATTAAAGTTTGTTAAAATTCTTGTAAAAACGTTCTAAAACGTTTGTTTTTTAAATTATTTTCTCTTTATACCAGTTCACCAGTCTGGACATATAAAACAACTACATATTTAATATCATGACTCATTTCCAAATTTTGCGGACCATTAGTTTTTTATTTATCCCTAAAAAGCAAGTGGCCGGGCCGGGTGAAATATTGAAAATTCAGCTTTTATCGATTTTTCTTCAATTATCATCACGGATAATTTTCGTGATATGAAAGGTTTTAAACTTCTTATTATTTCAACGGTGCTACAGTTTTTGACAGGAAATAGTTATTTTTTTAAGTTATCTATAAGCACTAATTCCCTCGAGTAAATTTAATGAATGGATCTATATGATTCAAATTTATTATTTCAAATGGGAGCCTCTCTGACAAATGATACCACTTTAGTACTATAAATAAGTATTATTTCACTAATTTAATTTAATTGTTTTCGTTTTTTTTTTTTTTTATAGTGAAGAAACTAGATAACTTTGTATCTTCTAAGAGTAAGAATTTGTTCAGTCACCTAGAACTCAATGACAAATTAATTGAGGCACCTTTATGTTCATGGAAGACAAATCAAGATTTTACTGAAGCAAAAGAAGTAGTTTCATGTCTAAAAGCAGTGAACGATACAGCAGAGAGAGCTGTGAAATTATTACAGGATTTTCACGGTCTACTCACAGCTGATGAAGAACAAAACAGTTCGTGTTATAATGTGTTGATGAACATCGAAAATTATATCTAGATTATAAAAAAGAGAATTCAAAGAGAAGTAATAATTGTAATAATCTATTATTAAATGTTCATTTTTTCAAAAAAAAAATTAAAAATTATTTTGTATAAAATATAATGTTCTGAAATAAAATAGTATCCAATTAATTTATGTATTTTCATATTTTCTACAGATCTTCATCATTTCTTCACAAATACCTGGTAAACATTTCAAGTGGTGTCTTAAGAAAAAGACTTATTTTAACAGAATCACTAGAATTTATATGTATCAATTATGAAGAGAATTCGGCACGAATTAACGTTATCCCAGAGAGAAAATATTTCATTCACAATTGTTATAAATCAAAAGGAAAAAAATTAAAAAGTATGCGTGTCCATTTTCTAAGAAAAATGTTTTCTTCATATAAGGGACACCCAACCTAACCTAACCGAACTCAACTATATATTTATATTTCAATATTTCTTTGATAAGAATTTTCTCTTAGTATTTGTCTTTGAATTTACTAAAATATAAAATTTGTTTGGTTATTACAATACATAGGCAACGCCGGAATGAGACATCTAAATACAACCTATAACTGTAATATAAAAACTAATAAAAAAAAGTTGTAGGTACTTAACATAAAAATACTACACACAGATGAAACCGGGTTAATATACTGTAATTCAGCTGGTTATCTTATATTTTATAACATTTATAATTTATTTTGTAGCTATAAATTTAAATAGTTTACTATCATCAAAACAAGATGAATTAACCCTTTGAGGCGTACATTAATTTTTTTTTGAAACATAATAACATAAAAAAAAAATAAAATAATAGGTGGTTTCACTATACCACAATACCGCAAAGGGTTTTAAAGGAAATAGATATTTATTGTAAGAAACTATTGTTCCTATTTGTGTTATTTAAATATATTTAGTTGATTGTTACAATAAAATAAAATAAAATACATAAATACAGCTTTTTCCTATATACTAAGTAAATATAATATAGTTAATATTTACTTGATTTTTGTTGATATGTGGATTATCATTTTTCCGTTTTTTCAGTATACTAGACAATTTTGTCCATGCATTAGATGGTACAAACATCATTATTACTCCAAATATTATGCCGATCCCGAGTTCAATAAATAATTCCTCGGCAAAAAGAATGATTTTAACATATGTGGACGAAACTACAAAAAATAAAAAGAACAATATATGTACAATGTATATTGCAAACACATTTAATATATTAAAATATTAGTTCAAAAATGCGTAATCCACTGATCTCAGTTGATATAATACACCCTATTTTTGTTTTATTTAGTCTAGATGTTTTACCGTAATTATTATCTAAAAATGGCCTCTTTCCTTGACTTTTAGGTGTTTATAAAACTGTTACAGTTTAATTTAAAAACACAAACGCCTAACCTTAATTCATAATTTGCCCACATTTATAATTGATTTAAAACAACAAAAATATATCTATTTGACACGTCATATAACTTAAATTCCACAAATATGATAGGTATAATACTACAAAAGGAAATTATTTATAAATCAATCAACTTATTGAAAAATCTGAACAATATCCGTAAAATATCCATAGTACGTACTATCAATAGTATACATAATTTAGTTTTTGAGAAAAATTTAACAATCAGTATAAAAAGTTGAGCATCATCTTCCATACATATCAAAATTATTATACATATATATGTAGATAAGTAACATATAAAAAAAACTTGCCATTAAAAACACTCAAGCATTCTAAAAATCCATCTGTCATATTTGTTAATACTTCCAATATACACGATGCAGCAACCAATAGGTTTATTACACCGCTTTCTTCACCATAACCCATACGTTTTAATTGCAACAAACTTGGCACTAGTACAGCTGGACAAATAGCCGGCCAAATAAACCTATGAATTTAGCATAAATATTTCATTAACCACATATTGAAAATATTTTCAAATTTCTATCGGATGATCCATTCAAGTAAGTACACTCGTTATCTCTATTACTTTTTTCTGGAATTTGTTTTCTAGAAAATTTGAGAAACAAACTGCTCTACAATTTTATTTTTATGTTATTTTTTGTCTCCCTTATTTTTGGAGGTAAAACCACTCTACCTACTTTTGATTTTCAAATGGCAAACTTTATTAGAAATTCCATAAATAGACGGTATATTGGTTAAAATAAAATTGAGTGTTGACATTTTGTATTTCCATCAATCCGTTGACGAGATAATCCAATATTAAGTTTAGGTTGGGAGAGAGTAGTGGTGCATTATTCAAACGTCGCGCACCGTACCGCCACAGAAATGATACTCCATTATTATCTCTCAACTTAAACTTAATATTGAAATATCTCGTCAATGGCATGACAGATATCAAAAGTTTCAACACTAACATTTATTTTAACTAATACTCCATCTATTTATGGCTTTTTGAATACATGTTGCCATATTTCAAGGATTTCGAACATTTGTAAGAAATTTTTTATCATGACGATACAGGAATCAAAAAATGTATATCATCATACAGCATGCAAGCTAGGAATCTGTTTTTTTCGATATTAATTCATTAATGTATTTCACTTAAATAAGTTGTTATAGATTATCTATTGAATTTATTTATACATCGATAAAGTCAAATTAGAATGTCTTGTCTATATATTTTATTACACCTATAATAATGCACGACTTTGATTTTATTTAAGTCATCAATTATGGTGCATACTCATTCAGTGCGTTAAGTCGATCGATTTATTTTTATTTTTTTTAGAGCAAATTTGTTTGCGTACCTATTTTGGTAATTTATACGGTATAACTGCATCCATAATTTAATCGATTTTTTGGCTATAATTATGCCGGCCCTAGTTATAATATTATAATATTTTAACACTATTATTATTATTTCACTGTGTCTTTATTTGCCAGATGTATATAATACTTTAAATATTTGATGGAAAAAATTACTTTAGGATATTAATTAATTTAATAACAACTTAATTGTATACATTTGTTGTATACAATTGTTACATACCTCTACGTATACTAATATTATATATTATTCAAAATAAATTAAATAAAATTCAAAATAAAAAAATCATATTATAATTACTTGTTAGAAATATTTTTGGGTAGAAATGATAGAGTTAACATAAATTATCTCACCCATATGAAGAGAACTGTGCCCAGGCCAACGTTTCAAATTGCAAAATGTATGTAAAGACACCGATAAAACCAACTTCAATTATGAATGACACGACCACCAATCTTACTAGAGAATTACTAATCTGACGAAATTCCCAGACGTTTAGCTCTAATACACTGATAATCAATATCACGAATGGTGTGATCTTGCTTTAGAAATAAAAACAAATATAAAATAACAATATGAAACATATAAAAAACTCATGTTCGTAAATTTAAATGGTTGAAATTCAAATAATATATGTTAATTTTAATAAATAATTATTAAAATTGAATCTCATGTACTATTGTATTACAGAAAGTATAAGGAAAGATATAAAAATATAGATATATTAGGAAAGATATTAAAAATATATTGAAATATAATTAAAGATGTTACACAACAATATTTCTATAAAATTAATTTAAATAATACGATACTAAAAGACTTAATAATAATAATAAATAATATTGTTTTTAAACAAACCTAATCTAACTTACAAGCTATCCATATCTACAAGTATTTATAATATATTACTGTGTATAATTTACAATATACTTATTATTTTATTTAAGTATAGAATGTTAAAATATGCAGTCAAAACCATTTCATGTTTTAATGATTACTATAATACATACATATTTTGTGAATATGTATAAGTAGGTATTCACTGTGATTGTATTTAAGTAGAATCATTCTGTTTTAATGCGACTTTTTCTTGGTAGACTCTTATCTTAGCCCTTAGTTATAATTAAATATTTTTTTTTAATGCATTTTGATAAGGATATTTAACAAATGTTTTGATTTGCTTTTTTTGCATAAGTCTACGATGAACAACAACTGATTGGTTATTCTCGGTAAGTTTATAACAGAGATAATATTTGATTTTCATTAGCATACCAATTCGTTTTGTTATTGATCATTAATTAGTTGCGTCTAATTTTGAACATTTTTTCACTTTCGAGAATTCACAATATATATATTAGTTGTTAAGAAAGAATTATATGAAAATATTATAAATTTAATGTTTGATAAAAATGTGTGGCACTCACCATAGGTGATACATTTTCTGCAATTGTCAATTTATTTTCGTTTTCCTTCTGCTATTAAATTTTAGAAATAGTGATTTTAAGTATTTGTCTTTAGGGAGTATAAAAGTTGTTTTTAGATTCCGAGTGTAGCGAAAGAGCTATTAGTGTTACTAAGATGTTTATTTCTTTTTTTTCTTTCTTCTAGTCTGTAGACACATTGTTTCCTAGTAAAGTTGCTCCGATTTTTACGTATAACAATTTTTCTGAAATCTCAGCTTGTCTAAATCGTACTTTAGACAGGTTATTTTTTGATTTTCGAAGCTATTTTTTAAATAAATCACTGAAGTAGGAAAAAAACGTAGGAAAACGTACAATTTCACGATTTTATTATTTTATAAATACACGGACGATGTTTTCTACCAGAAAAAATGATTTAATCAAGAAATCACACGAAAATTTTTTTGTTACCTTTTTTATTTACTTTTTTATAGTATCATCGCCAAAACTTTTGAGCTTTTGAAAAACTTAAATTTGTTGTTTTTTTTGCTATAATTCGGTTATAAATACACGTACAAACTTGAAACTTAGTAATAATACTTATAGGATTTACCTATACATGGTAAAATTTCCAAAATCATCAGACGGTTTTTTTTTAATAGCGTTTTGAAATCAAATTTTAAAAAAAAATCTCAAAAAAAATTACAATTCAAATTATGTATTACAGAACTGCGTTCGGAATCGTCCTTCGTTAAGCAATGGTTTATCATTATCACGTCAGCTATTGATAACTAAATAATAGGCTATCCAATTAATACAATATCTTCTATTCAAAAAAACTACTTATCTTTATCGTTACTAGATTTTTTTGATCTAGTTGCTAAGGTAGTTGCATTCATTTTTTGATATTTCCAGCAGTTTTCAATATTAGAAAAAAACGGAAAAGATGTAAAGTGAAAGCAAACAAATTTAAGAGGCGTTACGAATTTATTATTTTTTTGCACGCTTTATGTTTTCTACCAGAAATATTTTTCTTATAGAAAATTACAAGAGGTATTTTTGTTGAATTTGCATCTAGTTGATAAGCAAACCTTATGGGGGGGGTTGGATGTGGACACAGAATCAACAACATTTTCAAATTAAACATCTAATAATTTTTGTTCATTTATGGGTTACCATGTTAATAACATATGAATTAAAACAAACAAAACAAATTGTATAAGTGCAGCAGATACACCAAAACACATCATAGAAAAACCAATACATTCCTCAAGTTCATAAAGTTGACTCACCCACTTCATCAAATTTCTTCGAAACCGACGTCAACATTTTGCAAGTTATTTGCGAGTAGCATTAACGCCCTCCACAGGAAGGTGGGCCAACTTCAAGTAGCTCACCCATTTCAACTGATTGGGAATGGACTCGCAAATTCTCGCAAATAACTCGCAACATTTTGACACAAGAAATCGGATGAAGTGGGTGAGCCAACATTATGGATGTGCATTACTCTCTTCGCTCAGAATCTAAAAATGTATAAAAATAAAAAGACATCCTAGGATAATGGAGACGGGTGCAGCCACTATTATAGGTAATTTAATGTATATCTGTAAGCAACGATAAACCATTGCTAACGATAAATCGATTCTGAGCGCAGTTCAGTTGATAATGATGCTTTGTCAACAACATACATGTTATTTTATGATAAAATAATTAAATAGGAATAATATATTTTCTTTAATAATATTTGTTAATATTGTACCGTTTTCCCAATTTTCCTAGAAGAATTCAAATTTCACGTTTGAGTGTTGTTTGCATACCAACCCATAGAGTTTTATTATTAGTTTTATTTATTGGTGTTTTTGACCAGTATTTATTTACGACAGAGTGCATAAACGATTATAACGACGAATAAAATAAAATTGTAAACAATAGGTCACTCGTAGGAGTATTTGGTACAACTTTGTAAAATAAATCGTTAAATTATTTAAATGGCACGCTGGAAAACCGTAACCTTTAAATACATCCCCCCTCTTCTTCTCTTCAAACAAAAAAAAAAAAAAATGAAAAATCAGGCGACATGATGAATATTGAATGAGTGAATAAAAACACAAAAACATGAATTAGTATTTGGTACCACTATGTAAAAAAAAATTGGAAAAAAGTTAAATAGTGTCATCACAAAATTGGAACATAAAAAAGCCTCGTTTTTATATATATATATATATATTATGATAATATACGTTATACTTTATAAGTATAACTATACTTTATACTTATAAGTTTAATTTCAGTGTATTATATTCAAATGAATACCATTTCAACAGAGGCTAAATTTAGTTTTTTTTTTTTAACAGTATTTCGAAACGAGTTTTTGGTTTTAACGCTAGTTTTATGCCATCTCTTGCATAGTGCCTCCACAGACAGGCCGGTGTTAAAGGGTGTAATTACCTATTAATATGTTTGTACATATAATAATCCATTTACTACATTATAAAACTATAGGACATTGCGTAAATTTTAATTTAATTAAAATGAAAACTTCCAACGTACAGTTTTTACAATTTGACTTTTTTCTCAAATATTTATTAATAATTCATTATTATTTTTATATTTTATTAATATAACTTTTAACAATTTATAATTTTGAATTTAAATTCCACAACAAGTTATTTTTTTAAAATGTTTAAAATAAATAAATCTCATAAAATACGACTCATTTATTAAAATTTATAGTTTTGACCGGAGGAGTAGATCTTAAAATTATTCAACTTTATACATTTATTTTTAAATTTTTTTTTTATAATTCTTTAAATAAACTTTAATTATTTAGGACTATCGAATAAATCGTTTGTCAAAAATTAAATTAATGTAGGTGGGTATCTCTATTTTAACAGAAAAATTGTTTTATTTTTGTTTGGTCGTTTTTTTTTTTTTTAAGAGAAGAAGAATTTAAAAATAATATTATATAATACCATTCATAGTTGCCACTATTATATTATGAATTTTTCTTGACTTTTCCAGAATGGATTATACATTTTATAAATAATATATATTAGACTAGTTTTGTTAGTTTCTTTTTATTTAAAGTGAACACATTTTGAAAAATATGTACACCATTGTATATATTTATAAATTTATGAAATCAAGGTCAAATTGTTTAAGGTATTATAATATATTATGTATAGAATCAAAAAAATATATTATTTAGCAAGCACCAATCTTAGATAATATATTTTATTAACATATACATATAGATTACCAATTGAAAAATCACAAGAGACCTTTTTAAAAGCGTTTTTTTATCTGTTAGTGCACCGAGGAGATCATTTTCGATTTTCAATTTATAGCATTTCTAGTACAAACCGTGGCTAAATATATAGATGTATCATAACTTTATGATACGTAGGTGCAATGACCGTCACTAGCAGTAATTCCCGTCTTATTTCAATCTCACTAGTAATAAATATAACTGCCAGCTGAGTTTTCTCTCCATGGAAAGCTATGGAATAAACAATTGTGATCATACCTGCATATTTAGCCATGATACAAACAATAACACAGTACACACGTCTTGCTATTGCTATAGCCATTAACCACTACCACACAACACCTATCTAAAGCCTATAGTCTACACATTACAGTAATACACTGTACGTATATATGACTTTACGTTATTTTATATTTATAGAATAATAATACAATAATTCAAAACACATCAATGCTGAAATACGGATACTAGACACTAGATAATGTACAATCATTTTTTGCATCGTAATTTTAACATAATAATATGCCCATTGCCCATTATATTATAATTTATTGTTAATAATGTATTAATTATTTGTTATCCATATTTTGTAAAATTTGAATCATTTATTAATATATGATTTTGTTATAAGTTATCAAATACGTAAATAGACTATTATTAGTTGGGCTGAAACCCCTGCAGTCTGGGCTCCAGTGATCGACACTCCCATCCTCATCGGTAGTTGCGATACTGAATATTATTTATTAGTTTAATAGCTGATTAATTATCCTGTAACTGTTTACCATGTTGCCATGTTTTAGGATTGTGTTTTATGAGTTGATATCTAAATTTCTATCTATCTTATATCATGATACCTAGTTAATTAAATTTTTTCAAAGCTTGTTAAGAGATCGATAAGAAATTAGGTATATTGTAATTATCATCAACATACATACTATTGATTATAATAATTATACTGTGATTGTCTATACGATTATTGTTTGTACTCTGCAACCATGGTCTATGTTATTAACTTATTCTGTTTTCGGGGAATGATAGAGCCATGATAATTATATCATAAAAAAAATTTAAAAACTTGGAAAAACGACCATGATAGTACTCATAAGGCACTGCAGGTTTTCAGTAGTTTTCAGCGTTTGTGCTGGCAGTTTTCAATGCTTGATACTGAAATTCGTAATAAACTTATGTACGAAATAATGGCTAATAATGCTATTGGGAAAAAAAGCCCCTGACCAAAAATCACATAAAGAAAAAAAAGCCCCGACGGATCAAAAAAATATTTATTTTATATTTACCTACTACTATTAGTATTTTTTTAAAAATTATAGCACAACGATTTTATTGTTTAAAATGTTTAGGATTATACTTTTCCACCAGAAATCTTGATTCAAATTTCAAGAATATTTTGCATATTGAAACATATTTTCTGAAAAGAAATTTTGTTTAGTGTTTGATTTTCCGTATATTTTTCATAATAATTACGAACAACCGGGAAAAAACGTAGGAAATACAGTAAAGTGTATGGAATTTCGGTTTTTTATTGGTATTCAGTTAAAAATGAATATTGAGACTTGTATTATTCACAAAATACTTATATTGGCCTTTAGTAGATGTAGTACATTTTTAAAACATTCTATCTATTTTTCTTAAAAAACGAGCATTCGTGTTTTTGTATGTATTTTTCTTTGGAAGGTATATTGTTATTAAAATTATGTAATTTAAGAGAAATGTTCGAAAATTTAACACAAAGAACATTAAAAGTTATATTTTATGGTCTTAAAAACATATTTGAGTTTAATGCATTAGTTTTTTTTTCATACGCGTTTTAAGATCAAATTCTGATGAAAATCGTAAAAATTACTGCATTTCAAAAATTGTCTTACCAAACCTTGTTCCGAATCGGTTTTCATTAGCAATAGTTTATCTTTGGATACAAAAAATGTTGTCTATGCTATAACTTCCCAACTTTCCACCTACTACAGTAACCCCAATATCAGCTCTTTTTTTATTGTTTAGTATAAACCTCTAATTTATTGACTTGACAAGACACATTTTATTTAATGATTTCAAATTAATTTAGGTATTATACATTCACATATCAATTATTTAAAGTTTAATTAATGATGTAAACATAGCTATTTAAAAAAAATCCGTGTATCTCTTTCAATCTACTCTTAAATAAAAATCCCAAAAAAATAAATTATCTAACTGAAATTTAAAAAAAAAAAGATAATTTAATCAAGATCATATTTTAAAAATCATACAAATTAGATTGGAAAGTTGTGATAATTTAAAAAGGGATTTACCCTTATGAAATCTAATTTTTGGAGTTATTGGTTGATAACTTTACGTACCTTAAATAAAAATTATCGTTTGTTTATTGCAGCTACAATATTCGGATGCAAAATATTTTTTTATAACTTATAACTTGATTTATATAATGATATATGCATTGTAAATTAGATAAATCTTCAAAAATAAAAATATTTAAATACTTTATATTTGTTACATAAACGATGTAAATGATTTCATTTAAAATTAAATTTTGGGCAATAAATTGTATTTTGAAGATTACAGTACACTACATAGTTTCGTACTAAGCTTTATTCAAAAAACGTATGTGTCTTGCTTCATTAACTTATCTTTGTAATTTCATTTTTTTGCTCGCCTACATTTATATTTAGAACTTGATTCATACATGAGCGGATGGAAGGGATAAACCGTCGTTTTACAGCGTACGTCAGCAGTTCCCAAACATTTTCGACCATGACACTCTTAAGAAAAACTTTGTATTTCGTGGAGCTCAATGTCCCTAACTCTAACTGAACCCTAATTTATCAATTATTTATTGAAAAATCAATACTCCAAAAAATATTAAAAGAAATCGTTTGTGATTATTGTTTATTAAAATTAGTTTAAAAAAAATGTTCAATCAAAATTTTACTTATTAAAATATTAATTATTTAACCATCAAAAAATATTTATTTTTAACAAAATATAATTAATTCGATTTTATAATATTCCTTTGATTTTAATATTTTTAAATTGATGAATGGAATTGTTTTATGGTTTGACTTACAATAGTTTTAAAATTGGATATTACATATGAAAGATGAATTTGTATGTCTGAAGCAGCATCTAATCTATTTCTGTACTTATTTTTAGTATAAGCCTAAGAGAAGAAACCAGCCTAAGAACGGTGAATTGTTACAAAAGGTACCTAGTAGAATTAATATAGCTTTTTCAGTTATAGATGGGTATTCGTCCTTAAGTCCAATTCAAAACTCGTTAAAAAATCTGGATTCAAATTTATGTTTTAAGGATGACATACTCTTAATTTCAATAATGTTTTCATATTCGAACAAGAGTAACATGGTAGGTTTTTTTTTATTCACAAAAGGATTTTGTATCCAATCAAATGGCATTATAATTATCGGTAAAGTACTGAGATAATAATTTTTCGAGGTTAATTAGGTCGATAATGTTTTTTCTTGTGTTTTCTGCGTTTATTTTTTTTCGAGTATAATATAAAATCATTTACTTAATATTTACATACATCTGACGGAACCCTTAAGATTTTTCCACGGAACCTTTGGGTTCTGCAAAACACACTTTGGGAATCGTTGGTCTACGTCACTTATAATTATTAAACCATATGATAGGTATAAAACCCGTAGTCATTCGCAGGGCGTTCCTAACCGTAGCTACTTGCATGCGGACTTATATTCCGCATTCGATAGAACTACATTACATATTTATAAAATTAAACCAGGAAAAATACGGGAAAAACACGGGAAAACCGGAAAGAACTTAGGGAAAACGGGAAAATAGGTTCAATATTAAACAAATATTATTAAAAAATATATATAATGTCTATATTTAATTATTTTACCATAATATGACATATATTTTTGATAAAGAAATACTATCAATTGAACTCTACTCAGAATCGTTTTTTCGTTAGCAATGATTTATCATTGCTTACAGATCTTTATTTTATTTTTTTTTTACAATATACATTTACACCTTTTAATTAATATATATAGTGTAACGAGTAACATCCGTTATATATATTCGTAGTATATTATATATACTATGTAATGTATAAATACTATATTATTATACATTTTTGCTACATTAACACTTCATTAGCACCATATTATTGTCTGCAGATGGGAAGTTAGTTCGCCGACGACCATCAACAGGAGTGAACAGCCATTATAAAGGTAAAACTTTTACAATTTAATTATAACACAATATAAACCGATAACTAAACCAATCTCCATTTATTTATAATATTAGGATCCAATCAACCATTACGCTCCAGATCTATGGTAAATTGTATTCAAAAGAATCTACCCTCTTCCCTGAATATTTTATATTTGAGACGTCACCCCCGACCATTTTATATATTGGCGGAGGCACCAAAACTCTTAAATAGTTGAGATTATAAATATTTGGGATTAATTTGGTTTTTATCATGTTTCCTTATAAGATGACAATCGACGGATACCTATTGTGACTTTTAAGTTGTTCAACAAATAAAATTTAGTGAGTGTTTGTGTGTTTTTGTGGATATCCGGTTCATGAATATAGTGATTTTACTAAGTGGGTGAGACATATATCTGTAAGCAACGATAATTGAGGAAATTTCCATACAATTTTGGGACTCACCTGCAGGAAGATTTTATTCCGAACAGATTACGGGTGTAACTAAATAATCCCTTATGTGCGGCGTCGTCCTGTTGGTCGCGCGGATGGGTGGAGGTCATTTCCCAGACATTCCCGCTAAATCTCGGATCTTCTTAATTAATACGTTAGGTACTATTTTTATCAATGATATTCGACAAATATTTCAATTCAACTGTTTTGCAATTGTTCAACGTTAATAGCTGAACATTTCAGTAAACAATAAATTATAAATATCTTACATCGCTTAATATAATCTATTCTATACTTTATTCGATACAAAAATAGTAGTTCTGTATTCCTGTTGTTGAAAAATTTGTAAAAAATATTTGCATTTAGCAAAACTCGATTTGCAATTATTGGGTGGTATTTTCCCACTAAAGTCAAATATACCTATTTTTCCAGGCAATTTTGATCATTAACATAATCGTGAAGAAATTTGAGTTCTGTTTTATTCGGATAAAAAATATCTGAAAGATTATCATAAAATAACATACACATAATAACATAAGTTTCAAACATTTTGAAAAATCGATATAAAAAAATCATATTTTTAACTTAATTCAGAAGGCTGTATCTCATGCATGCACATGTGTAACGAAAAGGTTATAAATGTAAAATGTATTCTTTACTCTATACTTCAATACTGCCTATCAAATTCAAATCCAAGGTCACCTGACCGAAATGTTTAGTGTTCCCTGCAAAAAATATATTTAATTAAAAATGAATGTATGTAAATATTTATGTAATATAATTATGTAATTCAAACGTTGCATTCAACAATATATTTTTTTAGGTTGGAGAATTAGGTGTATATACATTTGTTATACAAACGATACAGTATCATGTAATTCGTTTTTATTTGTACGTTAATTCAGATTATCGATTAATTCTACGCAAAAAAAAAAAAAACTAAACTTATATTATCTGAAATACACGCGGGCATATAATAATAAAATAGGTTTATAGTTTCAATGAGTTATCGTCTGACATAAGCACAATAAATCCTTACTTATCGTGTGAAACGACGACTAATTTTATTTCAATATTTAATATTATATTGTGAAAAACGAATGTCGTATACAGTTTCTTTGTAGTGTTAGAAAAAAAATTAAATATACTCGAAAACGAAATATAGCAATAACTAATTATTGTGTGTAATATTATTATTGTCGTTTAACTATCCGTAAAGCGGTCGCAACATAAAAATGCATTTTTTCCAAATCAACGAAAAGCTTCTAATTATGAAAATGCATTATTTTTTTGGATTGGCTGGTAAATATTATTATATTTATTTACGCTATGCACAATGCAACCCAAACGTATCCCATCCATTGTTTGTTGGTTTCCAGACGTATACCGTCGTAAAATTTTTCACGAATATGTAAATTCCCAATTAACTCCGGTATATTCGACAGCAAAAATGTGGGATGCCAATAATTTACTTTGAAGTACTCGTCAAATTATTTTGTACCGTCGACGACCATATGATTCTGCACGATGTAACGCAGAACAACGGTAGGGTCATATCTTAATTTTTGCGATAGTAAGTTCTATTGAATCTATATTGAAATTATTAAATGATTGGGAAATAAGATTTTACGTAATATAGCCCAAAGAAATTGTATTTAATTTGTTTGGGAAGTGATTTATTTGTGTTACGGGAACACCGTTTGGAAATCGACTTCTTTGTAAAATGGGAGCCGTTTCGTAAAATTTAGCCATTATATCGATGGCATCAGTAAAAACCTAAAAGTAGGTATGGCGTAGTTTTGCAAATTATTTTGAAATAACATTATTGAATTGGTAAAAAAAAAAAATTCGCGAGAATATTGATTTTATAATATTTTGTAATTCTAAGTTTAGCGAATAATGTATTGGTTTTACGAATATGTTTATTTCTTTTATTATTTTTATGTGAACATTTTTTCTCAAAGCTGGGCATGTTGTCGCCAACGTTTTACCATTCTTAAATAAACGCAATAATTACCGGCATATAACAAGACACAATACAGATAAAATGCCAAATTTAATAAATAATTATTTTGACATGTTGTTGGTAAAGCCTATAATATAGAAAACTTAAAACTAATCGTCTTATATTATAAAATAAGTAATAAAATGATAAATATATGTATACCGTCATGTGCCAACCTTCGTAATTTAAATGTATTACTTATTCAATATTTTTTCTTGGTATTTCGTTAAATTTATATAATGTATATTTCCCTTCAATTTGTACAGACATGGGTGGATTAGCTTTGTACCTAGAGATATCCTTTATAATACTATAATAAAGAGTAATGATAATATATTATTGTAATTTGTTTGTACTTGATGTAAATAATTTTACAAGAATTCTATGTGATCATTAGTCATTTTGATCCATGGTTCTGTTCGTTTTATTTGTATAACATTGTTATCATTCAAGCCCATGGAAATACCACAGAATATTCTGTGAAAATATCACTAGTATCGCTAGTATCTGCGAGTATCGCTAGAGACTAATCACAAAACAACTGTGGTATAATTTCCAATTAACTATTTATCTTTATTTATTTTTCTAGGTTTCTTTTAGTGTGTATTTCTGTGCAACTTTATTATTTTATTTATTTAAGTTTGTTTAGAATTAAAATGCCAGAAAACCATTTTAAATGGCCTTATTTAAACATTTTTTTCGAGCAACAACTATCAAAATAAAATATAACTGAAAAGAAATCAAATTTTACATTCAAATGCATGCTATGCATGCCAAAAATAAAATTAATATCAACCTCGATAAGTTCAAATTCAAATTTAAAAACTCTTTAAAATACTTTGATTTATCATTTTAAATTTCCCCAGGAATTTTCTAGAGCATAAAGAAAAACTAAAATAAACCATATTATGTGTCTGGAATTTTTTAGTTTTGCTAATTAGAAAATTTTATTTTTGAACTAAGTTACTTTTTTTTCAAAGTTATCTTTTAACTTAACAAGTTAAAGAATAAATTTGAGCAACTTTTAACATAAGTTAACTTAATTATTTTAAAATAACTAAACTTAACGAGTTAAAAAAAATCGTTATCTTGCCAGCCTTGCAGTTTTTCTACCGGAAAGCCTAATCCGATGTATGCGATATAGACCCTCTTCTGAAATGAAATATTCTTGGGGTGATACTTTAGGGAGGTCCCCGTAGTTTTCCCAGTAAAAGAGAAAAAGTGAGAAAAAACGTGAAAACTTATGAAATATATAAGTAAAATACTATGATTTTTTTTTTCTGTGGACAACTTTTCTATCAACAATTTTGCTCCGATTTACAATAATAGCATTTTTTCTAAAAGGAAATCTGATTGGAGAGGTTTTTTAAACAATTCATTTTTCGATTTTCCCAATAGTTTTTCTAAAAAATATGAAAAACTGGGAAATAACATGGAAATACCGAGTAGAAAAACAGGAAAATCGCTACAACATTAAACAAATATTATTTAAGAAAATATATAGTGCCTATTTAATTATTTTACCACAATATGACTTATATACTGTTGATAAAGCATCACTATCAACTGAACTCCGCTCAGAATCGATTTTAGCAAGCAATGGCTTATCGTTGCTTACAGATACAAATTAATTTCCTCTCTATATCCTACCTTTCTAACTTCTTACCAACAACAGTCGCTCCACCCATCGTGCGAAGTATGTTCGTATTTTTCTATGTCGGTTTTTTTTTTAACTAAGGACGGCATAATTTTTTAAAGTCCTAATCGTATAAGTATACATAATAAAAAGGATAAGAAGAAGATACACAAATAATAACATTTAATCTCTTGGTAGTGTTTTGAGCACGTTGAACGAGACATAATATTAACTACCCATACCCTCGCTCTATAGTTTCAAATTTTCAACAATAATTTTAAAATGATAATCAATAAAGTTATTCGTTTTAAAGAATATTGACCATTGTAGTTATTAATACACAATAACGATGATAATTTTTGGACTATATTTTAGATTTTGAGTGGAACAAGGGATCTATGAAGTATATTTTTATTTTTTCTGTCTGTAAACAACTTTTCTCACAACATGACAAGAGACCTATTTTGTCTCATTTTGGCACTAAACAGTATTTTAGAAAGGTAATATTTTGCAATAAAATTGTTAACTTCGAGATTATGACGAACAACTGGTTTTTTAGGTTAAAAAAATAAAAAAATAGATTAAGAATAAGGTTGTCGTTAGCAACCGTTTTTATATTTTAATCTTTTTTTAAAAAATCATTGTCATAAAAACGTATATTGTTTAAAAGGCAATACGTACAATTAATCGAATTCTACTTAGAATCGCTTTCAATAGAAATGATTAAACGTTGCGTATTGGTATAAATTGAATTCCCCTCTATATTATTCCTTCCCAATTTCCCATCTACAACAGTAGCCGCACCCATCCCCAGTGTCAGCTCTTACAACGGTGTTAACATATAATGGAACTGTTTTCGAGTTTTAAACACGGAGACGTAATAAAATGAATTTCGTTAACTTTTATTAAAATATCAAATAAATATACAGAGGTATAACAAAAAATAAAACTAAAAATAGCCACTTCTGGCTTTTCTGGTACTTCGAAGAGTTTACAATAACACAATATACAGGGAATCGATGTAAATAACCTATACAACACAACGTATTATTGCCTATCTGCCACAACCTAGGTGTGTAAGTGGTTTGGGTGACGACTTACGTTGTGGTACGAGGCCACCAGGCGCGTCGCTCATTTGCTATATACAGACCGGTGGTCTCGTTACAAACAGTTCCACTTCATAACTTTGACTAAAATTACTTACTTACTTACTTTCTTTCTTTAAAAATCTAACTTTCGTATATTAAACTTCACCTAAAATATATCTAAAATCGTGGATATTATACATTATTTTGTATACATATTAACTACTAAATTATTTATCGAAATATTATAAATCAGAGATTCCTAAACTATTTTTCCCGTAGCCACTTTCTAATTTCTTCTATTTTTCGTAAATCCCCTGTTATCATTTGTAACCCATATTTACATCTCGAGATCATGCACCTAGATTTTTTTTTTCAATACAATGTCGATGGAGGTCTATATAAGGGAGTTTTAAAAACCCCCAATACCCTAATTCTCGTCAATCATTAACTGTTATACGTAAATTGTTTGCTTCTTTTTTCTTATTACCGTTAAATTGTATACTATTTTATATTTATATTTTTGTGTCATCCAGCGACAGCACCGATCATCCCGTTCCTGTCGACCATATCGAAACAACGCGGATATTCGCCGTTAATTGTCGGGCTAATATTTACAGTATCCTCGTTAGTGTCTCTGGTGATGAGACCACTCGTCGGATTCATCACCGACAAGTACAAATGTTACAAGTTGGCACTAATGGCGAGCATATTGACGAACTTCGCAATTGTGTGTGCCTTGCTGCAAATGCCCGACTCGGCAGTCCGAGATGAAATCAACGATGCGTACCTGTTCCGATCGCCGCTGTTTTTGATGTACTTCGTCATGATCGTACTGTTTTTTACGTCAGTAGGGGTAAAAACCGTGACGGAAGATACAATTTGCATGAATCTATTAGGTATAAATCTAATGGTCCTCCACACGAACCGGTTCAGTGGGTCCCATTATATTTTTGAAGAAATAAACAATAATAATAATAATAATAAACGATTCGACAATTATTATATTATTATATTATAATAGATAATTATCTATTTACAAATTGTATAATGATACATGATATATTATACTAGCATACACGATGAATTACTTAGTCTACAGCCCCATTTTTTTGGTTAAATTTTGCATATATTCAAATTCTGATTTTTGTAATTTTTAAGTGTAATTGAAGACGATATTTTCGAATATTTAGATTTTTCGCAGCATTTAAGAATTATCATATTTTATTATCAATGAGTAATATTTGGTTGTTTAAAAGAGAAAATATATTTTTTAATGCAAATTTGATAATTTTTTTGAAAAAATTTAACTCACTGTAATCGAAATTTGAAAAAAAAATTTCTGAGTTATTGTACAATAAAATTCTAAGAAAACAGTCTTAAAATCATCATTTGTGTAGGATAGCATGGCGAGCAGCTTTTTCATAGTGTTCCACTACTCTCTTCTGTGTAATTAGGGCCCTATCACATAACAGCAAAATGTTTTGGAACTAATACTCCATCAATTTCTAGAATTTTTATTATAGGTTCTCGTTTGAAAAACGAAATTTTCGTAAGTTCCTGATTGAAAATCAAAAGTATGTATTTATTTAAGGTATTTGGAGTAGAGATAAAAAATTAAAAATTATTTAAAAATAAAGTTAAATGATTCCATAATAATTTGAAAAAACAGAAATCAAATTCACTTAAAATGCTCTGAGATAATTACTGGTTCATGATAAATAAACCACTCTATATAAATGTGAAAATAAGTATTTTTGTAACGAATGATCTCTGGAACAACTTATTAAATCGCTGTGCGGTTTTTTTTTTTTTTAATAATAGAGTACGCTATGGGGCAGATTTTAAGTCTATTTTCGTATTTGCAGTTTGAACCATTGTTTTGTGAGAAACAGATAGTAAAAAATACAGAGAAAAGAAGAAAAACTTATGTACGGCTTTTGTAAATTTAGAAAAAACTTATGATCAAGTGCTGAGATAGGTCTTAACCTATTCAAAAACCTATTATAAACCTACTTCAAGATGTTGGTGTTCATGAGAAAAGAAGTTTCGAGATTGTAATGATTGTAATGATTGTTTATATTAGTTTAAACAACGATATGTTTGAAGGTTCAAATACAAATTTTAGAAGCATATGTCGAATAACAGAAGATTTTGGGGTTTGAGGATGAAAAAGGGGTTAGTCTTGGGCCCTTACCTATTTTTTGTTGTACCTAACACATAAAGTAACAAAAAAATTACAAGACATAGTTAAATAAAATAAAATTAAGAAGAAGATAATTATAGGAAGAAATAATGGAGAGTAGCACTTGAAGTAAATGGACTAAAGATAAGAAGAAGTAAAACAGAGTATCTAGAATATGATTATTTAAAAACAGGGCAAGAGGCCAAAAGGACAAGACAACTAATGGCAATAATTGATTAGGTGATAAGCGAGGTTAAGAGTTTTAAGTACCTAGATATTTTTATACAAAAACCGGTGTCTTTTTTGAGAATGTGAAACATAGGATTAAGTGTGTTAGAATGAATTGAACAGAAGCATTAGGTATTTTATGTGATAGGAAGATTCCAATCAGACTCAAAACTAAATTCTAAAAAAATCTGGTGAGATTGACTATGTTATATAATTTGGAATGCTCGGTGGTAGATAAAAAAATATAATAGAGAATGGGTGTAGTAGAGATGATGAAAATAGTAAGGTGGAATAGAATGACGAGAAAAGATAAAATAAAAAGTAAGTATATAAAAAGAACTTGGGTGTGGCTTCAATAGTGGACAAAATAAGAGAAAAAGACGGAGATAGTTTTGGCTTGTCATGAGTTGAGATAAATCAGAATTAGTAAGAATTGTATTGAAAATAGACGTAAGAGGAAAGAGAGGAAGAGGTCGTTGGATGTGATTGAGAATGATATGTAGACGACGGGTATATGAGTATGCGAAAACAAAGTGGGGTATCAAATCAAGTAGAAATTTATGATGGGGGTAGCCATCCCTAAATATTTGTAATAAAGGCGAAGGAGAAGAAAAAAAAGATAATGAGCTTTGGTTGTGATTCGACGCAGGGTTCCTAAAAGCGTGGGACGCTGCGCAAGTATATGGCTTCCACCACTTTTAAGCGTTATACATAATATGTTCAATGGAAGCAACACGTACTCTAATTTATAGTCGTACGTAAAATGAATTGTAAACTATTAGGTATAAAATATAATATTCGATTTAAATTCATATTTAAAGTTTGATCAGGAAATTATAATATCGTTGACATATTTATAATCACCAATGCCGACCAGTTAACGAAACAATCGAAAAACTAGTCCTTTTAATCGAAACGAAATATTGTCGATTTTTGCCAATTTTGACTATCTTTCGTTTCCCATCCAGGTAAAGACACACACAAGTACGGGAAACAACGTGTATGGGGAGCAATAGGATGGGGTACCAGTTCCATTGTATCTGGTGCCTGCGTAGACTGGTACAGCAAGGGCCAAGAGCAAAAAAACTATTTGCCAGGTTACCTCATCTCGCTGCTATGTTATATCATTGATTTATATGCTGTTTCGAAAATCAAGGCAAGGACCTAGACTACAATTATTTTTTTATTTTAGATTCTGAATACGGCGAAGAATGTATAAAATCTATGAAGTGTGTTTATCCTATCTTTTTCTGTCTATTAACAATTTGTCTAACAAAAATATCCATAGTAATTTTAGAAAAAACTGTATGGGAAAAACGAACAAATTTCCAGAAATAAATATTTAATTTTATTCAATTTTGTTCTTTGCCAGAAATCTTGCTCTAATCATCAATTTACGGGGGGATTTCTAGTATAAATGTTTTATCTTGTTAATGGATTGCTGATTTGATTTTTTATTTTCCTTGTAGTCTTCTTAATATCTAAGAAAAACCGGTAAATAAACATAGGAAAAACGGGAGAGTTTATGAAAATAACTGTTTTGAAAATTATTTTCGATTTTCATTCTTTTTAAAATTTATATTCTTGTACTATTTTACGTAATATGTAGGTTGACCTATTTTAGATATAATACAATTTTCAAAACAAATCAGTCTATTTTTGAGTTATTTGTAAACAATTTATTGGTTTTATTTGGTTTTGTAGATAACATTTTTTAGCCGCTCAGAAATCAGTTCAGATTCTAATGCATTATAACGCGTCGATCGACATAAATGATATATTTTTAAATAAGAAATACAATTATATAGCTATATATTATGTATTTTTTGTTTTGTGTATAGGTTGTTCAAAAGAACAATGATAAAATAATAGCATCTAACGTCAAAAAACTATTCACGTCTTTTAAAGTACCAATATTTCTCTTATGGATAGTCGTCTTTGGAGTATTTAATTCTTTCATATGGTACTTCACATTTTGGTAAGGGCCTGGAATTAAATCTTGTCAAAAAAACGCTTAATGGTCTTCGAATTAAGATAAATCCCTAGCATTATAATACATTCATAATTGAGCCTATGTAAAATAGAATAACGTGATATTATTTTAAATAAAACTATTTGTTTCTCATATTCACATATAATACGTATCAGGTACATGGAAGACTTATCGAATATTTACCATCCAGAGACGAAACCATGGATAAAGACAATTCAAGGATTTTCATTGACGGTCCAGTGTTTTGGAGGCGAAATTCCATTTTTCTATTTATCGGGTGAGTATAGTTTGGTGTGTAGGGTATTGAAACCGGAGTATATAATTTTGGTGTCCCAAGCTCAAATTTCAAAGTTAGATTTGTATTAACACACTATAACAAATTATATGGCTTAACAAAATGAATATTAAACTGTATTTTGTTAAAAATAAAACTCTTGTTTATAGGATTAATTATCAAACGAGTGGGTCACATGAACGTTTTCTCTTTGATGTTTTTCACGTTCGCCGTGAGATTCTTCCTGTATTCGATCATCAAAAATCCGATATGGGTTCTCCCCGTTGAATCTTGTAATGGTATCACGTTCGCATTAGCATACTCGGCAGCAATTTCTTATACGTGCCTGTTGAGTCCAGTCGGTTTCGAAGGAACACTCCAAGGCATTGTCGGGACGTCCATAAATGGAATAGGTTTGTAATTTATCGTTTAAAACATATACCTAATTTTTTTTTTTTAATCGTTGTTTTATTGACTAATGAAATATTATTATTATTATTACTATCGAGTTATCTAAACCCATCACGAATTATCTACGTTTGAGTTTATTCGTGTAAGATATTATAGTGCATTGATAGTTGTACCATAGCTGTGCATCTGAGATGAACGTTCTATTGGACTATAGTATCAAAAAATAATAATAGTGATATTTAAATTTACTCAATGCTCGGCGTTCAACAGTCATTGAAAACTCGTAATATTTTATTCTTCTAGGATCGCCTATCGGAAGCTTTGTCGGTGGATATTTGTTCAATCGTTTTGGCAGCATTTTTTCGTATAAGATTTTAAGTGGTGTCGCGTTAACAACGTGTGTATCACAGATCGTCATCAATCAGTTGACAAATCGATTGTCCAAACCAAAGCGTGTCGAAGAATCACCTTGTACTACACCTAAAATCGACGAACGTTTCAATAATATTACCCAAAAAAATGATATTTAAGAACTTGTTACATTTCATATAAATATGAAATAAAGATGCCGTTAAAGGGATAGGATACAGACATTTTCTTTCCCTCTCATAGTGAATTTATGATTTAGCATAATAATTTAGATTATTTTCCGGCAATCAGTATGATCGATGTAAAGCGATCGGAAATCAACTATTTTTTATATATATATACCATATATAGATATTAGGTATACATTTTTAAAAACTTTAAAATCTTCAAATGATATTTTTAAATTTAAGGACTAAAATTTGAAAACGTGACATGACTAATGATTACGTACACACTTCACGTTGAATTTAAATTTCTTTACAGAATTCTTATCTCTTCACTACATTGATCATCCGGATTATCAGAATATTTTTCAAAACCGGTGTGCTGCGTATGTGTTAAACAAAGACAATAAATATCAGTACCTATCCAATCCCCTGAAATGTTAAATGTTCTTCACGTGCATTAAAACTGTCTTTTCAATATTATGTTCACACTATATAATATAAGGTACCTACAATAATAATATTAATTTTTTACGATACTGCTGTTCTACGTTTTTTTTGTTTTTTTTTTAACTACAATTGTCAAATCTTTTACCCTCTCTTTTCAAAAACTGAACTGATTTTTCTGACGTCGTCACATTTGCCTGGAGTCAGATTGGAGACACACCGGGAATAAACGTTAAATACAAAATTTACGGCATTTGGATTTTTTGTTATTATTCGATTAAAAATTATTATAGAGATCTATTTTTATAAAATACTTATATTGGCCTTTTGTAGACGTGGTAAAATTTTCAAAGTATTCTAACTATTTTTATGTTATTTATAGATATTTGATATTTTCGTACTTATATACTATAATAATTTTTTTTTTCTTTGGTAATATCGTAGTCTGGTAATTTATTATAATACTGGACAAGCTCAAATGTATTGTTTTAATATAGTTACTTAATAATAAAATAAGGAAATCAACAAATAACTATTTAGGTTTATAAAAAACAGATAATTATTTTAATTACACTAAGAACTAAGGAATAGCGGGTCCTCATTGGCCAGTTTCATAATTCTGATAATGGGGTGATTAGTTAAATAGTTACAGTAGTTTAAAGGAATACAGAAAGAGTAAGAGTATCTGGAACAAAAAGTTAGTAATCTAAAATTAACTTTTGATAGGAAGGCAGGGGCGTCAACTTCACCATTTATAAGTTTAGAAAGAAACATTAGAATACCCTGTTTTCTCCCATTACATTGGGAGGACAAACTGAGATGCTGTAGCACTGGTTCATACTCGTGAGGTGCTCATTCAACCTGTAATATAAAAGTGGCAAATTTTAAGAATTTACGTTGAATCCTTTCCAGTCGAAAACTACCATCAATTGTGTGTGGGTCCCAGATAATCATACTATACTCCAAAACAGACCGGTATGTATTCGGTATTCTTCGGTAAGTATATGTTTTTAAAATTTTATGACTTATGAGAAATATTTGAACATTTAATACAAAGTACTAAATAAGTTGTACTCAGTGGTTTAAAAAAACAAATTTGAGTTTAATAGGTACATTAGTTTTTTTTTTTTCATAAGCGATTTAAAATCAAATATTGACGAAAATTGTAAAAGTTACGATATTTTAAATTATGTCTTACCGAACTCGTTTTTCGTTAACAATGGTTGCATACAGATATAAATTAAATGACTTTGTGCATCCCAACTTCCCAATTTCCCACCTACAACAGTAGCTGCATAATTTATTTCATTACAAATTTGCCTACTGAATAGGTCTTAAAATTGTTTTAGTGGTGTTATACCAATGCTCTGATGACAACACAAAACCCGTTTACATGTTTGGACTTAGTTCTAACACTTAACGAAATGTTTACTTACTTGTTTCTACACAGTCGATTTACGAAACGATCATCAGAAATGTTTAATAAGATACTTAAAAAAAGCGACACTACCAAAACTTACAACCAAAGCTCTCCTAGAACACGACAAATTTTTATTGAATCGTCCATTTGTACATAACATAGATAATGTTCAGGTTTTATGCACAATTCTGCGTTCTCGATTGTCGATGAAGGTCAGTGTAACGACAGAGGACGGATTTTTATGCACACGAAAATTCTTAAACCAAATTATGATTTCCAAATACTATGTATATATATATATATATATATATGTATATTGTACGACGAAATACGCAATGAACATTTTATGTGATTCAAAATAAAATAAAAATATATAATTATTTAGTTTTTTGTTTTATACGATTTCATTTATATGTTCACTTCTGTATAGATGTCGAGTTTATGTACCTATCTACTACTATTCTCACGTTGAACATAAATAATATTATAATCTAAACACAAGTGTTTCTCGTATTTTTATAAAATAAATTTTTTAATATTCTGAGTTTTTTTAAAATTGGCATTATATTATAATATAATTATATTTGTATGTATAGCTACAACTGAACATATATTTTAAACCTTTAACGAAATAAAATTAAAATTCAAAAGGTACAGTTCACTCAAAAGTAACAGAATTTTGTTTTTTAATTAGAACTACAACAGTATATATTTTTCTTCGGGAAAACAATCAGGAATATAGATTAAGATAAAAGTGATCGGATTTGAGCCATATAAAGCAGGGTCTAAAATAAATAAAAACTTGAAATACTAAATTATAATTTTAAATAACTACACCCCTCCCCCCAAAAAAATAACAAATTCATTAAAAAAAAACAACTCTTATTTGAAAAATGAACATTCTCACTTGTATAAAATAATTGTAATATTGACAATAAATTCAAAAATGAAATCAAATATATTTTTAAACTTGTATTTTTTTTTGTTGATACCAATCAGATCAAATTTGAACTAGTTGCTTTCAACTAATGTGAGATAATAATTCTAAAATGCTCAACGTTAAAGCCGATATTTTAGTGTAGTATATGCTAACGTAAATATAAACGTCCCGTAAAAATAATGTATTTTAATAGTATCTATTTTCGGGGATAATTCAACAAAAACCAAACAGGTGAGTCGTGAGACGAAATTAACTGAAATATTATATTTTAATTTTTTTTAAAAAAAAAGAGCTGATACTGAGGATGGGAAGGGCCACTGTTGTAGGTGAGAATTTGGAAAGGTAGGATACATAAGGTTATTTCATTTATATCTGTAAGCAACGATAAACCGATAAACGATAAACGAAGTACCGTATTTTTTTTTTTTTTTTCGTGATTTTCGTTTAGATTTGATTTCAAATCGCTATTAAAAAAAAAATCTTCCGATGATTTTGGAAATTTGATCACATCTAGGGAAGTCCAATATAAGTATTATTACCAAATTCCAAGTCTGTACGTGTATTTATAACTAAATTACAGCAAAAAAGCTCCACAAAATTTTAATTCCTCAAAAGCTCAAAAGTTTTGGCGATGATACCATAAGAAAATAAATCAAAAAGGTATCTAGTGATTTTTCGATTAAATCATTTTTTCTGGTAGAAAAAGTCGTCCGTGTTATTTAAAATAATGAAACCGTGAAATTGTACGTTTTCCTACGTTTTTTCCCACTTAAGTGCTTTTATTTAAGAAATGGAATCAAAAATCAAAAAATAATATGCTTATTCTACAATTTAGACAAGTTGAGATTTCAGAAAAGTTGTTACACGTAAAAATCGGAGTAAGTTTACTAGGAAAAAACGTGTCTACAGACTAGAAGAAAGAAAAAAAAGAAATAAACATTTTAGTAAAATCAATATTTGAATATATAAAAATATAATCGAGATATATAAAAATCAAATTTTTTGTGATATAGTTTTACACGATATTTAATTTTGCGTATGATATATAATTTAGGTATCAAATGTTCTTTTAAAATGACCAATCATCGTTTGTTTTGGATTTATATGTTTAACGACGATAACACTTGAACACTTGACGGTGTTGACCCGACTTCTCTTACAAGATCTATAATTACTAATTTTAAAAAAAAAGTTGAAATTATAGTATAGTAAATGTAAAACCATCAATGTTGAAACAAAATTAAATTTATCTGAGCATAAGATAACCAGATAAATAATAACCATGATTAGCAGCTAAAACGCCATAACTATAAAGTTTAAAATGGATTCATTTTTTATAATAATGAACTAAAATAGTTATAGTTGTTAGAGTTTTCATACATTTGTATATACATCTTATAACGTGAAATTTAATGGTCGGTGAAATAATTAGAAGTTTATACCCCTAAACGGCACATCCTTGATACTTACATCATGCACACACAAAATTATAATGTCACCCTAGATTTTTTTAAGTAGGTCTGTAAGGATATAAAAAGCTGAAAATCATGTTGTACCTCCTGCAACACTATGGTTACAATTATGTTAAAATTCGACCGAAATATGATGGCTTCAATCGTATCAATTCTCAAAGTCGAGTTTATTTGGTCTAGAGGGAACCACTATAAGTATCCACAAGTATGGGGGTAATATATGTATGTACATACACGTTATTATATGTTTACGGCATAATATACTGCAACATCAGATGCTATTTTCGGGGGAAATTAGACAAAAGTTAAAACTTATAACTAGTATTAGGTACCTTTAGAAAAAAAAAAAACTACTTAAATATTCGAAATAATAATGATTATGGGGTAATGAGCTATCCCAAAAATATGGAGGATGCTGTTTATCATTTTTCAATGCATCTAGACTTTATAAACACTTATTTAAATGTATTCATATACATATTTGTACCTTCAAAATTATATTCATTATTACCTTTATAATACAGAACAATATTTATCTAACATTGTGTAAGCTTATGGTCCACTTGTCAAAACCTTTATTCCTAATAAAAAATAATAATAATAGTTACAGAATAATGATTTTTTCCAAACTAAATAAAATCTAAAATGAATGTTTTTTAATTTTAATATTATTATTATAACCAACGGAGCTCACAATATTACGAACGGACATATTCACGTCGGACAGATGACGCAACCGAATGTGACTCGCCAATAGCTATAATAAAAATAAAACTGTTTGTAAAGCGCGTATTTATAATAATAATTCACGGGTCGTTAATCGTTTATCAACGCTGACACGGAAAATTCACCTCGCACATTTAAAAATCTGTATTTCTGATTTTTCTAATAGAAATTACGACCACAAAAAAAAAAAAAAAATAATTTTACAGATTTTTTACAATAAAGTACAAATTTTGTAAAACGATGGACACACTTCGAAGATTGGATGGGCCACTGTTATAGGTGAGAAATTGAAAAGGTAGCATATAGATGAAAACTTTATTTATATCTGTACGTGACGAATAATCATTGCTAACGAAAAACGATTCTGAATGGAGTTCGGTTATACATATTTTAAAAAGCTGTAATATTTACGATTTTTATCAACATTTGGTATTAAAATCGCACATCAAAAATTCTACATTAGACCTAACTTTTTTTTTTTTGACCATAAAATAGAACTTATAATAAACCTGTTAAAATTGCAAGTGAATAA